AACGGGATAATCCGAGAGAAGGACAATCGGATCTCCGAGCTTGAGTACAGTATTTTGAAAATCAAGGAGAGAAACAATAAATTGCATTTTGATGTGGCTGACTTAAAACAAAACGCAAATGAAAAGGAAACCTTCCTCTACAACGCTCAAAAAGAAGTCAAAAGATTGAACAGCGAGTTTCTCTCTCAAGGATCGATTATTGCGGCACTTCAGACTAAAAATACCGCCATTGCAGAGGAAAAACAAAGCCTCAAAAACGAATTGAATGACTTGAAAAGAAATTCTTCAGAACAAAAAGTCCAGTTAGAGGCTTTACGACATGAGAACGAAAGGTTGCAGAGAAAATTAAATGAACTTCAAGTTCCAAAGAGTCCGTCGCTGAAAAAGTCGCAGACACCTAAAAACACAACGGAACCCGATCTGGTCAGCCATAAGAAGTTAATAGAACTTGAAAATGCATGTCAGAATCTTTCGCTTGAAAAAGAGAATATCCAAAATAAGAATACAAGTTTGGAAGAAAAAATCTTACAGCTCGATGAGGAAATGAACTCTTACATTGCAAGTAAGGATTCCTTAGAGAAAGAGATGGTTTGGAAAGATAAACGAATAACTGAGCTGGAACAGTTGTCAAGAAAAGCCGAACACTCCGCCCAACTCGATCGAAATGAACTGCAGATAGTATCTAAGGCCATGAATGAAATGGAAGTGGAGCTAAATTCGACTCAAAACGCTCTGATTGGATTAGAAGAATGTAATTCCACTTACGAAGAGACGATCAAGCATTTAGAAGATCAACTAACTGGGCTACAACAAAAGAACTCTCAGTTGGAAAAATCCCTGGAAAACAGTCAAAGTAAATTAAATTCTCAAAGGAACGAATTAATGGAGGCACTCTCGAGAGTTTCTGATTTGGAGAGCGCAAAAAAATCAAAGGCAAATAGTAATGATGAGCTTCTTAAAGACTTGCAGTCCTGTAAAAACAAAGTCACATCGCTTGAAGAAGAACTGTGTGCTTCCGCTAGAGAACAAGCGAAGGCAAATCTAACAGTCACAGAAATGAAAGAGAAAAAAGCAAATCTGCAAAAGGACCTGCAACAGATACAGAGTCAGCTGAGAGAGGAAAAGCACGACCGTGCGACGGATGGTAAGGAAATTCGAGAGAAAAATGAAGTAATAAAGAAACTGCAGAGAGAAAATCGTGAGCTTGAAAACGAAATTACAGAAGCGTCCAAAGAATTGAATGTCAAGGCAGGTGAATGTCTCATTATGATGAATAAGCAGGAAGAAATAGAAGAGGAACTAGGTGCTTTGAGAAAGCAAATACGAGAGCTCGAGTCCAGCCTATTAAAAGAGAAAGGAGAAAATGAGAAGCTGAGGCTGGAGATGTCTGCCACTCGTCAACTCTACAGCGATCTAAAGATTGCTTACGACAACCTTCTTGAAGAAATAAACAGCTCCCAAGAACAAATGGAAGACAAGGAATTCAAAAAATCTGCTGAGCTTAAAAAATCATCAATAGAAAAAGACCAACTGAACAAAGAGATTCAGCTATTAAACAAAAGGGTGGCCATGTTCAAAGAAAACAACGAGAAAATTCAGCAAGAAAAGAGAGAATTGGAAAAGAAGGTAAAGACAATGCAGCAACGACTCTTAATTTTGGAAGCGGACGAAAAGACTGTTGATACCATAAAAGCGCTGCAAATAGAGCTCGAGGAAAGTAAACAAAAGATCGATGACCTGAACGCGATGTACGGGGCCGTGAGGCTGGAGCGAGACAACCTTCGTGCAGAGAATATAAAGCCAACCTCACCGAGAGGGTTTGCAAGTTACCAGCCAAAAACAAGGGAAACCAGTGCTTATTTAGAAAGTTTGACAAAAAAGACTAAACTTCATGAGCAGGTAACCGCTAAAAAGGACATGCTAGAGGCGCAAGCAAAAGCAATGTTACTTGATGAGAAACTGAGAGAAGCACGGGAGCGGCTCGAAGGATTAAAAACTCTTCCGCCAAAGAGTGACGAGAGCATGTCTGAGAGCACAGAGAGTGGCTCTGACGAACCCTCTGAGGAAGATGAAACACAAAAAACAGGGCAATGCAGTTCTGTTGTGGATGGCTCTTCACAGGAGTCAGACTCATAAAGGATAACTGTAGGTTTTAATCCGTCAAAAATGTCATTAGTCCCATCTATTTTTGGACCAACCCCTTTGTTAAACAACTTGAGTTTACCAAAGGAATGTTGGCCTTGAAAACCTTGACTAAGTTTAACACCGAGCGAAATGGCGAGCTACAATAATTTAGTAGTTCAAGGACTTTTCACGACTGTAGTGTGATATTACTTTGTCGCAGCTTTGCTCCAAAAAGATTGATTCGTTTCAATTATTAGTTTAAGACTCATCAAAAAAAAAAAAAGCCCAAGCGAATGAAGAATCCCTACCCTGAGCTCATACTAAGTAACAAACGAGGCTAAGTGTGTGTTGAAATCCAAAATCTTTAGCACAGGAAATGTTTCCAGGTTGTTAATTTACAAGAAATTCAACGAGTACTGAACAAATATTGGTCGCACCGAGACATCTTTGAGTGATTTACCAATGCTTAGCTTCCCACACCGAGAAATGAATAGCTTGTTTTCTGGCCTTTTTAGATTCATTAGACTTGTATGTACTATTGAAACGCTCAAGCTGCATTTGCATGCAATTAATTAGGTTATCTCGTGTTCAGCGAATCTCATGCGAAGTCATAGTGTGTTAAATAAGTATTTTATACAGTTTAATTTCTTTTAAACGCTTTTGCTTTGTCTAAGCCTGCGGTCCCCTCAAAAGTGTGTAAAAACTTTAACTTGGTACCAGTTGATAAGGTAAATAAAGACTTACACAATTTTACAAAACTGTTTAAAACTATATGTGTATCTGGAAATGTTGGGCCTTTGAAAGCATTATACATGCCTGTGAAAGAGTTCTTTAGTGTGCAGTTTGCTTGTGACTGTTGAGTGGTTTAAATCTAGGAGACCCTATTTTTCATAAGATACACGTTAACAGTAAGCCTCTAATTGTGGACTATTTGAAGACAAATACCACCTGTGATACATAATGCTAACTCCTTGATATTTAAGGTACATTTTGATATGATTAGTTCTTAAAAATACTTTTTTTGTTTTGACCTTTTTTAACTTCGGTTTTTTGTCTTTTTTTTACGGGATAGAAGGGCTCTCAAGAACGGTGAAATGTAAATCAATCGTACTTTCAATAGGAAAAGAGTCAGATTTACAGAATATGACCTGGAGATTAATTTTTTTATCCATAACGCCCCTACTACTCGGTCTTTCTTAATGCACCTCATGGCAGGTGGAATGATCTTTTCTCTGGTAGTTTCCAGTTCATGCCTCCATAATGAAAAGTCAACTTCGCCTTTTAAAAAAGTGGTTTTCACAACAGATGAGACAGCCATTTTTGCTGAATAATTCTCCCCGATGAACACGACTTCTTGCATAAGAAATGTGTTCTTTTTTATACCTAAAATTGAGGTACAAGTTAAATCTTTACCAATACCTGTTGTGTGGTCCTTTACGCTGTGAGGCAAAACCAATCATGTTGCTTTAAAAGGTCGAGTTCTGTCTGATCACTAAAACTACATAAAACATTTCGGAACTGATTAAACTGATAGATTGCTCGTCATGATGAAATAGCAGATTGGGCAAACGATATGTAAACAGCGTTTGGAAATGTGTGGGTCAGTATGACGCTGACATGATTACATAGCCTCTCTTCCACGTTTGTTGTAAAGAGGCATTCGGATCAGCTGATTTTTCAATATTGCTTAGCTTAAGAGTTAAAGTTTGTAATTTTTTAACCTGTGATTCAGTATACATCCGTATTAGCGATAGCCTTGTCTGAGTCAGTTAGATGGAGTTTGCGTGGAAATAGCGGCGATTGCCCGACATTGAAGTAAACTCGAACTGAAAGTGAAATTGAGTGTTGAACAATCTGAACACGTTCCTTGGACCAATTTGTTTAAATCTATGTAAATTGAACAAGACCAGGTAAAACCGCCTGGTACTCCAATTTTTTCAATCACTTTGGATTTACTTTTGACTGGGAGAGAATTTAGGATGACGAAATGCGTTTTCACAGGACTGTCACCCTTATTCCGGGCGTCAACTTCCGCCATCTCACCGTTGTTATGGTTTTGATGGATCCCATTCTGAACACGGACCGGACAGAAAATAATGATAACAAGTCTTACCTTCTGTGAGAATGATAACAACAGCGGCCAAGAAAGTATTGAAGGATGAAATGAAACTTTCTCATGACTGAAAGTAATGTTTTGTGCCAAGACTTCCGAATCGAAAGACTGTTTTAATCAACAACTATAATTTGGTGTCATAAAATCATATGTCTGGCATTGTCACCCTCTAGTTAAGAAATAAAGCAGCCTTGACGGTACCCTGGAAGAAAGCAAAGGCTGAGATTTTAACACTCAACGGTAAGTTTGTTTTGACTCTTTACTTTTGAATCAACTCTCCATTACCAGGAATTTACTCCAGTTTATGACGACGAAACTTATAAAATCTTGTCGAAGTGACTACCGTATTTCAAGAATGGACCCTTGCTTGGAGTTTAGTAAACATCGTTTTTGATGACAATAATCTATTGTCTGATTGTAAATCAAACAACTAAAACTTTGTCGCTGGCTGAATATCGTTGTCAACAAGTCAGATGCTATGAATCACCTTCACTTTATTTTCAGATAACGAAGGGATTCAGGCTGCAAAAGATCTGGAGTGGTCTCGAGAAAACTTACCGACCGCTGAAGTCGAAGAGATTGAGGAACCCGAGAATATTTTACCGCCAAGGAAGAAAAAATGACAAAGGGTGAGCAAACATATTTTTCTTTAATTCTTTTCCGACGACGTATTAAGTATCAACTTTAAATCGTGCATTTGCAACTTAGCACAATTTTGGCGCACTTAACGTATCATTTTCATCACTCATATGAAGTTAGCAATGTTGCCGTGGTAACCGTGTTACATGCAACACTTAAAGATAAGACTCGTATGTCATGTGTCATCCTCTGCATGTTGTTTGATTACAAGCAGCTCATTGCTTTTTCATTACTTGTCAGGCGACGAAAGAAAAGGAAAACGAGCGACGAAAGACCAAAGTGTTGCGTGTTTCCTGCAAACAAGGGGGTTTCGCGGCAAAACAATTTTTTTTAGCAATTTACTTAAATTCGTCAATCTGGTAAATTGGATTTTTTCTCCACGCTGTACTGCCTTTCAGAATTGAGCCAGAAAATAAACTGAACACAAACGCTTGTGTCGAGCGCATGCGTAAGTACTAAACATGTTGAAGAGAAAATGAGAGTATACTTTATCGGTAAACTTATGAAAGCGTTTCAGCGTCTAAGAATATAAAATCAATTAAATTACAAAGTTCCAGCCTAACTGCTTAACACAACATGGATATTTCTATCAAGTAAGCGTGTAAGGAAAAGATGATTTATCCCTGAAACTTCGTTGTGGCAAAATGTTCAAACTGTTAACCAGTCATACACCGCGGACGTGTATCTAACTACACTTTTAAATCCTCGACGTTTGCATACAACTGCTCGTCGTACAATGTCATGTTGATCAGCTTCTGCAGAGAAAAATAACATAATAACCAGCATCATGAAAAAAGTGTTTCTCTTACGTTAGAAGAGATTATCTTCACTAATGGTCAGCTTTTCACACCAAAACGAATTCTAGGAGAAAGTACAATGATTTTATGGCGTCATCGTCTGCTACTCTTTGTGCGTCTCAATGCAGTTTTTGCAATCATCCTTTTAAGTAACCATAAAGTGTCAGTTGTCATATAGACATTCTAGTTCGATTCTACGCTGTGTTTCGTGGGGTGCTAGCTTCAGTTACATAGCAAAAAGATACAATCCTAACTTCGTAAAAATTACAGAGATGAGTTCATATTACTACGTTATCTAGGCTTCATGCTGTATTTTAAAACACTAATAGCTGAGCCTTAGCCAGTCGGTCTTACGTGAAAATAAACTTTCATGTTGATCAAAATTCTGACCTTGTGCAGGATTTCCATGTCCTTAAGCTGATTTTTCAATTCAGCAAAAGTTGGTCTTGCATCTGGGTCATTCTTCCAGCATTTCAACATCATCTGATACCTGGTATTGTTCAAATAATCTGTTAGCGATTTAAAGACGTTTCCTTGCATGATGAGAGAGAACGGGTTGAAAACGAAAACTTACAATTTTTCATCTACATGTTGTGGTTTAGGCATCCTGTATCCATCCTGAAGTAAGTTTGCAATTTTTCTTCCATCCATTCGTGGGTAAGGTGAACCGCCTGGAAGAACCGCAAGACCATCGAAATATAAATGTGTTGAAAAAACGACCGTCACTGAAACATCACCTGTACCATTTGATGGAGTTTGAGGTTGCATGGGGAACCTCATTACATTCGTTTGTCCAACTGAACAAGATACATTATTTCATTAAACATGGTATATAGCAAAACACAGCTACAGAGCCTCATAAACTTCCATTCGATGTTACCTATGGTGAAAATCTCGTACAGCAAAACTCCATAACTCCATCTGCAGAAGGACGAATCAAACGATTATAAATTAGGTGATTATTGACATAAACAGTATATACGACAACTAAAATATATGTATTCTTTGACAAAGCATAGAATTCATGCCTTGATTAAAATTGATAAAACTTGTTGGAAAATTGCTACGGGTAATAATCGGGTATACTTACACGTCACTTTTGGTGGTATATTTACCATACAACAAAGCCTCATAAGCTGTCCACTTCACGGGAAGACGGCCCTAAAGATTTTAAATATAACTTTGTGAAACAGCTAAAACATTATAGGAAGTGACTAGTCAAACACAGTGATATTTAAAGTTCTACCCGTATACGCATGACTGATATTTTTATTTGGGTCCCATTCAAGGATCTCATGATCGGATTCAGGAATATATTAGTCCTACCACAACAATGATTGTGAAAGGTCACTAAACTGAACGATATGTAGTACCGTCTCCACTTCCCTTCGTTCTTTATTACCTTAGTCTTTCGTTCATAAATATTTTCCAGCTGCACATCTCTAGCCATACCGAAGTCTGTCACTTTACACGTTTCCTTTTGTCCAACCAACACATTACGGGCTGCAAGGTCTCGGTGAATGATCTAGGAAAGAATTGATGCCACAACAAAAATTAGCGACTGCAGAAGGAAAGAACTGAAGGAAATGTTTCATACAGGGAAATAGAAATGTCTAGCAACATGATGTGGTGGGCGTATTCCTTCGTCTTCCAGATGGCAGAAAATTAAAATTACTATAAGTGCTCCATACTCCAAAGAGACGCAAACTACTTTTATTCTGCAATACGCAGTTATTTCATAGAACGTTTTAATCGAAATAGGATTCTGTAGTGTAACAGTTAGCGACTTAAGACGAATTTTTGAAATTTCAAGTTTTAACTCCTTTTCTTCCTTGAGACATAAATGGGAATTTGTTATATACTCCAGTTTAGGCTGAATATCTCGCAAGATCCTCTTTATTCCCATCTCTGCCTTGGCCTATACGAGAGAAACCCGGAGATTTTATTTCGATGGGGTGCACTTGGAACAATGCACAAATATCGCCATTCACACATTGAAATAAAACTTTGATGATTGCGTGAGAATTGGGAGGGTTCCCGGCACTAAAGAAATAGCCTCAAAAAGACAGTAAGAATACGTTTCCATCTCCCGAGCGTGAACTTGTGAAGACATAATATTCTATGCAAGAGAGAGCTTAACATGACGATACACCTTACAAGAATATTTTAGAATAAAGTTTGTCTTTTTTGTTTTTAATTAACTTACAGATTTTGAGGACAAGTAACTCATTCCATCAGCAATTTGCCAAGCAAACTTCATTAGCTGCTGTGACGTCAGATTTGTTTGGGGTTTGATATCCGGGTCTTTGTAGTAAGTGTCTTTTAATCCACGGCTCTTTCTCAGGTAACCCAGTAGATCCCCAAAAGGCACATATTCAATTAAAACCAACAGTGGTTCTGAAGAAATTAAACACGCTAAAATAAAAATCTATCTAAAAATTTTGATAGATAAGTAACAGGTCACCGTCACCATTCTTCAAGGAAAGCACAAGAATCGGAGTTCATAGAATTTTAAGAAGAATGGATGGAAAATTAAATTACGGTTCCTTAAGAAAATATTGTTAAATTATACCTTATAAGGTAATCGTCTCTGTTTTTGCGTCAGACTGGTCGGTTCAGTCGCAAATATTCTCTCTATCTCGATTTCAGTCTATTAGAAAGTCCAGGAGTGTCTTTTTTACTCAAAAGTTACGGCTAGCGATGCTTACTTGCTCTGCTCAAATGGAGTGGCACTGTTACTGGAGCAAATAGTCCATTTTGAACAGGAGTGAGGCTAAGGGTGACCTTGGTATGATACAAACCTTGCTGCTTTTCAAATGCAAATTACTTTGTTATCATGCTAACTAGATACTGGTCTCTATCGTAACATGGTCAACTTCAGCCTCACTTCAAATCAAAGGCTTGGCAACTAAGTACACACTGTAAAATGGCCTGTTATCATCTATGAGATACTGTTACAGAGTAGATCATAAAGAAAATAGGTGACGAAGAAAAACACACCAACAACGCATACCAGATTCAGTAACACATCCCAGAAGTTTGATAACGTGAGGATGTGGTTCCAGTTGCTTCATTGTTTCCAGTTCATTCATCAAATCGCTCTTGTCCGATTCAATGGCGTTCGCTAAAGAGTTGAAAGTATGGAGTGGAAATTTCTTCACGAGTAATATTAAAAGTGCTCACATAACAACACGAGAAATCAAATAGCAAAGAGCTGAGCAAACCTAAATTTAGACCAGTTTCCATTTCCTCAATGACCGGCAACTGAAACTTCCATTCAATTTAAACAAAATCATGACAATAACAGAAAAAAGGAAAATATTTAAAGTTAGTATATGAGCTCACATTTAAGCATCTTAATGGCCACTGCGGTCGTTTCGCGCCTCCCTCGAAGTCCTACTGCTGTTCCCTTGGCAACCTGACCAAAAGCACCCTTACCAATTTCTTTTTCTATTGTAACATGATGTCTCGGAACTTCCCAAGATCGTGTTGATGGATGAAGATGCGCATAATCAGGAACTGGAGCGGCACTTTCTGCTTTTCTCCCATCTTTGCTGGCTTCTATGAGATCCATGTACTCCGCAGGTGGCTGGGCGTCTTTTTTCGAGTCGGGCTGGCTTAGTTCGATATTGTCCAAACCTATTCCGTTCTATTGAACCAACACGCCCGTTTAGGTATACACACATAAAACTGTGATCAATCCCAATGAAGATCATACCTGGTGATATGATCTTTAATAATACAGTAATATAGTTGACCGATTTCGATATGACTAACGTTTATGTTCTTCCTTTATTTTACTGTGACAAAACATAATGTTCTCTGTTATTAAAACTTTCATGGCCAACGGAATAATCCAGGTTTATAGCATGTTCGCCGAAACTACGAACGGCAAAATAAGGATTGTCGATTGGAAGTGGAATTCTTGGGGAAATACACACCTGAAAAAACCATAGCCGTGCTCACTCCTCCGCCCCAATCCCTTAACTACTGATTAATGTTTAGGTCACCGAGAGAATAGGGCGGCAAAAAGAGCTCAAGAACAATTATTTGGAAGGAAAATGTTAACCGAGTGCAAACCGTGTGGTTATCTATGAAGCGCATGCGCAGCCAAGGAGTTGAACGCGGAACAACCGAATACAAATCCAGCTTGGTAAAGGAATTGATCCCAGGAAAAACGGCTCTATCCTCTCAGGAGGCCTCTGCTACTATTTTGTATCTGCCACTGATTTAACAAGTGTTTTTAACAAAAACCCTCATTTTTTCTTTTCATTTACTGCAAGCGCTTATTTTCCTAAAGAAAAGAGAAGTAAAGTTGGAGAGTTTCTCGTCGCACACTAATGACCTCAATATCTCAGCTTTTACTTACATCGTAAACACCTCTGTCATCCTCATAACTCCTACATTTGAGAAAGCATACGATTATTCATAGCCAACAGAGAAATTTTTATTGTTTACTATTAATCCGCAGTTCAAATAAATGGTTTTCGGCATATATTCACAATCGTTCAGCCAAAAATATTTTTCAGTTTTTTGCGATATTTTTCAGGTCTGGCGTATTTCATCGACACAATCCAAGTGGCAGCAAATTCTTACCTCTGTTTCCCTACGGCGCCTGAAAAATAACAATAGTAAAAAAGGCAGATGATATGGACGTGGTTCTAATATTTCTCTTGTCTTTAATGAATTTTGTAGCCAAACTCCCTAACATAGAAAATAAACTGTTTCTTACCTTTCCAGTGTTGCCAGATTATGTAAATTATTAGAAGAAAGATTATGAAGGCAAGAACCCCAATTATGGCTTTGAGCATGACGTCGTTACATCGGCAATTACATTCCTCAGGACCTAAAAAGGATTCTTTTGTAAAGCTTAATAAAGTAAAATTCAAACAAGGTTTCCACTAGTCATTTTGACCCTTTCAAATTTATCAAATTTTTTATGGACTTAGAGCAGCAACCAGACTTGCAGCGGCATTCTGGGCGATGTAACGAGTAAAGCGGTAAGCCGCAATTTTAGCAAATGCTTTGAAAGGATTCGAACCTGCGCTTCCCAGCTGGGCAACAAAAACCACTCATTGGGAAAAAGGGAAATTTAGAGAGTTTTTCTCTCCCACGGAGGAATTTAATCACCACTTTTTTAAAGAAACACATTTTACTTGACCTGCGGATGAAATCAAATAAAGCCATAATCTCTGCAGGTGAGATGCAGTTTTAGCAATTGCAATAAAGGGGGAAAGAAGCATCCCCCAAATTCACATGTTTTATTTTAATAAAAATATTTTAGAAGGTCTCGGTTTAAGAAAAAGTGAAAACAAAACAGCATTTACCTGTGGGAGTTGTTTGGGATAAAGTGGCAACTGTACTTGATGCTGGCTTAACTGTGGAAAAATCAAATAAGGCTTTTAATGATCGACAAGAGATGTTCAATTTTTTCGTAAGTGGTTTCGGGATGCTGTTAAGACAAACTATACATTATAAACCAGTTATCATAACTATTATCATTGTTACTTTTGTCATGATTATTATTATTATTTTCAATGAATTACCAAATTAGTTAGATAGTGTAAAAGACATGTATAAATAATCATATGATTTCGAGTGCAATTTGAAATATATATATGCACGAGTAAATTTTACGAAATTTTTTAAAAAAATTTACAAGTGCTTATTTATTACAAATTGCACGAGAAAAATCATGCGATTACGTAATGGTAATATATATTTAAAATACGAGATAGCTTATCATATTTATGCAGAAGCAAAGCGCGCGCATCAAGTGCAAAAATAATTTATTTAAACCCTGCAAGGTCATTGTGCGTTCGGTCAAAAAACCGCGTACGATCAAAACAATAGTGTACAATGATATTTTCACATCTTTAAGGCGCAAAAAAGTTCAAAGTCGGGTTAAACAGTTCAAGGAATTGTTCAGTCTGGTTTGTTACCTCTTTGCACTGAATTAACCCTCATCTGCATTGAATTACCTGAAAACTGCATTTAGAACTGAAATATTTTTATGTATTTTATTAGTTAGATAATAGGACAAAATGGGATTGGCTGAAACTCAAAATTAAAACAAGCTCTATTATTTACTTTTAAAAAAATCATTTCGAGATCGTAGAGGGCGAGAGGAAGAACGTACCTCTAAGTAAGAGGCCTTACGTGAATTTTAAGAAAACCCTCTCAATACCACATGAAATGAAACTGAGAAAAGTCAAAAATAAACTCGAAAAACTATACGAAAAAACAGTAGTGGGAATCGTTATCCTCTTAAGAGCAAGATGGCACAAATATGGTGAAAAGAGCAGTAATTATTTCCTTAATTTCGAAGCACGTCATAACCTCTTAAACGTGTGAGAAAGCTATATATCAGCGACCTGCTTTTAACTGATCCGTACGAGATAATGAATGTCGAAAGGCATTTTTTATAGTAGGCTGTATAGAAGAAGGCCAAAAGCTTCCTACAAAATCCAAACACATTAAAACTTTCTGATGATCTAAGATCACAAAATGGAGGAAAAATAAACTTTTAATGAAGCCTTCGACAGTAAGGAAATATCTCCCTCTGGTAGAAATGTCGAAATCACTTCACAGGATATATCAATAGGTAAATTGGATGAAGTATGCGATATATTAAATTATATGTTAATCATTGCAAAATAGCGCATCTGAACTAGCCGTGAGCGAAGTTTCAACTCAAATATTTATTTATTAAGGGATCTGTCAACTTGTGATAGAAGACTGCACGATACAGTGCAATTCAATACAATGCAGAAGAGAAATTTTTGGCTAGATGGAAATTATTCATTAATAATAGACTTCCATCTATGAGAATATTATACAACCAACGTATACATCGAGTAAGAAAGTTAAAACGGATATCTGCCCTTTCTTAATGAAATAAAAATGTGGAAAAATAACACTCTTACGCTTCTCTAGTGCTCTCCAGACTTCCCGCGTACATCCATAACTTTATATACACACGCTAAGCAAGAACCAGTTCTTAAATGATTTATTGGAAAACGTACTTAAACCTTTTCAACTTACCAACCATTAGCAACAAGTTCACGGTTGTATTTCCTAGTTCATTTTTTGCAAAACAGGTATACCATCCTTTGTTTCTCAAAGCAACATTCTGAACCTCCAGGGTTGAGCAATTAGTAACTTTTTTGCCGCTGGTATCATTTCCTTTGTACCACGTGATATCAGCTGGGGGGTTTCCACTATCCACAGGGCAACCAATAGACCTGTCTTCTCCTAACTCCAATTCAATGGTGGAGCTTGACCGGGTGGCTGATGGTTTATCTAGATACAAAAAGGTAAGGGAAAGAATTTCAATCTCAATGGATACGAATATCACAGGGGCTACTGAACTTCGATTCTTAAAGCCAATAAGTATGTAGAGCAAACTATAGGAACATTTACGAAAGAATAGCAATTAATCTGCCCTGGTGTTGTTTGTATCTTTGCAAAGTGATGTTTCTTTTAGCAAATCTGCTAACCTAAATAACATGGTTTTAATTACAGGCTGGTTCATCGTACCCCCAAAAAATTGACAATAGAAACACATTGTCACATTTAACAACAATATCACGATTATCTATATCAACACTTCGTAGGTCATACATGCACGCACCTCAGAGAATAGCTAGAAACACGATTTACGTAGGAGAGAATATTAAGGATAAGAAAACTAGGAATACTAAGGATGGAAAAGACAAAAATGAGAAGGGACTGAGACAAAGAGCTCTCAAATCCTGGTCCTTGTCGTCTCCTTAATCATTTAACGGATATATTTGAGACGCTATATACTACAATTTCTCGCTTCGTCACGGGAAGTACTCTTCAACTCCTTTCTTTTACCCAATGCACTCTCATGACCAGCTGGCTAAATTATTATGTACGTATGTGCTTATAGTTTAACACTGGAAAACTTATAGCCAGCGGTAAATCGCTTTTAGTTGTAGGGTCAATTACAAAAAAAAAGACAGCATTACTCGCTTCGCTCTTAGTGAAAAACAATCATGTAGAGGATGTGTTCTTACACTGTACATCAATGAACATAGTTGAAGAATCACTTCCACAAGTGTTATTTACAATGCATCTGTACTCTGTTTGATATCTTGTGACGCGAGTGATGTTCAGCAGCTTTCCTACCATGACCTGACCACTTTTAGCATTCTCCCAAAAAACAGTTAAGGGAGGAGATCCTGTGGTGACCTTGCACTCCATTGCGACATTTTTGCCTTCCTTGACTGTTACATTTTGTACCCGTTCCGTGGCAGCTGGGACTTAAAGAAACAGACAAAAAATAGAGATGCAATAGCTAAACTTAACTCTAAATGCACTGAGAAGACTGACGCCAAACGACGCACCGAAAGAGAAAACTTCTGAAATCTTTGGACTGGAGCTTCGACTAAATGTGATCTGTATTTCCTCCAATAAGCGCGCGCCTCAAATAGGCGCGTTCCTCCCCCCTCCCCCCCCCAGGAATTTCCATAGTCTTCGTAGACGATAATAAAGTTATTGGGATAACTGAAAAAGCATGAATAAGAGTCCTCCTCGATTACACACCCTTGTTTTAGATAAGTGACCGAGCGCTTATTCGAGGAAACACGGTATTCTGAATAATCGCTAACAAGGAAATATGATTCTATGACCCCAATTATATTTAAGCTACACTGGTTACCAGTCAAATTCCGTATCGTTTTAAAGCCTTTTTTAATAGTTATAAAGGTCTCAATGGCACAGCATCGTCTTATATTTCTAGTCTGCTGAGCCATCGAAGTATCCATAGGTATTCAAGTTCCTGTGGCTGAGAACTGCTCACTGTGCCGCCGATCTGTACTGCAGCGTCAAGGCTGTGGAATGAATTGCCTCATACCATTCGAAAAGCTCCATCAATAGCTACTTTTAAGAATAATTAAGAGAATTATCTTCTTAAAGTAGCTTATCACTGTCAACTTTTATATTAAATAAATGCAGTTATACTTTTTTAGCTTTTCAAATTTCTTAGTAATTTTAGGTTCTAATCCTTACCGTAGTGTTAGCTAAATAGCGCTATATAAATTCGTATTATCTCTGTCATATTATTATAATGCTACTGAAGAGCTGATAAACGCAGCGCACAAAAGATGCTGTTAAGTTTGGTATAACGCTTATCAAAAGAAAGGTAAGTTTTTGCTGATTGAATTAACGAAAACTGTTAAATTATTCTGGAGACTGGTTTCTTATCTTGATGCGAGTAATGAAAACAATTGTAACAAAATGGTTTCAACTACAACACAAATTTACAACAGATTTCAAAAGCACCTGAGCATTTACAATAAAACGATTATTCGTCTCAGGCTCCTTAAATGTTGTTGAACAAGAAACTTTAATCTCCTGTATAAACCTTGACTTCGTCTTAAGGATTATTCAATAATGCTCACTTCGCCTTCGGCGACTAATTGTTAATTAATAAGCTACTATCTAATTTATTTTCAAAATAACGATTGTTTGTCTGAATGATCCAGGTGAAAACACACCACATCCGCCAAAATCACAGTATTCGCGTTTATTTAAAAATCACAGTATTGATACTTTAAGTGAAATTAGACGATCGAATAAATGAAGATAATCATTCTACTAAATTAGGGATCTCTTCATTAAAGAAACTTTCACAAATGAGCACATGTAAGAATATGACCTTACTTCCTACAATCACCTCCATTGTCTGATTGACAGGATTCCCAGCTCCACTGAAAGCTGTACAGCGGTATGTTCCACTGGAGCTTCTGTCGATATTGCGTATGACATAATACCCATCTAAAGACGGCAGTTCTCCACTGTCAGTGCTATTTTTCCACACTCTAGTCCACGTAATATTTGATGTCGGTTTACCAGTTGCATTGCAAATCAAAGTAACCATGGAGCCTTCACAAACATCTTGGTTCCCAGCAGTCACAATCTCAGGGTGCTCTTCAAAATAATATGTTTTTTAATTAAGCGAAAAAGTTTATTCCTCAATTACAACCAATTTCCTATGTCACCAAAAGAAATTCGTAAAAACTTCCTGTTAATACGACTAAGCAACACAGCTTTTTGTTCCACCTGCTTTCACAATCTGTGGATTGTGTTCAATAGGAATTTTATTTTCAACTGACTGTCTTGTTCAGACATCTTTGAACGCCGGCAAAGAAAAAATAAGTCTGCTGAACGAGGTTAACCTATTGTTAAACCTTCCCCATAAAGTGCTTTGGAACAGCAAATCTCGTCTTCTTTTAATTTTCATGGAGCCATATCTCAGAATAAGGGAAAATTTCTCATAGGAACATTTTAAAAGGAAAGAAAAGCCAGCGGAAAAACGTCAAACGATGAAAGAAGATGCTTTTTGCTTAATGAACCCGAAAAGTTTACCAGTGATGCTCTACCTCACATGCCCCCAACTCAGTTTTCCTGGCTAGCTTTCAAATATATGTTAAGTTAACTATTTTGCACGGTTTACTGTAACAGAAATTCATTGTAAGTCCCTTTTTTTTGCCTAATGTGACAGAGGAGAGGTCTGAATCCCATACAAAACTGATTCAAATGCACTTAAGAGGTTAGACGCGTCAATTACGAGCCACACCCCCTCGCCATGGTTATAGTTACTGAAAATGAATTTTCCCATGCTTAATATTAATATTTACTTAATATTTACCCTAAAAGTAGTCTCTAACTTGCACTTTACCTAAAACTGTAACATTTACTTCATGATCAGCAAGAACAGTCCCGTCGACCTCTACAATGTACTCAATCTTGTATGTTCCTTCATCTTCTGTCCTGACGTTGTTGATAAGTAAAGTGGCTGGATCATTTTTATTAATCTCAATATGTGGGGCTCTGAGTTCATTATAATAAAGTTTCCCATGAGTACTTAAAAAGAATTTGGCACCAATCATATCATAATCTGAACTTGAGGAATTAAACATTTTCCACCTAATGACATGGAATGTCTGACTCTTGACCCGTTCATCAGCAGTTAGGGTGAACTCCCAGATAAGCGATTTGTCCTCTCCTATTGTTACCAATGTTGGATTGGCTGGCTGTACCGTCCAATTGAAAGATTCTGTAGTTCAGCAAATAAATAAATTAGGCAAATGACTTTTTTCTTTAGACTGATAGCGACATGCAAAAATTTCATGAGGCAAGACACAAGTGAAAACCGTTATTAGCGCTTAAAAAATTAAACCGCTCGGATATTATAACTATCTCTACCCAGTCTCTCTCAATACTGCTCGTGGAGGAGTAGAGATGATACAATGCCTGTCATCTAACTTCCTACTTTTAAACAGGAATTAGCGTGGTTGAATGAAATAAAATTGGTAATTACATGGTGGAAGAAGTTGTTACTCCTTCAATTCATCCGTCTCATGTTGATTTTGAACATTAACTGGGAAGGGTTGGCTCCTTTTACAGGTACCACAAATTAAAGTTAGATTTGAAGCTTATTGGAGAGTTTTTACTGATATAAACCTCTAGGTGCTGCTTCCTGGTTGATTGAATAGCCCGGTGTCAAAGAACTGTACATCTTTGACTTAATTTAAAACGCGTCTTAGTTTGCTTTTCGTGGTTTCCCTTTTAGAGACCGTTTTCACAATGCGCATGCATGACAGTGACCACCCTCTAGTCGTAAGAAGCTACCACAAGCAAAAATCTACCAGTCCGATAAAATTTCTGTTCGTCGGGTTTCTTGTTGACTCTAAATCCGACAACAGTTAAACAGGTCTGTACAGTTAGTGAAATACGAAATATTCGCTCGCATTGAGATGATACAATGTCAACTAATAGGCACCCGACGCGAACAGCGAGTTTGTCGAACAAACACAATTAAGTTATTCCGTATAAAAATAATCGCGCTCTCTGTGGATTTGCACAAAATCATCGACATTGTACAGTTTATTTTGACAGGACGTGAGGACTTACAGCGCTGCTGAAACCGTTTAAACGCTACTGCTCTATACCAATTTTTATGTGCTTATAACAACCTAATCTTTGGCTTACACGGTGGCCATTCCCTTTTTGTGCTTAGTTGCTCGAGTTCAACATTGGACTAAAAATTCCATATCTTTGCACGTCTATGTATGAAACTCTATTTGCAGGTTATTGTGGTAAGACTTATTATGCTGCGTTTGGAGGGCATAAGAAAATATAGACATGTCTATAGCACAGCCACAGCGCCAGATAATTTTTCAAGATACATATTTTCATTCCATGACTTATTGGCGCAGTTCTTCTTTCAGATAGTCGAAAAATAGTCGATTCATTCAATCCACACAAGAGGTGAAATGACCGATTCATCCTTCCGGCTGGTGGAGTACTCATTTTGCAAATGACAGATTTCCATTCCCTTTTCGGCGATATGTCACGAAAAATGTTTCACATCTTACTCTAACATTCCGACTAACATCTTTTCGATGCCTGTTTGCATTTGCATGACAACAAAATAAAGAAATATACCTACCCTTCCCTCCCAATCGCATTTATCAATAACAGTAAAATAAAAAAGGCCCCAAAATTGCGCAAAAATTAGTCCAAAAATGTTCTTATAGTCCGTGAGTCCAATGGTCCAGTCCTATATTTCTTAATAGCGCGTTTGGCGACGCTTAATGGACCTCAAGATTCTTTCTTAAGTGGGTTGTTTGGGGAAGATAAGTTGATATACTCACAATTCTGTGATTCTGTGTAGGCAGAAAACAACAATCCATCTCAAATATAATCTAACTCGCGTATATGAAAATCAACGTTTATAATCAACGTTTAGCTAAAACAAAGAAAAACAAATAAACAAAAAAATAATTAAAAACATCTAAGGTACGTTTGAATAACAACCACGAAACGTTTACGTTAATTGACCTCTGGGTGTTTAGTTAATACAAAAGTGAAAGTCACCCAGACATTTAACAGTTGCAAACAAAGCAAAAAGTACTGCTCGTATCCGCAGGCAAGTGACTATTAGGTATTCACTTATCTATTTAAAAGATCATATTTTACATGCTGGGTAGCCCATGTTCTCTGATTTAATTATAGAAGCACTACGAGAACAATTGATGTAGATGAAAAGATTTGCTGAACAATAGTGTGTTTTTTTTAACCGCTGGATGTTTTGCCTACCTCACCACACAGAGAATTCCTTATTTAACAAACTTGTAGCATTCACAAATGGGCATGATAAGAAATATATCGTTTAGGGACCTTTCATTGCACTGCTTAACATAGAACCGACAAACCAAGATCATTTGCGGCGCTGACGCATAAATTTTGGGTGTCTGGCGTGATCATTTGTAAAAATAATTTTTTGATAATCTTTTCGAAACGACGTTGAAAAAAACGATTAAAAGATTCATGGTCACTTATAAAGCATAATTCTGGCTAACTCCATTCAGTTTGGACCAAAATGCCAGTTGAGAGTATCAGTTTCCGTGTTCAGCTGGTTGCCAATCGTTCGGTAAGTCTGGCAATTATTTGCCTATTTGATTTTATAAATGGAATCGATAGTTTCAAAATAAACATTATCTCATTAGAAAAGAGACTTTTTTCGCTTTGTTTTTGGTAGTCTTACAACTACGTACGATTGAGGAATGATTGGTTTGCTCATTTACTGCATTTCTATAACTTGGCGCATACCATAATCAACTGAAACGTAAGATGAAAATCTTTATCACAGGGACTCACCTGAATATTGAATTACGCAAAGAAATGTGATGTAATGTGAAACGATAACAAATTCCATTTCAGCTACTGCAATTCCCTGGATGGCTGAGATTTGTACTTTTATCACAAGTCTTCATCTGAAAATAATTTCATCTACCGTGACAAATCAAAGATTACGTGATGATAATTACCCACGATTCCCTCTGGACCGATCGACTTTTATCATCATTCAGTGTGAAGTATTTTATATCATTCTTATACGTCGAGCTCCCGCGAATTTTGTTACTCAGTGAGAACTATTCACCTGTGATTGCGTCAGCGACAACAGATAAAAAGATAAAAGGTATTTTGAAACAAATCATCCACTGATGATTACTTTAAGAAAAGCGCCCATATCAGCTCTAGTTCTTGGTGTTTCAATTGTTAAGAAAATTCAGATGTTCATGTTTACGACTCTAGCTTGGATATCTGGCTTTTAATCGAGAAATTGCGCTGCTTGAATTCTAGTCGACTATGATTATAATAATTATAATAAGAATGATAACAATCATGATGATAATGATGATGATGATGATGATGATGATGATGATGATGATGATGATAAAAAAAAAAAGGTGAAAAAGTCAAGCAGCATGACTAAGGATATCAAACCAAACGAGCACTTAAATCATCTCATAACCAATGTAACTGATATACTGTGTACTCATCAGGTGCTGTTGCTGACTTTCAGCTCATAACGTCCCACAAATTCGGAAACCTAGTAGTAGCGTTAATCTCTGGTTGATGTCCGTTTATACCGAGAGAGCGGTTATGTCCCAGAGAAAGACTTAGTCAAGACAGTGGGTGAGAAGGCAATCTTTTGAAAAATTCTTTGAAAATTCCTTAAGATACGGTCATTTGGGATTGATAAATTGTGACATTTAAAACAAACCTAATTCGTAAACTCTTGGTTGTCATTCCTCTTTGGCATATACTAGAACAGTAAATATCATTATCGAGGCGGAAGTGACGAGAATAGCTTCTACATATTTCGGAAGAGCGACAACGCAATGACGTATCACAATAATTTTAAAATGTTTGACTTCAAAAATATCCACCTTTCGCTCATAAAATTAGCTGACTCCGCCCTTCTTTAGTAGAGCCCTGTTTGATCGAGTGCTGCAAATCAAAACCAAAGTTTGTCACAACAGCCAATCAGGAGAATGGAAAATATCACAGTGAGTTTATGAGAAGTCAATCACAAGATATGTCAGCGGTCTTAAGGCGATTTCTCAGAAAAAGAATTATCGAGCTATTTCGTTAAACTTTCCTTAAATGTTCCCTACCAATGTCTTTTTTGAAAAATACAGTAAAAAAGATAGGTTACAATGCTCGTTTAGGAGATATGATAAGCCTATCTTACCTCATTTATGCCTGTACTGGAAATAATTACACGCGTCATTTCATCGGTTCATGGTATATTTTTTTAGTAGCTGGAAGCAAGGATTTGTAAAGTAACACTTAAATAAAACTTGATAGATAAAAAGTCTCGAGCGTATGGAAAAATTTGGTTTATAATTTGCGGAAAATCACGCGGGAATGTCTTGTGAACCTTAATGTAGGAATCACTTTCGTTACAAAAGTTCGAGCTGTTCTAACTTACACAGAACTATTTAAACACTGCCTGGATCCTAGTTCGCACTGATAGTCATATTAATAAACGATAGCATCATTTTGACATCGATGAAGACATCATATTGTCCTGCATTCGAACAGCCGTCTTCGGCAGAAGCTACGCCTGTTAATACAAATCGTCCATCGATCCCTGGACAAACTAGAAGCGCACCTCTCTCGACATTACAACCTCGCCTTTTCCCTCGGGTGAAGTTTGCACATTTTTCATACTCGGAGAGTTTTCCACTGTATGATGCATTACAGTCTTGAAATGGGGCTATTTCAACTTGAGCTTCGTTTAACACATCCGTGAAATTCCCGTCCTTGTTGGCAGAATGCCAACTGGTCACGTAACACGAAGAATTTACGCTAACGTTTGCATCGTCTTCCGGAAGACAGATAGGAAGAACTCGCTTGTGAAGGACAGCTTCTCGCTTCATTTTCAGCAGTGTGACATGATGTTTTGCACTGGTGTAAATTTCTTTGACTTTAATACTTTCTTCGTATCCCTCGATAACTGTCCGGTTATGTTCACCGAGCCGGACCATCCAGTTATCGGTATTGTGGCTTGTGTTCACACAAGTTGCCGAAGTCAGAATCCAGTGCCGGTCGATCAAAGAGCCGCTACACGCATGCTTATCTTTGAATAGCACCTCAACCTGCCACGGCCAGGAGTTGGGACGAGCCTCGTTATGGCTGAGAGCAGGAGAACTTTCCGAGGATAGGAAGCGGGTGCCACATTTTGGATGACCTAAACAGAATGAATAAAATAATCAAAATTCATCGGAGAATCGCCACCATCAAAATAACTGTCTGAAATAAAGAAGTTAACAGTCTTTTCAGTGCGTTTATTGAATTGGCCGTGCCCTTATGTCAGTGTTCTGTTCTTAAAATTTCGCGAGTTTTCTTTCAGATTTCAAATGTGAATTTTTTTTGAAAACAGGGTACATCTGTACAAAGGAAAGTTCAGCAAGTGTACGTGACAGTTCTAGGCAATAATGGGTAACAGCAAAACATTACTCACTAGGTCAACCTTAAGACCAAACTCAACCTGCCAGACACAGTAAGAGCTGGACAATAGCAGATCCAAAAGGCAACCAAAGCCGTTGAGATACTTATTCTCTTTTCACTTAGTATATACTTTTTCCATCAGTTAAAACTAAACCAAAGCTATACCAGTGGCTGATCAGGACAGGGAAAAATCACTGAAAGGCGAAAAAGACAACCAAACAAGGCCACGATTTGATTTGTTTTGCTACACAGTGATTTGTTGCCATCGGGTAACACGTATTCTTATCGACCAATCAAAGAGCGAAGCAAAAATGCACTATGCTGGGTTAATCTACACAACTCACCGTATAGGGTAGCCGTGTAGCCGTACCTATTTTCTTTTCACTCAGTGTATACTTTTCCATCAGTTAATTATCATTAACACTAAACCAAAGCTATGCCAATGGCTAATCAGAACAAAGAAAAATAACTGAAAGGCGAAAAAGACAACCAAACAAGGCTACGATTTGTTTTTGTTTTGCTACTCAGTGATTTGTTGCCATCGGGTAACACGTATTCTCATCGACCAATCACAGAGCGAGGCAAAAATGCACTATGTCGGCTTATTCTACACGACTTACCGTATAGGGTACCCTCAATGAATGGCAACATGTAGCGCACATCTAAATACACGCCATATTTATTAGGTCGGGCGCAGCCTTCACCCCAGCTTACAACGCCCGTCAGTACGAAACGGCCATCCTCATTTTGACAAGCCAGCGGTCCTCCGCTATCACCACCACACGAGTCTTTACCACCGCCTTGAAAACCAGCGCAAAGATAACGTTCGTGTATAGCACCATTGTAAGAAATATTGCTGTTACAGACTTCTTTAGATACGAGGTTCACCTCCACTTCTCGAAGAACATCTGAATACTCAGTTGCATTTTCTTCTTGCCTTCCCCATCCGGTGGCAAAACAGGATTTTCCTGTTGGAAAGGTAGTGTCCATATCAGGCAGACATATTGAATGTACTCGGCTGTGGAACACCGCTGGTCGCTTGAGCTTGACGAGGGCGATGTCGTAATCGCCGGGTCCGTAAGAAAGGTTTAATCCCGGATGTACCGTGACGTGTTCAATTTCGATCCTTTCCTCGTAGCCTTCGAATTTTGTCTCGTTATGTTCCCCAACCCTGACATGCCACCAGTCTACTTGTGGAAAAAAATAAAAGCAATGGCCTGAGGTCACAACCCACGAAGGATCAATCAGCGAGCCGCCACAATAGTGAGAAGTACCATTTACGAGAAGATCAACTTGCCACGGCCAGGTGTTGGGGCGCGCTTCTAGGCCTCCTACGATTCGGGAGGAAGAGGAAGGAACAGGACGAACACCACAAGAGGGATATCCTAGGAAATGGTGGAGTAACCAGACGGAGAAGATTAGAACGTACATGAAAACATGGGACCTTCTTTACATTTGTGTATGGAGGAATCAAATGCCAAGTCTTTGACCTAACCATGTGTAAAACGTTTAACATGCTTTTTTCGTCCTTCTCATCATCGTCATCAACAAAACCACAATTACAATTTCAAGAAGAGTATCCTGGAACTTATAGCGACCACATTCAAATTAGCCATCAAACCGACGTTTTCTTTTTTCTTAGAATATTTTACATTAATTGTTTTAACCAACACTATATGCACTTGTACTCTATCACACGACCCCTCAAGCATGTAATGCCTTCATTCTCATCGTGTTGAAATAAAGGATCTTACTTACTTACTTACCGTGTAGAGTACTTTCAATGAATGGCAACATATAGCGTACATCTAAATACACGCCATATTTATCAGCTCTAGCGCAACCTTCTCCCCACGAAACGATCCCGGTTAAAATAAAACTTCCATCGTCCTTTGGACAAGCCAGTGGCCCTCCACTGTCACCCACGCACGAGTCTTTACCACCAGCTTCAACACCTGCGCAAAAATAACGCTCGTGTATGATCCCATCATAAGAGATATTGCTGTTACAGACTTCTTTAGATACGAGGTTCACCTCTACTTCTCGAAGAACATCTGAATACTCAGCTGCATTCTCGTCCTGCTTTCCCCATCCCGTGGCAAAACAGGATTTACCAGTTGGTAAACTAATGTCCATGTCGGGAAGACAAATGGCATGTACCAGCTTATGGAAAACCGCCGGTCGCTTGAGTTTGACGATCGCAATATCGTAATCGCCAGGATGTTTTGCATCGCCAATAATGAATCCGGGATGGACTACTATGTTTTCAATATCAATCATTTCCTCGTATCCTTCGAATTTAGTTTCGTTGTGTTCGCCAACCCTGACCTGCCATTGGTCTGGTTTAGTGTACACATAGAAACAGTGAGCTGAGGTCACAACCCATAAAGGATCGATTAGAGAGCCTCCACAGTAGTGAGAAGTACCATTGACCAGAAAATCGACCTGCCACGGCCAGGAATTGGGGCGAGCTTCGTGTCCACCAACGATGCGAGACATTAAGGAAGGAAACGGCCGAATACCGCATTGTGGGTAACCTGGAACGAGAATTGCAAGAGTTGGATAAGTATGTGTATCATGTAAGAGGACCGTATTTCAATTTATTCCCACGATAATTCATAATACTTGGCCGTCAAGGACATGAAAAGATATCGAGTAGCGGGTGATGTCTTGTTGAGGAAACTGGAATAAACAGATACGATAAAATAGTGTTCCGAGTGAAGCGGCTAAGATTGGATATGTACTGTTCATATTCGTTGACAAGATCGGAAGAGTTATTAAACTCACATCCCACAGTTTTACAAAAATACACTTTTAGTTTTTCTGATGTCCACCAAGTGTTGTTATTAATGTAAACACTCGATTGCGGACACGTTGACACCTAAAAGGTATGATCCATCAACGATGAGACCCAATGGCTTTATAGGAAATTTTTGCACAGTTACATAATCAGTACTTTACTATTTCCATTATTTATGGAAAAAGTTTGTTTACGACAATTCCTTTCTGTCAGGAAAGCTGGGTGGCTTTTAGCAGCTAATTGTAGTTGTCATGGACATGTGTACCCAGAAAGCCGCAAAAAAAGCTGTAAAATAGGGAAGCGATCAACTTCGCACGTTTACAATCTCCGCAACAGTGAAGATCTAAACTTGCCAAAATGCCGGACAGCGGCTGCCCAGCGTAGTTTCTTTTATAGGGAAGCAAAAGTGTGGAATAATCTCAGCAACAAAACTAGAACTGCTCGATAACTACGATCATTTATAAAGCAGGAAAAGGCTGAATTAGGGAAGAAATAGGATACTGGTATCTCAAAATATAGCTTAGTTGTTATGATTGTTAATTTAGTAGTAGTAATTTTAAGTTATTTCTTTATCAAGTACAAGTAAGTTATTATTTTATATCATAAGTCTTTCATATTATATATACACATTGTAAATTAATTCTGAAAAGCCCCTTGGGGAGAATTAAATAAAGTATGTATGTATGTATGTATGTATGTATGTATGTATGTATGTATGTATGTATGTAAAGCCACCGGGTCTCATCGTTCATTGATAACGCCTTTTAGCCGTCGTTTTTACAATCGAGAGTGTATTTTATTACCATCTAATTTAGTGCATACCATATATAGTGCTTTCAATAAAGGGAAGAAATCTGCGGACATCAGCGTAAACCCCATATTTTTGCGGTCTCGCACATCCGACACCCCAAGTCACCACACCAGCCAGAACCCACTTTCCTGTCCCATCTTGACACACTAGGGGCCCTCCACTATCTCCTTGACAAGCGTCTTTTTCACCTTCAGGATATCCTGCGCACATGTAACGCTCCTTAATGTAGCCGTTATAAGAGTCCTCTTTGTTGCATTCCTCAAAAGAAACTAACGGCACTTCGTTCTCTCGAAGAATATCGGAAAAATTTCCATTTTCTTGGGTGTGACCCCAACCTGTCACGAAGCACATTCGACCAACCTCGTCGCTTATAGTCGAGTCTTCTTTGGGCAGACACACCGGACCGACTCGACTGTAGAACGTGACTGGTCTCTTCAGACGGTAAAGAGCGAAGTCGTAGTCTCCAGCGCTGACCATCGTCGGGCGGTCGTGTTTAAATCCCGGATGTATGTAGAACCTGTCTCCTTCGATAATCTCCTCGTAGCCCTCGAGAACCTTGCTGTTGTGCTCTCCAATACGTATTTCCTTTGGTGCCGATGAGTAAATTTCATCCACACAGTGAGCGGCTGTAATGATCCACTGAGGGTGAATGATGGAGCCCCCGCACCAGTGCTTAGTCCCATTCTCTAGTAATTCAACTTGCCACGGCCACGAGTTTGGCTTAGCGATGTTGCCGCCGACAACTCGCTTTTGGCGAGAATGATGAATTTCGTCTTGTCGGCGACTTCCACATTTTGGAAAATCTATGCAAAGAAAGAAGTTGTCACTGAGTTACAACAGAGAGAAAACCTGCAGAGATAGATAAAATCGTGTTTTTGTATGACGACGCACCGTCAAATTTTCAACGAAGCATTGATATACAAATACAAATAAATTTTCCCATAGGATTGATCTGGCAGGGTTTTTTTCTAATGCCTAATGTTTCCTTGAACCTGTACTGGTGACTACTGCCTTGCTAGAGCACTATTGCCACTAACTAAGTTATTTTAGTACCTGCTAGGAACTCTCATATCCGGTGATTAGCTCCTCCACTCCCAAGATCTCATTAGCAATTCTCCTTACTCTCTGTGATACATTCCTTATGATGAAAGTTCAGAGAATTTGATATTTACTTATGATCCCCCAATTGATATGATTCTATCTTCTCATCACTTGTCATCCTGATATTGTATTGTTGTTGTAAGGAAAATTTGCTTAAATCAAAGCAGAAGCAGAAATTATCGCCGAATTTTAACGTCTGCTTCTGAAAAAGACATTCTTCTCTTCAACTCAGTTATATTAAATCACTGCTCACCTCCCATGCAGCCATAAATTTCTGTTCGAAGAGCGATAGCATCATTCCATTCCGTGGGCTTAATGCGTAAAAAACGCGCCATTTTAAGCTCTTCTAGTCGGGTGGTTTTGACCTCATGTCTGCTTTCACTACCATCAAAGACCTGAATAGTATATGAACATTTTTTTTGTGAATAGTTACTGTATATTTAAGAGTTACCAATGTTATTTGTGTCATGACAAATGCTAGGGGTACTCTGCTTTTCTCGATTATACAGGGATACCAAAAGAAAAATTGGTATACGTCACTCCAAGAGATCAAACCAGGGCCCAGACCCAGTTGTCCAAAGCTCGGATAATACTATCCAACGGTTAAATCGACATCCGGCGGATAAGTGATCATGTTCACAAAGCGCACTGGGCTGTCCACAGGGCTTCTACAACCTTTGAACAACCGGGGCCAGATGTAACCCGATTTTTTGTCCCATTTCTGCTAAAACTAAGCAGATTGACATGGTAGGGCGATCAGTACCTATTCCAATCCCTAACAAAATCGCCCCTTTCTAATAACCAAAAAACAACTACAAAGACAAAAAACAACGAAAAATTGAGAACCACAGATAGACAGCCGTATTCAGTACTTCGCATAAAAAGTACCTCTGATATATTATCCCAGAGTTTGCCATCCTTGCTAAATGATAACGAATACTTTGATACCCAGAAGTCATTTGTAGGATGACCCTGGATAGCGACCGCTGACACGTTAGCTTCGTTTTCGAAATCAATCTGCAGAAATTGATTGGCGTTTTGAATAAGCGGCATCCACGCTCCGTTACCATGGAGACGTGCTTGTGCGGGATCATGGGCACTGTCGCGAATTGACGAGGCGGTTATGGCAGCTTCCTGAATCCAGAAAGTTTGCATGCCAAGCGAACTGTTACAGGTTGATCCTATGGTGGAAAAGAAAAGGTTGTTTCAGTCGCCTTAACAAGAAACAGGGAAATTCTAACTAAAACTAATGGCTTCCCGTCCCTTCCCTTCCCTTAATGGCTTCCCGCTCGAACTGAAAGAATATTATCTGCCAAAAAAGATAAATAGAATGAGAGAAGATAAATTTTGAACTCTTTCAGGAAACAAAGAAAGATGTTAATTATCTTGTCATGATGATCGTGTAACAAATTGAAATCTGAGAGCACCCCAAGAGGAAATCAACCCCAGAGCTTTTGATACTCTAAATCCGAATGTCTGAAGCTTTAATCCACACGAAGAGGATCCCAATGAGGTGATGACTATTACTGCTAACAGGTAACATTTTAGCCATTTTACGGCTACGGTTAACTAAAAAATGACGCAAAATGACACACTGTAGTGAGGAAACATTTCTACGGGTAACTTTCTTTACGGCTAACGGTTAAAATTTGGAGTTTTCTACGCCTAACGGCTGAATGCTCAAGCCGTTTTACAGCTGACTGTTAATCTCACCGGAACCCTTGTTCTTGTCACGCTCCCGAAGCAGCTTCTAAAATCTCCCTTTCATCGACATTCATGCGCATTTTTACCTTCCTTATTATTGTTTCTTCTCTATAACGTGTTCATTTCCTTGACAGCTTTATTTGCTTTAAACCATTATCACTACGCATTTGTCAAAATCAACAGATATTACAATTCGAAACCTAATCTCGTTTCCTCATCAGCGCAAACGGACATTACATCTAAAATTAGGTGTTCTTAAAGTTGTGTTTGTTTCTTTTGTGAATTGAAAGGAGGTGCACTTCGCAGCAGTTGGTCATTCGTAATTGCATGAGAAGTCTTTAGAAAGAAACTATTGGCGTGGTATAATACCGCTTGTTCGTATACGAAAGCTTGTGTGGCCTAAAACATAAAGATCTTATGGTAAGAGTTTACAGATGTCAACATCGAGGTATAAATCAGGTCAAGTGGCCGCATCCCTCCACCGGCTTTGCATTACCATGTAAATTAGTTTTATGTGAAAGAAAAGTTTACAATTCATGTGTAACATTGCTCGAATAATGCAAACAAACCCCGTAATAAGAAAATCAAGTAAGCGTAACAACGATTCCAAATACAGCAAATATGAAGAAACGATCCACGTGGATAAAGTGTTTTTTTTTAATATTATGAGCCTTTGGTTCCCTCTCTTCTGTACTGCCTTCGATGGATATTGTGATGTCACGGTGAAAAATCCCTAACAACAAGTTTCTTTAAAATTTCTATTTTCACACATTATCTTTATCCGTCGACGGTAAGAGACAAGATGAATATGAAACCTCATAAGTATTATTACTCAACAACCAGCTGAAGTAAACCACCACAGCACTTTGCTCCGTACTGTCTGCAAAAGGAGATATTTCGTAGGACAAGTTTCGAAAAGCAGAAGCTAATCAACCAATGAACGTATGCATGTAGTGATCTATTTTGGTGTCGAGTCTAGATCTCAAACAGCAAACAGTGATATTAATCTGGTTTGTAACTTATACTGATGGAGAATATTAAAGTCCAAATTAAACTTCTGCGAGGTAACGAAAGCATTGCTGCTTTTTTTGTCCCAAAAAGATTCCAAAGTTCTTTCCTATTAGCATTTGTCAAATTAACGTTGATAACCCTGATTTCAGCTTTAGTTGTCGACCGTCGACCTTTTGTTTCACAACAAGAGACAGTTATGGAAGCCGCATTAGAGAGCAAAAAGGCGAAGATTGAAGGAAAACATTCAACGTAAGAAATCTTACCCAATGTTTCTTCTGGGAACAAAATGCTGGCCTCTCCAAATGTTGCGGCATCTAATAAAGTATATGAGAGAATTAATGCATAAACTGACGAAGGGATCTCGCGTTAATTGTTGCATTTAATTTTGTTAACGCAAATTTCGCATGGCGTATCTTCGTCCGATTCAATTGCTGACGGCTCGTGATGTCGACTTTCATTATTTGCAGATCTTCCCGTGAAATTAAGAAACGCCTTTACACAAGGAGGCTAAAGATATTCCCTGATCGAGTAAATGAAAACAGGAGATATATACCCGTAGGCTAATCATTGCTGAGGGTTATTTGATGGTTCGAAATGAAGGCAGAAGATCCAGGCAGCTCTGATGTTTGAGTCCTAATTGATATGGGATATACGACCCCCAGAAACGTCTTAAGCTCTTTTTGAATCCAGTTGCCTCATTAAGCTTACATATACATGAAAGTTTTAGGAATTAATGCCACACTGAGTTAACACTGAATCACAAATCAATCGGTTAGAACTAGAACACCCATCGCGAACTTGAAAGAAGTTATTCAAGAATACTCACCGCTCAAAAACAAGCACAGGAGAGTAACAATCCACATCACTTATCCCAATTTGCGCTCAAATCTTTCACAGCTTTAAGTGTAAATATGTAAACATATGGCCACTGACTTCAGTGTGTCAACTTTGCCAAGATCAAAATTCACATGAAAGTGGAATAAAATTTAAACCAATGAACAGGAACGATGATGATTGAGAATTTGTTTATTCATATTAAAACGTGGTGACCTAGGTTACATTTGAAATTGAACTCCAGGTACTTGAACTCGACCAAGAATTTGTCAAGATAATGAAGATTATGCTAATGCCGTTGTATTAGTCTTCCGTTTTCAGTTGATTTTATGAATTATGAACATTGTTGAAATTTCAAAATTTACGCGGTGTTCCTAATTGTAATTGCATTGCAAGAAGACGGAAAAGCAATTTAATTTTGCGCCTAAAGAAAGCACTTCTTGTTTCTTTTCAGTTTTTGGATAGTTCGATTTTCGTCTAGTAACTGGAACAGTATCAAAGTGTTTTAGCGAGTCCATTCTAAGCTCTTAAAGAATTTGTTTAATTACCACGATTATGGGCGCCAGGTTCATAATTCTTTCAACTTGTCAAGTATGTGTCAAATTTTTGCGGTGGTGTGTGATGCTTACCATTCAAAAGGTAAACAGTCTCCCTTCATGTTGTTTTAATTTAAGGTTAATCAAGCAAACAAGTGATAAGAATGAAAAAAATATCAATTTGGGGATTATAAGTTGATCCACTATCAAATTCTCAAAACTAACATTGCGAGAAATGTATGGCAGACAGTAAGGAGAATTTTTAATGAGATCTTGAGAGTTAAAGGGTTAAGGGAGAGAATCGAAAGGTCAGTTTTGTTTTATCTGTCTGTTATAGCAAAAAATAAGTAGAAGTTCAGTACCGTAATCAACTCGCGGCAAACAAGACGATAAAGAATTCTAAAGAAGAAGAGGAGTTACAAAATTGAAAGAGAATGTATAACCTCAATTTCTCAAGAACAGCAATGCACACGTTGAACTTTGTTGTTTATTTCACCGTTGTACTTCAAGATTTGTTAGATTCCTTGCGTAATTTATCCTGCGCACAGAAGGGTATAGAGCATTGCGGAAGAAAATTATTATAAACAAAAAGAAATCCCTCGTCATGTGGCGAAGTCTCCGTGGCGCAATCGGTTTGCGCGTTCGTCTGTTAACTGGAAATTTGACAAAAAAGACTAAACGTCATGAACAGGCTACCGCTAAAAAGGAAATGCTAGAGGCGCAAGCAAAAGCAATGGTACTTGATGAGAAACTGAGAGAAGCACGGGAACGGCTTAAAGGATTACAAACTCTTCCGCCAAAGAGTGACGAGATCATGTCTGAGAGCACAGAGAGTGGCTCTGACCAGCTTTCTGAGGGAGATGAAACACACAAAATAGGGCAATGCAATTCTGTTGTGGATGGCTCTTCACAGGAGTTAGACTCAAAAAGTATAACTGCAGGTTTTAATCCATAAAAAAAGTCATAAGTCCCGTCTATTGTTGGGCCCCCCCCTTTGTCAAACAACTTGAGTTTACTAAGGGTATGTTGGCCTCTAGAGGAAGACCTTGGCTATAAGTTTGACACTAAGCGAAAGGGCTAACACAAGCGTTTGTGATCAGTTTCCCCGTCTGAGCTTCCTTTTTTAGGTAGTGTGAACGAAGGGTTCTAGCTTAGAAAAGATATCCTTCTGAGAAGATTAGCACGAAAACTCGCCAACCTTTTAAAGAGTAAGAACACCCATATCAACTCGTGGCCTGAAGAGGATTTCTTGGGTAATGGAGACCAAGCATCTAAACGGGGTCACTATGTAGAATATTAGTAACCCAAACGCTTTTAATTCGAGGTGCAATTGTCCAAAAAATTGTTTCAAGTAATCTAAGATGAGCTGCAATAATTCAATGGTTTCAGGACTTTTTGAGACTGTTGAAGGGTGTTAATTTGTCGCAGCTTTGCTCCAAAAAGATTGATTCACTTACAATTATTAGTTTAAGACATATCAAAAAACAAAAACCCAAGTGAATTTAGAATTCCTTCTCCGAGCCTATACTAAGTAACAAACGAGGCTAGGTAAGTGTTAAAATCCAAAATCTTCAGCACAGGAAATGTTTCCAGTTTGTTAATTTACAAGAAATTGAACGAGTACTGAACAAATAGTGGTCGCACCGAAACATCTTTGAGTGACTCACCAGTACTTCTCACGCCGAAAATTGAATAACTTGTTTTCTGGCCTTTTTAAGATTCATAAGACTTATATGTACTAGAGGGTTGTTCAATACCAGGGCTCGATACAAGTCGTCTAATGTATCACGAGTCGAACGATCCGTAAGAGTCGTCTAATGTGTCACGACTCGTACGATTCGTCGAACCATGAATATTCATTAAGGAAACCATGGAAACGAAACGAGTCGTAAGGCTCTACTGTCTATCCATGAATGTCATTAGGGAGACTACACGATTTAAAGGAGCGTGGGCGGAGTTGATATGCCAGGCTTCCAAACAAAGGCGCTGGTAGTAACGTCGATTAGTGGTGATAATTTTAGAATTGTCCCACCCAATTGCATGGTTAGTTAGGCATGTGTGCTCCGACAAACACTGTAACTCCTCGGTTACATTCGTTAAATCTTTAAACCAGAGTAGCATCAAACTATGTCTGATTGTCCACCTGGTTGCTTTGTGAACTCTGATGCTAGAATTACTTTCGTTACACAAGTTCGAGCTGTTCGAACTTACACAGAACTATTTAAACACTGTCTGGATACTGGATCATACTAATAGCGTCATTAATAAACGGAAGCATCATTTTGACATCGAGGAAGACACCATATTGTCCCGCATTCGAACATCCGTCTTCGGCAGAAGCTACGCCTGTTAATACAAATCGTCCATCGATCCCTGGACAAACTAGAGGCGCACCCCTCTCGACATTACAACCTTGTGCTTTCCCTCGGGTGAAGTTTGCACATACTTCATACTCGGAGAGTTTTCCATTGTATGATGCATTACAGTCTTGAAATGGGGCTATTTCAACTTGGGCTTCGTTTAACACATCCGTGAAATTCCCGTCCTTGTTGGCAAACTGCCAACTGGTCACATAACACGAAGAATTTACAATAACGTTTGCATCGTCTTCCGGAAGACAGATAGGAAGAACTCGCTTGTGAAGGACAGCTTTTCGCTTCAATTTCAGCAGTGTGACATGCTGTTTTGCACTTGTGTAAATTTCTTTGACTTTAATACTTTCTTCGTATCCCTCGATGACTGTTCGGTCATGTTCACCGAGCCGGACCATCCAGCTATCGGTACTATGGCTTGTGTTCACACAAGTTGCCGAAGTCAGTATCCAGTGCCGGTTGATCAGAGAGCCGCTACACGCATGCCTATCTTTGAATAGCAGCTCAACCTGCCACGGCCAGGAGTTGGGACGAGCCTCATTATGGCTGAGAGCAGGAGACCTTTCTGAGGATAGGTAGCGGGTGCCACATTTCGGATGACCTAAACAGAATGAATAAAATAATCAAAATTCATCGGAGAATCGCCATCATTAAAATAACCGTCTGAAGTAAAGAAGTTTACAGTCTCTTCAGTGCGGTTATTAAATTGGCTGTGCTCTTCTGTCAATATTCTCTTCTTAAAATTTCGCGAGTTTTCTTTCAAATTTTAAATATAAATTTTTGGAAAACAAGGCACACCTGTATAAAGAAAAGTTAAGCAAGTTTATGTGAGAATTCAGACAATGATGGGTAACAGCAAAACCTTAAGGCGGCGAAATATGAGATACAAAAACCCTCAGTTTGTCACGCAACATGAGCAAATTTGTTGCGTGACAAGTTGTGAGTTTGATGAAAAACGAGCAACAAACCCAAAATTTGTTGCTCAAAGTAGACCCGCGCTCTACTTTTCGCAACAAATTTCTTCAACCTGCAAAAAATGTTTTTGTTGCGCGACAAGTTGATCATGCATGGTGAAAAACGGTAAACATCGACCAAAACTTGCAACAAAATAATGTTGCGCGACAAGTTAAGGGTTTCTGTATCTCGTATTTCGCCGACTTTACTCGTTAGGTCAACCTTTAGAGCAAACCTAACGAAGCAGATCTAAAAGGCAACCAAAGCCGTTTAGATACTTCTTTTCTTTTCACTCAGGGTGCTTTTCCATCAGTTAATTGTCATTAACACTAAACCAAGAACAAAGGAAAATAGCTGAAAGGCGAAAAAGACAACCAAATAAGGCTACGATTTGTTTCTGTTTTGCTACTCAGTAATTTGTTTCCATCGGGTAACACGTATTCTCATCGACCAATCACAGAGCGAGGCAAAAATGCACTATGTCGGCTTATTCTACACGACTTACCGTATAGGGTACCCTCAATGAATGGCAACATGTAGCGCACATCTAAATACACGCCATATTTATTAGGTCGGGCGCAGCCTTCACCCCAGCTTACAACGCCCGTCAGTACGAAACGGCCATCCTCATTTTGACAAGCCAGCGGTCCTCCGCTATCACCACCACACGAGTCTTTGCCACCGCCTTGAAAACCAGCGCAAAGATAACGTTCGTGTATAGTACCATTGTAAGAAATATTGCTGTTACAGACTTCTTTAGATACGAGGTTCACCTCCACTTCTCGAAGAACATCTGAATACTCAGTTGCATTTTCTTCTTGATTTCCCCATCCAGTGGCAAAACAGGATTTGCCTGTTGGAAAGGTAGTGTCCATATCAGGCAGACATATTGAATGTACTCGGCTGTGGAACACCGCTGGTCGCTTGAGCTTGACGAGGGCGATGTCGTAATCTTCGAAATAAGGGTCCAGTCCCGGATGTATCGTGACGTATTCAATTTCGATCTTTTCCTCGTAGCCTTCGAATTTTGTCGCGTTATGTTCCCCAACCCTTACATGCCACCAGTCTACTTGTGGAATATAATAAAAACAATGGCCTGAGGTCACAACCCACGAAGGATCAATCAGCGAGCCGCCACAATAGTGAGAAGTACCATCAACAAAAAGAGCGACTTGCCATGGCCAGGTGTTAGGGTGAGCTTCTAGGCCTCCTACGATTCGGGAGGAAGGGGAAGGAACTGGACGAACACCACAAGATGGATATCCTAGAAAATGGTAGAGTAACCAGACAGAGAAGATTAGAACTTACATGAAAATCCTTTTAAGGAACCTTTACATTTGTGTATGGAGGGATCAAATGCCAAGTTCGAGGCTCTAAAATAAGATGTGTCTTTGACCAAACCTTGTGTAAAACGTTTAACATGATTTTTTTCATGCTTTTGTTAATCTTTCTCATCGTCACCAATTAAACCACTATCTTAATTTCAAGGAAAGTATCCTGAAATAATTCCCTGGAACTTATAACAACCAAATTCAAATAATTTATAACGCCAATGTTTTTTTTTTCAAGATTTTTTACTTACTTACTTACTTGCTTACCGTGCAGAGTGCTTTCAATGAATGGCAACATATAGCGTACATCTAAATACACGCCATATTTATCAGCGCTAGCGCAACCGTCTCCCCATGAAACGATCCCGGTTAAAGTAAAACTTCCATCGTCCTTTGGACAAGCCAGTGGCCCTCCACTGTCACCCCTGCACGAGTCTTTACCACCTGCTTCAACACCTGCGCAAAAATAACGTTCGTGTATGATCCCATCATAAGAGATGTTGCTGTTACAGACTTCTTTAGATACGAGGTTCACCTCTACTTCTCGAAGAACATCTGAATACTCAGCTGCATTCTCGTCCTGCTTTCCCCATCCGGTGGCAAAACAGGATTTACCAGTTGGTAAACCAGTGTCCATGTCGGGAAGACAAATGGCATGTACCAGCTTATGGAAAACCGCCGGTCGCTTGAGTTTGACGATCGCAATATCGTAATCGCCAGGATGTTTTGCATCGCCAATAATGAATCCGGGATGGACTATTATGTTTTCAATATCAATCATTTCCTCGTATCCTTCGAATTTAGTTTCGTTGTGTTCGCCAACCCTGACCTGCCATTGGTCTGGTTTAGTATACACATAGAAACAGTGAGCTGAGGTCACAACCCATAATGGATCAATTAGAGAGCCTCCACAGTAGTGAGAAGTACCATTGACCAGAAAATCGACCTGCCACGGCCAGGAGTTGGGGCGAGCTTCGCGTTCAACAACGATACGAGACATTAAGGAAGGAAATGGCCGAATACCGCATTGTGGGTAACCTGGAACGAGAATTGCAATAGTTTGGATGGATATGTGTATCACGTCAGAGAACTGTATTTAAATTTAATCCCACTATGATTCATAATACTTGGCCGTAAAGGATATGAAAAGCTATCGAGTAGCTGGTGATGTCTTGTTGAGGTAAGTGAAGTGTTTTAAGTATGTTCATTGGTAAGACGGGTAGAGTTATCAAATACGCATCTCACAGTTTTACAAAAATACTCTTTAAGCTTTTTTCTGATGTGCACTAGGTGTTGTTATAAATGTAAGCACTCGATTGCAGAAACGTTGACACCTGAAAGGTATGATCCATGAACGATGAAGCCCAAATTTTTGCACAGTTACATAATCAGTGATTTACTTTTTCCATTATTTATGGAAAATATTTCTTTAGGACAATTCTTTTCTGTCAGGAAAGCTGGGTGGCTTTTATCATTTACCACGTGCAGCTAATAGTCCATTTTACAGTTGTGTGCTTGGTTGCCAAGCCTTTGTACCGGAATGAGGCTTAGGGTGACCTTGTTAGGATACAACCTTGCTCCTTTTCAAATGCAAATTACTTTGTTATCATGTGAACTAGATACTGGTCTCTATCACAACAAGGTCACCTTCAGCCTCGCTCCAAATCAAAGGCTAGGCAACTAAGTACACAATTGTAAAATGGCCTATTGCGGTTGCCATGGACATGTGTACCCAGAAAGCCATTGGTTCTCATCGTTCATTGATAACGCTTTTTAGCCGTCGTTTTTACAATCGAGAGTATATTTTATTACCATCTTATTTAGTGCATACCATATATAGTGCTTTCAATAAAGGGAAGAAATCTGCGGACATCAGCGTAGACCCCATATTTTTGCGGTCTCGCACATCCGACACCCCAAGTCACCACACCAGCCAGCACCCACTTTCCTGCGCCATCTTGACACACTAGGGGCCCTCCACTATCTCCTTGACAAGCGTCTTTTCCACCTTCAGGATATCCTGCGCACATGTAACGCTCCTTAATGTTACCGTTATAAGAGTCCTCTTTGTTGCATTCCTCAAAAGAAACTAACGGCACTTCGTTCTCTCGAAGAATATCGGAAAAATTTCCATTTTCTTGGGTGTGACCCCAACCTGTCAAGACACACATTCGGCCAACCTCGTCGCTTATAGTCGAGTCTTCTTTGGGCAGACACACCGGACCGACTCGACTGTAGAACGTGACTGGTCTCTTCAGACGGTAAAGAGCAAAGTCGTAGTCTCCAGCGCTGACCGTCGTCGGGCGGTTGTGTTTAAATCCCGGATGTATGTAGAACCTGTCTCCTTCGATAACCTCTTCGTAGCCCTCGAGGACCTTGCTGTTGTGCTCTCCAACGCGTATTTCTTTTGGTGCCGATGAGTAAATTTCATCTACACAGTGAGCGGCTGTAATGATCCACTGAGGGTGAATGATGGAGCCCCCGCACCAGTGCTTAGTCCCATTCTCTAGTAATTCAACTTGCCACGGCCATGAGTTTGGCTTAGCGATGTCGCCGCCGACAACTCGCTTTTGGCGGGAATGATAAATTTCGTCTTGTCGGCGACTTCCACATTTTGGAAAATCTTTGCAAAGAAAAAGAAGTTTTTACTGAGTTACAATAGAGAGGAAACTTATCAGAGATAAAGAAAATCGTGTTTTTGTATGACGGCGTACCGTCAGATTACTAACAGAGCACTGATATACAAAAATAAAATATAAATACAAATCAATTTTCCCACAGGATTGATTTAGCAGGGTTTTTTTCAAATGCCTAATGTTTCCTTGAACTTGTACTGATGACTACTGCCTTGCTTGCCACCAACTGAGTTATTTTAGCACGAGCTGGGAACTCTCATATCCGGTGATTAGCTCTTCCACTCCTAAGATCTCATTAGCAATTCTCCTCACTATCTGACTTATGTAATTGATATTATTCTATCTTCTCATCACTTGTCTGTTTGATATTGTGTTGTTATTGTAAGGAGAATTTCTTCAAGTCAAAGCAGAAGCAATTAATCTCCGAATTTTAACAACTATTTCTGAAAAAGACATTCTTCTCTTCAACTCAGTTATATTAAATCACTGCTCACCTCGCATGCAGCCATAAATTTCTGTTCGAAGAGCAATAGCACAATTCCATTCCGTGGGCTTAATGCGTAAAAAACGCGCCATTTTAAGTTCTTTTAGTTGGGTGGTTTTGACTTCATGTCTGCTTCCACTGCCTTCAAAGATCTGAATAGTATATATACATCTTTTGTGAATAGTTACGGCACATTTCAGAGTTATCAATGTTATTTGTGTCATGATAAATGCTGGGCGTACTCTGCTTTTTCTCGATTATAAGGAGATACCACAAGAAAAATTGGTATACGTCACTCCAAGAGATCAAACCAGGGCCCAGCTCAGTTGTTCAAAGCTCGGATAATACTATCCAACGGATAAATCGACATCCAGCGGATATGTAATCATGTTCGCCAAGCACACCGGGCTGTCCACTAGGCTTCTACAACCTTTGAACAACCGGGGCCAGATGTAATCAAATTTTTTGTCCATGTCTGCTAAAATTACGCCGATTGACATGGTAGGACGATCAATCCCTGTTCCAATCCCTTACAAAACCACCCCTTTCCACATTAAAAAAAAAACAAAAACAAAAGCAAAGATAAAAAACAAAGAAAATTGAAAACCACTGATAGACAGCCGTATTCAGTACTTCGCATAAAAAGTACCTCTGATATATCATCCCAGAGTTTGCCATCCTTGCTAAATGATAAGGAATACTTTGATACCCAGAAGTCACTTGTAGGATGACCCTGGATAGCGACCGCTGACACGTTAGCTTCGTTTTCGAAGTCTATCTGCAAAAATTGATTGGCGTCTTGAATAAGCGGCATCCACGCTCCGTTACCATGGAGACGTGCTTGGGCGGGATCATGGGCATTGTCGCGGATTGACGAGGCGGTTATGGCAGCTTCCTGAATCCAGAAAGTTTGCATGCCAAGCGAACTGTTACAGGTTGATCCTATGGTAAAAAAGAAAAGTCGCCTTAGAAGAAAGCAGGGAAATTCTCTTCTACTGATGGCTTCCCTCTACTTCCCGCTCGAACTGAAAGAATGTTAAATAGTGAGAAGACAAATTTTGAACTCTTTCAGGAAACAAAGAAAGGTGTTAATCGTCATGTCATAATGATCGTGTAACAAAGTGAAATCTGAGATTACCCCAAGAAGAAACCAGCCCCAGACCTTTTGATACTTTAAAGGTGGATTTAGGTGGATTAAGTGTTTTTTTTTAACTATTATGAGCCACTGGTTCCCCCTCCACCTTTCTACTCATGACCTTTGCGATACCAGTGCAGCGCTCTACCAACTGAGCTAACAAGCCAACCGGGAGCTGGTCATTATGTTGGATCCAAATAAACCTTCCAAGTGGTGAATAATGGCCTTTAAATTAATTGAATTTAGGAACAGCGAGAGACCTCTTTAAAGGCTATGATGGAACGGAGAAGGACAGTCTTATGCAGACGGAGATTGTCCTCAGAGAAAAATTGGAAACGCTGAAACGCCTAGATGATATGATTCTAGATTTCCTACTCCCCCACCCCCGCCCCTCTCCTTGTTTTTGGCCGTCGATCGCCCCCCTTGGTACAAATTCATTTCTCTCCCCAGTCTTCCGCTGCCATTAAAATCAAAGATGGCGGTTACAATATTCGTTATGAAATTACTGAGCACTCGCTCGCCAAAATTAGGCCTGCTCTGCAGGCTAAAAATGGAGAAGAAATGATTGCTGCTTAAATTGAAGATTCAGATAAAGTCAAGGCAGAGATACGAGGAGCGGTACTCGCGATCGAAGAGAAGCTGAAATGAGACCCTGTTGCCGCACCACCGCCGACAAGCCAACCCCTGTTAATTCCACTACCGAAGAGTGAAAAGGCAAAGGCACCCTTACCAAAGCTGGAGGTCAAGAAGTTTAGTGGAAGAATTCACGAGTGGCAAGAGTTCTGGGACTGGTAACCAGAAGTGCTATTCACTGCAATGACTCACTATCGGACGTAGATAAGTTTTCTAATCTTCGTGGATGGATTGAAGGACGTGCCAAAGCTAGCATCGCCGGGTTTGCCCCGACCGAGGCAAACTACAACGCTGTTACAAAGAAGATTTGGAAAAAAGATCGCCATCGAAAGAGCCCACATCAGCGAACTCCTGAAAGTACAGCCCATGTGCGGCGACAGAGACCCTCGGATATTACAAACGTTTTACGACAAAGTAGAAACACATTACAGAGTGTTGGGTCTGGCGTGGAATTGTGAGAGCGACACAATCCATTTTAACTGCGCAAAGTGACCCATTGGGAATAATAAGTCCAATTACCGTGAGCATGAAAATACTCTTTCAGGAAGTTTGTAAGGGCAAAACCGATTGGGACGAGGAGTTGACAGGAGAAATCAAACGGAAATGGGTCAGGCGGGTTCAAGATTAGGCGGAAACGGAGGTAATTAAAATCAGTAAGTGCCTTTACGAAACGGGAGAAGAGTGCGTGATAGGGTGTGACTTGCATGGGCTTGGGGATGCGAGCAAGAAAGCGTATTGCGCCATGGTTTATCTTGAGTATAGTACTGAGGACGGGAAAACCCATGTCACATTAATTGCGAGCAAAACTAGGGTTACCGCTATAAAAAAGCTTTCAATTCCGCGCTTAGAGTTGATGGCGGCGAGGATACTTGCCCAACTCATGCACGCGATAAGGAATGCCCTACCACAGCTGGAAGTGGATGGCGTGAAGTATCGGCTGGAAGGCAAAACAGCGCTTACCTGAATACAGAACAAAGGAGAATGGAAACAATTCGTGCGCCACAGAGTGAATGAAATCTTGAAGTTAGGTAACAAAGAAGACTGGTCGTATTGTCCAACAGAAGAGAAGGTAATGTTAATAGATACGAAACAAACATCTGGCATCGCTGCTGTGGTTAGCGCAAACAATTACAGCACAATGCAAAGGCTCGTAACCGTAACTGCATGGGTGATTTGTTTTGTTGACAACTTAAGGGCACGTTCTGGACAAAGGACTAGGCGCACAGGTCAGTTAAAAGTGGCTGAATTGAAAAACGCAAGTCGGCCCAAGACGACCTAAAGAAACAAGAGAACTTTAAGCAACTGGTAAGTGAACTTGGCGTAAAAGAAGACAGGGAAGCCTCGAGATGTGAGAGAAGGTTAGTTAATTCAGATCTAGAGTTTGATGCCAGAGGACCGGAAATTTTACCCCGACAGCACAGGTTGACAAGGTTAATCATGGAAGAATGTCATCCGAGAGTACATCACAGTGGAGTAAGAGTCACATTGGCGGAGTTGAGATCAAAGTACTGGGTACCAAGAGGCAGGCAAGTAGTAAAGAAGATCCTGGGTGAATGCGTTGTTTGCAAAAAGCTGGTTGGTAAACCATACAACAACCCGCCGGCGGCTGTGCTTCCAGACTTGAAAGCAGAGAAGCACCACCTTTTTCAAGGATGGGAGTAGATTTTGCTAGGCCTTTTTACGTGAAGGGTAGATCGGGACGGATGGACAAGGCTTATGTCACCTTGTTTACATGTTGCGTGACCAGGGCAGCACATTTAGAACTAGTGGAAGACTTACCAGCTTGCGTATTTAGGCGTTGTTTGCGAAGGTTCATCGTTAGATATGGGGCGCCAGCGCTGATCGTATCAGACAATGCAAAGACCTTTTAGGCGACCGAGAAAACGTTGAATAGGCCATTCAACCACCCCGAGATTTAGAGCACGAGAGAATAGAGTGGAAATTTAACTAGAAGGGCACCCTGGTGGAGTGGGATTTTTGAAAGAATAGTAGCAAGTGTTAAAGATTGTTTGAGGAAAGCACTAGGTAACGCTAAGTTGTCCTTTGACGAATTCTCGACTCTGCTCACCGAAGTGGAATCTACGCTCAATTCAATTCAAAAAGTCTTAACGCCCCCTCACGCGGAAGGAGGATCAAAGCATTGCCGGATGAGATCGTAGAACCAGACGATGTGATAAGAGAAGAAAACTGCTCTTCCAGATTTAAGTATCTTAGCACCAGAATGCAGCATTTTTGGAACAGGTGGCGAAAGAAATACATAACAAATCTTAGAAAATTTCACCGGTATAGATCAGGAAGGAAGGGAAGAACAGTTGAAATAGGAGATGTAGTTGTAGTCTATGAATAAGAAAAGAAAAGAGGAGAATGGAAAATGGGTGAGTGGAAGGTCTAGTTACAGGTAGGGATAGTATCATTAGAGGAGCTAAATTAATAGTTATTACAAACTGGAACCCTGTGCACATTTCCAGGCCAGTTCACAAGCTCTATCCGTTAGAGGTTCGGAGTGAAGGGGAGGGACTACGGACAACTGGTGTTTGTAATCGAGGTATGGGAAAACCCACAAGGAATTTCCCTCGTAGAAATGCAGTATTGGATGCTCGGTGGAAATCACAACTAATGCTTGACTCGTAAACGAGTCAACGGGGGGAGTGTATCGTGATAATCCTGTAAGCGTTTCGCGTGACAGTTTATTTTCTAAATTTTTATTTGGTGATAGTTGGGTTACTTAAGATTAAGGTGTAGAATTGAGCGTAGCACGGTAATGACAGACTTGTAGTAAGAATGTTCGTGATATAGAAAATCAATAATGGTCTGAAATAATTTAGATAAGAAATTGCGTAAATCCCGTGATGTTGCGTGATGTGTCATTCGTGCCGCTAATTTTGCGTGCGTGCGGGTGTAAATTACAGAATTGTAAACAGCTGTTAAAATCAAGTTGACAGGAAATAGCTTGGGATTTTAACAAATCACGAATAAGAGATGTCAATCTTGGATTTACGTAATCTAGGCGTGTATTTCCGTTGTAATGGCAGATAAATGGAATCACTATCTTGTAACAGAAGATCGAGATCGTTTGAAAGTAGTAAGTTCGGAAATTGTATCGATCGTAAATAAACGCAAGAAATCGGAAAGATACAGTTCTATTGATTGTTGAACCAGCGCTCCGCAGAGATTTTCCCTATCGCAATGGAGAATTCTGCAACACCCATTCCATTTCCCCGTCCTCCTACTCCCCGTTCCTTGTTTTAAAGATAGCCGTTTTCACACATCAATTTTATCCTTCATCGATAAGAAACAAGATGATGACGAAACCTCAAAATAATTATTATTTAACAACCAGCTGAAGTTAACCACCTCAGCATCTTGCTCCGTACTGTCTGCAAAAGGAGATATTTCGTAGGTCAAGCTTCGAAAAGCAGAAGTTAATTAGCCAATAAACGTATGCATGTCGTAATCTATTTTGGTATTGAGTCGAAATCTCAAACAGCAAACAGTGATATTGATCTGCAGGTTTGTAACTTATACTTATGTAGAATATTAAATTCCAAAATTAAACTTCCGCGAGGTAATGTAAGCATAGTAGCTTTTTTCATCCGAAAAAGATTCCAAAGTTCTTTCTATTAGCATTTGTCAAATTAATATCGACAACCCTGATTTCAGTTTTAGCTGCCGGCCGTCGACCTTCGGTCTCATAGTCAGTGACAATTTTGGAAGCTGCAGTAGAGAGCAAAAAGGCGAAGATTGAAGGAAAACATTCGACGTAAGAAATCTTACCCAATGTTTCTTCTGGGAACAAAATGCTGGCCTCTCCAAATGTTGCGGCATCTAATAAGGTATATGAGAGAAATCATAAATAAACTGACGAAGGGATCTCGCTCGAATTGCTCCATTTAATTTTGTTAACGCAAATTTCGCGTGACGCATCTTCTTCCGAATCGATTGCTGACGGCTCGTGACTCGACCTTCATTATTTGCAAATCCTCCCGCGAAATTAAGAAACGCCTTTACACAAAGAGGCTAAAGATATTCCCCTGATCGAGTCAATGAAAACAGGAGACATATACTCGTAGGCTAATCATAGCTGAGGGTTATTTGATGGTTCGAAACGAAGGCAGAAGATCCAGGAACTGCTCTGTTGTTTGAGTCCTAATTGATATGGGATATACGACCCCTAGAAACGTCTTATTCAGTTACCTCATTAAGCTTGCATATACATGAAATGTTTAGGCATTAATGCCACACTAAGTTAACACTGAATAAAAAATCAATCAGCTAGGACCAGAAGACCCATCGCGAAGTTGGCAGAAGTTATTCAAGAACACCCACCGCTTGAAATCACGTACAGGAGAGTGACAATCCACATCACTTAATCCAGTTTGCGCTCAAATCTTGTGATCCTTCACAGCTTTAAGTGTAAATATGTAAACATAAGGCCACTAACTTCAGTGTGTCAACTTTGCCAAGATCAGAATTTAAATGGAAGTGGAACAAAATTTAAACTAATGAACAGGGACGATGATGACTGAAAATTTGTTTACTCAAATTAAAACATGGTGACCTGGGTTACAGTTGAAATTGAACTCCAGGTGCTTGAACTCAGCCAAGAATTTGTCAAGATAATGAAGATTATGCCAATGCCGTTTTATTAGTCTTCCGTTTTCAGTTGATTTTATGAATTATGAACGTTGCTGAAATTTCAAAAGTTACGCGGTGTTCTTAATTGTAATTGCCTTGCAAGAACAGGGAAAAACCCCATTTGTCACAAGCAGTTTGATTTTGCGCCTAAAAAAAACACTTCTTGTTTCTTTGAGAAAGGGCGGTTCGATTGTTGTCAAATAACTGAAACAGTAAAAAGGTGTTTTAAGCTCTAAAAGAATTTGTTTAATTACCAAGAGTATGGGCGCCAGGTTCATAATTCTTCCAACTTGTCGAGTATGTGTCAAATTTCTATTGTTCTCTGTTGCCTTAGCGTGTGATGCTTACCATTCAAAAGTTAAACAGTCTCTCCTCATGGCGTTACCACCAGCGCTTTTGTTTGGAGGCTTGGGATATAAACTCCGCCCACGCTCCTTTAAATCGTGACGATGGCGGTTTGCTTCCTGACGCCTATTTACACCTCGTCAGAAAAAAGGCCGCTAATTAGTGATCATATAAAAGACCTCTTGTTGCAGCGTTTAGATCACCCCTGCTGAAGGCACTAGACAGGAGTGTCGAAACGTTGGGTCTATGAATTGTAACTTCTTCGGTTACATTCATTAAATCTGCAAACCAGAGTAGAATCAAACTATGTCTGAGTCTGTCCTCGTGTTATTTTCAATGAAGGCTATCGAATTTCACCCTTTTACTCCCATTGGTGACCAAGACAGAATTTTTCCTTACAACATCAATACGATATCAAGTAGACAAGTGACAAAAATAAAGAAAAATATCAATTTGGGGATTATAAGTTGATCCAATTCCAAATTCTCAAAACTAACATCGCAAGAAATGTATGGCAGACAGTAAGGAGAATTATTAATAAGATCCTGGGAGTTAAAGTGTTAAGGGAGAGAATTGAAAGGTCAGTTATGTTTTATCTGTCTCTTATAGCAAAAAATAAGCAGAAGTTTATCAACTCGCTGCAAACAAGACGATTAAGAATTCCAAAGAAGAAGAGGAGTTACAAAATTGTAAGAGAATGTATGACCTCAATTTCTCAAGATCAGCGATGTGTATGTTAATCTTTGTTGTTATTTCACCGTTGCACTTTAAGATTTGTTAGATTACTTGCGTAATTCATACCTTGCGTAATCTAATACTTTATACAGAAGGGTTTAAAAGTGATATGGAAAAAAATTATTTTATACAAAAAGAAATCTGAGGAGGAATGTGAAAGTCTCCGTGGCGCAATCGGTTAGCGCGTTCGGCTGTTAACCGAAAGGTTGGTGGTTCAAGCCCACCCGGGGACGATAGTTTTCATTTTTATGTTTGTTTTTCATACTTCATTGTCTTTTTTATTTTATTTTGGCCAGAGTCAATAACAGTAGGATCGATTCAGAAGAAAATTTCTGTTGAATACGGAAAACGTCGCTTTCAATACACTTTTCCCTTCCTGCCTAAGTTGTTTGTTACCGCAGTCATTAAGTCAGCGGAATTATATTTGCGCGGGCAGTTGTGTGTAAATATCCGCGTAAATTCAAAATGGCGACTTCGTTGCATGCGTCGACCAAAGAAAATCACATTTTGAAAAAACTGTGAACCATTTCTTTTCGTTTCGCTATCCTATTTGAGACGTAAAGGTCCAAAAATTTTATTATCTTATGGATTTTGATGGTGTCCGATCCCCTCCAAAGCCTTCTTTCCATGTTCCAACCGCTCTATATACGAGTCCTTTGTTGGATCTCACTCCGGAGAAGAAAGCAATCGGACTTAAACAAAATAAAGAGAGGCATTTTCCATTGGTTTCCTCTGAAAACGATGCAGGTGAAGGGAAGGAGATTCATGCATGGTAGGTAAAGTTGATCAATAATTTCACCCCGTAAAACTTTCGTAAGCTGTTATCTTGCTTTCTTGACCCAATCAAAAATTTTTAAAAAATTGGAATAGTTTTAAAATTACATTTACCTTCACCTCTTTACACCCTATTATCAGTATGTTTATTCTCCATATTGTTCCATATACATTTCTTAAAGTGCTGGCAAGGAGAATTCGTTCTCATGACCTTAATGTTTGATTCAGGGGTGAGAATGTAAGGAGAAAATAGATGCTAGTCACTCCAAGGGGCTAAAGACTTTAAGTAATGTTCTTCTTCTGTTGTCTTGTGATCTTGCAGTCTTGCTCAGCCATCTATGAACTCCACGAAACGAGTCAACAAGAAACTACTGGCTCTAGAGGAAGAGCAGTTTAATCCAGCCGAGGCAATAGCTAAGAAACTTGAACAGTCTGAGATCACCAGGTCAAACCTTTGTGAAAAAGTGGCTCAAGCTGTCAATGTGAAGAAAGGAGATAACATTTACTCTGATTTGGTTTCACTAAATGTTGATGCTGAAGATGCATTTGCTGAGCATGCGCATGTCAGGGCACGAAGCAGTGCAAAAACGTACAAACCTCCCTTACAGGAGCCAGACATAATGGCTTTCTTTTCTGAGGAGTTTGAAACACAGTCAGCACATTTTGGTTATGATCTGTTCTACGTAGAGGAACCTTTGCCAGAACCATCAGCAGCTCCAATATCTCATGTGTTTGACTTATATAAACATGTAAAAAGCTGGCAGGAACAGTAACTTGAATAATATGCCTAGTAAAGAATACTATTTTACAGAATTATTATGGATACAAGAGTCAGATAAATTATGCAAAAAAAATTTGAGCATTATCCTTTTCAACCCTTTAACTTCCAGATCAAATTTGTTATTCTCCTTACTGTCAACCATACAATTCTTATAATGTTAGTGCTGAGAATTTAGTATTGGATCAACCAAATATCCCTGAATCGATATTGTTCTTTATTCTCATCACTTATCTGGTTGATATTGTATTGAATTTGTAAGGAGAAATTCTGTCTTGGTCACCCATGGGAGTTGGAGGGTCAAGCAAGCATCACCCTGAAATGATGAATTATTACAATATTTATTTTTAGATTTTTGTTATGCTCAATTTCATAGTTTTCAAGATAATAATAATAATAATATTTCCTATCACCTCCATTCCCCCATTTCTATCACCAACAAGAGAGTGGGGTGTCAACAGAAAGGTAGAGAGAATTTCCTAGGTGTTGCTAAAGTGAAAAAGGCCAGGATTTGGAACCTGGCCCAAGGGCCCCACACAAGTTTAGAATGCACAGGACCTTTTTCTTTAAAATTGCTTTCCATAATCTTTGTGAATATTCCACCAGAAAAGTGAAGAGTGTTTATACCCAGACAAATCTGGTCCATGATTCAGAAAGCTTAAAATAATGCACTTCAGGGGCCAGGTATTGTTGCAGTGCAAAATATGCTAATATTCGAATTAATTTGTTTTAATTTCCATTTTAAATATTCTAGGAAATGCAAAGTGTGTATGCTGGGTAACTGTTCAGTAGAAATGTGAATTGCATTTTGGCCCTAAATAAGCTGTTAAATAATACCCCCACCTCCCCCCTTCCCTTAGCACCGTCTAGAAGCTCTGGAATTTACTGAACCTGCCCTTAGCCTGCCTTTTTATCCACACACTGTTAGATTGGAGAATAAAGAGAGAGAGTCTGGGAGGAAACAGTTAAATCTATGGTTTAGGTTTGAATGTATTTGTAATATTGTGTTTAAGGACAAGAAACAAGGGTTATTAAATTGTTTGCTTTATTTTCTGACAGTAATAACATTATGGACATGAACGACTCTACCAAAAGGAGGAAAAAATTGTTGTTATCAAAAAGCCATGAAGTACAAATCCAGAGGGAGACATACTGATGCATGCACAACTAGCAGGACACAACTTACAAATATGTGGTTTAGTGTCATGTCACAGTGACACTTTACTTTTAGGAATTTGTAATTCAACTTGTTTTAGAAACAAAAGCAGCTACTGGAAGTTTTATGCAATTATTCACCCAAATGACTAAAGTGGTGCTGGAATTATGTGAAAGAGGAACTAGAAAATTGTGACTGAAATCACAACTATTGTTGCTTTAAGCAAGAAGTAATTTACAGTTATAAAATGAGTTGATGCAACTCACTAAGTGCTTTTATCAATTTCATCCACAAAATATGACCAGAGACATTGAGAGCAGTTTTCCACACTTCCAATTTGGCAATGTAAAACATGTGCTATCTTTTTTTCTCTGAAAGTTCAATTTCATCAGATTTGGGAGAGTCTCTCTCTATTAAGCTGGTGAGGTGAGATGAAAGCTTTTCAATCAACGATTTCTTCTTGAAGAGGGTTGCCTCTTCAATAATTTCTTGTACGAAGGAGCCCTGCACTTCAAGTGATCCTTTCAAGGTTAAAACATGATCAAAGATATCTTCATCACCTGTAGAGAATATCGAAAAATAGGTCACTACTTAGGATTAGTGAGGGCAAAAGTAGGCCATATGGCCACCACAACATTACAATCATCATTACTACCAAAAACAACATACATCTTTTCCTCATTTTAACACCTTGTTTGACTTGCCACCAACAGACTCATTTTTAAAAGACGCCTGATATTGAGGTATTGTTCTTATTCCCACTTGAATCGTATTATTATTTGAGCGATTCAATTCCAAAAATAACAGATTTTTCAAACCACACTTTTTTACTTAACTCCCAGCCATCACAAGATTCAGGGTTGTAGATAAGAGCCAGCAGCCAGCGAAGTATGCCGGCTTCTCTGCTCTGCAAGGTTTTGGTGGCTACTTTCATTGCTATGAGAGCCCGTACAGAGATGATGTTTATCAGGTCTAAACTTGGGCTCAATAAAAATATAAATTTGCACTGCCTATGTTTTCTGAAAACATAAAAAGACATCTGACTCAAGGTTAGTTTAAAAACATTCTGATGGGGACTGTCTTTTTGACAAATCTTGCTGTGATGGCAGGAAAGTACAAACGATAGGATGTTTTGTCCGCCATATTGGATTTTGAGACCCACAACTGTTTACCTTTAAAAAAGCTTTGGCTACTTAAAACCTTAAAGAAAACCCTGAGGTTTTATTCAAGTTAAGTTGCATAAGGTAACCTCAAGAGGATAAAGGTTGATTTTCTCTTGGTGATCTGAAATTATAAAATCTGTGCTGCACACAAAATTAACTGAGTTCAAATATAAAAAAATTAACTTTGAAATTTTTTCATTTCACTTTCTTTCCTTATCAATGCAATTCACATATTCAAATAATTTTTTAACAAACTCCCTCCACCTTTCCAAGACCTCACCTGTTATTTCATCTATTTCCACTGATTGATCTCACCATTAAGAAAATAAGATGGTGCATTATTGTACAGATCTTGAAGACAGGCTTAATCTTCCCCGGCACCAATTTGATTGGGCATTAACCCTCAATAATCCAGACAAGCAGGTAGACTGACAGATTGGAACAGACATAAAAACACACAAATAGACAGGCAACCTAAAAACTTACTTATCTCTGGTCGTCTGATTTCCTTAAATATACGGTTTCGTATTAGCCTGTTTTCTTCAGAGGCTTCACGAGCAAGTTGCTTTTTAAGCAGCCTTGGAGATGGGCCCTTAGGTCTTTCTTTCACAACTTCATCAGCAAGCACTTCTGCCACTTCTGAGTTTGTAAGTTTGTTTTTATCCAGCATGCCTTCATTAGAATTCATAACTGGCCGCCCTTGGCCTGAAAACGTTTTAGTTTGTGAAGTCACAGCTTCCTTTAAAATTGAGGAGACAAAATCATTCTTGGAAGAATTATTTGCATCAGTCTTTGATGAAGGTTGAAGTTTCTTATTAAACTTTCCTTTATTGTGTTGCTGTTGTAGTATTGCGAGTTGTGGTTTAATTGAACCTTTTGAAGACTTCAGGGACTTGTGTTCTCTGTCATTTCCTTCACTCAGCTTCCGTTTTATTCCATGTAATCCATGATGTCTCCCTGAAAAGGCATTGTTCGTTTTTCCATCCTGAGATATTAAGTTTTTGTCAGAAGGTACTTTGTTGTTCAGAGGGGGTATTAAAGAATTTCCTCCATTTTGAGTTGCTTTATTAGGCCACCTCACAGGAGGTGTTTCCTGTTGTCTCTTTCTGTCCCTTGGAGATCCAGGTCTGTTATCTATAGGAGGCCTTTTACGCGATGGAGGACCTGCCATTGCTTCATTAACATCTGCCTCATCAACCATAACTCGCTGGAAAACAACAACCAAAAAAAGACAATCAAAGTAAAAGGGGAAGATGAGAATACAATTTTATATGACAAACTGCATCATGCAAGCATTTTGATTGGTTATTGAGATCTAACTATTGGATGATAGACGCAAAGATCATGCCACCATTAACAAAATTTTTCTTTGTTATCATATAAAACAAACAGACCTAATGTTACTGTGGGTCTGTATAGTAATGGATCACAAAAAATGTCACAATGTGGAAAGGACATCAGTGACACACTTTGCTACAACTGATGTGCAGCTCTAATATTCTCACACATTCTGATGACATCTGGGATCAATTATTAAAAGATGCACAGCAACATGGAGTCTTTTGTTAAAGAACAAAAACAATCCCCTGGAATGTTAGATCTGATTTGGCAGTATGTATCATCAGTGGGTTGAAAAAAGTAAAAGATAAATAAAAACAATATCTTATGGCAGATGTTTACCAAAATATTTTTTCAAATATGTGGGGTTGAAAAATCCAGTTTTATCAAGTATCATTATTTGAAAAAGAGTTCTCTATGAAATGCTTAATGTTTCCAATTCATAACTACAAGTATGTTCAATACTTCTATTTTGCAGTTTAAACTAAAGAGCAAAGTTCTTAACGATACATATTATTTCAACAGATTACAAAAACACACTGCACTAAAAGCATTGACAAACCCATTCAAAAGCCAAAATCTTTTACTTAAAATGGTTACATCATTAAATAACCATTCCTTAAATTTAGGCTGTATGTTACTTTTACCTGATCTTTTGCCAGCTTAAAAGGGTTTCCAAACATGTGCACCCTGTTTTGTCCTGGATCAACTTCACGCAAAGGACTCATCTGCCTCAGTACTTCTTGATAATTTCCCATTTCTGCAATTGCAACACTGTGGCGGGCATCTGTTGGGATATGGTCAAAAGAGCATTTTTATCTAATTTTCACTTTAACTCTCTTAACTCTAACATCAGTATGTGTGTTCTCAATATTTTTCTCTATACATTTTCTGAGGTGCTGACAAGGAGAATTTGTTTATTGATCAAGACCTTTTTTAACTGGTGATCATTTCCTTGATTCTCGTGGCCTTAATGTGTGATTTGAGGGTGATTTTGTTGGAGAAATTAGATGCTAGTTACTCTTAGGGCTCAAAGAGTTAACAAGGTGGCTCATTTCTGATTGAGAAAATTCATGACTTTCACTTGGCCCTACTACATGTATCTGGGCACCACCACTACTATGGCTGCTAAGCTAATCAAAACTAGAAATGTATTTTACACTTATAATCTTTGTAATAGAGACTGACGACAAACCCTTGTCGAAGAGTAAAGAAGCTTTCTATTTATTTACAATACCTGTGCTACAATGGGGATTGAAGAGAGGATCTTTCAAGTGACAACACTTGAAGCAAACAGAATGAAAAGTTTTACGTCAATGAGTGATAAAGAGGTGATTACAAACCTTCATCTTGTAGTCTGGTTGATGTTGCCGCAGTGTGGAAAAAGTTTATTCTCATCCGTGATACTTGATCTAGAAGTTCTTGTCTTGAAATGTCAAATGGATTCTTGTAGCTCTGGGTTCTGACACTCTAAAAAACAACATAAAATATTCTATACAACAATCAAATCAAGAAATGCTCCTATATTAATAAGAAATTCTAATTTTCTTAGTTTTTCAATGTTTCAAATTGATACAAACCTGTTTAACATTATGCAGTGAGGCATTGGGGATACTGATATCAGTCTCACTAAAATAGGAAAATACAAGAAAATAAAAGAAGATAATTGTTTCAGTCTCTCCCAGATTGAAACAGATAAGATGCTGATACAGATTTTTTAATCCAATTTTCCAGACTAACACATCAGTAACCATTCACCTCTCACCTTGCTACTCTATTGTAGTTTTGGTTACCATAAAAACATTAACCCCTCACACCTTAACATTGGTTTCAAGGTTCTCCAGACTGTTCTCAAAACATTTCCTACAGTTATGTGCATGTACTTCTCAGGCCAATTTGTCAAACAGTCAAGAGCTTCTTGCATTTACAATCATTTGCTTTACTCTCATGACCTTAGTGTTTGAAAGTGTTTGGGGGTGATACCATTCTAAGAAATTAGAAGCTGATCACTCTTAGGAGTCTAAGAGTAGTCTTACCTTGATATTCTGTGATCTTCAGAGCTAGTAGAAAAATTCCTGTTGTGTAACAATGCATGAAAGTCTTGTTTCTTGGCTTTGGGTAGCTGGGGTGTCCGTACACTGCAAGATATAAACATGTAAATTATTACGTGCACAGGTGTGTTAAGATATATGCATAAGGAAGTTTGTTTCCACCAAATTTTTTTTTTTCATTTAAGAAAAAAAAAAAAAAAAAAAAAAAAAAAAAAACACTAATGACATATTTAGGCCACTAAACTCTAAATACCTGTTTCTACTGATAAAGAAACACTATTGGTTTAAGCAGAAATTCAAAATACCCAAAAGCTAAATAAAGTTGTCTTCGACATACAAGTTGGCCCTTGACCAGTAAAACAAAACAAATTTACAAGTGTTTGATGCTTCTGATATGTTATCAATATTAATAACCAACCTTAAAAGTGGTCTTGGAACAGTTTCCCTTGCAGGGTTTTTGCCAACTAAAGAAATCAGTCTCTCTGTCTCCATTTTACTCTGTAAACAACATTACAACTATGTTATTACCCAAGTTCAAACAATGTGCAAATGACAACACCACTTTCCACACAAATCATATTAAAATGACAGTCCTTCAAAACTTTGAAATCCACTATTCACAAAAGCTTTGAGATTAAGGCTTGAGTAGATTTTTGAAATGTTCAAGACATGTTTTAAGGAGCTTTGTCTTAATATTGAAAGAAAGCTAATGTGCTGCACAAAACTTTTTTCTATTTGAAAGAAATAATAATAATAATAGTAATAATAATAATAATAATAATAATAATAATAATAATAATAATAATAATAATAATAATAATAATAATAATAATAATGATAATAATGATCAGCAAACCTAAGGATGGGAAAGATGAAAAATAACCAGAGAGGATGGAATTGAAAAAGACCCACGATACAGATGTACCATTTTTTAAGAAACCAGCTGCTTAGCAGATGATTAACATCTGTTTATACTGTACATTAATATGTTATATTTGTATCTATAAGGTAGTCTATCTACTTTTTATATTCTACACATAATGCATCATCTCATAATTTTCTGCACAGACTTATACTATAAAAAACACAGGTGATCAGGAGGGTTTTTGTATATTCAATTGTATAATTTAATAAGGGCCACCTTTCCTGTTCTGAGCTACCATCTTATTCATGTTGAAGTTTTCTCAGCCCTTGAGTGAAAAAACTACATGTGACATGCAATCTTCCTTTGCTAAAAAGAGGTTTTAAAAGAGCAATAATAAGCATTTTCATCATTGCAGACAACAGGAAGCCAGTTCAAAGATATTAAAAATGAAGATTGCACAAACCTCACATGAATGCACTGACTTCTGGATTTTCTATTGCATGGTAGTATAGAAGTTTGGAAGCTACATTTTGATGTTAAAATCAAGTTGTTATCATGAGCAATTGGCTCCAATTTCAGGGACCTCATATTGTTTGACCTCTTTTGGAAGGGCTTTCACATTTGACGCTTGGCAACGCATGGCTCATGCAATTCAAGTACCTTTAGAAATGACGAAGGTTGCTGGTGAAAATGCCATTACAGTTTTAAGGTCAAAAATCAGTCACCTAACTTTCACTGTGCCTCAATCAAATGACAATCAGTGATACAGACAATGCTGTTTATTGGTTTTATTTTCTTGGTATAAACACTACAACATCCTAAGGTATTCCATGGTTCCCAAAACCTGAGTGTATAAATAAAAAAATTCTCTTTCCCTTGAAGTTCCAGGAAACCTAATACCCCCCCTGCCCCCTCTCAACCTGTTCCTCACCTGTTGTTTGACTTTCTTGAGATAATTCACAACTGTGTAACTTAGGAAAGAGTCCAAGTGATCTGGAACAAATGAGGGTGGGATTCCCATGCGACGAAATGCATTGCGAAGAGGCTGTAAAAAAAAATTAAAGTCCACTTAATTTAAAAGATAAGCTGAATTAATCACTTACATAGATTGATTACTACTTAAGATCGAAGAAAAGACACGTGCAACATGAACAACATAATTATAGAACAATTATAGTGTGGGTCTGTTCAGTAATAGATCACAGAAGACATCCAAATGTGGTAAGAACACTAGTGACAAACTCAGCTGCACCTTCTGAGCCTGTTTTTTGTTCTTAACACATTTTGATGTCATCTGTGATCTATTACTTATCAGACAAATGGTAACATTGGTTAATGACTTGTGACGGTGATGTCAGTTTTGCAAAATTTACCCAGTAATCTATTACAATATCATACAATTTTGCACATTGCATGAACAAAAAGAAAGAAAAAATACAATTATCATTGATACATTAATACATGACGATGAAAAGATGAGCTAGAATTTCAGTAACATATAGCAGTAAGCCATCAGTCATAAAAATCTTTACATGTGAACTATCAGGTTGCTATACAATTTAAAATAACAGTTGTTCCTGTCACTCACCCCAGCATAGTAATTAGGCATTGTAGAAAGGTAGTTTTCAAACTTTTCCTTCCACTTTGGAGTTGGTTTCATCTTGAGAACTTTCACAAGTTCATCTGAAAGATGTACACATACTCTTGTTTTAACAAGCCTGACACAAATATGGGGAAAAAAAAACATCCTCAACCCCTATTTTTTTAAGATAACAAGACAACTTTGCAATTTAACATCTGGGTTGGTTTTGACTTTCTATTATCCTTTTGATAATAAATATGGAATCATGATTTTACCATTCTGGCACAATTATAGACTGATGTTTTTACATTAATTTTGGGTTATCATGGTAAATTTGAGCCAAGGGAAATAAAAAGTTTGAGTTAAGGAGAGTTTGAGTAAACCAAATCTGGGTTTGCTGATAGGAAATGATTGGAAAAATGGGATCAAATTCAAGGGAACTTAGATGTTGTTTGAGTTAGAGGGGAGTTCAAGCGAACTAGGTTTGAGTTAGTAGAGGTCAACTATAATCAATTAAAAAAAATGATCGTACATTTTATAAATTGAAGAAAGAAAAGAATCGTGCATTGAGGTAGAATCTCTCATGTGCACAATAATCTATCTATCATGCTTGTGCACAAAAATCAAGAAAAATAACAATGAGTTACAGGTCACAGGAATACCAACCAACCTCAAAAGGTGCACAGGATGTACAATAATAGGCCAACAAGACCATCATATGAAGACAGAAGCTGTGAGAGTCAGCCTCCTACAGAGGTGGCAGCCAGCTGGTAAAACTTACTCTTTTACAAGAAGTTAAAACTAGTCACAAACAAATCCTGATTGTGTTTACTACCCACTCTTCTGTCCAATTTTTGTGACCTTTTTTAATTATAAACATTTATTTGAGACAACAGACAAGAATAGGCCACACTCCAGAAAAGTTTTTTCCACTTCAAAAGTACACAATGTTTCTTAATATTTCATTTTCTAGACAAAACACAAAAGCTGAGTACCGACACTTTCCTCAGTTCATTCATTATGGACCCAACAATTTTCCCTTCTCAATTACCACAAAATAATGGTATTATTACTATCAGTACAAAAGCACAATTTAAAGAAAGCAACAAAACTTTTGAGTCTGTACATATCTTTTTAATTCTCTCACTTTCATGCTTTACCTTTTTTCTTGTTGTCACTATTCATCATAATTGGCATTGTTCTACTTACTATAATTCAACTTCCAATGCTTTGTACAGTAATTAACTGAAGATGAGAGAAGTTTTTGTTGAAACATGTTTTACAGACTCAAAAGTTTTGTTGCTTTCTTTAAATTCTTGACTTGCCTGCTAATATCAAGACCCTTTAAAAGCACAATTAATGTGAAGAATGCAAATGTTTCCATACAGTATCAGTAAGGATTCCAGGTTCATAGCAATTTCAAACTCAACAAATTGCACTCAATTTTCTTACCTATTACAGGAAACAGCACTGGAAAATTGTATGGCATAACAAACAGATTCACTGTTTGAAGATTACTGCTTGCCTTTAGATATCCAAAGGGATGTCCCACTTCACCTGATTTCTTATAACTGTTATGAATGAAAGTCTAAAAGCAACAAAAAAAAAATTTTCATTAACAAAAATATAGCTAAACCATCCGGTAATTAAACTACAGTCAACATGCTTAATCATGTTCCCCTCATATTTCTATGCTACAAGCATTTGCAAATAATATCTTAATTTGAAACTGCATTTTCACCTATGTAAAACCATTTATTCTGGCTTCCTCAAGTGCCCTTGATTTTTACCTACTAAGTATCAACAGAGTTTAAAATCATATCAAAACATTTTCCCAGATAAGAATGCAATCCAGGCCAAATCACAGAGTCTTATATCAGTATGAATGCCTTTTTACTGTGACTAGAATCGCAATATTATGTAGCTATTGTTGTCATCAGTATATCATTGGATTATTGGGCAGGAATAAAAACTTTAAGTGTTTGTAAAACTCAAAGCCAGGGCGCAAAGGAAATTGATTTTTCAGTTTGCCCTTTGGGCAAGTTGGAACCATTTTCCTCTAGCCCTAAGGTTCTTTGTACTGACCATTCTCATCTTAAAACAGAAAAGTGAAAATCTGTTACTTGCCCCTTCAGCAAGTGATGAATCAAATCCACTTGCCTGAAGGGAATCAACTAGCCATGGCTATCAACCAGGACTTTCTCTGCATGCAGAAAAAATTCTAGATATGCAAGTGGCTATCATTAATTGACCCTTCCACTCACTGGAGTGATTGAAAGGATTTCTCCTGATATCCTCATAAGATACTTTCAACAGAACAGGATTAGAAGGGAAAAATATCAACCCAAGGGTATAGTGCAATTCCAAAATTTTAAGTACTAAATTATACAAGATGTAACATAAACTTCACAAAGAATTAATATTTTGATTTTGGGCTATTATATTAACTGTGGATTAAACCTTTTGCTCCTGAGATCACCTTAGTAATTCTCCTTACAATCTGTTATATAATTCTCATGATATTAGTTTGAATCAGCTACCATTCCTCCAATTCATATTTTTCTTTATTCTCATCACTTATCTGCTTGATATTGTATTGATATTATGAGGACAAATTTTGTCTTGATCATTTATGGGAGTTTAAGGGTTAACTCAATCTTGACATACCATCCAACAGGTTGATGGTGATTTCCTCTCTAAAATGTATTGAGTGAGTGGTGATGGCTCCAACTCATATTTGTCAAATGGCAAGTTATCAAGAACCATAGGTTCAGAATTATTGCAAGAAAACAACACATTGGGGTGGGCATCTCTTGAAGGCTGAAAACACAGATAAGATAAGAACTTGGATGATTGAACCAATTCAAGGTTGTCAGCAAAACAAAACACACTAATTAAAAGAAGATTTCAATGAGATGCAGCAATAAGGATTTGTGATATCATTTCAGAAAATTAGTAACATTGACAAAAAATCATCCTTTAATAAATTCCCCATCTGGTGAAGCTGTGATTGGACAGGTGTTTTCATCTGAAACACCCCCACAAAAACTAGAAAACAAATGCTTCCCCATAAAGCCACTAAGAAGGGTGAATTTCTCATCCACATAAATGATGGTATCACATGTACTGAAAAGTTTGGACTACTTCCAACTGGTGAAGAACAAAAATGTATAACCCTCTGATTACACATAAATGTAGCTCATTTAAAGGCCAAAATAAGTTCACAAAGTATTCCTCTTTTCATTGATTGAAGAACATTAAGCAAAATCTTTGAAACAACATTTTCACTTTCACTTATAATAATTGTTAAAACCTCCCATTGACATTTGCCAAAAGCAATTTAAGTCTCTGCTGAACACATTCCTGTTTTTCTACTGATCAGCCAAAATGCAGAAAAAATATTCTGTCTTACACAAAAAGGTGTAAGCTTAAAGCTTAAAATGAAAGTACAAAAATGAGAAATTCGTACGGTCTTAGAAATTCCAAGGGAGGTGAGTGTCAATTGAGTACTGTTCTGTAAAAGTATTCTCACCAGTGTTTGCATAGATGGGTCAGGCCAGAAAGATTCTGGTACTGGCCAGTGCCCAGACGGAGGAGAGGATTTGATATAGATCATCCTGCGACAACTCATCCATGCAGTTGACTGCACACTTGGTGGAACAGGGGAGCTTGTGATTGATCTTGGCATCCCCATGGCACCAGGAGAGTCCTCAGGCAAAGAATTGTTCATAGATGGGGGGGAAAGATGGTTACTTCCAACCTGCTGACTTCTGTTGGTGGAAAGAAAGGTTATTAAAAATTTTATGAAGACTAAATATCCACCTGAGTCTCAAAAATGAACTGTGAAATTTAAATGATAAAAAAAACAGGGATTAAAGAACTTTTAATTCGCTAATTGCACTTCACCAAAAAGGTACAAAAGGAGGCTAAATTGGCAACTCCAAAAATGGGAAAATATTCTACAAGAAATCTTAACATTTGTATTCAACAGACTCCATCTTAAGAAATTGAAGAGAAATAAATGAAGAGACTGGTCTTCCTTCAGAAGTTATAAATCAATACAACTTGAAAAAGAAACCTTTAAAACAACCAACCTCCTTGATGTTGATGCAACATTCTAACAACTGTGTGTGCAAAGAGAAGATGACTATTTTCTATATATTCTTATGAAAGTTGGTGATCATGCACACAATAGCATACAACCCTCTCCATGAAAAACTTGCCTGGCTGTTGACCCATCAATTTTTCCAGTTACATGGTTTTCCTCATTACCATGGGAGTTCTTCTCTTTTGCGTCCTCCTTGGAAAGGTCCACATTATTCATCACATGATTATGTAGGGGTGGAGTTGGAGAATCTGTCTCCCGTGCATCAGCCATGTTGCTCTTTGAAACTAAAAGTTAGATAACCAAATAAAAAAAGATACAGAAAACAGAAATAAAATGAAGAGTGCAGCTTACAACAGCAAGATAAAGGACAGGAAGAGAGGAAGCAAAAATAGCAAGAAAAGAAATAAAGCAGGAAGCAAGAGGAAGGATGTTAGAGTGGTTTGGAGCCTGCATTTTAGCTGAAAGAACACTCCTCGGAATCTCCCTCTGATCTAAAGCTAAGGTTTCTCCCCACATCCATGGTAAAACTCTTTGGTAGTGCTAAAAATTTTTACCTACTTGGCCTCTAGCTTTCTATTTCTTGAATAAACCACAACATAAACAGGGTAACCAGTAGTTGTCTCACAGCAACTAATTCAATTATTTCTTTTGCAGCAGTTATGCAAATTTTTGTTGAGCCATATAACAGACAAAACAAAGGCCATGTGAAATATATTTCCCCAGAAAAAGAAAAGAAGGATACATACAGTGCATATGTTGTGGTCTCACAGATGTTTTTTTCCCACTAGTTAAATTTTTAATTTTTTCCTCAAATTACTATGATGATAATGCAAGAATACACATACTGGTATTCATTTCACATTTGCTTAACACAGATAAAACTAAGGATAAACTTCAATCAATACATATACATAAAGTGAAATTTCTGAGGTTTTATTTCTTAAGAGATATGTATTTGATCCAGTTTTTGATATTTCATGAATTGGAAGACTCTTGTTCTACTGTACCTTCTGGGGGCGGAGGAGGAAGATTACTGGCTCCTCCAATCTTCTCAAAGTTCATCACCACACCACACTGCACTTTCTGTGCAAGAGATTCCAATGCTTGTCCTAAGGACTTTGATGAGGTAACCTTGTAACATCGCCCTGATAAAAACACATCAGACATCAGATAAAATAAAAGAGAAATAAATAAAAAAAGCAAATGCAAATGTAGTCAAATTAAATACTGGCCATACAGTTTGGAAATTAAAGAGCATTGTAAAGTTAAAACATCATCCAAAAACTCAGTTGACTAATAACTGTACCTCCTGTAACATCACACATAGCAGCAATGGCAGGTTCAATATTTTGCATTCCCATCTTTCCCAACATTGAACTTCTTGTTCCAGCCATGCGAAGTATGATTGAGAACAACCGCTGATCCCAACGAAATGGCTCTGCAGTTAACTCATGTCCTGGTAAAGTTGTGTGCATAGGCAAATGAAGCTGCAAAAAAAGAAAAATCAATAAATATATGAATGCAGCAGAACTTGATACCTAGAACTTGGCTTACTCAAACTACCCACTACCTTGCACAAAGTGCAATTTCCCTTGGATTTGACCTTGTATTTTTGAATCATTTACTATCAGCTAACACAAACTTGGTTAATTCAGAATCCCTGTTAACTCAAGCTAATTTTCCTTCCCCTAGGCTCATATGTACACTGTTAACCCTTCAACTCCCAATATTTCATGAGTAATTCTCCTTAATGTCTGCTATGCAATTTATGTGATGCTAGTTTGGAGAATTTGGAATTGAATCAACAAATAATCCCCTAATTGATATTTTTCTTAATTCTCATTACTTGTCTGCTTGATATTGTACTGATAATGTAAGGAGAAATTCTGTCTTGGTCACTAATGGGACTTAACGGGTTAACTTGAAATTTGACCAAAAGCTTTGGTTGATAAATGTATCAGAACTCAATTAATATGAAAGTGATAATGTAGTACATTTAACTTAACTTCCCAAAATAAACAATCTTACAAAAACACTTTCACAAAAAAAACTCAAGGTGTGAAAAGGCCTGCTGATTGCGCAAAAAACAATATTGTTTATCAATTATTAAAGGGAAATTTAAAATTCAACACAATCCCGATAACTCAAACTCCCATCAACTTGAGCCATTTTTCATTTCTATTCACAGCTCAAGTTAGCAGGGTTCTACTGTTACATTATAAATCAATCAGTTTACAAATTGGTCAGTATGCCAATCAATCAGCTAGTTGATGACATCAATATGCCAATTAAACAGTGACTCAGCTATACAGCAAGCCAGTAAACCAGGAACTTGATCAATTATCCACTTCAATACAACCACCTTTGCTTGAAATTGACCCCAGAATTACAATTTCATTACCTCTTCCTGAACACCACTTTGAGAAGAAAGTTTACCTCCATCTGTAATACAAACAACCATAGCTGGCTCTACAAAAAATGGATTTCGACCCTGAAAGAGAAAAGTTTATTCAGTGTATCAGAAGGTTGTAGTCTATTTCAAAAACCTTTTTTACCAAATTTTAGTTCATCTTACCATTCCATAGTTATCAATCCCTGAATGGAGACGGTACAAGTTCAAAAGATCAAATGCTTCTTTCAAGGCAGTTCCTAGAGTTGACAGACCATTTGCTTGAAGATTCCTCAATTCATTCATAAATGTGACTTGGTTTTCTCGCCAACCAGCCTGGGAGAAGGAAATCAAAGTTGAAATCCACAAAGGTTCTTATCACTCTAACACAAGTTTGTATAATCTTGATATTATTTTCTATACATTTCCTAGGGTACCGACTATGAGAAATAATTTTAATAATCAAGAGCTTCTTTACTTGGTGATTATTTCCTTTATTCTAGTGACCTGAATTTGAGATTCAGGGGTGATATTCTGGGGAGAAATTATATCCTTGTCACTCTTAGAGGATTAAGGGTCAATTATTCATACATAAAATCGTCAATGCATTTCAACAAAAACTAGTATGTTGTGCAGGTTGCTAACCTCAAAGATTATAGACATAACAATAACAGTAACCATGCTAAAATATATTTCAATATTGATTCATTGGTACTCTGTATTACATTTTGGCAAAGCATAAAAGAACAAAAAATCTCATTTTGGAATGCAAAAACTCCACACAACGTGGGTAAAATATTCCTGGATTAGCCAAAAAGAAGGACAATTTTATCCCCTCCCCTCCCCTGAAAGAAGTTGTGTTACAAAATAACAATGATTATGACGAATCCTTCATAATCTATAAGAAAAATTTTATTTCATTATAGTAAAATGATTGCAAGAAAAGATAGCTACAAAAATGACTGTCAGCAGCGGGTTTAGGATTTTAAAACGATTATTTCAAAACAATACCCATGGTTCCTTTCGAGTTGTAAACGTGACTAAACAAAGTCTTAAAAGACAACAAAATTCTTGAAAATTAACAACAACAAACTTTTAAGGCTAGAAATGCACTTTGCCACAGATAATTTTTCTTTTATGGGCGATTTTCTGACAGTGACCGGACTTCCCAAGGTAGAGTATTATGGAACAATCTCGGCAGATAGGAGCTTCATAGCAGCTCACGATAGGGCCATACCTTTATTGCTCCTGGCGGCTCCTCCAACGTCACCAACATATATCGATCAGTTCTACTCGCTTGATCTCGTTGCCGAAGCTGAATGAGACAAATTTTACCAGTCAGATAAATAAAAAAACTTTTGTTCTAAGCCTTCAGACTGAACAGAGGGCAAATAAATTACCTTTGTGAAGGTTTCCACGGCATTTTTGGCGACGTCAAGCAACGTAGTGCCAATAGACGTTCGCTGGTTCATAGACGCAGAGGTATCGACAACGAAAACAAATATCACCATGTTCCCGATACCACCCTTATACGTGGATTTATGGGCTTAAATGAATCGAAACTTGCTTCGTTTACGAGAACGAAGGGGTACTTTTTCCCTATCCATTATGGCGCCCTTGCTAAGAGCTGCTTCGGGGCGCAGCTCAAGCGCCTCCACGATGTGTCGAGACCACGTGACCTCGGATATACCATAATCCTCCTGTGCGATAAGGTTCCATAAATATCTTTTGTTCGAAAAGCGTGGTTTCGATCGAACATTTACAAGGAAAGGTTCTCCTTTCTCGAGGTTTTCTTCTCTTCTTTTTATTGTGTTATGATAAATGTGATTTTTTTTCTTGTTTTATTCAGTCATCGCTGAGGCTTGAGAAGTGGTTATTCGCGAAGGTTTTGTGTGTACTTTAGTGGTTTGTGTGATGTTATCTTTTTTTCGCATCTAAAAAGTGAATAGAAAACTGAAAATTACCCATCGCCCTTTATATCCTACACTCAATCTTGAGGATTGACCTGATCCGTATTTGAAACTAGTTTATTTCGTAACCCGATCCAAATCCTCGCCCTTTTTGTATTCTGTTCTGTAACCTATCTAACTTTAATATAATCTTTAGGGTTTCTCTTGTACGCAACGTTACAGTCCGATCTGAATAGGCTCTGTTTTGATTGCTACCAACCCCCCTTTGATCAACCTGTCAGACTTAAACGAGCGACTCTTAAACTACCGGTTTGCAACTAGTAAACACGACACTGAACATTCGATCTACCGACAGCTGTCCTCTTCGACATCAACTGTAAATCATTTTATGATATTAAGTCTGGTGGATCACGAGAGGCCTTCAAAGGACACGTGCTCTTAATTGTGATTGGCAAGTAGCTTCGCACGAAGCGCTTATGTAACAAATTCGTGTCTTGGCGTGGCAATTTGCAAAGAATTAGAATGTCTTACAGATGACGGCACAAATCGAGATACTGAATAATATGGCGAGAAAAAGATTGACGTAAATTTATCAGTTGTCTCAGTTGAAGATGAAGGGGATTGGGTAGGAGTGAGGTTTTGGTTTTCTTCTATTAATTTAGATGTTCCAGATTATAACTTGGCCCCTCATTTGCCTAGGTGGGTTAAGGTAGTTCACTAAATAGCTACAATGGTAGCACCCAGAAATTGAAAATGCAATTTGGTTCTTGTGGAGAAATATTCCCAAAGGTCCCAAAGGTTGGAAGAACATTTACTTAATCTTATTATGCAACAAGTGCATCATCACCAATGGGCCATTTTACAGTTGTGTACTTAATTGCCAAGCCTTTGATTAGGAGTGAGGCTGACCTTGCTATAGTGGAGGCCAGCATTGATAACAAAGTAATTTGTACTTGAAAAGCAGCAAATTCTGTGTCATAGCAAGGTCAACCTCAGCCTCATTCCTATTCAAAGGCTTGGCAACCAAGCACACAACTGTACAAAGGACTATTGTTATCTTAGGACACCAGGAGAAACAATTTTTGAAAGGATTGGTACAGAATTTGTTTCCAAGAACCATATTCTACATAATGTTAGAATTAGTGGTTCAGTATGAAATAAAAACTGCAAAAATACTCTCCTGCAGGAAGTGTGGTCGTACTTCAATTTTTGTTTGACTTTTCAAGACCTCTTTAAATCCTGTGTCCTAAAGAGGTAAAGGTAAGTAAGGTGTAGTTACTTTTGAGTGTTGGCAATAGATGTGTATGGTTATCTTTTGTTCTAGTATATTGGCTGAGGAAAGGTGATGTTTACGTCTGCTCTTACAATGGGCTAACACTCAAAATGTCAACTTTAAAAATTCTCCACAGACCAATTGAATTATCAACTAAGTTAGTTAAACCAAGTTATTTTGTCTCATTCCTAGATCTTGTTCCTGTGTTTTTACTGAAGCATCTAAGGGTGTTGGGATGGTAATTTATCACTGCTCACTTAACCCTTTCACACTACTCACTATCTTATTTGTAATTCTCTTTTCTGTCTGCTATTCAATCCCTATGATAATAGCTTTGAGAATTTGGTGTTGAAGCAATTGATAATATTTTAATATACTCTTTATTCTCATCACTCGTCTGCCTGATATTGTGCTGATATTGCAGGGAGAAATTCCATCTTGGTCACTTGTGGGAGGTCTATGTCTTTTGTTATACCTTTGTCTGGTTTCCTGTACTCATTTCCTGGAGAAGAGAGGGAGGGGGGTTTCAGGTTTCTTAGTTAAATTTTGCTTAGTATCTGCTGTTGGCCTCTCAGAGCCTCTAACCCATAGATTATTGTCCATTTTGTGGCCAATCATGGACCTCATTTCAGTTACTTTTTGGCACATGTAATATTTCATGCTCCCAATAGTAAGAATTTTTTAAACATGAATCGTTCCATTATCAGAGTTTTCTTACCCCTGCAAATCTCCAAAGTGTGTAACCCCATTCTAGTCTACTCAGTCATAGAAATGCACTCCATTCAGTGGCACATCCTCATTAACATATTATTGAGAAGTGCGCCTGTTAAATCTGACTCCATATTAAACCTGGCCAGGGTCCTAATCTTGACCAGAGTCCAGTTTCTTAACCATCACACCTTGGCAGTATCATAATGAAAATTGTGCGTACTCTGGAGTAATAGCATGACATAAGGGTCTCAAAGGATCAACTATCCAAAGTCTCAGTCTGAACAGAGCTTATAGGTGTATTCATCCAGAAAACTCATCATCTTTTCTTTCCCTTACATTCTGATTTATTGAGTGAATTACCAGTACCTACAAACCATTTTTTTTTATTTTCTTACATCTAAATTACAAATTATACAAAAAAAATATGATAGTTCAACAAGTGTGATGATGCAATGTTTCTGTAATACTCTTTTATAAAATATAGCCTTGTTGGAACTGCAGACTGTGCAAATTGTTCAGCAGCATTTCAATCAAAAGGTCAAACACAAGATTGTGTACCAGTAAGGTAGTTATCAACCTTGGTGTTGCACTTTTGAAAACTATGAAATTATTTTACATGAATATAAATATTAAAATAATTTAAATAATAACATGGTGTTTTTAAAAATTGCAAATAATAAATAATAAATTAATGAAGCAGTTAACAATACACTTGGCAACCAATCCGTTAAAAATTGAAACTATGTAATATAATACTAAAAAAAAAAAAAACTCAAAATATGTCATCATCTAGAGACCCAGGTGAACTAACTCAATTGCCTGGCCACTTTTCCCAGAGCTATGTGACTTTCTCTGACATAATGAGTTCTACCTGGGGTTCCATAGAGTTCAGCAAATGACATTACCAATGTAGATAACAGAGTTATTTACAGTGACAAATCCATTAAAAAATGTTACAATTTGCAGACAAAATTTGGGAAATAACAATAACAATAAATAAAATATTTTCAGTACAATAAGCTCATGATAAGTTAAAAAAATAGGACACTTCTTTTTTTCATCGGTGAAATATGAAATATAAATCATTTTTATATACCTAGACTTTCACTCAACAAAACGAGCACTGTGATTGGTTAATTCTTGTTCATGTGCCCCTGATCAAATTCAAATGTATCCCGACCGGGATACAATATGCGCAGTTGTTGCCCGCGCGTCGAATATAACAGCATATCTTTGCCATATGATTGTTTAAGGGAAAGTCTAAATATATAACAAAGCGCTTTGTGTATAGTCCTTCGGGAAACTAGTTAATGTTGTTTTCCCTCGAGTCCTGATGTCTCCCTGGACTTCGTCTCGGGAAACATCAGGACTCCAACTGTTTCCCTAGGGACCATACATTAAATGCGTATTGGTCACAAGTTAAAATATTAGAAGTGAAAATGAATTTATCAACTAAAGATGACTAAATATTACAAGAAAGATTTAAACGACGTTTAAATTAGATTATAAATATAAAACATCACTGGTTTGAGGGCGACAATTCAGTTCCTTCCCCAGTGGGGATATTTATTTGTTCGAACTGCACATCTGTCATCAACGTTCGAATGTGATTTCGCGCGGGGTATTGTGAGGCTTCCTTTTGATATGGAAGTCCAGTTCAGACCATCCTCCAACCAGACGACTGGCCCTAAAAAACGACAATAACTGCGGTCATATGCAGAAATATATAGGATAGTTAAGAGACAACAGTAAAAATGCACTGTTTCGTGATACTTTACGTGTAGTCCTACCCTTCCCCTCCAAGGAGAAACATTTCTCCTTTGAGAGGAATGTATGGATAGCGTAGGCTATTTCGTGACAACTCCATTAGCGATCGCGTGACAGCTGCGTGTTCTAACAGATCTAGCGCTATGCAGATAACAATTTCCGCTGACGGAAGGGTTACCGAGGGAGTCTAGAGTGGACGATAGAAGAGCGGATTGGAGTGGAGGGTAAAAGGAAATGATGAAATCTTCCTTTTAGCCCACTCTGACCCAGGTTACCATGAGTAACTGCTTTAGCCAGGTGCACCTGTATAGGTCGCAGGTATACATACACTTATTCGTAAGTTATTCCACAACGAACGTACTTTTCAAACCCCAGTCCTTTGACACTTTCCACGGCCTTCCCTGCTCGCCGACCAGTTTGACAATGGAAGATGAGATTTTCGTCTTTAACATCTGGTTTTCTGACACCGTATTTTTTCTCGAAATCTGATGGACTCATGCTAAAGGCCTCGACAATTTCTGTCACTGAAAGTCAAATTACAGTCATTGTGAATAATACATGGCGGTGTGAAATCGATTGAAAAACAATTAGAGACTGAAGGGAATAAGTACAACATTATTTGGAAGTTGTTTCTTTACGAAGAAAAAAGCTTACTTTTCAGAGCCTTAAGTCTAATTCTCATTTGAGTAGAGAATACGCCGATATTTCTTTAACTTGGAGGAAATCAACAAGAAAAATAATACAACTTTTGCTGTACTCCTGAAGAGAAAAAAATAGGCATGTTACGTTATTTACAACTTACATGGAATATTAACAGACTTCGGTATTTTCCCAAGTGAAACAAGTTCGTGAGGTTCTCGTACGTCAAACAGTTGTAAATCTCCATCGATCACCATATCTTTTAAACACTCCAAGCCAATTTGGCTTCGATCAGTTTCTTTACTACAAGACCATATACGATCTCCTGGCGACGCGCTTGAGTTGAGGGAAAGTCTCTGGCCCAAAACAGCGCGAGGTAAAACGCTTTTTGAAAATATTGACTTTGTTAATCTTCCAGCTGAACGCAATGCCATCGTGAATTGTTTTGCTTCTCTTGCTGGAAACTGCAAAATGTATGCTTTCCAAAGTGTCAAACTTTATTTATAATACTCCACGGTTGTGACATTTAGCGAAAGATTTGCATCATTATAGCATGACGTCACCAGCTGAGACACTTGAGATATTTCTACGCACAAAAGCATGCATATTAGCCCTAAATTTATTGCTTCTTGAAATTCTTCTAAGACAAAAGAAATCTATTTTTTCCATCTCTGTAGAATAAAAAAAGAGAAATCTTTCCATTTTTCGAAAACTCTTAAAATTGCATGGTTTTAATCGATGCATACGAAGGGTAACGCAATCGTAAACGTGTGTTGTGTTATGTTACGACTGTCACACCATCATGTCACAGTTTGGCACACGGTGATGATTATCGGCATGCCTCTCAGAGAATGCTGACGCATGTCCAGTTTTGGAAACGGAAATTAATTTTTTTAACGGTTTGTAAACACAATAAATAAACACTAGTAAAACTGCTAAATTGTTGAAAATCTGAATTTTAAAGTTGTTTATACCATTACATATGGCTTATGGCTTTCACATTTTCATCATTACTTCAAACATTTTTTACTTATAAAAAAAGGTCAAGGTCACTGTAACTTATCTTGAGAAGTGAAGAACAAATTTGGAATACTTTCCCTTCTTCAGTTTTTTTTCCTTGCTCGCAGCCCTTGTTACTAACAAGAGCTATCTAATTTCCTCTACTAAATTTGCCTTAAATAATGGGCAATATAACAACAAACAGATGCTTTTAATAAGAATAAATTGTCAGAAGTTTTTATTCACTCACACTAATGCACACCAAGGTCAATCAGAAACCAGTACTAAATAAATCAAACAAACAGAAATTATTCTTCCAAGTTCAACCATTGGATTTTTCTGAGTTATCAACTTGTGATATCCACTCCATGTAGCCTCCTGGGTAATGTCTTGCCCTGAGAAGAAAACGAAAAAAAACTTTCATATCTGATAGTTCATCTAAAATCATATAACTTACCAAAACTCTCTGTGCCTAATCTGGAAATTCACATTGTATGGACAAAAAAGCATTTAATCCTTTTAACTCCCAGATCAACTTTGCAATTCTCCTTACTATCAACCATACAATTCTTATAATGTAAGTTCAGAGAATGTAGTATTGGATCAACTAATTATCCCCAAATTGATAATTTTCTAAAGTTGTTCTCATCACTTATCTGGTTGATTCTATATTGATACTGTAAGGAGAAATTCTGTCTTGGTCACTCATTTATGGGAGTTAAAGGGTTAAGAGAAAAAAATGGTAAATGTAAAACATAACAGTATTAATATATCACCCCTGAATCAAACATAAAAACCTTTCACCCCTGAGAGTGACTAGCATCCAATTTCTCCCAGCAATATCACCCTTGAATCTAACATTAAGGTCATGAAAATAAAGGAAATGATCACCAACTAAAGAAACTCTTGATTGTTAAACAAATTCTCCTTGTCAGCACTTTAGTAAATGTATAGAGAACAGTATGGAGAATACGCATATTGTTGTTAAGGTTTAAAGGGTTAAGGCCATGAGAAGAAAAAAAAACGATCACCAACAAAAAAAGTTCCTGATAAAGAAACAAGTTCTCCTTGCCAATATTGTAGGAAATGTAAAGAGAACAGAGTGGAGAATATAAATATCAATTTTAGCATGTAAAGAGTTAAAAGACACAGGATCAAATTATGCGAGTCAGTTGGAGGTGATCTTACTTTGTGTAGCCAATTTGATGAACTGCCTCCATTGCTGCTCTACTCCTTATTCCAGCCAGACAATGAAACACAATATTTGCATCATTTTTGTCTGGCTTTTTAACATTGTATTCCTCCTCAAATGCTGCAGGATCCATTGTAAAGGCCTCAGGAACTTTACGCACTGAAAAATGCAATAAAAATAAAATCGTGTCAATTTTACCTACTCTATGAAAAACTTTTAAAGCAATTATAGCAGTAAGAGGCTCTGAAAATTGAAAATAAATAATAATAATCACATGTACTTGTGACTGTTTTTTTTTATTATTTTCATCAATTCACTCTTTAACAAGTATGCTAAGTTAGGGTCTGTTAGCTCAAAGATTTCCACTAGAAATAAGGAATTGGTTATCCATGTAAAATATCCCTTTACAGAAAAGATGCTAGAATCTAACTATGTTAAAATAATATAATAAAGCCTTTCAAATCTAACAACAATATTTGGCTTACATAAAGATTTCAGAACTCCTTAAATTCCTTAAACTCTTTAAAACAAACAAGTAACACATTTGCAATGAAAGACAGCTCAAAAACTAGAAACTTACTCCAAAGAACAACCACAAGAAAAGTATGCGAGAGTGGCCCCATCAGTTTACAATGTCAAGATTCACATCTGTTGACATCATGATTGGTTGATTTTATGAAATCATGTGCCCTGCGCATGAATACCAAAAAATTTATGGAGCAAGAAGGGAGAAGGAGGGAAAGAAGAAAAACACGTAGTTTGAAGTGTAAAATTGTAAGAAATGTTTATCAGGCATGGCATGGAATTGGAGTTTTTTTTATCTACAGGTGTAAGAATCATAACTAGGCATAAGAATTGGCAAAGGCAAGAGAGAAAAAACTTGGCACAAGGCCATTAGTGCCACTGAGAATTGAGTGGTTGCACATTGAAGTAAGTTCAGTACTCAACAGGGCAGTGAAATAGTTTTGCCACCTAGGAATAGTATTCAGAAACTTATTAACCATTATCGGGTTATTAAGTAAATTACTAATCAGTAATAATTCCCTAACCTTCAAAGCTACCTTTCATTAGCTAGTAATATTCAATTCAAAATGAAGAAAATTCACGACGAAAACAAAAGAGAAAAAAACATACGTGGGATGTTTGTAGCACAGGCAATCTTCCCTGACTCCACAAGCTCATAGGGTTCTCTGACATCAAACAACTGAATATTATGCGCTGTTAGCATTGCTCTAAGCTCTTTGATACTTATATCAGTCCAGTGCTCTAGAGTCGTAGTAGAAGTGTTCCTTCTGGCGCATTGCATGTTTACCGGAGGCCTAATTATTCCAACAAGATCCATAAACACGCGAGTCGTATAAATACTACATGCGTTTTTTGGAAGACAACTTCGTGCAGTATTCCCTATCAATCTCGCCAACGCTGTCATTGTAACGATGGAGGGAAATCTAAAAGTCGCCATCAAGCAAAAGGCTGAGCAGCATTATACCACCAGGTTAACCAAGAGACCGTTGGTTAACTGTGCAACAGTGGGGCCAGGAAGTAACGTGAAAAATGACATGATTGCACCCCACTTTCTTCCTTGAAAAGGCTGATGGAGTAAAACTAGTAACCAGTGATGTGACCGCGATGAGTTCCACTGACCTATGACGTAACATCATTTAGTCGGCCATTTTGAATTTTGTGGTATTGAACTCGACCGTGCGAAATACTCTCTCTAGCTTTCGACATGTGGTATGAATGCTTACCTCCGTTTGTTATTATTGGAGCTTGTATAGCTGTAACTGGCTGGGGACTGAAGATCTGTGATCGACTCTTCCAAGAGGGCAAGGTATTTATAAACAATAAAGTCTTGAATATTTGAACTTGAATTTGCATGCATATTTGGCCGGTTTACCTTTGTGGCTTGGATGATCAAAGGACTGATGGGGATGTTTTAACAAGTCATTTAAAGGATAAAGGAAAGAATTGTTTTAAATGTACTTTGCAGCCCAGTAGATACAGCTTGGACAAGTTTGATGAAAGACTGCTCGCACGAGATGAAAGGATCACTGGCTCAAGATTCAGACAAAAGGTGACAACCGATTTCAACTAACCCCTTCCACTACCCATTTTGCCAATACAGGGGGGAGGGAGGTGGATAGGGCGGGAAGTTTATGGTCGCTTTGTGTAACACTTGACTACCACTAAAAGATTGGCACGTACCCTCTTCTTGCAACATCCAGAGCAGAGCTTTGTAATAACTAGAGGTGTTGAGTATTATACCTTCGTGTATTTGCTTGTACAAAGGGCTTAATCAAAACGTCAGTTTTAGAAACTCTTAACAGTGGCCAATTTACATTATCAACTCAGTTGATAAAATCAAAGTATCTCGTAATTCCTCCACCAACAAAGCACCACATTTTCTGTCGAAACTTACCCCGGTAAAATTTCCGCACAGCCCCATACTATATTATGCATTCAGTTCTTGGATTGAGAAAACAATGACAAAAACAAAAGATTGCCATTGGGAAAACAGATTTGTTTTACAATAGTATGGGGCTGTGCGGAAATTTTACCCTTACCCCCTTCAATAACCAGAGGGTATGGCAAGATCTCCACACAGCCCCATACTTCATCAAGCATACAGTTCTTTGATAAAGAAAACAATTGCAAAAACAATCTATTAACTTTGGAATCACAGCTTTGTTTTAGATAGTACAGTATCGGGTTACAGGGAAATCTTTCCAAGGGCATTTCTATTATAATATAACTTTATATTTTCTTAACAACTGACTTGATGAAAATAAAAAAAATTATAATAACAGCTGTTGGGAGACATATGTATCAGGTCTTGGTGGTCAAACAAGAGAATAATTTCAAAGTTGCTGTAGAGCACTTGACAGTTTGAAGATTTAAAAGGCATGTTTCAAGTCATTAAAAACACTAGTTGTCTCGATTTGGTAAATTTTGACCAACAAAATGCTATTGCTCAATTTATTTTTTTTGAGCCCTTCCCTTGCTTAAACGTAAAAAGGCCCAAGTGTTTACGAAATTGTAAACAAAAAAAGTAAACAATACTATTTTTATAGGATATAAGCATTGTGCATGTACCTTGATATATCATAAACAAACCCTTATTTTAGAGCTGTACTGAACTATTTAAAAGATCATTGTGTAAAACTTTATTGATTTATTTATTTTTGAAGCAAAAATATTGATTTTTTTCCTTGTTGATCTTGTTTTTTTCTCTTGTTTACAGTCTTTGTAGAAGATTATTATGAGACATGCCATATTGATGTGTACCTTTGAATCTGTTACTGGGAGTATTTTAATGGTTTCACATATAAATTTGTTCTGAATCTCTTTCTCAAGTATCATGTAATTCTGAGTGTTAAAGAAAATGCTTGTAAATAAAAGAAATTTGTTTTGATTTCCTAGTGTTAATGTGGTTACATTCACCTAATAATAATTAGATTTGAGACATGTTATCAAGGCCGGAAATCCTGGTGCATTAAGATATAAACAAATAGCAATTGAGCTAGGCTGCAGAGCAGGAAAAAATTTTGGCAAGCAATTACTCAGTACTTTCTTGGTGAAAACTATTGCTGCCCTCTTTGATTTTAGCAACAGTGGATGGCTGGGGAGAGAAGGAAATTTGAATTTGTAACCAGGTAGTGAAGATCAGTCATGATGAATGAGAGTAGAGTAGCTCTCTTGCCCTTCACTTTTTCCCTCCAAGGTCCCCCCCAACTCTAAGTTGAAAATGGCCAGTAGAATAAATGATTACAGCCCTAAATTCAAGTGCATTTGATCATACGCTATGGAAAGTTGCACTATATAAGTTTTAATTAAATGTAAAATTGTAATTGTAACTAAGATGCCTGCACTGCAGGCTAGAATTAGGCCTGCCAATTGTCAGTATTTGTTCACCTTAGGACTTGTCATTTCTATCTTAATTCACAACTAATACACAAGAGTAAGTGTGCAGCTCAAACTAGGAGCTTGATTGTTTTGCTGTCCAACAAAGGTACAGAGAACAGTAAACAACTTGTTACAACTGAATCATCTTTCGGGATAATAACAGCTTGTGTGCCGCCACGTGATATGAAAACTCAAAAGACCCATTGGGAAAAATGGGAACTTATTCCCCATCCAAATGCAGGAGTACCAATCTCTAGGGGATAGAGGTAAAACAGGCTAAATTAAATACAAGAGGAAATTTAAACGTAAAGCTTGAAAAGTTCAAGAGCTGAGATGAATACATTACAGATATCAAACATATACACCTTACAACAAAAGATACAACACCATAGCCACTCATGTGCTTACATACCAATAGGAAAATATTTTCATTCTGTGTCACTGCCACTTACAGTTTAGTTCTGTTGCATGTAAATACATTTATGGAGCATTAACTCTCTTAAGGGCACAATGAAAAGTAGCACCCCACCCCACCCCACTGGAATGACACCAATTTCCACATTAATTATCCTGGTTCTCCATACAAAAATTCACACACTATTGATATTAGTACTGAGCATTATCTCGATGCTCAAACTCTGAAGAGAACTAATTTCTCCTTACAATATCACCCCTGAATCAAACATCAAGGTCGCAAGAATTATAGAAATGATCACCAACCAAAGAAGCTACTGATTGTAACACAAATTCTACTTGTCAGCACACTTGGAGATGATTGCAAATGGTAGCCGACATCACAGAAATGACCATCAATTTACTTTTGTCCTTATGGAACTCATGGTAGGGATAAAGCATAAACCCTCAATTAAGTCCCTGCACACTTTTTTTAAATTTTGGCTCTCAGGGGTGCTTATTGGAAGGAGGGTGCTTAATTAAAAGGGAGGAGCTTATTAAGAGACTATTAACTGTAATGATTCTGCCATAGTTGAAGGTTTTGAAGTTTTAAATAAAGAGGCAATAGAAGCAGATTTTCCAGTATTCTTACTATGAAAGAAAGTGACAGAGGAGGGGGTTGATTTATTTGAGAGGGCTAAGGGGATGGTTGCTTATTTGGGGGAGGGTGCTTACTAGAGTGTAGGCACTTATTTGAGGAAATATGGTACATGAGTAATCGACTAAGATTTGGCTTAGAGGTTAACCTCCTTGATGAAATGATTATTGCAAAATGACAAACCCATCTTTTTAAATAGCTCTTTCCATGAACTCTTTTTACAGACCTTAACATCTCTTTGAACAGGAACCTATACACAGACACAAGAAGCAATGCTATCCAAACCACAGGAAAAAGTTTCTTGACCTTTTTTTTGATATTTATTTGGTTTTGAAATTTTACCAGTAGCCCTCCACTTCATGTGCTCAATTAAAAATTTTTCAACTAAAAAAAAGACAATTATAGAGAAAAATGCACCACTCAACAAAAAGAATGAAATGATGTGTAAAAATACTTTTATTGCAGGTTTAAACCTAATAAATAAATTCACTCTTTGAGGGAAAAGGTAAACTAACATAAAAAAGATTTACAATTACTAAAGAACATATCTTCCTTTTTTGTTTTGTTTGTTTGTTTTTTCACAACTCTAAATTATTTTAATGGCGAGAGCAGGATAATGCTACATGGATGTGTCATAGCAAAGGTACAAATTAAAATTTATGTAATATTATGAAACTGTTTTAAACCTTCACTGGAAAACCACACTTTTTGTTATAGGTGTAACGTCTTACGTAACTTCTCAAAGCTTATTTCCTTGGGTTTATTCACAATTCGTTTTCTCAATGTTTATATCACACGCTGTGTTCGTGACTTTAACAAAGGACCGCAGCTCAGTAATCAAGGCTCATCAGAAGCGCAGTTCCGCGCTTGATCCAGTGGTCTGACGTCATAGCTCCTGCTTTCAGGTCCACGGCCACCACGAAGGATGCACGTCCAGATGTTCCCGCTCGGTTTGGATAGTAATAACACGGGCATGCGTAGACACCTACAATAGCAAAAGGAAAGTAATAAAGTTGTACTCAAATTCGCTGTAAAAACGAGCGTAAGCAATTTCCACTGCCGCGTAAATATAAATACCACGCTTCTTTTAAAGATGCGACAAACGCAGGCCTGTGCATATAAAAGTTGAAGGCCGTTCAACTTTTCTATGCACTTTCGCGATTGCGACGTGCGCAAAACGTACGAACACGCCTTGAAAAAAAGATGGAAAGGGAAATATAAAAACGTTTAGTTAAGGGATGTGTTTACGCACGTAGACGTTAATTTCAACGAACGTAATTGGTTTTTTTATAACTCACGTTCATGTTCGTGGAAAAATGCGACAGTTAAAATCCAGCTTAACAGGATTGTTTCCTCTTTATTGAGATTATTACACTCTTATCTACCAACCGCGAAAAAATCTTAAGGCAACATTTCAGTTATCAAATAAAAATACTTTTGGCCTGTTTTACGATACATGTTTGTCTCAAACACATTTGAAAGTTGGGTATATCAGACCTTTTCCACTCTTCTTCTTGTTCTCCACAGGCTTGAAATGAATCGTGGGCATGGCGCTAACGAGTTGCATAGGTTCCGCTTCGATGAGGCACGCATTCTTCTTGTCCCAACCAGCCCCCTCTAAAAAGAGCCCACGGATCCATACACCATCCTGTAAAAGAAAGAGGGAATGGTTAAGAAATAGTGCTGCGCGACGGGCAATCTATGTTGAGAAGAACAATTTAGGGAAGATTCAAAAGCATTGATTACACAGAAAGTGCTTCACCATCGATTGTGAACGCAAAGTTGAAAATTTGGGGGAAAAAAAACCTGGAAGAGCCACAGAAATGACTGATGAGAGAAATAAAGTGGGCACTAGTTACCAAGGGATCAAATAATAGTTTTTAGTTCGTCTCCTCAGCCTTTGATTTCCATAAAACTCAAAGGTTACCTGTACGCAGGTTAGAGGTATTTCCTCTGGGCAGAGCTGTTCGATCTAATGCTAAACCTGTGTGAACTTCACATAAAAACTATACGTTCCCTTATCTTTTAATGCTGAATTAGCGTCTTTCGTTTGAGGAATCACCTGGGAAAGGGACTGTTTTCGGTGATAGTGTGTGACGTTTATCAATCCGCTAGTTAAGAAACAATATGCGACCCTAAAGTTGCAAGAACTATGGTGTCAGATGAGTAATAAAAAAACCTCACATGACCGATGGGGTGCGAGTGGGGACTGGATCTCTCCGGACCCACAGCGCTTAAAACAGGTATCAACACGTTCACAGTTTGTTAACGTACCTTGGGCTGTTGCGTGATGTTGCTGTCATCCACTGTGGACACAACAAACTCCCACGATAGCGAGTCCACGGACACGTTGTTTTGTCGTGCGCATGTCTGTAAGACTGCGGTTAAGAAGCCTGTGGGGAATGTAAAGCCAGACATCCAGAATATGACGGGCTGGTGAGCTGTGGTCGCCCACTTGGCAAACTGATCCACACGTAACACCAGGTCACGTGTCCAGTTACCCAACGGTTTGTTGGACGGGTAAGCCTGTTAAAAATGTTCAAAATATTTACCGGCTTGCATCTCGAAAAAATATATTCTAGACATTATATAAAACAAAAGAAAATCAATTTTCTAAAGCATTTTGTTCCAAACTCTTGTTTTTGAAGTTGCATCACGAAACTCAAAAAAATTTGGACATGATTCCTCCGTGGGCTCCTGTTCATGTATAACTTCTAAAAATTATATCTCATTATCCTGCATAAAGGCAACCAGAGTAGTATTTTGTAAAACTGATGACATCTGTCGATGATATTTTAAAAAGAAAAACAAATTTGACATCCAGCTATTATCCCGTAGAGCATCTTTCCGTCCAAACGCTCACACTTACCCGCTTGAAGGCTTTTCAACTGATCAAAATCCTTTAAAATGAAGTAATTCTGTGCGTCATGTGCACGCAAAACTATCTAGAATACATCACTCGAACTAATAAAACTATCAGAAATGAAAAAGATGATATTTGGCCCGCGGATAACATACAAAGCACAGAAATAATCCTCACAGAGTTGCTGCGATTAAAGCAATTTCAGAAGAGAAGCCTCTCAGGTACCAGTTTCATTGTGAATTCCATTACGGTAGAGAAGAACCTACTTACATTTGCCTTGCTCCCAACATTTGGCTATGTTATTCAGTTGATAGAAGAACCCAACGAGTATCTGGGAGGGACGGGTTCGAATCCCTTCGAAGCCTCCATTTTTTAAGGATTCTTTCCTGCAATTGCTTTAATTTCGTTTCTTTACTTTGTATAAAACTCTCTATTCGTGGGATTTCTTCCTTACCTTTCCCCACAAAGGGGGAACCTTGGCATCGTAGATGCAGTAAAATGTCTCTTCCAGATCAGAGGACATGACCACAAGACCCTTGATTCCCTTCTCCAGATCGATAAGCGATGCTTTGATGATTCGCAACAAGGCGTTAAACCGTTCGATCTATCACCGTGAAAAACAGAAGATATAAACATTCGTTTCTAAACATGGAGAGAACGCTCTCCAACGAATAGAGCAAATTCTGACTACACTCAGGCGAGATATTCAATGTGAAAGTTTATTTAGGAGAAGTCAGCCAGTCTTGTAGTCTACACATCCTACTACAATCTGCAATGTTCTGCAAGTATTCACTGAAAATAAAGGGTTATACAAAAATAGGCTGTGCTACGCCAGATACGAAAAACCACTAAAAAACCACTCTTTAGAAGTGGCCAAAAACTATGTGGAAACGTATTCCTCATCTAATGCAGCAGCACTATACCCCGAGGAAAGGGTAACTAAAATAAACCTAGTTACACTACTAAATCACACAGAAAATTCAATGAAGGGAGTGATATTTTACATAGAGTTGTAAAGCAAAATTACAATAAATAAAAAATAAATAAATAAAAGAAAGTGGCTCAACCTAAGACTGACCGACGTAGAATGACCTAATTTCCCCGCGAAACGCTTAAATAATCCGAAACTACCATGATGCCATGCGAACCTCTCCAACGTGCCGTCAGAATATTAATTTCTGACTAATTCGTTCCCATGTCTCTCAAACGTCAGAAATCACATTTTTCAATTGAGTGTCTAAAGTCATCCTGGGTTGTTTCGGTTTTGCTTTACTTTTCATTGTCATACGTCCAAAAAAATCGCGCCACTTTTTCAACCAATCAGATGCAAAACTAACAAAAAATCACGACTTGGTCGGAAGCATTTTCCCGCGCTTTAGTTCTCATAAGCTCCTCAGGGTATTTTCCTCCCTTCTGACCGGCCGTTGTAACTATTTTGGCTCTGGTTTTACGACACTCAATCGAAAAGCGATCTAAATCGAAATTCAGCAGACAAATATTCACAAAAAGCACGGCGCTATGTACTGGATAGAGATTTATCCAGCGGATAGCGTAATTCACGCTTTGAACAACCGAGGACTGGTCACCCTTTGGTGCTGGTTTTATACTACTACGCAGTTCATGGCTTGGCATTTTTTATTTTATCTTCTTTTCAGTCGCAATTTTAAGAAGGGTCTTAGATACATCAAATTAAAGTACTCTTACCTTTCTAGAGCCAGTAAATATCAAAGAGTGGATACAACTAACATAAATAAGCATGGATTATTGCCCTTACCTCTTGAAGCAACACAACGTTGAGAGGAGAGGGATCATCGGACATGATTTTCGCGGTCTGCTCATAGTCAATCTCCTCAGGAACTTTTTTCAGTACATCAGCAGCAAGCTCCAGAACCTACAAAAGAAAGAGACACTGAAATCAGACGGTGGCGATCTCCAAAGCAGCAGCTAGAGCAAACATCATGTTGAAACAATTTTCGATGGAGTGCCGAAATTAATCCGGTTTTGTTTTACTTTGCTCTGAGCTTGGTTCAGAAAACTCGCGCCACTCTCTCAACCAATGAGATGCAAAACTAACACCAATCACGACTTGGTCGCCCACGTTTCCCCGCGCTTTAGGCGGTTTGTTTGTTTTTGTTTTGAGTTCTCACTGGCTCTTAAACATTTTCCTTTCCTTTGATTGGCCGTTGTAATTACTTTGGTTTTGGTTTAACGACAATCAACCCAAACGCACTGTTCAATTTTCCCCCACTTTTCTTCTTCAAGTTATCTTTAAGTGCTACCAACCTTTTCCTCTCTGCTCTCTCCTTGCCCTCCAGCAGAAGTGATCTGGGGTTGAAGAGAAAGTAACGTACCAAACAGATTCCTGAAAAAAAAAAACAACAACAAAACAAAAAAATAGTAAGACAAAGATCAATAATAAATATTACATTGAATCGATCTTTAGTGAACACAAAAATGTCCAGGTCAGACAAAAGAGCAACAAAGAGGGCAGAACAAATCAAAACTTAAAAAAATAAACAATTTGTTACCGACATCGCACAATCAAAGCATTTACTATAAAATAACAAAAAGTCGCAGCTAATACTCTCTAATCTCTAAGGTGTGATAATGAGAGACTTTTCTTCGAACACAAAGACAACTTGCTGTGAGTAAAATCCCTGCAAATCCCGTATTTTCAGTGAAACGACATCGGCGATTTTTTCCCAAAGTTTGGCAAAGATCACCGCAGATGTCGCCTCACTATGTTCTCAGTGCTTAATTGTAATTGTCACATTTACCTGGTTTCGATGATCTGACTGGCGATATCAGCATTAGGATGTTGACCGAACGTCTCAGGATGATCTACATTTGGTAACATGCTAATGTATTCCTGTAAAACATCAATTTCAAAATGGTTTCTTATTGGTTGTTGACGATGATCACCCGCATGCTTTGCACTAACAGATCACCGACCTGTCTCCTCGATGCTTAGTCCTTGCTATAACATGTCAGAAGAAGTGAGCTAGGCAAAGGCAAAGTTAAGAGCAGGGATTTCAGAGGTCTTCTCTTGTTCAGAGCCCAAAGGGGGTTGGGGGGGAGCCTCTCAGAACCCCCACCCCATTATGGTCCATTCTGTGGCCAATCTTAGATCCCAAATTTGTCACTTTTGGTAATACGGTAACAATTTTTTTAGGCACGAATCTTCATACCTTTAAATCCCTAGATACAGCACAAAATTTACCAGAATTTCCTTACCCCAAAAACCCTAAAATGTGCGACCCCATTCGAGGAGCTCTAATAAAAATGCAACCCATTATACTCCATCTAGTCGTGAAAATGCGACTCCATCCAGCGGCACATACCCATTAGCCCATTGTTAGGAAGTATACCCCCCGGGGCTCAAAGTCACTTCAACAACAGACGAAATAGGCGCCACCGGATACTTAACCTTGTGAGACCAAAAGAGGAGAACCCTAACATCTTTCACACAGACGTCTTACAAAATATCAAATTTAACGATGAATTATCTTATGGATTGTCCAAAGGATTTCTTACCCTGTATGTGGAAAGAGGACCGTCTTTTGGAATGTAATAGGTTGGCAGAGAAGATAGCCTGAAAGACAAGAACTAATTAGTTGGAAAAGTTTTTTTCGAGTTTTTTTACCGGCAAATTTCCTCAAGTTTACATTTTTTTCCTGTTCTTCCTGTTTTAGGTTGTGCCTTTTAACCCACTCATTCGCACGAGCGACTAACAAGAATTCCCCTTTCAATAACCATACAAGGTCAAACAAACAGGTGATAAGAAGAAAGATATTAATCTTATTCTTCGTGCAAGCACCATATTCTCAGAGCTAAAATTTTAGGATTGGTATGACAGAGAGTTAACAGAATTGATACTGAGATACTAGATGTGAAAAGGATTAAACTATGAACTCACTTGTAGTAAGGCGTCTGAATGGCAGCGTCACAGAACTGTTCATTGATGTATGAATGAAGCAAACGCCTATCAAAATCATCTGTCACGTGACCACCATAATTGACCCCAGCCACCTACAATAAAACAATTTCGCTTGTCATTCATACACTAGACTAAGCGAGGCTTTAACAACGACGATCAAACAAGGTTGTTCTTTTACCTTATAACCGATGAATAATTTGTCTCAAATTTGTTCATAGCTTTGATTAATTGGTAATAGAACTTCGTGTCTTCCAATTCTGTCTATAATCATACTCGCAATAAGTCAATCGGAATCGTCGGATTTTGTTCATCAGTCGCATGATTAAAGACCGAACTGGAATTCACCTAGTTCCATTACCATAGATAAAAATGTCAGTGTGTCGCCCATTGTAGCTTATTAAAAGTGTCGCTAAAAAGTTCTCACTTACCAAATATTTCAAGGCGTCCCAAGGGGTCTCTTCATATTCGTCAAGGTAAATACTCAGCAAGTTCTCGGACACTTCGAAATCAGAGTCATTAAACCCATATTGTATGTTCCAACCAAGCATAAGGAACTTTCTTCTCTCCAACAACACGCTGTGGAAGAAACACAACGAGAACAACAGCTTCTTGTACTTGTCCTGTTTGTGACAGCGGCTGAATTGTTGCTCTGTGATCAGCTGGTATAACCGCTTCATGTTCGCCTTTAGACCCTGAGGAGAGATGATGAAATAGTAATAAGGTTTGGATAACAAACTAAATACTTTTCGGCTCCAACTGGTTGCCCCTGAAAGTAATCGGCGGATAACTGTTTGAAAAAAAAAAATGGTGCGTCAACTTGCATCACGAGTTACATTTTTACTGGATCTCCTATGCAGACTGGTCACAAACGTAACTACTAACCTTTGGAGGTTCTGTTGTCATCTTGATGCCGACTTGTAGGATGGAGATTGGGAACTCTGGATGAGGGCTGCTACTCAGCCACAGTCTGAAGTCCGGGTGCGGCTCCTCCACCTGAAGCTGTTCCACCAGCTTGTCAAGCTGAGGCATCCAACTCAGCGACAAGTGACAGTTGGCCAAGAACACCCAGTTACCCTACAGAAATGGTATTAAACGAAAGATAAATTTCCTGCACAAGAGGCAATTCACATTTTTTTAAGAACCCAGTAAAGACTGGAAATTATATCTGATGATATGAAGTGGAAGTTAACTTACATCTTTGACTCCTTCTTTGATCATTCGCGTGGCGATAGGTGCCTGGCCTTGACCTAAAGAGAGGGCATGGAAACGATTCGACATCCCAGAGTTCTCAGCAAGTTGTAACAAAGCACTTGTTGGATCCTGGGTAAAAAATGTAACAGAATATTTGGTTACCACAAATATGCAACGTAAAGGACTCTGGAAGAACCAGTTGAGTTACAAAGCTATCACATTATGGAGGTCTGTGAACAAGTTTGAACAAGCAAAACATGTTTCAACTTTCAGGAAGAATACGACTCACCACTCCTGGCGATAGAACGAAAATCAGAGGGGTTCGTGTTGATGAATCCTCCACCACTGACGCCATGTCTAAAACGGGAGGCTCCACAAATCTAAAATTTTCAGATAAACAGCCAGTTTTATAACCAGAAATACATAAGGTTACCATTTACACCTCCAGGCGATTACAAGGGGCGGATAAATAGAAGAGGTATGCGGAAAGGACTCACTATCGTGGGCGGAGGTAGGGGGGAAAAGCAGTGTTATTACGCAGAAGAAATTTCATGGCTGGAAAAATAAAAGGATGATAAAAAAACGACAGAAAAATCAGTGTCATGGGAAAGCAAATAATGGAAGGAAAGAGAGAAGAACGGGAAACAAAATGTCGGGAACAAAATTAAGTTAGGCATCATATACTTGAGAGACTAGCACAATTGTAAAGCGAGGAAGAATAAAGACGGGGACGTTACATAATACAGTGGAAAGGGAGCTTAAGAATGAGGAGAAAACATTATAGCAGAAAACAGTTGCCATAGTTGCACCTCAGCAGCACAGAAAGTATGTTCAAGTCTGGTGAAATATCTCTTAAAAACACACAAAAAAAAACTTACTTGGAGCCTAGATTGTTTACAATAAATGATGTGGCAGTGAAAGAAACTCGGTCGGGGCGAAGAGATCGAACGATCAGCATCCTCTGTAGCTCGTTACACGCGTTCTCCCATTCACCTGAAGAAACAAATAGAATCACTTTAGAGCGATTGAAACAATAAGCTAGATACTCTGAAAAGACGTCCAAAAAGGAAACCGGAGAAGAACTCTGATATAATTCTAATCCGACAAGCGATTGACTACTAACATGTATATTCAGGTAACTTTGAATCTTTTCTAAATGACAATTTAGATAGATTTGTGGGTGAAGTAAGGGGCATTGAGAAGACAAATTCTCTCGCACAAGAACATAGTAGTACGACCCGGCCAGGGTGGTAAGGGACATTGTGACGACAAATTCTCTCGCAAAAGAACATAATAGTTCGACCCGGCCAGGGTGGTAAGGGGCATTGAGACGAAAAATTATCTTGCCCAAGAACATAATAAAGCGACCCGGCCAGGGTGGTAAGGGGCATCGAGACGACAAATTCTCTCGCTCAAGAACATAATACAGCGATCCCACCAGGACTCCAACCTAGAATAGTTCGCACAATCTAAAATATACCGCGTTAATCGTTCGGTCGCCAAGTTTCTCGTGCATTAAAGAATGAACATTTCTTATTTAAGACGTTTCATTCTAACTTACTCACCGGGTAACGGTGTGTTTTCTGGTTCAGCACTGGTGTACCAGATGTTCCAATCCCTAGGATACTGCTCAAACGATGTGACAATACCATGGAAGTTAGGCAGTCTGATAACAGAAGAAAGAGCAAGCAGATTGTAAGTTAACTTATCGAACGAGGGCCACCAAGGAGAGAACATCCCAAAAACTTGGACTCCAACCGGTAAATGAACTAGCTTGCGAGTAAGTCCTCATTAATAGTGCTGCAGGACGCGTGTTTTTCCGTCAGCGGGGTGATTTGAGATGAGTCACAGAGGGGTTTGTCGGGGATCTGGCACTAAAAATGAGTACTAAACCCCTTGCAGACCTTTCTCCGGCCCAAGGCCTTGTACTTTCGAAGAAACACTCGTGCTATAGCGCTAATAATGAAGGCCAATAATGAGGGCCTTCTCATTAGGTATCTATGAACTCACTTGTCCAACTCAGTAATGTTATCCCATGATGCTTCGTTGAGCCACTGAGTGCATGGGTTATCCATCTGGCCTTCTCTGTCCAGTACCTACATACAGCAAATAATTAATCATGATCATTGTTTTTGCCCATCGAGGGTTCTCCAGGGAACCATTTTGTAACGCTCCAATGAGCCCCGGAGTCTGTTATACTAAATTGGCGCGGGCTGGGATCAGCCATGCTGAATGTAGCCGAGGGGGATTCTTGCAGATTCGGAGCTGCTGCTTATACTCTCTTAACCTTTGAGATCCACAAATAAGTATTTTGCCTCGAAAGATTAAGATTGCCTTAATGAGTGATGTGGAAGCTTAAAATTTATTTCTCAGTGGTCTTAATACAAAGTAGTCGGAAATAAGGTAGTGAAATATCGACTCGTGGAAGGTAGAGAAAATATTTTTTGCCGTTGAATAAGTCTCAAACTCCCAAAATGGAAGACCACAGTCCTACTGCACGAATTGAAATGGAAAGCAAATCAAAGTGGGAACGGGCTGTCGGTACTACTCACCACTCCCCCTCTAAGGAAGAAGTTGTATTCATCCATGTTGAGTTTTCCCGCAGCTTCCAATATTTTTGAGCACATTTGGAAAGAGAAAAGAAGCTTGTGGCGTTCAAACAGACCACGGCAAGTGTATCTGAAAAGCAAGTGAAATATAAAAAGTTCATTGTGATCGGTTAACTGCGTTAGCTGTCATTCTGTTTAAAAGCTCATTACAGTAATTCACAAGAAAAAAACCATGTTTCAAAATTCGCTTGGAATAGTCAATGGATGACTCTTCAATCAATCACTCATCGGTCAATCGTTAATTCAATCAATCAATCAATCAATAAATTAATGAATTATCGATTTATATAATCAATAAGCCGGTCGGTCTATCAGTCAGTTAGTCGGTCGGTCCGTGGATCAGTCACTTAATCAATCAGTCATACATCCATCCGAGAAAAGCGAGACGCACAAAATTGGTATTTTACCCAACCAATCGCCCAATTCTAGAAATTATAATACATCTTTGATTTTATTATTCAGCATTTGATGGCCACCCCACGATAAACAGACAAACTAGGTCGAAGATATAGTAAGTATCCTATCACCAAAATACTTACTTGTAAACAGCATAAGTGTGATAGTCATTAAGGTTCTGAATTCGTATCTCGAGGTTGGGACTCCGTTGACTCTTCTCAATGGAGTTGTTGAACAAATCGATGTACGCGTCGAGAGAGAACTGGTACATAGGATCTATCTTGCCCATGTCATTCAGAACGAAGAAGAGAATTGAGGCTCGCTGCGCGCACGGACGGTAGCCCTGCAGAGGAATAACAGGCCAGTTTGAGTTCAAAAAAGGAAGACAGAAAGACACATTTGGGGAATAAAGAAAAATGCGTTTATATCTCAGTATGAACAGTATCATTACCTCTCTGGCTGCGTCAATCTTGATCTCTGTTTGTTCGCTGACCTGAAGTTGTTCAGCTACCTCCTGTGAGGTTGTTTTGGATGAATTAAGCGTGTTTACGAGCTGTTCATCGTCCAGCAATGAGCCTTGAGCTGTCTGTAACAACCTGACCAAAAGCGAGGTATGGATAAAGAGAGATTTTATTTGTGTTGTTGCGATTGTTAAACAAAGAAAGTATCTGAGCCCCCATAAGGTAAGAAACCCCAGACCTTCGGATTCCGCGCTCCGATACTCTAGCACTGAGTTACGCATAATTCTATGGCGAGCAAAAACAACATTAGGTTCACGTATGACAGATTCTCTGAATGCTACTCGGAAAAGCAATGTTTAAAGTGTCCTGGTGATCAATGCTTTGGTTAAAGATCAAGAAATAATCAAACTAAGAGACTGACTTCCTATAAAGATCTTGTACAAAAGATACTCCTTCCTAAGCTACTTTAGACTCAAGGTCTGGTTTGAGATTATAAGAAGACGTGTTGCTCTTATACTCCTGCAGGGTTTTAGTGGATAACGCATTTAATCATAGAAATTATAATTTCCCCGATTGTGATTAGTTTAAAAACTCCTTTTTTCCACTAATTCACTTGCCAAGTTGTTGTCGCACAGTTTGTTATCGGACAGTTCAATAAGCCAATCACATTCAAAGTTGTACTTTAAATCAACCAATCGATTGTTTAAACAATTAAACAAGTTACGACTCCTTTGTCAGTCTTTTAATGCAAATTTTCCCTTTCTTTCATAATTTAGCCATTCACAAGGTTTGTGGCTTCCATGAGTTCGCTTAAAAAATTTCGCATGTTTTAGAAACTGTTTACCTTAAGATTTCATCCTCCAGCTCTTCAAGTTTCTTTTTATTAGCCGCGATGTTAATTACAAGGGCATCTTTCTGCTCTTCTAGCTCCGGCCTCTCTTTGCGAACTACAATACCAAGCAGCTGGGCCTCCAGACCTATCAAAACACACAAAACAAATTGTCTTTACTGTTTTTTGGGAATAAATAGAACAATCAAACCTTGAAGTGTCGGACAGGCAAAAGTTTGTTTGCCCTCAAATTTTCGCCAACGCTCTGTTTGCGTTTCACAGATGCAAACGCATCATTTAGTTTAGTAGTTAATTAACACAGGTAAAAACCATTTGTTCCGAAAATCTTAATGGACAAGCTAGCAACATTTGTGGATTTTTTTGACTCAAGCAAACGACAAGTGCGCGTGCGCTGCAATTGTTCCGTCAGAATGACGCAATTATATGCGTCACGTAAGTTTTAAAGGAAACTGCAGATGCGTGCGGGCTCACAAAGAGACTTAGGCTCGATTTCGATTGTCTTCGAGAGGTGCACATGTTTGCAAATAATCGTAAAGCAAACATTTTCAAGAGTAAATAACTAACGGCTTTATCTGGACAGGGTTCGTGCATATTTTTATAAAACAAAAACGCAATTCATTTTTCACGTTTCGCAAGGATTAAAAAGGGGTAAAAGCTAACCTTGTTCCTTGACGGCGAAGTTCACAATTGTGGTCTTGGTAGATATCTCTGGAGTGTAGTGAGGGTTACTCAGTTTCGTTGTAATGTAGAAACGGAATTCAGGGCTGTACTCGACTTCTTTGTCGCCAAGCCGAATCAGCAACCGACCACCTAAGGAAGAAAGGTAAGAAACTCAGTTTCTTGAATGTTTTACTATGTACTCTTGTATCAAAAAGGTTGTCAATGACGTTTGCAAAAAAAATCCTTTAATAAAAAGAGGCTTAAGTCCAACTACGTAATAAAGTATAAATTGAACGCGTTAGATTAATCTCAACATTTGGCCTAAATATAGATTTAAAAACTTCAAAAAGTCCCAAACAATAGGGGTTGTAGGGAAGTAGAATCCTAGAATACTTTCGTTTCTAGATTGATGTGATTAACTTAGCAGTATACAATTGTAAGGGCAGGCTATAGAATAAACAAGGAATACAAGCAATGTCGAGTGCAGCATATATCTTGAAATTACCTATAGCAAGAGCTTGTATGGCCACTGAACAATTTATAACAACTTACCTTGCTTGATTATCGATTTGTTCAGGATCGGCGCCAAAGACGGATCGAGCTCTTCCTGCAAGCAAAAATTAAAATTACATAAAGAATCAAATCACTTGGATGGAATTTTATAGTATTTTTTTAAAAAATGTCACTCGTGAAGTATTTTTTTATCATCCAAGTAAAGCGCAAACCGATCAACGGGCAAAAAGTTTGATACGAGCAGAGAAAAGGACAAAATTCAGTGAGGGGTGTAGCCACTTACTTGTACGTTCTGCAATAAAACTGGGTTACCAAACTGAACGGAGTTTTCCAACGTCCTCAGGTAATCCGACTGTTGTAAGTCAATTATTTTTAGACCCTGAAGGAAAGAATGATGAAAACTCGTGTTAGAAAGAATGATGAAAACTCGTGTTAGCTCTAGAGGGAACACCGAAAAGAAGAAAGCACATAACATTCAGGCGAAACGGTGTAGATTTGTCGGGAAGTAACCAAACGTCTTTCTAGCAAAGCGACCGGACACCTTTTAAAAGTCTCTACTGGTAGTTCTACCTACCTTCTTAGTTTCCATGTTTTTGATCCATTTAATGGCCTGTCCTTGCGGATCGATCATCAAGGGCCATCTTAAATTAAATTCAGTAATATCATAGCGTAAATTTCAATTCAGTGTCAAATGTAATCCAGTGTTACATTGTACTTTCTTTTCTTAGGTCTGTATTTGGTCTAGAAACTCCTTGCATCACCCTCTTAACCACACAGATCTAGCAGTTTTTTTTTTTTTTAAATTTAAGTTCTCATTACCTATTTGCACGTTTTTCGCTCGCGCTCATTGGCCTTTGCGATCACTATAGTTGTAGTGTTTCGGTTCTCAATCAAAATGCGTTCAATCATTTGATGTAATGTTTGAACATTTTGTCTTCGGACTGAGTTCGTGCGAATTGAATGACCAGGTCACCCGCTTTTAAACAAGTTAAACAAGTTTATTGCTTAACAATTTCGAGTACATCAAGTTTTACCTGCTTCCTCTTGTCACCATCACACCATTCTCGGTTGAAAAGGAGTCCGACGGCAAACCCTTTTGGACAAAAAATGCATAGTTAAATCTTAAGAAGAGTTCAGTGAGTTCAAAGATTTAATTTGTAGAGAAATAGAGTAGCTGCTACCATGAAGACGATCTTGGGTCATTTCAGCAAGCTTGATACATGGTTAATTGACTTTGTCAATTGAGTTTATAAATTACTGGCCAACCTAAAGAGTTTCTAAAGGTAACGTTTCAAGCGTCAGCCTTTCGTCAGAGTGATGAAATGAAGGGCTCCTTCTATTTTCTATTAGCTCTATTATTAGACTAATGCTCCAAACGGATGCAGCCTTTTCGTCAGAGTATCAACTCAGTTGATAAAACCAAAATGAACTCCGGACGCAACACCACACCCTTACCTGATACCTGATTGTTTTGAGAGGGATATTAGTGAAAAAAGATCGTTAAAAATACTCGTACCTGAATGTTCCACTCTCTGACGGTAGTTGGCTTGGCCAGAAAATTGGAGAAGGAGAAGTTTGGATTGCACGCCACATTCAACTGCCGAACCTAACACAGAAACAAGCAAGCGGGTAGTTGGTTTTGCAACTAAATAAAACAGTTGGTATCATTTTAGCTCGGTCAAGGCAATTAAGTTGTAATCCAACTGCACAAAACTTGTTTAGAATCTACAATGAAGCTACACAATTATCATTAGCGTCAACGTATACAAGGTGCAAAACTATTGCAGTGTAGTTAAGATTACGAAAGTTACTTTTCGGTTCTTAGTACAGTAGAACCTCCATTCAGGAGACACCCTCGTGACCAGGGCAAGTGTCTCCTAAAAATAAGTTGGATTGGGGTTTGTTCATAGTAAACCATCCCGAAAAAATGACATCAACTGAGATTTTAACCTTTGGCAAACAATTTACATCTGTCATCAAATAATTTACGGTAATAAAAAGGTCATGTTATGTGAAAGCAGTCATCATTGTAATGCACAAGTAATCTTTGGGGTCATCCACGTTTTGAATGGTTAAGGTGTTCCTCTGAATGGAGGTTACAAACAAAGTGTCCCTTTCACTTAAGAAGAGGTGTCTCTTTAAAAGAGGTAACGGATACAAAGATTATATGAGGTTCCACTATAATTGGTTCTCGATTTTCATACGTTCACAATCTTGACTGCTTAAGTGTTTTTATTTATTTTGCTACGTAAGCACCTGCGCGAGCCAAGTTTTTTCTACAAGCTCGTCTCTGTAGTTGGACAGGAATGGTCCAGCGTAAGACAAGAAGGCTGCAGCAATCAAACAGTCTCCTACCAGATAACCAATATTTTCCTCCAAAATCTGTGTGAAAGGAATATGACAGTTAATAATGACAGTAAGATCAGTTCTTTGAACGCATTTCTCAAGTCTCAATAAGTTTATAAATTAAGAAATAATTAATTCAAACAGAAAGAGAAGTAAACATAACAAATAAACATAAACACAGTGTTTAGGAACCCCAACTGATAGAAGGCAGACCAGCCGGCTATATACAATGAAGAGCCAAGTAATTGGACTCAAGGCCAACCGAAACAAACCTAGTGAGAGGCTGGGAGAACGGCTAGAACCTGGGACCAAAAGACAACAAGAATAGCGCCCTTACCACTCTGCCACTCTGCCTCCACTCCTTGGAGTATGGAATAAATTTCAAAAATTATCTAGACCAATCACAGAGCAAAGCAAATCCGAACCAAAGCAACTTTGGATTACTTTCGACAGTCAGTTGAAAACTACCCTATCAGCTTTTGCTACAAAGCAGTCATTTCATACCTTGACACTAGCTTCCCAACGATCCCTCTCTCCAGCCAGACCTGACACCAGTTTACCAGCACGTTCAAGTTTCAACTCAGTGATCTCTGCTTTCTTCCTCAGTTCCTCCTTCTGAGCGGATTTCTCGTCATATTGTCTCTTAAGCTCTTCCATCCGATCCGTAACCTGTACAAAAGTGATCAACGTGAGAATAGCCTAACTTATAATAGGATGGTACATTTAAAAAAACGCCAAATTCTCGAGAAAACGTCTACATAGACAAGGGAAGAAATATGAGTTTGATCTTAGTATCTTAAAGGTCAAAAAAATTTTTATGCGAATACCGTAATAGAAGCAACAAGCCGTAAGGTATCAGTCAGTTGTGAGATAGATAATTTGAAGCATTATAAATAGGGTAGTGTCCTTTAGAACATTAAATGTACTTTTCAAACACAATTTTACGACTAATTTTGATTTATTCGACAGTGCAACAAACTTAGCCGCGACTTTTTAAACTGCTGAATTAATCACTGTTGAGTACTTGCCACCTAAGCAGGAAATAGCGTGGGATCTTAGCATTCGACAGAAGTTTTTGAATCCTTTGTCTTTCAGTCCTGAGCGACTGGTAGCAATTAATGTGGGTTGCGGAAAGTTTGCAAGCTATGATAGAGGGGCGAGGATGGGAGTCTATCTGAGGGCTGCATGAACATTCTAGGGGTGCTACAGTTGATCGCTGTTTACCACTTCGAATGGTCGAGAATGTTCCACGTCAACAGCCAAAATTGTAGTTTTAAACATTTCTGACCTACCTCTTTCAGCTTGGCCTTAGCATCAGCTAACACAGCCTGTTTCTCTTGCAGCTGAGATGTTGCCTGCGCCAGCCTCTGTTTTTTAGGCTCCACCACTCTGTAGATTCGTCCATACACCTCCATGGCTCTTACCCACATACAGAGTGACTTAGCTGCCAGCGACACGCGTCCAATGATCTCTGGTTGAAAATCTGGTTGAGCGCAATAGGTGCCGATTTTTTTCAGGATTCGGTCTGTCATATTGTCCTTGTCGTAGTTGACCAATTGTTTGATGAAGTTCTGGTCACCTGTAAAGATTTGAGTTTTGAAAAATTTCTTTAGTTATTTTTTGAGGAGTCGTTTTCAGGAGGTGAGCTAGAGTGACTTGCATCTAATTTCTTCTAATACTTTCTCTTCAATGTTCTTTAATCCATTACAAACACTTCGTCAAAATAGTGGAAGGGAGAACGGTTCTTGTTAATGAATGAATTCTATTTATAACTGGAGTGGACTTGCCAATCATTTCGAACTAACTTCAAGCGTCCTTAACTTGTCAGGGAGGCTAGAAAGATGAAAGAAGAGAAAAAGGAAGCAGCACCCACCAAGCTGTCTCTTGGCTTCAGCCCAGGTAGGCTCGCCTCCCCTCAAGATCATGACAGCCTCCATCACTTTCTCCACCAAGGCAGGTGGGCGGCCGTATGATTTGATTTCCGTCATATCCTTCTTGTTCAGTGATTCTAAGGCCTTAGTAGCTTCGGCGAGAGCTGGCAGAGCTTCGTCCAAGTCGTGTTGGGCATTGTCTGCCATTACTCGGCATTTGTCTTCCTCCTCTGCGATCTTCTCGCTTCTGGCTTGTACGATCTGTTAGGAAATTAAAGAAAGTGAACATTTTAAAAATCAAATCAAACCAGTTTATCTAACCATTCACTTAAGAAAAGTTTATACAGATGCTGGACTAGAGACTGTTCTTACTGCTAACAATTAATTGAAAATAAACTTTGAAGGTGTGTCACTTTTGGGTAAACGCATTCAACTTCTCGAAAATGGATGGCGATATTAACAAAAAGGTGAAAGCCACACTTAGTTTTCGTTTGTGTACCAACTGTACCAAAAGTTTGGGATGAAAGGGGCGATGGGTGCATGTAAAATAAAAATATCAAATTCTTATTCAACAGGCAAAACTTAGCCTGCCATCAAACTCTCGAGGGAATCTATTGTAGAACCCAATTACTGGAATATCCTACTTACTTCCCTAAAGCAGGCTGCTATATATATATACGATTACAGTACGTCGTTGTTACCAAAAGGTAATTGTGATCGTGTAGCATGATGATCGTGCCGGAGAGAGTGGTCCTGAAAAGGACTGCTGGGTGACAGCACGATCAGCCTAAAGGACCAAGATTTACGATTATTCTGATAAAGAAGTCCACGTTACAGACAATAACCTTCTGTTGTTCATCCGATAAGCGTCTAAACGGCACAATCACCACAATTATTTTGATAAGAATTCTGAAACTGAACAGACGATACCTTGGCTTTCATCAGCATCGATCGACATGGACTCCACCTAGGAAAAAAAAGACATCCCTCTGAAATTTTTCATGATGAGCAACTTTTCTCTTGGCTTCAGCATCAAGTTCGATCGACATGGACTCCACCTGGGGGAAAGAAACATCTCTCTTAAATTTCTAGACGATGACTATCTTTTTCTTTTTTATTCCGCTAATCTTCCTTACAACTAAACGCCAGAAAGATGCTATGATGATACCCTCTTTATTGGTCATACACGATCTTCGCTGCAAAGAACCAAGCACCTTTCATCGTCTCAACATTCGTTTTGCTATTTACCGAATGTTACGCACTTTACTCCTCAAGAAGAGTGACAACAAGACTGATTGCAGCACAAGGCAAATGACAGTTTAGAAGAGGAACCACACTCAAGTCGTTATCAAAAATATTCTACAAAAATCTTCCTAAAAGTTAGTCGCTCAAAGCGACAAATCGTGTACCTTGGCTCTGGTATCATCAATTTTGTCCAAACCATTTCTCAGCTTACTGGCTGCGTCACCAAGTTCTTTTCTCTTCTCATAAAGCAACCTGGAAGTGAAAGCAAACACCAAAAGTTTACAGCCATTTAAAAACTGCAGTCTAGTGAAGGGCTGGTGGGATGGTGTAACAGGATTGGTTGGGACAGGATTTTACTCGTTGTTTGTGCAGTCGAATCTGTATTAAGCGGTCACCCACGGGGAATGGAGTAAGAACCGCTAAATACAGGTCACAAAGATTAGGGGTGTTATGAAAAACGATACATAACGCCACTTTAAGCCATAATTGACCACTAAATGGACAGAATCTCGCTCAAAAATACCACTTATTTTGATTTTGGGAGATATACAAGAATTAAAAATTACTTGAAAGATTATTCTCAGTTATATTGGAGTGGTTCCGCTTTCAGCGACCGTTCGTTACGGGTGGAAAACAATAAAAACAGGCTGTTGGGACTTAGTAAAGGGTGACCGCGACCGCTTTATAGATGTGACCGCTTCATAGAGGTGAATATAACGGTGATCAAGGGAAAAAAAATTCAGGACTTTGACAACTAACCGCTTAATATAAGGTGACCGCTTGATACGGTGCCGCTTAATACAGGTTTGACCCATTTAAACAGGCTCGTTAAAATACGGCACAACTCGTAAAAATATTCAGCGATATCACATACAGCAAAGCGTCTGATAAGATACATCTAAATATATATTGAAGCTACAAGTTAAACATGCGTGGGAGATCAAAAGTCGCATCCTGCAACTTCTTACGTTTTATATCCAGACACAAGCTCCAAGTAATTGGTAGGTGTGACGTAGTTATGACGTTTCACTTCAATCAACATCCGTTTACTGGTCTCCACAACTGATCTATGGACTGTCACAAATATCTGCGCCACGTTGCCTTTAGTCTAAATCATGAAAAGGAAGAGATATTCATGGAGCCGTACTGAATATAATGAAAAAATATATTCAAGAGGACTCCCCCGAGACTATAAGAGGTGTCCCAAGGAAAAGGTGACCCTTGGATGAATACTATAATACAGAGGCTATGGGAGAATTCAGTACCTGAGCAACTGCGCACCTAGCCCTCCCCTAACATAACATTAACCCTAATTTATTATCAGTTGACTCTTGTTGGGTTAGGGGAGGGGTAGGTTTTGTTAGGTTAGGGAAGGTGTAGGTGAGCAGTTGCTCAGATACTAACATTGATCCAGCTTTTTCGTGTGGACCTAAAGTCTGTTTTACTTGAACGAAGATGTCTCCTAATGGAGGTGTACCCAACGACTTACGTTATTGTAATCATTTTCAATTTTTTTTCGATCAATTTTCTGAGACAAACAAGTGGGACGTCTAACAAATAGGATCTGAACAATACCCCAAAATGCAGTACATGTTCAGCAATATTCCTTTTAATTTGTTAAACGACTTGCTCAGTATTTCAGTATCCCTTCCACCCACAAAAAGAGGAAGTCAAACACGAAAATCAATAATTGAATGGAGTAAAGAAAGTGAAGGTTAGAAGAATGTTCAGGCAACAACCAAAATAGCGGATCTGCATTACATTTCTTCCACAAAAATTTAACATGGTCCACAACTTCAAGGGGCTCTTTCTACAGTACAGTTGCATTTGCGCATGCTCTACCCAGATATAAACATCTTAGTGTCCCCTTTTTTCCTTAGATCGTAATACAGAAAATACATCCTCGCTCCTCCAGAAGTACAAGAAGACTTTCAACACATAGCTTGAGTTAAATTGAAACGGATCGTTTTGTGCTATGTTTAAGCTACTGCAAATCTAAGCATGGTGCATTTTCAGGTACCTCGTCGTCGCTCAGGTCCATACTTTCTAAATACTTCTCAGCCACCTCCAAAAGAGCGTCGTGAGGCCACTCACTGAACCAGTCGATCGTAGTACAGTTTACAAAAGCTGGGTACATCCGAATACGGTTCCTGAAAATTCAGAACAGAAGCCTGAGGAGGGAGTACTTCCTAGTAATAGGCTGATAGGGATGTGCCGCTGGATGAAGTCGTATTTTCACGACTGGATTGATTATGTCGGCAAGTTTTCGGGATTTTTGGGGTAAGAAAATCTGGTAAGTAGGGATTTAAAAATGGGAAGATTCGCGTGTAAATGACTATTTATTTTCTCCACGCGGAAGCCTTACAACTGGACACACGAGGGAAAAAAGCGGGGGTTGAAAGAAAGCATGTCACGGCTTTTTGAATCATTTGATTTGACATCCAAAATTTCCCCAAAAAAATATCAAGTAGAAAAATTAATTAAAATTAAGAAGACGACCACTTCGGAGGTAAAATAATGAAAATAGAAAAAAAAACAAAGAAACAAAGAAGAATAAAACCCAGATGATATGCAGAAAATGGGCGGAAAGGAGCGGCGAGCGCGCAAAAAGTGGAGAAGATGTACCCACCGGAAAAGACGCATTATAGAGGGAGCTTTGTCATAATGCATGTACAAGTTCAGTTGGATAGAAAAACAAAAAATGAAAAGGAAAGCAAAGGATGGAGAACATCACACGGAGTTTCAACCAAAATCTTGGCTCATTTTTCAAGATGCACAAATTATTACTAAGCTCTGATCAAATACAACAAAATTACACAGAAAAAACCACGTGATTTACACCAGCCTACCTGAAGATATCACCCACTGGACTCATGCACAGAATGATGTGTAGGTTACTCCTGACTCTCTCAATAAAGTAATTAAACATTGTCTCTGGCATGTCGAGAATGCCTTCTTTACGAGCATCTTCTGCTAAAGCAGTGCGAACCTGTAGAGACATCATAACATTGTCACTGTTAGTTAGTGTGGTGCAGTTTAAATCAGGGATTATGGTTAACTTCACTTTAAGAGAGAGGTTTTTGTTGATAGGTTCTAGAATTTGACGTTGCTATAGTTATCAATATTTAAAGCGTTCTGTTTCTGTCTTCTTAACCTTGAATGTTATCTCTAAATGAGCCGTAAGTGCATACCGTCAAGGACATGAGGGTATCAGCGGCTCTGTTTGCCTCTGACGAACATACCGGACTTCCACGACGACAAAGAAGCCGGAAAACGAAAACAATAATCTTAGCATAGGGAATCCCAACATAATACTTTACACAAACACAACAGAAAAAAAAAAAGAAAGAAAATTGAAGCATTTATAAAGAGCTGTAAAAGGAAATAAACGAAGAGGGAAGGAAAACTCCAGACTTTTCGAACATAAAGCTTATTCACTAACTGATATCCTGTTGATTTACCAGTTTTGAACTTCACCAACAATTTTACACTCTTCTTCTTCTTCGTGACTTACTGGCATGTCCGAATGTTTGTTACTCGAGGGAGATAACTTGGTTCTTACAGCCTGAAAGCGCGTTACCTTGCAATTACAACGTTCGCAAATGCGCAGAGGTTTGACCGCTATGTTCCGTCTACAGTCGCTCCACAACTGACCGCAATCAAGCTTCTAATGTGTCATAACTGTAGCTCATTATAAAACAGCTTAAGGACCACAAATCAAATCAAAAAGCGATCAAACAAGCCATTCATATGAAACACAAAGGGGTCTTCCATTGACGTGAAAACAAATGAACACGAGTCAGGCTTACCTCCTCAAACTCCTCAGGTTTGTACAGATTTGGTACTTCTCCGCTGCTGAGGATGTTACTGATGTCTTCAAGGAAAGATTCTTCCAGTGCTTGGGTGTCGTTGAACAAGAATACTGTAGGTTTGTTGTCCACACCAGTGAGGTAATACAAGCGCTTTAAATCTGAGGTATCAAGACATCTAGTTAGAGCAGTTCTCTATGAAGTCTCATAAAACCCAAACCAAAGCAACGGCCGATTTGAACAAAGGGAACTAACTCAATTTATCGAACAAATCTACAACTGGGAATGAGCGAGGGATAGACCATTTCTGGTTTTACGTTTGCTCCTAGTTGGATGTGTGGCTGGCCAGCAAGAGATCCAAAATTAATCACAATGCTAAGACCAAAGCAATCGAAGATTCCTTTAGAAACTACATTCAGAATTCCGCTATCACTGCAATGTTACTCACCCTCCCTGAACTCGATCTTCCTGTAGTGCTTAGTGACTTCTATCTGGAACACCTTGAAGCCGATGATGTAGGCCGACAGACGACTGAGACTCTGCCGCCCGCTGCCTCCAATTCCAATCAGCAGCATGTTGCCACGAGGCTGGGCAATAACACGGATTATGCGGGTCACTGTGCCGAAAGAAATGAGTATGTTTCTCAAATCGATCATTGAAGTTGTGCACACTGATTCGTGAGTAAAGTCGGCATTTAATATTGACTTACGTAGATCCCGGAGCCCATACAGGTTTCTGTACAAGAAACGACTAAGAGTTTCGCTACTCCCCGTGGATGGGAAGCTAAGTCCATAGCATGCCCCCCCCCCCGTATTTCGTCATACTAAGAGTGGTGCGACTCCTCCTGAATGGGATGCTAGTTCATAGTATGCCCCCTTCCCCGGTATTTCGTCAGGCTTAGAGTCTTGCTAATCCCCTTGTATTTCAATTAAGTCCATAGCATGCTCCCCGGCATTTCGTCACGTGAAAAGTATCGCTACTCCTCCAGAATGGGATTTTAGTTCATAGCAAGCCCCCGGTATTTCGTCAGACTTAAAGTCTTGCTACTCCCCCTGGACGTAATGCTAGTTCAAAGTATGCCCCCCAGCATTTCGTCAGACTAAGAGTATTGTAACTCCCCCTGAATGGGAGTCCATAACAAGCCCTCCTCCTTGGCATCCAATGGATGGCGATATCCACCCTTTAAACAACCTAGGCCTGATTGCTTAGAGGCAATGTGAGAGCTAATAGTATGACCCAAGAACACGAACAATCCGCAAAAACGGCCATTCCGTTTTACATCTTTCACTTTTTTCCTCAGATATTAGGTTTATCATGTCACCTGTCTTAGCAATGAAGAAGCCACATAGTTGCGCGGATCAATGTCAGTATCTGAGCAACTGATAGCGTACCTTCCCCTCCCCTCCCCTAACCCAATAAAAATCAACTGATAGCGTACCTTCCCCTCCCCTAACCCAATAACAGTTAACTGATGGCGTACCTTCCCCTCCCCTAACCCAATAACAGTCAACTGATAGCGTACCTTCCCCTCCCCTAACCCAATAACAGTCAACTGATAGCATACCTTCCCCTCCCCTAACCCAATAACAGTCAACTGATAGCGTACCTTCCCCTCCCTTAACCCAATAACAGTCAACTGATAGCGTACCTTCCCCTCCCTTAACCCAATAACAGTCAACTGATAGCGTACCTTCCCATCTCCTAACCCAATAACAATCAACTGATGGTGTACCTTCCCCTCCCTTAACCCAATAACAGTCAACTGATAGCGTACCTTCCCCTCCCTTAACCCAATAACAGTCAACTGATAGCGTACCTTCCCCTCCCTTAACCCAATAACAGTCAACTGATAGCGTACCTTCCCCTCCCCTAACCCAATAACAGTCAACTGATAGCGTACCTTCCCCTCCCTTAACCCAATAACAGTCAACTGATAGCGTACCTTCCCCTCCCTTAACCCAATAACAGTCAACTGATAGCGTACCTTCCCATCTCCTAACCCGATAACAATCAACTGATGGTGTACCTTCCCCTCCCTTAACCCAATAACAGTCAACTGATAACAAGTTACGGTTCATGCTAGGTTAGGGGAGGGGTTGGTGCACAGTTTCTCAGATACTGACACTGATACAGATATACCACCACAACTTCTTACCATGTTCAATAGCGTCCCTGAAGAGCACAAGATCCATGGAAATCACCCCTGGTTCCATGTTGTAATCCTCCAGCTGATCTTCCATGTATTTCTTGAGCGCCTTGAAGTCCATCATGTCTTCATACACGGCGCCATCTTTCATGAAGTCACCTGTAGAGTGCACTCAATGTAAGCATCATTGCAAAAGACAGCTACATCCACACAATGTCTCAGACGAGCATAAGAACTTTATAAAGAGGCAGGTTTTAATCAAATCGCATCATCAATAAAGAATCGCGTTGGTTACACTTTGCTACGCTGTCTGGTCTAAAAGCTCAAGCCTATATGAGGCTGGGTGGTGCGCGGAACTACGCGAGTGGCTAAGTCGTTTCAGTATACTCGTAGAGATTCTCCAGCTCTGATTGGTCGAGGATTGCGTCATATTTTGCAATAATTACCTCGCACTGGGTGAGCAGAGAAAGGCCTCGAATTTCAAAAGTGGCTGCCTCGCATTTTGTCAATGTTACCGAAGTGTTTAACGTGATAAAGAAAATTGAATTCCAAACAGAACGAAAGTTGCTACTACGTTTGTCGAAACACTTTCAAAAGTACGATATGAAGCTTTGCTTTAAAATTAAATTAAACTGGAAAATTAAAATTAACTGGCTGCCTATCTCGACACGAGTAATGAAAACTATTCTAAAAAAATAATCGCAGGGTCTTCTCAATTAACATTATGGTGCTAGTTTTGTGGATTTATCACAAGAAACAAAAACAATGAAACCTTTGACGCCTTTCGACTTCAACTAAAAATTGTCTTGCAACAAATACTTTTTGTGTTTCGACAACAGAGTGTGACGTTCCTATGGTCGTAAAGAATTCTGTCAAAAATCCTCTCGTTAAGGAAAGTGACTAACCGAAAATTGGCGGTTGTTTGTTAGGGCAGAGGTTGTGGAAAGTCAGGTCGAACATCGTTCCAAGCTTATCACTTAAAAGTGCCACAAAGGCTTCGTGGTCCCCTGCATCAATAAGACGATCAGAGAATACTCTGAAAAAAAAAAAATAATCACATAAGATAACGAAAACATACTCCGAATGCACGTTTATCGTGGATGCTGTTTTTGCTCCACTGATTTACTATGTGGATCAACTGAATACAAAGGAGAACAAGATATTCCTCCTCTCAAACTAAAAACATCTTAGACAATGTATTTTGAACATTTTGCGACACACGTCTTGAAATGTTATAAATAACACAAAATATTTTGAATTCTGTCTACTCGAAACTTGTAAAGTTGACGCAAAACGACTGACCAAAGTGGCAAAGTACCATGAACTATGTAATGAAGTGTTTTAACTGACCCAGATCTTCATGAGTGAAAGCATGTAAAAACTAGCACAAATCACCCCTTTCTCAATCATTTTATGATTATCAGAACCAAATTTTTTCACCTGAAGCACTCATGAACCCAGAGTCTGGACATTGCTGTCTTAGTGTCATGGAAGTCTTTGTTAGCGCGGAGTAAGCCTTGAAATACCTTTAGTAAAGAAAGAGAAAATATCACGTACGTATGCAAGATAAGGAAACGAAAACAAAGTTCAAAAGAAACCTGAGCTTGAGACGAGAAAAACGCGGTCAAATGTCAACGTTTTTAGAGCATTTCTAAATTATGTTCAAAGTTTCCCTGTTCTTGTATAAGCTTTCTTGTTGAATAAGTTTCCTATTGCATGCGTTAAGCCATCTCTAATATTCCAAGGTTTTGGCTTGCGTCATAATAAAACGATTAGCGCTCGCGCTTATGACGTCAGAATATTCAAAAGAGAAAAGCCCACGTGGATTTAACACAGCGGTCAAACGTTGCGCATGTGCCATAACTAGGTGGCGCGTTTTCAGGCTTTCACAACCAAGTTGTCTCACACGAGTTACAAACAACCTTACAAACCAGTACTCACGGTGTTTATAATCATTTATAATTTTGCTCGGGAAATTGGCGCGCGGGCAGCCAAAATTATACCCTTGTGCATGCCCGACGTTTGCTTCACCGCTGAGTTGAGACAGTACTTTCTAGATTCCAGATACTTTAACCATAATTAGTAAATACCCTTGAAATGTCTCTTAGGTTAAAAAGGTAATGTATCTTGGTAGGAGTCGGAAGCATTCTGGCAACGATGGCGTTGTAGATATCAATGGTTGCCTAAAAAGAACACAAAAATGTAAACAATCTCAGTAATTCTCCAATTTTTGTGGAATCATAAATAACCAAGCGCCAACCCAGTATAATTATGGGCGAAGTCAATCACCTGGGTCATGAGATCACCAAGAGCCTTGACGTCTTCTTCAAAGTCCTGCAGCTTCTGGTTGATCATGGTGCCAAAAATACGCTTGATTTGACTTTCCTGAAAACAGCGAGTAATAAGTGACAAACTGAACTGTTAAGATAATAACTCCTACACAAATCTTGCAGCCATGCCTGATACAGCGGAGTACTGACAGGTGAGCAAATCTATTCCTGTTTAAGAACACAACAGGCTATTTCCATAGATCCTGCGCAGAGCGCCGGGAACGACTACCAGGTTCATAGTTTTCTCATTAAACCCTAATTTAAGCTACTTTAGAAGGTGGCATACAATTGATGGGCGCAAAAACCCGCTATGGTGAGATATTTCCTATTATCATATAGCTGGTAGCGCCTGTGGGAAAGATGCATGGAGCGGACTTTCAAAGTTCGTAATTTCTGGACAATGCTGGAAATGGAATCACAAGAAGTGTCAGAAGACAGTCAAAAAAAAGAAAACATAAACAAGCACACGCCATCACAGTTGGCTTTCTTTGCAAGCGCTCGAAAATAAACAAGTCATTCAAGATTCTTGTTGAAGCGAAATCTTTATGCGTTGTAATAAATCCTTTATTGACCGGGCCTGTTTGGTCAAGATGGCTGTATATTAACTTCGTTCTTAATTTGCGACTTCATGGACCTCGACTTCGTCTCGCGAAAAATAGAACTCGGCCAGTTCCCAGTCATCTTGACCTCACGGTTGGTCAATAACGCATATTTATCTACCTGAGGGAAAGTCATGTTGATCAGGTTAAACCTGCTCTGCAGTCTCTTGGAGATCACCATCCTGCCACCGCCCGGAGGACCCATGGAAGCCAACAAATGCATGCCCTGTTAAACAACAGTGAGAGGACGAATGTAAACGAGCTACAATGGTTTACAAGTAAATCTTTCTATTGAGCGCATCTCAATTGAGTGTCACATTACAAACACCAAAGTATACATAAAAACCAGTCTGAACCAATGTAGATATCACAAGGTTCCGTCGATTAAGTCCAAGTAAAAAGAGCTCACAGCGTGGAAAAGCAACAACAATTCAACAATTGGCTAGGAGGATGGCGCAAGATTTCTAGACCAATATAAAAGCGGGGAAAAGAAAAAACAATGCAATGATTCTTTGGGAAGGTGGCGCGAGTATTATAAGTGGTGCAAGTTTTATAGACCAATCACACAGTGGGGAAAAGCAACAACAATGAAATACTGGACTGGACTTTCGACACTCAATCAAAACATTGTTTCAATCATTTAGAGTGACAACGAAACACAATGTGGTTGGGGTCTGCAATTTCGAATCACGACCAAAGAGGAAAATCGAAAAAGACACGGCTACAGTGAAACAAATGTGTTGTTGTATCGTGGCCCAGTCTGTCATTCATGAAACGGAGTATTACATTTCTGAGTAGAGAGTGCAATTATTACACTTACCTTTATGTACTTCACGGTCTGCTTGAGTCGATCATACCAAAAGCCATAATCTAACCACAGCCTAATAAGTTCAAGGGGTGGCTGCGAACCAAATGTGTCTTTAGCGGGCATGTTGAAGTCATCCATGAAGTTGATCAGCTGTTTGCCACCAACAGGCACGTAGACACCTTGATAAACACACAATAACATACATTGATTCGAAAATCGAAAAAAAAATCTCAGAGAAAAATAAAAGTCTCAGAGAAAAATGAACAAAGAGATGAGTCAGCAATTAAAACAAAATTAATGCCTGAACAACAACCAATCTGTTAATTATTGTCCTGTAACCAAAAATAACCCTGACCCCCACCCCGCCAAGCTCAAAGCGTCAATTTTTAAACCCCCCCCCCCTCCCATTCCCACACAACAAATCCGAAACGAACTTAGGCACACAGGAAACGCTGCTTTTCAAATTAGAATTACTAAATATGAAATTCTCCTGGCATGCACCCCATTAAACATAAGGAAAAGTTGGGAGAATTTGCTTGATAAAAAATATGACATACCTTTTGTTCTTTTCTCAACTTTGCTCTCGATGATCTCTTGAACGTTGTTCGAGGAAGTCTAAGGAAAAGAATACAGTCAATGAAAACAACACCTCCACGGAAAAAGCCGCACTCTACTGGTCATTGTATGATCTCCAGATACCCAAATAACAAGAGAATTCAAAAGAGAACACGGTAAAAAATAAGTATTGGTAACAATATGATTTCGAGTGCAATTTGGTGTTAATAAGCACGAGTAAATTTTTTAAAGGCAACAAAATTACACGAGCCCGTAAGGCGAGAGCTATTTGTAATTTGCACTCGTGTCACAACTTTGCACTCGTGTTATACGAAAAATGCACTCGTTTCCAGCCAATCAGTGCATGTATATTATTAATCCTGAAACTTAACTCTCAACTTCATCGTACACTGTACCTGTGCAGACATATTTATAACCAAAAGACTGTAGGTCTTGGGATCCAGTCTCTGCAACACTTTCTGTGCTAAGGAAGTCTTTCCAGTTCCTACGGGTCCCGTTAGAAGGACAGGCCGCTTAGCCTGCAGTAAACTGTACACCAAGAAGTCGTACCGCACTGTGTCAACTGTCGGGACCATGATCTTATAAAATGGCATGCTAGGAAAATACATGAAAAAAAAATAATAAAGTTCAAAGCAATAGCAGAATGGTTTCTTTTAAACTTTAGTATTAAAGGCAGTGCAGATTTTTGAACCAACAGGTTTTTAGCTGCAAGAAGATGTTGTTCAGTGAATGAAACAGACATACTCGGAGAAAAAGAACCCCGAGGTGCTCCCAATAGGAGTCCAACCTACGACCTTTTGCTAAGTACTTCGGAGGCTCCAATCGCTTAGCTATGGGAGACTCGTGGTAGGCAGTTACACTAATTTTACTCAAAGGAACCAAACATCATCTAATATCTGTGATGAACCGTCACTCTCAGACGGAGTAGTGGGTATTTCCTAACTGAACAACAGCTTTATGAAAGTAGAGTAATGCGTTACGTAGCAATAGTAAATGAATGAAATTGATTTCATCAAAATTTATGATTAGATTCCTCCACGGGAAAGAAGAACCCTCTAAAGTATGCCCCAATCCCAAAGTGTGGCTTCGTAGCTCAGTTGATAGTAACGCCCGCCTAGTATTTGGGAGACGTGGGTTCCAATCACGTCGAAGCCCGAATTTTTTTCACGTTTCTTTGCTGCAACTGCTTAAATTGCGGCTCATCCACGTATATACAAGGATCGTTGCTTAACACAATTTTCACCCGCAGGTTAAATAAAATTTATTTCACTAAAAATTAATTATGGAAAGCAATACAAATGACTTTTCCACATACTTGGGCGTGTATCGCCAACCTGTCCTGAGTTTGTCCTCCCACAGAGCCCAAGCCTTCTGTTTCGTATCCACATGATACTCATATACTGTATCCTATAACAAAACAGAGTGCATTACAGTCGTTCAGTCTTCCACAAGGAGGTCTTTTATGAGCAAGGATGCAATATTTGCCAATATATAAACTTGGTTCATTGTTTAAAATGCCAAGTGTGCCAATCATCAAACATATACAATTTCCATGCAATGAAGTCTTCCTTCTTCCTTTCCTAACATTTTATCTTCAAAGTCTAAAGAAAAGAGGAATTTTCTTTTTCATGTTCTGAAATTTGCGAAGTCTTTTACGACAATAAGGAGCACAATTTATCGTTTTCCTTTTAATCTTTCCTCTCCCCCTCCCCCCAATAATTTTTGTTGAATAAATAAGTTCTCCATCCTGTTCAACCTACATACCTTTGCGGGAAATTGACCTTCGATTTCTCGAAGGAAATTGTCCATTTTCTTTCTGCTGTCTTCGTCTACAGACGCGCAAATAGACCAAATCAATGAGAACAAGAACCACAGCTCGATCATGCGAGGGTAGCTGTCTTCATGTGGATGAACCTAAAAATAAGGAAAAAAGAAAAAGCACGACCATGTAAATTAAAGTTTCGCGAGTTTCAAGTCCCGCCATCAATCACTGAGCAAAGTGAAGCAAAACAACACAACTTCCGACACCCAATTGAAAATTGCTAAAACTTGCGTCTTTGATTATCGGAGGTGATATGGATATTGAATAACTCAAATACTCGGGCACCATGCCATGCAATATTTTAAATATGAGGATTATTTTATATCTTATGCGATTGTAAACAAGTAGCCACTGCAACTCGCAAAGCAAAGGTGTGATGTGACATGATTTCGAGGGACAGTAAACTCGGCGTGCACTAGCATTCGGGACAGGTTGTACTTTGTACAGTGGATACCTCGCTGAACTATACAATAGGTCATGACAGTAGTCAAGTGTGATAGTGATAAACTTATGTACCAATGTTGGTGAGAAAAGGGTCAGCTTCCTGTCTGTTAATTATAAATTTGTTTGTTAATAGTAAAAGTTACAATGTCCAACTGACATCATAATAATTTGACTCCGTCTCTGAGCTGGTATGAACTATGAATACTAACCCCGTTCTCCTCTGTGGCTAGTGCGTCAAACAAAACACACAATGACGCAACAGAGTTTAATTCGGAGGTGGGAACGAGTTCCTTGCAGTGGTGTCTTCGAAAATCCAACACTTTAGGAACAAACTTCTCAAACAACCTCTGAAGGTGCTCCACGGATTGCTGTTAAAAATAAAAATTAAAACAGTTTCATGCGATAAAGTAACTGAAGATAACTACAAATTGGTCTTAGTCGAGCCTACAATTTTCGTTGGTATTTCGCTTATGGAACCACTGGTTTTATGTTTGAGATGTCGAGGACAAAGGATAAAGTGATAAAGTCTCCCTGTACACAAAAGTATGAAGACAAACAAACAGTTAGCAAGTCTCAAGTACAAAAAAACATGTACCTTATCCGTTCTCTTGTCCAGCCAGCAATCAACGTAGGGCTGCCATCCAAGATCTTTGTAATCGGAAAAAACCATACCACATCGACTGACTGTGGCAGGAGATGCTACAGCAAGGTCTTCTACCTCGAATAGTAAGGAAACCTTAAAAACAAAAACAACCCATCAAAGAAAAATCAAAATCCCTTGACATGTATAATCTGCTATAATTATACAAAGATCTTCCCATGTTTAGCAGTTTTTATTGAGTTTTTCTATTGGTTGTCATAAAGGACTACGAAAAGCGTGCAGATTAATTTTCGAAGGGTTTCGGCTCTGCATTAGATTGGCTGAAGAAAGTGCGTACGTAATCACAACGGCTAACGATAGCTGAGAAATATGTTGGTAAGAATCATTAAGAATTCACAGTAAACACGACTAGTTTTGGTTTAGCATCTGATTAGTTAAACGAGTGGCGCAAGTTTTCAGGACCAATTACACAGAGGCGAGGGGAAGCAAAACTAATGCAATCCTAGACTTCTCTCGACTCTCCGCTGAAAATTACTCTAAGCTTTCCAGAGGGCACACATAAAAAGATCTACTCGAATTGGCAAGGCATCTAACCTGATCAGGCATGGCTATACGTTCGCCATTAATAAGAGTAAGCACTTTGTTGTCGTCCATAACAGAGTTCATGGACTCAATCCACAACGTATCCACGGGAGCGTCGAACAGAATCCACTTTTCATCTGGCCTCTCATCTGAAAACACAAAATGCGAGAAGAGAATTCAAACCAATTCTTGTTCTTTCTTGGCTTATTACGACTCTTTTGTGAGTGTCCTTTTTTATCTCTCTGAACTTATGCGACGAAGATTTAAAGATCACTTGAGAAAAAGACGGGTCCCTAGGAGGTGATACTTTTTTTGCCTGTCCCGGTAGAAATAAGAGTAAAGATTAGTTTATCCCGCTCTACGTTTTAAGCGCATTTCTAAGTTATGTTTTAAGTTTCCTTGCTCTTGAATAAGCTATCTTGTAGAACAAGTTTCCTATCTTCGACATTTTGCATGCGTCAAATTGTTTCCAATAACCGATGAGTGTTGGCTTGCGTCATAATCAAACGATTCACACTCGCGCATATGACGTCAGAAAATTCAAAAGAAAAAAGCCCACGTGGATTGAATACAGCAGTCAAACGTCTGCGCATGGGTAAACGCTGTAATAACTAGGTGGCGTGTTTTCAGGCTTTCACAATCAAGTTGTCGCGCACGAGTTACAAACAACTACACAAGCAAGTAACTTACGGTGTTTTAGAAACGCACAACTTCTATGTTAAAGCTCAAAACAGAACGATAAATCAACAGGATGCCCGTACTTGATGAATAAGATTTGTGTTCGAAAAGTCTGCAGTTTTTCTTTTCCCTTCTTTTGATTCCTTTTGCAGATTTCTACGAACGAATCAATTCTCTTTCGCTCATTTTGCACGACAGCGATTTACGATGGTAGAAGAGAAACACTGAGAGAAAATACATTAAAGAAAAGAAAGCTTCGTTGTTCATGTGAAACAATTGAGAGGTGACAGCCAATACTTACCTGAGCATGTGAGTCTCATCACACTGGAGAGTACTCCGTCGGTCCACTCGTTTGTGTTGAGATCAAACTCTCCGTAAAGTTCACCAAGGGACAAGGCTTTGGGGTTAATGGGAAATTCCTGAAGAATTAAAAAATATGTAAGTTTAAATGAAAACGGAAAAAAGAGATAACTATTGAAAGGTATTCTACCATAAAGTATAACCTTTCGATGCACTGTTTTAGTAAATAATAATGAGACATATCATCCACACTCGAAGATTTCCACGCGTGGCCATTTTATACCCTTTATATGTCGTGACTCCACTGTACACAACGATAAATAAGGTTAACTAACCCTGACAATGTTAAAGTTTGAGTCACCATCTCTCTTCAATCGTGTCATAGCTGCTTGCAAAATCTTCCAACAAACACTTTTTCCTGAGCCTGTCTGGCCGACTAACATGGTAGAATGTCTTAAAGAGGAGAAAAAAATCTATGTTACATGCTAAAAAACTATCTCCAACAGTGAAGAAGCAGGCCCTAAATTTGTATTCACTTCTTTAAAATTCTGTAACGTTAGCACTAATGCAGTATCGTATAGATCAAAAGCTTCAACGTAACGTCAAAATACTTAAACCCTGAACTAGAAAGATGATCCTGTTTGCCAAGAAAGAAAACTAACATGTAGATGGTGATAGGTCCACAAAAGCAAGGTAAGGTAAAAATGAAGTAGACTCTGTATGCAGATTCAGGGGTTCCAAAAACGCTAAAAGTTAGTGAAACCCCTGAGATTGCGAACGAGAAATTTAACACGGAAACAAACCAGCAACGTCAAGTAGTGATAACAGTGGTCTATACACTGCATGCAACACACCTGGAGTTCTTTGTCTCGTATAGCTGAATCACCTTCAGAATGGTTGACGGGTGTGGTTTGAGGCCTGCCTCTTTGACATCTTTTTCAATAGCAGTGCGTAACTGGGTAATAATTGAAAATTCAACGAGTTATTATCAACAATTTTCGTCACCTGTAGATGATAAGTTATTACGGAAAAAAGGAAAGGTTGGGTGTAAGATTTTACAACGAGTTACCTTGCCATAGTCAATCGTGGGCGTCTCGACTCCAGGAAACAGATCAGACACGATTCCATTGAACAAAGGCAGATCCTGTGACGTCAGTTTGGCTACATTCATGTCTTTCATGGACAGAAGGAGAATCTGATGAAAGTCAAAACAGCGATAAGTGAAAAATGATTTTTTCCGCGGGGTTGTCACTAAAGGGCAGGTAGTCCAGAAGTTAATTTAAGAATCTACGGGGCTCGGATGTTCAAAAGGCGCAAGCGATAATCCAGGGTTAAAATTTTAACTTGTTCTCAATATATTTTAGCCGAATAAAAGCATATAATATTTTTTACGTTCAGAGGGCCTTGCCCCGACCAGGACTAGATCCCGGGTCGTCCGACTCGGAGCCCAGTGCACTGACCACTGGACTACTGGACAAAGCCATGGCGATGGCATACCCGCGGAGCAGTTGACCACGCATGTTAAAAGTAGCACCTTGTACGGTTGTACGGTCGTACATCCAAATTTTTTCGGCTTAAGTGGTTACTACTATTTTATATAATAATGGGGCTACGCTCTGCGAGCTCCGCCATAATAGGGCTTACGTATTGTCTGAAGTATTGTCAGTTCATAGATTTTCTCAATTTTCATTCCAATTCAATTCCACAAGTTTTCACCTACGGTTTCATTGCTTTGCTGCCATTCCGCCTAAACAAAGAATTGGCAAAGAGGAAAAATGGAAAATGCAGGGATAAGTGTATCAGGAGAAGGGTGGAGATGAAAAGGGACTGATGACAAGAAAAAAGTGGTGACAACCTGGTGGGTCACGGAGAGGTATGTTACAATCGTACTAAATCCCCGACGAGGCGGTTAAACGCAAAGGACTTGCACCGGGATCAATTTTTACTGGCCGTGCGCCCATTTTCTGCGCAAACTTTCAAAGGAAAACATAAGAAACAAATGTTTGACCATCATGTTACCAACCACGAAAAGCCAGAGAATATATTAGTCTCTACAAAGAACTACAATAATATCCTTCACTGCAGCACCTTCAAAACGTGTGCTCTGAATAGTAAATATCTAGTTACCTCTTCATCAGACATGTCAGGGTTCGCTCTCTTCTTTTTACCAGCATATCTCAACACGGACGTCAGAGCCCTCAGACCAAAGTCATAATGATCTTGTTTGGACAGCTGCTGTACCGCCAAGGAATAGAGCGTGTGAACCTTCCTAGCAAGCACCTGTTAAAAAGGAAAATTGATAAATTTCCTCTGCATCCTTTATTCAAGACCGAGACAAAATATAATTGGTGGCTTTTGTACCACAAACTTCATTTGTGACTCGGTGTTTTACATAAACTTTAATCTTAATTTAATCTTCCCTTGAATCTAATTTTGCCACCCAAACTCATATCACCAACACAAATCGAAAGAAAAAAACTCTCGGACGAAAGCAGACCCAAAAGAGTATTGCCTGGAAAAACGTATTTTTGAGATCAAGATAATCTGCCAAGCGTAATAGTTCTGCAAGGTAAACAGAACGCAATCCTATGTCCTTTTTTCATTTTTTTTTCGTTCGAACACGAAACTGTCAGCTGAAGCGCCAGACGTATCTTCAGCGAGTGACTCTAGAAAAAAGAAACGAGCTTATTTACGCTGAACGCAATTAACAAGCTAAATTGCGGGTTCTTTTTGAAAAGAAATATCTTCAATTCCATAAAACTGACCTTTGTGTTATTAAAACCCTCCGCAAATAGGATAATTTCTGCAATCATGGCTGAATCCGGTACGACCATTGATATTGGTCTGAACATACTTTTCAAGTTGTCCGGAAGCTCAGTTCGACCAGCATAGCCTGTATGAGGGAAAACAAATACATTCGTCTCCTCTTCGCTTTCTGTAGCCGAAAAACGAGTCTACACAATCTCGCCATAAACAGAAACCCAAAAGTCAAATTTTGGAGACCGAATCACCATGAAAATGCCCAAGAAAAGCGTTAGAATGTAACAAGCAAAGGCATGAAAGTCACAGAGATATCATAGTGGATGAAGATTCTAGAGTTATAGGAGAAATTTTATTTTACCAGGATTCATAGTGATGAAGATTCCACACGACCAGACCAAGTTAATCTCACGTCCCTCAAACACAAATCGTGTAGCACCGGCCGACAGAGCAGACAGAATGGACAGAATCTGCTGCGCCACTACAGACAATACTTCAATGTTGATGCGGTTGAACTCGTCAAAGCAGCCCCATGCTCCAGTCTACATACGAGATATAAAGGTGAAGTTGGTTACAAAGTAATTAAATCTGGCAGTCTAGTAGTTTGCCTCATTTGACCAAATGTTAATGAATGGCAAAGGCATTTGGAACGCAGGCTCGACTTCACACAGCGCCGCTTAGTTACGGGGTTTTTCGATATCAGAAGCGCGTCTTTATCCAATTTATAAAACCGTACCTGAGCCAGTCCACTGTACATGCGCCCCATTGACTTGTAGTCCAGACCCTCTGAACAATTGACGACGATGACGTAATTTCCAAGAGCTTTTCCAAGATCCTTGACGGTCTCGGTCTTGCCTGTACCCGCAGGGCCCTTGGGACTACCACCACGGTGAAGATGGAGAGCTGTTGTCAGAGTCATATAACATCTGTGGGGAGTTAAAAGACGCAAAGTTAAAACAAGCTAACTGTCTGAAGTTCGGAAAAGCACGAGTTACTACGTAGCAATTGGTTCTCGTGCTGAATCTGACTGGCTTAGAGGATGGCGCGAGTTTTCTAGAGCAACCACAAAATTGTTCTATCATTAGAGCACAGGCCTTAAGAGGGATTAAGTCTTTCACGTTGTTCCTTTCTCACTGTAGCGCTACAAATACTCTGTTCTTCTTTAATCTAACCTGTCCGTGAGGGGTGTGATCACAAGCCGTCCAGAATTTCCCAAATATTCATAACCATATTGAAATTGAGTGTTCGTTTGCCGCACAACGCAGTCATCAATGTCCTAAATCGAAAAACAAAACAGAAATGAAATATTAAATTTAAAGTAGTGACGGCCTGCATAGTCGCCCAGTTAATGAATCATTGCCGTCATTTCTTTGTGTCTGGTGTTTGGGACCTTTCAAAGGCTTTATTTACAGCTACATTTTGTGAGTAACTGAATACATTCATTACATCTTAATTAAAGGAGCTCGAACTCCAGGAAAAAGGATTTTTTTTTTAACGATGGACTGAAGCTGGTGTTATATAGAGAGCTTCTGACTGTGTCAAAGTTACAAAGACCACAAGGAAAATCAGTCAGAAATGAAACAGTCGGTGTCATATAGTTTCTTACAAACCTTGTCCCAATACAGCCTCAGCTGACTGAGCCACTCAAAGGCCGTCACGTCACCACACCCTGATTTGATCATCTTCTCAATCACATCCCTGGCATGAACCTCAATTGTGACGAGAGCAACAATCTTCTGCCGCTGGATCTTTGTCAAATTGCCACGAATCATCTCAGAGAATTTGTTCAGCATAGAAATCTGTGAGAAAAGGTTGATGTCAGTCATGATTCGGATAAATCCGGGGTTGGGTTGAGGAAGTGGGATGCAAGTGATTAAGAATGTGAGGAATAAATGTCGCTAGTATTTTCCTGACGACGCCGAGGCCTATGATTGTTGTCGTTGTCGTTGTCCTTAATCGATAGGACTTTGTCATCTGATCTTTCGGAGATGTCATTGGAAAAACGGCATATTCTCCTCGATTGCATTGCATTTCAACTGAGTGATAAAAACCGAAGTAATCACAAAGAAAAAAAAAGGAGAATAAAAGTAAACACAAACAAACAGTTTGAAGCACGGAAGACGCAATAAATGAACTCGAAATAACAATACGAAATTCTCACCTGCTTCTTTTTCAAACTCTTCAAAGCTTTCTTGTCTCCTCTTTCTTTAGTGCTGGCCAACGCCTTCGTGCAATCACTTGTCCATTGCATCTGACTTGAAGTTATGGTCAACTGTGACAAATTTAAAAGGAACCTCATTATCAATGTTCGAAACATTTCTTTCACGTTCATGGGAGGGAGAGGAATTACGAGATTAAGCTGCCTTCCCTGAGACTTGAACACAATAAGGCACTGTGTCTCTTTGATCTTACTGTTCTTACATGTAAATATATAAAAGCGTCAACAAATCTGTAATCAACGTACTTGCAACAAGATCTATTTACCTGCCCTGCCCATTCTTTCACCCATTTGTCACGCTTACTGGTGTTCTTCTTCAAGGCGAGCCTGCACTGCTTCAGCAGTTCCTTTAGAGTCCAGCGCATGCTTCGTTCCACGTCGCACAGCCACGCCTGAAAAGGACGAAGCAAACATCAAATAAATAATTTAAAGACTTGAACCCCGCTAGTTTTATATGTATAAGAAAATACACCGCTGTTCCCTCTAGATTAAGGGGTACCCTCCCGTGATTTTGTCCGTATCTTAATGCTGTACTCCATAATAAAGGCGACGTAGACTAAGTGCATCCTGATGATTCAAAATGTTGCTTTATGCGGGTCAACAAAAACTGACAACCAGTTTTTAATCTTACTGGTAAAGGCTGGACACTAACAACTCAAAGCTTCAACACCATGCAAGTGGCATGTGTGTAGAGAAAAATGGATCTTTCAATACCAATCAACATCTTGTACGACCATGTAGTAAACCAAGTCAACAAGTACTCTTTGGCAGTTTTTCCCTTAAATAGCTTTCCTTGGCAGTATTAATGAAAAAAAACCATTATGAAAAACTTCTTCCTTGATGTGTGACTTATCAAGGAACAAAAAAAAAAAAATGCACAGGATGAATGTATCTATGTAGATGACCTGAAATGCTCAGCGCCATCTTCAGCAAGGTTTTCCAGAAAAGTGACACCCTTGTGAATAGCGAAAAATGTCCCGTAATGGGTGAAATTATTGGAGTTGCTGCAAGTATAAGTTCGGTTCACACCTCAACTGGTCCTTCCAGCAGAACAGAATGTCCAAACTCCACAAATTCACCTTCTGCAGAGAACATTCCAACTGCCTCTGTCTTCTGTGTGATACCCATCTGTTGAAGCAATCACGCAAACAAAGTCAAGAGGGTCACAAAGCGGCTCACCATGGTTCTTTCAATCAATCGGCCTCGATCGTAAATAATAACAAAAAACAAGATCTCAATTCATTTTTTTTTCACCTTTGCCATCTTCAGTGACTTAATGTTGTCGAAACATTTTTTCAAGTGAGGTTGAACCTGCAAAATAAAATGGAAGATTGTGAAATGAAAATTAGGGCAAGCACAATAAATCGACTCAGTTTATGTCTCAACGATGCTACTCACAGCTTCAGGGTTTTTAGATTGTCCCAGTATCTCCAGAAGATCGTCATTAGACAAGAAATAGAAGCGAGGGAAAATCTGCCTTTTCGTCTCCAAGTACATATCCAGTGACTTCTGAATCTCTTCTAGTTTCAGATTCATGTCGTTTAGTGTATCGAGCAAGCCTGTAAAGTAAATGAAAACCTTTAATGAGAAACAAAGCGAAGGTTAGTCGGCATGAAGCCAAGAGCCTCACAATATTCGACGTTCTTTGAAATGAGTCGAGTAGAAAAGTGCACTTTACCTGGATGGTGAGTGCCTCTCAACGCATTATTATCCTTGTTCAGTCTTTGCATGATCACCTTTTTGAAAAAGAAAAAAATATCAAGACTTCTCTCAACTGGCAGGCATTCGTAACACTTATAACCAAAGAAGTGGGGTCACAGTTACGAACTAAATTGCCGCGCGCCTGCCGCGTGAATTAGCTTATGCCGTTGCTCTACCTTTCGTATCAGCGGGCTCGTATTCAGACGGCGAAAAAAACAGCTAATGGAGAATCTAGCATTGAAATATCCCAGGCCATTTAGACTCCTCGGATTAGCATTTTTCTTTAATACTTGGAGGTCTATAATTTGTATATTGTAGATTATTAGAAGCAGTTACTTTCATCCTTGGGACCCCCTTGTTAAGCCCCAGTATTAAACAACCCCCCCCTTGCTACACCAATATTTATCAAATGGCCAAACCTTCCAGTTCGCGTTCACATCATCAAATTCTGCTGACTCTCTAGGAAGTTGTTTACGGATGTCCTCGCCGAGGAAAATGTTCTGCGTAAAAAAAAGAATGTTGGTAAAAGTTACGCAGGCATTCTGCAAACTACCAGAATGAACTGCGTAAAAATTAAAGGGATCAATGTTAGTACCTTAGCAACAGCGCACTTACCCGTCCCCTAACCCTACACGAACCCTAATTTGTTATCAATTGAATTTTTTTGGTTAGGGGAGAAGTATGTGGGCAGTTGCTCAGATAATGACAGTGATCCATTAAATGTATTTAGTGAAAGAGTTGTCACTTTGGATTTAAAGCCAAAAGAGGTCAGAGAATTGAAGAATAGATTCAAGCCCTTAAATTCATCTGCCTGGGCTTTAATGAGGTACGGTGTTCATCAACAGATTTCTAGAACAAGTGCAACGTGGTGAGAAATACGAGATCACTTCGATTTTCCTTTCCATTCACAAATAAATAGCCTTATTATCGTTGGATGCATTAAAGAAAACGTTAACAAAAGTAGCCTTATACCAATTTAACAATGGTGTGTGGTAAAATAGCATGTAATGCAGTTCTAACACATTCTGTCATTTATCTTCGATATGAAAAGAGGTTTTAGACTTTTTAAACGATCTTGTAGTCCAACTGATTCCGAGTTTACTTCACTGGGTCTCGCAGAATTATAGAAACATTGTCCTCCGGTGATGGTGTCGGGGGCTAACATTTCACTGACATCTTAGTAAACTTAGAAATACTCCGAACTGACTGCTTCCATACCTCTAAGTACATCCACTGTCGTTGGACGGTGAGTATCATTTCTGTGACTTCCAGAATGAGAGACAGAGTTCTTTCCCATTTGTCCACCTGTTAATTAGAAAAAGCAATAGAACCATATCAAGGTTCACTTCTGATCACAAAGGAACGAAATCACCAATACGACCCTTAGATTCACTTTCAATACAACGCAAAGCTTCGGAGCAGCCAATTAAAGATAAACCTCTACGGTATGTTCTATGACCTCAACCAAGCATGTATCTAGAACGCATTTTGATTCAGTGTTGTAAAACAAAAACCAAACGAATTACGGTAACCAATCAGAACAAAGGGAAATATCACAAACTAATAAGAACTCAAAGTAAAAACAAGCACATTAATTGAAGCGTGGAAGAAGCGGGTGACAGGGGTGCGATTGAGTTTTCTGAACTAATCACAGAGCAAAGTAAAGCAAAACCAAAACTATCCCGTAGTACTGGTCCATCACCGGTTATCCCCTAACTTCCCCCCCCCCGCTCGACAACTCGACAATTCAAATTCGCGCGTGGCGAGAGACACAACACAATGACCTCCACGAGGACTTGAACCGGAAACTTTCAGTTCGGAGCCATTGAGTATCCTATAGGAGCAATAACCAGTTTTCCAAGTCAACAATCCCGTTAAAACTACTCGAACTTTCATATATCTTACCTCTACTTCAAAAGCCTTGACATATCGCGAAGCCTTCATGGTGGACAGAGTAACTTGGTTATCTTCCAGCTGTTGAAAGACTTCGTCTGTTGCCCTGAAGACCGGAGGAAAAAACTTAGAATTTTGTTGAAAATAAAACCGCAATTAGTATAAAAATAGGTCAAGTAACCCTCGATCAGTGGTATGAATATAACGATAACAACAGATCCTAGTTGACGAAACAAAATTTCAACCAAAACAGATGACATTTACTTACAGAATTAAAAAATCTCAACTGTTGATAGGATAGAGCTATCACGAAGTTCATCCTACACAAAAATGTGCTAATAAACGAAACACTTTTTAATTCATTTTCGTTTGTTTTCTATCTAAAGTTATCGTAAATTCGTACTTGAGTCTGAAATGACCGCGATCCTTGTACGGTCCAATATCCAAGGTAATTTGCTCCCAGCTCTCGGCAATGCCTGTAATGGCCTGACAAAAAAAAGTAATTGTCGCAGAAACGTTAACATAGGAAGGCGCTCCTAAGCATGTAGAATATACCTTTGGTTATCAAAAGCTCAAAAGCGAAATAATGCAACGTATTATAATTCCCGTTGTACAACCGTTTAGGACACATGGACTTCCACCACATTACCACACGGTGGCGACACATAAACATTCCCAACACATAGAAAGAAATTCATACTTGTTCTATGGACAACTCCTTGCTTGCAGCAGCGGAGACTTCACTGATCTGCTCAGCAAACTGATCCAATCCAAGTTCAATGATCTTCTCAAGAGTAAAATCATCAGCTGAAAAAAAAAACAACACGGATATCAGGCTATCTGGAGTTTTAACATAAGTTGAAGCTACAGCGCTTTGCGACCGAGTGACGTAAAAAAAAAACCAAGTACTCAGTCAGACAAAATATAATTTACAATGAAGCAAATGAGAACTTGAAGTGAAACCAAACTGCCTAAAGCGCTGGAAAATCGCAATGACAAAAATCGCGATTGGTTTTTGATTTGCACTTCGTCTGTTGAGAAGGCGGTGCAAGTGTTCTAGATCAATCACAGTGCGCATTAATTAAAGCAAACTCAATGTAATCTCGGATAGCTTTCGATCATTTTTGCTTCTTACTCTAACGGACTCTGCGTGTTTCTATTGCTCACGTAATTCTTGTCACAGTGAAACTTCACGTCACGTATCCAGTGCGCGCGCGCCAAGAGAGAAACCTTGACAAATCAAGGGCTTCAACCCATACTCAAAAAACCCTCAAAGTTTTAATTTTTCTATTGAGTGTCGAAAAACCAAAACCAAGGTAATCCCAGCGACCAATCAGAACAAAGCTTTACATTCTCATTAGCCAATGAGAACTCAGAGTGAAAACAAGAAAACTACTTGAAGCGCGGGAAAACGCGCAAGACCAAGTTGCTATTGTTTTTGATTGACCAATCACAGAGCAAAATTAAGTCAAAACCAAAGCAATTCCGGATAACTTTCGACACTCGATTTAAAATTGCTCTATTCCTAGGCGATGAGAAGAAAAGGTAGGTAATAAGATTAATTAACTTACCATTCTGATCAAAAGGCTTTTGAACCTCAGACTTGATTTGTGCCCAGTGTCTGTCTCTCATAGCTGGGTTCTTCAAATCTTGGATCAATGGCATGGTGCGCTTGAACTGCTCGATACGAGACTTGATGGAGTCACAAATGTCCCAGTTTTTGTCCTGTAGGGAAAAATCACGATACATTTGAGGAGTAGACGAGAGAAATAGCAGTTATAGGTCACATTTTCACCAACCTATAATCTGTGAAGTGTCCAATTCCTATTTTTCCACAGATTTATCTCTCAGCACAGCTCCTATCTGCTCCCAAAACCACAAATTAGGATTACAAATATTACTTAACAACAGCCTCCAATTAGCACGAAAATATTCTCGGATATTTGTCCCCTAAGATTACCTGCACCGCGAGTTTCAGAGAGCGGAGCTTAGGGAAAACTTAGGGAAAAGGCTTCGAGTTGGGGAATATCACTAAATATTCCCTAGCTTTAACGGGGACATAACGGGTCACATGATGCATCGAGACCAATCGCATGTGAGCGAATTCAAATTATCCTTACCTTTACTTCTCGAACCAGCTTGTTCAACCTCTTGAACAACAATTGCGACGTAGTCTCCATATCGGTGGTGACCAGCTCTTCGAATTTGCCAACTTTCCAAGCATCCCACAGGTCTTCCCATTCCTTTGTGATGGTCCAAACCTGCTCCAAGTGTTCCAGATCTTTCTCCAGCCCTTGCAGATCCTTCGACGGAGGCTGCTCAATCTTGAAGATGTTTAATCCTCGTCTCAGTTTGTTTTCTTGCGTCTTTAAGTTAATGACTTGTTCGTGGTACATTTTGACCTCCTCCAAAGCCTAAGACAAAAATATTGCATTCATTATACGCGCACTGAAGTTATGACGATGTGGCATGACTATAAAAATACAATGGTCATGGTATTTCCTGCCTCAATTCACTACACTATAGTCACACGGTCAAACGGAAAAGGGCAGAAATTTTTCAGGCACTAGGTTTTGTTTTGTTTTCCCAGACTTTTTCAATCGTGCGGTAAATATTATTTGGAAAGAAGGACTGCTTCAGGTCTGATAATAAATGGAGTCTAATCAATACTCACAGAACCTCCTGCAGAAGGACAATTGCGGCAAGAAAACACAAAATAGAGGTCTAGCAGTAAAGCTCTTCGGCTTTCATTCAAGATCAGGATTTTAAAAGTTTATACAATAAAACTACCAGCTAAGGGAAAGAAAACCTGTGGACCGTTTAGGGCGTAATAACCTGCTCCTCTAATCTTTAACTTTTGATTTCAAAATATGGCTTAAGGCCCGTTAATTTATGTTAAGTGATGATTTAAAGATCTTCCTTCACAGCTAAACAAACGCTACACACATACGAACCTCTTTTACAGAGGTAGAGCTGCTAAATGGACCTTTGTTCTGGAAATCATCAAACAGCGTTGAGACAGTTTTCTTAAAGTCTTCCGAAGAATGAATCAGCCCTGTTTTGAACTTCTCCTTGCTTTTCTTCAGCATAGCATCACTGTCGATCAAGCACTGCTGGAAGGACACCCACTCGCCACTCAGCTGATCGAGCATCTGTTGTACCTGCGGGAAAGTCAACAAATAATAGCATGAAAGTTCAGTTCTTGTATGTGGAAGAGGCAACTGTTTTGCAAAGAAGGAAAAAGGGGGAAAGAGAGGAACAATAACCATCTTTCTTATCCTGTTTTATTTGTTCCTTTTTTCTCTCTATTTCAACAAAGACAAACTTTTTTATAGTGATTACAAAGAGGAGAGAAAATGGAGAAGGGCATAATATAGTTACCTATTTAGTCGCCCTTAAAGTTAAATTACATTTTTCCATAGATGTACATTTAAACAAAACGTTTTGACTTTGCTAATCCTAGCACTATGCTGGACACGTGTCTCATGATATGAACTGAGCAATAGCCTTGCTTTCCATAGAGTCTCTGTAGCTCAATGGTAAAGCATCGGCGGAGCCCGAAATCCGATGGTCTGAGTTTGACTCCTCATGCGGATTCAAAATATGTTTATTTTCCATGCTTGTTACGAGACGAAAAAACATCTTACGCAAAGGAAACGATGGTTAAGAGATTATAAACAACATGGTCACATTTAAGAGAAACAGCCTACACATTATCTGGATTCTGATGAAAGAAACTAAAATGAACGAAATGCTCAGAGGCTTTCATTCAAGAGGTTGCACAGTCTTTGATCCATCCAACCAAAAATTAGAACCATTTTGTACAGCGTAAATAAATAGTACAGCACAGAAGTTTCATTTATACAGTGATTACCCAGAACCTTTCGCTCGTTACAAATACAACGCGTTTATTCCTTGTTTAAAAGAAAGAAAACATCAAAGAAATCAAAGCAGGGTTTGACTTTTAAACAGGTGATGAAATTATCGTACCTCCTCTGGAATAGCAACTTCGTACTTCTCAAGAATGGCAAATTGTTGATGTAGAGGCGGAAACTTGGCCTCGATGTTTGGCAAATCTTGTTGGAGTTGTTCCAACAGAGCCAGACTATCACCCAACTGATCTAAGGTTTCTGGAGGAGCACTGAGCCTGTTAAGATGATATAAAATGCACCACAAGTAAGTAATAATCAAAGAGTAGTTGTCAGTTAAGCGTCAAAGTTTCAAAATATTATTATTCATTCGCCAGTCTTCTCTTTAAGGGGTCAAAAACTCTTGCAATCCTCCCAACGGAGAAAATAGAAAGCTAGAACCAATTCCGACCCCATAACTGACTTTCACTAGTTTTCTGGTTTATTTTGAGTATACACAGGTGTCTTATAATATTTATACCCCACCTTTTTTTTTACACAAACAACCACCTTAAACTGCATGGAATCAAAACATTTATGGTGCTCTATACTCACTTTTTGGCATTGTCCTTTAAGAAGTTGTGCAGTTCCAGCAGTTTTTGGCTTCCCATTTCACGCAGAAGAGTAGTAAACTTGTTCTGCCATTCATTGCAATGGCTCAAAAGAGCGAACTTCAGCGGCGAGTTGTCCAGGAGCACAAAATCAATATTGAGCACTGTCTCCTCTTTCTGGAAGTTATTGGCAATTTCTGTGTACCTAGTGAGTTTCAAAAAAATTGATTAACTGCTCATGTTCAAAAGGAATATGTCAGGCAACTCCAGGCTGTTATGGCTATAGAATTCGCTTAAATAACAAGAAAACGGTTAAAAAAGCGTAGAAAATGAAGGAAACATAGTAGAGCTAGCATGGAGCATGGATGACCAACAACTTAACAAGATCAAATCGGATTACAGCTAGCTTTACTAAAACAACAGTCCTATTAACATTGTCGAGTAGTTTGAGTGAAGAAATAGCACTTAAACCCTTTAACACCTAAGAGTGACGAGCATCATATTTCTTCTTACAATATAACTCCTGAATCAAACATAAAGGTCATGGGAAATGATCACTAACAATAGAAACTCTTGAACGTTAAACAAATTCTCCTTACCGGCACCTTGGGAGGTGCTTAAAGAACAGTATGGAAAATGTGCATTCAGATATTTGGGAGTAAAGGGTTAAAGTTTAGACTAGAAGAGTCCCAGTAGCGATTATAGACTCACAAACCTGTAGATGTCAGCATCAAACGAGGAGACCGGTGGGTTCAGCCTTTGGTATCTCCTAATGAAGGCATCCTTCTGAATCTCCCAGATTTCTCGGTAACTAAACATCAATGGGCTTCAATCAGTCGTTTAACATGGCAATTACTGATTCACTATACGTCACGAAGCGTCAAGTACAACTTTGGTGGGTGACGATGATGATGAACAGTGCCGCTCAAAAGTAAGTTGACAGTCCCTCGAAACTCGATCCTCGTTCCCCAATTCATGATCCTCAATTTTCGAAAAACCTCGAGGATTGAGGATCCAGGCTCGAGACACTCGAAACAAGAAAACAAAGGAATTTCCCTCGAGTTTAAGAAGCATGAATGAGAAAAATGCCCATAAAGCCTTGCCATCTGTTGCCTTCATTTTAGGGGCACTTCTGCTCAAGAGTGGAGGTTCTACTATAAAATTGCGTTATTTCAAAGAATTTCCCTTTGGTTTATGTCCTCTTTTCCCCTTAATTAGAACTGTAACAAAATTTTCGAACATGATGGCTATTGACATATCGATTTGAGCAGTAATAGAACAGTGTGCGCATCATGCTTGCACTAGCACTTATGCACGACGATAAATTTTGGCTTAGTTTTGATGAACTGATTCTGATTAACTTGATTAACTGGCAATCGTGTGTCGTCGTGACCCTAATTTTCTGGACCAATTAAAATCGTTCTAATGATTCATACCTATCCCATGTGCTGAGGTATGACTGCAGATGTGAGGCGTTTGCTGACATTCCAGCTTTGATGCTGGCTTGGATTTTCTTTGTCTCTTCGTCCCTTTCAATTATCTCACAGACACGCTGCAACAAAGCAAACGACACACAAAAGTTAACTAGCTGCCAACTTGAAGGTCCGTTAGCCACTTTTTTAAGTATAAATATTATTAACTTATATTTATGCAGGTAGTTTGAAACAAAATATAAAATTTTTGGTGACTGTGTGATTTATGTCTTTCAGAAACCTTGTTGCACTTACATCTTTAACAGAACGTTTCTTGGTAAGAATATCCGGGAGCCGTTGGAAAACTGACAGACAAGATGTCAACTGAACTGCAATGTTGTCCATCATGCTAGCAAGCTTCTTCAGTGTTGGTGAGAATTCCACCTGATTGTTACAAAAAAGCAGATTTAAAGAATATTTAAGATAATGACGGGACACTTTTCATTTGAGTGTCGAAAGTAGTTTGGGATTGTTTTGGTTTTGAATTACTTTGCACTGTGATTGGTCGTGCCACTTCCTCGACCAATCAGATTCAAAACTGAAACCAATCGTGATTAGGTCACTCGCGTTTTCACGCACTTCTGACAGTTTGCTAGTTTAACTTTGAATTCTCCTTGGTTTGTTGTGATATTCACCTTTTTTCTGATTGGCTGTTGTAATTACTTTTATATTAGTTTGCGAAGCTCAATCGAAATGTGCTCTCAAAATGATTAGCGTCTGGTCCAATCCCCAATCAAAAGAACGCTGTAAACCTTAACACCTCAATAATTACGCTTCAAACCTTATCTCCTTCCAGTACAACTTTGACCCTGAGCAGCGGGTTTGGAGCACTCTTTCCATCTCCATTAATGGCTCTGGACAGTTCCTGCAATGACCATTTTACATTCAATCTGAATGCCTCTTCAGCCATACGATCCATTTTCTCAGTGTAGCGCAACCAATGGGCTTGCACCTGCCAAACAATATAGAAAATACAAATAAGCCCGCGTTACCTTTACCAAACAGTTGTTTGGGAATCTGAGCTAAGACCTTTCAACTTTTTCCAATGATAAAAGTCTTTACATTTCACATCTAATACGACAATCCATAATACCTCTTGGCCATCATGCTTGAAAACCTCATACGTCTGTTTCATGATGCTCACAATCTCTACATGAGTGACCTGCAGTCTTGTCTGCACAATGCTTCGGTGTTTTTTCTGGAAAGGAATCGAAAAAAGATCAGTGGTTGTATCTAGAACTAGTCTATTTAAGCTCTTCCGCTGTTTCTAGTCACCAGCATTAACCTAATCGCTAAAGGCACCGTACCTATTACTTAGCCTAGTTATCTTGACTAATCGATTGTTTGACTGACTGATTGTTTCATCACTTGCATTTGACCGACTGACAGATGAGCAAGTGGGACAGTCAGATGGACTGATGAACTGAAAGTCTACCAACCAACGGAAGGTTGGGCCAACTGACTGATGGACTGACTGAGAGAATGACTGATGGACTGACAGTCTAACAACTAGCGGAAGGATGGACCAGCTAACTATGGACTGACCGATAGACTTACTGCCCCAACGAACCGGCTAAAAAACCCACAAACTGAGAGAGCTAAGCAGTCTCCTTATCATATCCAGAATCTTCTCGTGGTTTACCTGTTCTTCTTCAAATTCCAGATTGTCATACACTCTTTTGCCATCAATTTTGACAAGTAACATCTCACTGATCTTCTTGCAGTTCTTGGAGATGGTTAGGTTGGCATTCTTGTAGTCATCCACTATATCTTGAACCTACAAAATGCAAATGCACATTTAATAACTTAAGTAACATTTACTGCCTTTATGAACAGATGTCTTTGTCAATTTTCCGTTTTCCGAATACATAGCTTTAGTCTGTCAAGGAAATATACAAACTAGACTTTTTTTAAAATAATCTCATTCACAAGCTTCTTCAAACAACGAATTAGACATCCCTGATCATCTAGGATGGTTGGAGACAAATTGGGAAAAAAACTGGTGAATTTCTGTTTTAACAAAGCAAGTCATCCAACCAATAATTGGGAAGAGTAAAACACAAACAATAAAATCCTGGACTCCTTGTCACTCAGTTGAAAATCGCTCTTATCTCTTGTCAATCTTTGCTTAAGTAACGATTGAAATCATGTTTTATAGCAACGTTTGCAGCTTGCTTCTAACAAAGATTGGTGCTGTAAATCAAGAGTACATGTACCTTGCTGCAGTTATTCCTGCACTCTCCAATGAAGTAATCTGAGATTCCCTTTGAAGCCCAAGTTAACTTGGTAAGACCAGGGTGAATCTTTTTGTCCAGTGATCTGATTCTCTCTCTGAACAAACCACGTTCTTCAGAGGACAAAACTGCTATGATCCTGCCAAACAAGCGACAATGCCAAGTTCAAGTAAAGTATAAACAACAATTTTCTGACAGCAAATGGACATATCGCTTCCACCAGCAAATGATAAGGATAATAGGGAGAAAATTCCCATACCACTTCTTTTTCAAGGAGGTTTTCGACAATTTCTTGTCACAAATACTTTTGAACATAAGATGCATCTACTTAGGAGTACATTAAGGTAACAAGCACTCATGTACCAAATTTTAACTCTAAACATTATTGTACCTCGCAATAAGACAAGCTAATATCTCCTAATATCTCATGCCAGAGGAACAGTTACTGTAAAATTGTAAGGCATTTAATACCAAAACCGATGTTGGCCATACTATTCATCATTAGCACAAACCTGTTGTAGTCACGGACAACAAGCAAGACATTTTCCCTAAGAATACGTAGATCTTCCTTCTTCATGTAAAGCTCAGAGACATAGTGAGGAGTCTCAAACATCAATTTCTCCCAGTAATGGATTTCGTTGAACAACTTCAGAAGGTTCCTGCAAATAACAACATATGACATTATCAGAAATTAAAAGACAGATATAAAATAAAGGGCTTTCAGATTGAGTGTTGTACAACTAAAACCAAAGTAATCACAACAGCCATTCAGAAGAGAAGAAAAACACCCTTTAAAGCCAGTGAGAACTCAAAGTTAATCTGACCAAACTGCCTTATGCGCAGGAAAACGCGAGCGACCAAGTCATGATTGTTTAACAGTTTTACATCTAATTACTTGAGAGGATAGCACAAGTTTTCTAGACCAATCAAAGATCAAAGTGAGGCAAAACAAAAGTTATCCCAGATTTCTCTATACACCCAATTGAAAATTGCTATAATGTAGCACTTATTTGGAGAAGAGATCTGATGCTGGAAGCATAAGAATGGAAAAGGAACTTTTTCTAAAAATATGTTTTCCTCTTCACTCCATCGATTGAAAGATGGATGGAAAAAAAAGGGTCCAAGGTGACTGACATACTCCTGATTTAACTGTCCCTCCAAATTATCACGTATTTCATGATGAATCAGACCAATTTTGTTTCGCATTGAAAGTCACATAAAACCTTCCTCCAGTCACTCTTTTACTGAGCAATTTACTAACCTGTCAAAATTAAGGTCAAGTGTCCCAGATCTGTCTGAGCTACGCCTCATGAGAGGAATCTCTAACAGTCTAGTAGCCTCCTTGTCGACGGTGGAAGTCCATTCATTGAAAGTCTTTCTAACAAATTCGTCAAGAGCCTGTATGGGCGGAAGACAAATGGTGATGAGTGTGTTTACACTGTTTATCTGTTAACCCTTTAACTCCCATGAGTGACCAAGACAGAATTTCTCCTTACAATATCAATAAAACAACAATCAGATAAGTGATGAGAATAAAGAAAAATGTCAATTTGGGAATAATTAGTTGATCCAATACTAAATTCTCTAAAACCAACATTATAAGAATTGTATGGTTTACAGTAAGAAGAATTACAAATTTCATCTGGGAGCTAAAGGGTAAAGAAAAACATTTACTTTTTGCAAAGTCAAAGAATTGAGCAGGTTTATCATAATACTTGTGGTGTCGAAATAAGCTCCTTCATGAAATTAAGTCACAATATCCTAAGGCAGCTTTCAAATACAACTTACATCACAATAAAAAAAAATTAAAAGAAATGAGAATTAAGGCGATTTCAACTTGCTCTAACAGCTAGGGTAGAGGAAAAGATCTGAAGACAAAAAGTAAGGACAACAAAAAGAAGGAAGAGAGAAAGCAGCAGTCAAATGATAAAATATTTATTGACAGAAAAAGGTTGAGCAACACAGGAAAATATTTAGCTTCTAGTTATGTCACACACAGATGGTTTTTTTAACCACCTGGCCCTCCCACTCAGTCAATAAGTACAGTACTGCTTTAAACTATTGTACCTGAGCAAGTTGTTGGTATTGTGATCTGATTTCCTCTCCAGTCCCAATCAGTGGCAAGAAGAATGACTTGTTCAGTACCTGTGAGGAAAGGCAAATTACCAACAAAAAAACAGTTGCTTCAACTCCTTGTGAGGAGAAAGAGACATTAATCCAAAAACTTAATAAGATTCAGTGAATACTTTGAGCCTAAGAGTAGCACTTTATTATACAGCACATTCATCCAAGTAGGAGTAGTCATAAAAGGACTGTTGTCAAAGATGATGACTGACATCTTGACAGTATACTTGTGGGCAGAAGTAAACAGCAGAATCATTTGTATCAGATGATGGCTTCTACTCTGACAGTAGAAAAGATAATTTCCTATTGATATTAACACTATTGAAGGAGCCATCTCCTTGATCTTTTTATTGCCAATTTTTACATTTTTCTCAATATCAGCCTTTAATTCTTTATTGCTATATTTCAGCCTAGATAAATCTTACCTATTTCAATCAAAGTCAACATATTTTTAAACATATTTTATGTTTTTTCTTAGCAAACATATTAGCAATGTATTTACATTTAAAATTTTATTGCTATTAACAAATGTAAAAAAATATAGAATTATAGATTCCATTGTAAATTGAATTTAGTACTTGAAATAAAGATATTTCCTATTTTCATATTGTCATATAGTTTTGCTATGTCACCTGGTGACCACTCCCTTAATAGATGGGTAACCCTGGTGAAAATCTTTGAAGGATCTTTTCGGATATTAAAAGTTCTTCATGAGGACCTTTGGGGATCCTATTGAGGATCTTAGTGAAGCTCTTTGAAAGATCTTCAAAGTTCTTGTTTAGATCATCAAAGATCTTTTATTTTCTTGCCATGATCTTCAAGGATCTTCCAAGTTCTGACAATGATTTTTAAAATCCTAGTAAGATCTTGGCAAGAAAGCAAAAGATCCTTAAAGATGTTAGCAAGAAAACAAAAGATCCTTAAAGATCTTGGCAAGAAAACAAAAGACCCTTGAGGATGTTTGCAGTGGAGAAGCTGGGCTCAAAGCAGACTACCCTGGTGAAAATATTTGAAGGATCTTTTAAGATCCTAGGAGATCTTCATGAGGACCTTTCAGGATCCTGATCTTTGATAATCTTTGGAATAAATATCTTCAAAATTCTTGTTAAGATCTTCCAGGATCTTTCATTTTCTTGCCAAAATCTTCAAGGATCTTTCATTTTCCTGCCAAGATCTTCAAAGACCTTTCATTTTCTTTCCAAGATCTTTGACCGTCTTAAAAGAGCTTAACAAGAATTTTGAAAATCCTTGAAGATCTTGGCAAGAAAGCAAAAGATCTTTGAAGATCTTGGCAAGAAAATTGGAGATCTTGACACAATTATCTGTGGTGAACTAGAATCCCATCCACTTATTAACCCCTCCCCATATAAAACAAAAGCTTCATGTTGGAGACAAGGAGCTTACATTCATTGGTCGATCTATCCTCCTTTTTAGCATTCTTGCCCAGGCTGCTGATCCTGCATAAATTGGATACATAGGTGGCAAGTCCACTGTCTTGGTATTGAACTCTTTCTTTACAAGGTTTAGTTCTTCATTGAAAAGCTGGTACACTTCCACTGTCTTCTTGTCAATTGTACGTCTGATGGCCTGAAGTCAAACATACAGAGAACACTTTCAATAAGACCTCTGCTGTAATGAGCCCACCTCTCTATTAGGCCTCCCCCTTTTTTAAAACCTCCCCTCTCTATCAAGTTCCACTCTTTGAGCCTTCAAAGAGACACAGCCTTGTTAATGTGGGAAACAACTCACAAGCAAGAAATGACTCACATTTCTGCCTTCATCAAGTTCTAAATAAGCCCCCTACAGGCCTCCCTCTTAACCCTTTACACTCTAACATCAATACCTATATTCTCCATACTGTTCTCTACACGTTTCCTGAGTTGTTGACAAGGAGAACTTGTTTAACAATCAAGAACTTCTTTAGTTGGTGATCATTTCCTTTATTCTCATGACCTTAATGTGTGACTCAGGGGTAACATTGCAGGGAGAAATAAGATGTGAGTCACTCATAGGATTAAAGGGTCAAAGAGCCCTCCTCCATTTAGAGGCCTTGGAAATAAACAAACCTTCAGGGGGGGCTTTTCAGAGCCTTTATGGCAAGAAAGATATATTTGAAGTAAATTAGTGTCTTCAATTGATAATGCAATGAATGAAGAAATGATGATTTTACCTCTCTTGATGACAAATGTTGGAATATGTCCAAAATTTCTACACCTTCTTGGACAGTTGTTATTGTTTCAAATGCAGAGGACATCAAATTCTGAACCATCACTTCCAAATCTTTTACACCAGCACGGAATCTGTTGTAATCATCATGCCAAGTTGTTGCCTGATAAGAAAGACATTACATTAAATTAATTTAATTAAGGGAAGGACATAAAAATTAGCAACCTTAAGACACCTATGTACCTCAACACAGATGTGTAAGACCTACAGAAGGCTTTTCTACAAACTGTCTTAGATGCAGAAAAAAATTGTCTCATGTAACAGTGCAAATAATGTTATGATGGTATTCATTCCCTTTGAGCATAAGACCTAGAAAAAATCTGAGTCTCAAATGAGAAATCTCAGGTTAGACCTTTGGGTTTCATTATCTGACACTCTACCTCTGAGTGACTGAGAACTTGCTGTAAGTTTTTCTATAAGTTGGTTCATGTCCTGAGGGGTAAGGAGGGTTCTTCACAATTACAGGCCAATAGGGATGTGCCATTGGATGGGGTCACATTTTCATGACTGGATTGACTACAACAGGGTTGCACTGTCAAGAGTTGCTTGAATGGAGGCTTACATTTTCAGGATTTTGGAGATGAGAAATTTTGGTTTGTAGGGATTTAAACATGGATGATTTGCAGTTGAAAGGTTGTCCCTGTATAACCAAAGAAGTGTCAAAGATTGTCTATAATAGGCCAACAAATAGCTATACTAGGGTTGGGATTCTGAGAAGCCAGCAGCACATATGCAGCAAAAAATCTGGAAGACCCTGGTACCCACCCCAGAATTCACATGCTATACCAGACTCACATACTGCAAGGATCACAAATGTCAAATCAAACATTGTGTTATTTTGTTCCTACCTTAACATCTAAAATAGTTTTCTTGACATCTTTAAGGATTTGCAGATTCTTCTCAAATGTTGCCTCAATCTCCAATAAGCTTCTGACCACCTCAGGTCCTCGTACACCATGGAAGCAAGGTAGGGGACTTTTTTCGCCATCATACATTCTTGCAAAGTGGATTTGCCCTTCACATACCTACAGAATTCACACATTTATTGAGAATTTCAAGATGAGTAGTTTTTATTGTACAAGATTAGTCATTTGCACTGAAGGAATTAACAAACTGCTTATAACATTTAGTATTGTATTCTAAGTATGACATTAAACATTTTGGTTCAAATTTTCCTCGGTTTAATTAATTGTTTTTTGCTGGTATTGTATCTATTGAATACCACGATTTTTTTTCTGTTCCCTAATCCTACTGTCAGTGGAGATTAATTCTAAGAGCTTTTTATACTCCTTCCTACACTAATCTATTACTTTCAATTCATATTAATTTTGCTCAATGAATTGCAACTGACAATGCACACCACAATACCTCCAAGAGATCTTTACACCTCTGCACAAAAGCATCCACTTGAGCAAAAATGCTACTCTGGTCAAGAATCCATTTCTCACTTGACAACTTGGAATGCATTCTACTGATCTGTAAGCAATTAAAGTTAAATGCTAAAACAATTAGCAGACCAAAAAGTTAAAAAAAAAGTCTTCTCTTTTGTTATAACAATTATGGCTAGCAATAATTTTTGTCCTGCTCTTGTAGATAGGAAACCCATGTTACTTCCAACACATGACTTCTTAGCTCAGATAGTAGCCCCAAAATGGTATCTTGGAGGCTTACATTCAAATTCCTTAATCAGTGTCTGTGTGCTTATTTAAAATTTCAGCTAAAATGAAGGGGCCCTCATTTGAAGGAGGGCACTTATCATTCTCCTGTATTGATTCAGCTATAGTTGAAGTTCAAAAAGTTACCAAGAAAGTGGCAACAGGTTGCATCCCTTCAATTTAAAAACTGAGAGAGGAGGGGGAACACTTGTTCACTGAAAGGGGCACTTACTTGACATTATGGCCTTGGGGGTGGGCATTTATTAGAACATGATTGGGTGCTTTTTAGAGGGAATACAGTAATTTGTTTTTTACTATTTCTTTCAATTGAATTAAGCTTTGAGCATCATGTTTATCTTCTAAATCATCTACAGGACTAATAATTATTGATTTTACATAATTGCAATCAGGTATAATAGCTGAGGGAGAATTCCTGACAAAAACCTCCCCCACTTCAACAATTTTCATTTACCAGTCTGCAGAGTATCAAATGGCACAAATTCTTTTTAAAACTATCGATTTCCCAGCATCTACATCACGTACATATGTGAGTTCTGGACTCTTGGTTGTACTGCATGCAATGCACAAAGCTAAAAATGGCTTTACACATACAAGATCTCATTGACTTCTGCCATACTCTGCAAACCAGTGCAGTTAATATATAGATTTAGGCAAGCCTAAAAGTGGAGCTTGCATTTTTTTTCCCCACATGTCTCTTCAACAAAACTTAAGCCCCTACTATGGATAAAGTACATGGTAATATTAATGGATTTTCATTCACAACTTCTCTATGTTCATGTAGAGGACTGATTCTAAGATAGTGCCCGTGGTACAGTTGGCTGCGCATGCTAAAAGTAGCACCTTGTACGGTCAGTCGTACAGTTGTACATCCAAATTTTTCCAGCTTGATGGGTTACGACTATTTTTTATAATTATGGGGCTATGCTCTGCCAGCTCCACTATAAATAACTTTATGTCATCATTCATATCTCCCTACTTTAATTATACCACTGACAGTAACTTTACCTTACTGTAGGTGTGTTTCCATGACTCACAACACTCAATGCTTTCCTGTAGTCCTTGCATACTTGTCTTGATCCTACCCTCAAAGATATCATCAAGTGAGATTTTGGTACTACACCTTTTGATGATCTCATTACTAACCTGAGAAGGCAAACAAGTAGTATTGGTCAATTCTCAACCAGTGAAAGATCAATACACATTAATTGGATATACCAAGAGCATTAATGGCCAAGAAAAAGAGTCAAAATAATGAAGAATGCACCTCATGTCACTGTTGTTATGCCTGCCTGTTTTTATCATACATTGTCAGAATATTGCGAAAAGTAATCTAGGTGAAGTCAACTATCAATCCACATGGCCCATCCAGCCTGAGCTTATCCCAATTTTTGTAGCATAAAGCAACCAGGAGTAATTTGCTACTCCCCCCTGGATAGGATGCTAATCCACTAATTCACTGCAGGTCACCCCACCATTTTATCCCATTTCCCTGACACAACAACAGGAAAGCTTTAGCTATAGTGGAATGCTACAATACAGAATACCTTTCCCAAATGAGTACCAGCAAATTGTCAGGGAAGTCTGATGAAATAATATAGGGGGTAACCTTGTAATGGACTGACCCCCAATCCAGGGGGAAGTAGTAATACTTCAAGTTTCTTCATGCTAAGAAAACTAGGATAAGCTCCTACTGGGTGGGCTTCTTGGCTTGAGTACAAACTTGACCTTGACCTTTAATACACAGACATTCAAGGGATGAAATGACTAAAACACATTCATACACTTGAAATCAGGCCTAGTATTTTTTTATCTCTACATTTACTCTCTATTAAGTTTCATCCCTCAGCTGTACATTGTTTACTATTTACTCACACTCTACCGCTGATTCCTACCTTTCTCAGTAAACCAGTGAGTCTTTCTCTACTCTTGTAATGTTCAGAGTTCATCCATATAATGCGAATTATGTTGAGGATCTTTGGCAACATCCCTGGAATGTCCTTAGGTTGGGCCTGAGCAAGATCTTCACATGGTCCCTTCAGTGTGGACAGGAACTTAAGATTACTCTGGGCTTGAGCAGAACCATCCTTTTGGACAAAATCAACATGTTACACTACATAAGAGATATACTGTAAATTTTTTTACCAGCAATTATGGTGATAAATGAGGTAAAAGTAGCAGGCTAAAGATGACAGACTAGCCAATCATGGTTTTCACCTTTTACTTGCTCTTATACTAACAACTCTGGACCGACAGATAGTCCAACAGGCAGACTGACCTGAATCAACTTTGAGAGCTTAAGAAATGGAGCAACATAAGAACTCTTAGAGTGCTCCAAAATCGCCTGTATTCTCTTCACTCCTGGCTTGTCCAGCTGGTCACTGATTCCTGACAGATCAGCACAACGACTGCGCCAGAACTCAATCTCTTCTAGTGGTCCTGAATTTTCTGCTGCTTCAAACGTGTCTTGACTACTAAGCACCTCTTTTATTTGTCTTGTCCAGTGGATCATGGCAGCTAAAAATAAATGGCAAAAAAGCAAATATGTATTTCAGTACAATCACACTAGACAAGGGAGTCACTGACAGTAAAAGGTCCATTTAACTCTTTCATTCCTAGATCTCAAAGGTAAATCTCCTTACTGTCTATCATACATTTCTAATGATGTTAATTTGGAGAATCTGGTGTTGAATCAACCACCAGTAATAATCCCCTTGTTGATAATTTCCTTATTCTCATCACTTGTCTGTTTGAAATTTTATTGATATTGTAAGGAGAAATTCTTTCTTGGTCACTCGTGCGAGTAAAGGGTTAACAAACTAGCTCCATGTGTTTTATGTCTAAAACAAGTCTTTGTTTCATCATTATGATAGAAAATAAAACTAGAAAATCTCTGTTGCAGACTCCACCATGATTTGCTTGCTTCTTTTGTGGAACTTTTATAAACAAATGCCCCATTCACACCAAAGCTTAAACATGTTTAAAAGTTGTTTTGTTAAACACAGTTTAATTTTTTTTTTCTTCATAGAAACTATTTAGCCGAACATTTTTGACTTGAATGTAGCACATTGGAAATGCAAGTTAGCAAGTACTTGAATCCAATGGAAAATCAAGTTTTTCAGTTCTCTGTTTATAATTTTCATTCAATGAAAACCAGTTTAACAAAAAATGTTTTGCTGGTGTGAATGGGGTATAAGATACATGTAGACATAATAAAGGCTACAAAATTAATGCATATAAACATCTTCCGAGGTAATTCAGATAGAATTATCTTTATTACAAGCTTGAACTTTGGTAAAATGGTATTTAAAATTTAATTTAAATCTTCACAGTTAAAATTAGCCTTAACAGTAATTACTTAATTTCAATGTTTCCAAATCAAATCAAATCAACATGATGTAATATACTTTTTTTAATTGGAACATATGCAATCAGGCCTTAAATAACAATCTTTCGGGTATACTTTATGTAACCATGTTACACCCAAGATCTGATTGCTAATTCTCCCATCTAGCTGCTACACATTTCCTTTTGAATTAGTTATGAGAAATTGGTGTTAGATCAAGACAACTTTATCTGGTAAGTTTGAGTTTTATCATTACATGTCCAGATGCGGTCCAAATCCATTTGTTTACGCACAAAACTTTTTATCTTAGTCTACATGTACAAAATCACAGCTGAAAAACTTTTTCAACTCCTCACAATACAGCCTGCATTGGTTAAGGATCTTTGCAAGGCTTTCCTCAAATAATAAAGTTGAGGAATTTTTAATGCATGGACCGTATCAGGCAAAAATGTATGGATATAATAGGGAAAAGTTACATGTTAATCACTTTTTGGGAGTTGAGGGGTTAAAAGGAAGTAATTGAAAAGGATTAACACTAAGAATATTTTGCCTCACTGCATTGCTGAACAAGCTGGGATAGATACTTAAATTTAACTAACAATATTAAGTAAACACATACTTTGATTAATATTTCTTACTTTCTAAACGCTGAACAAATTCTTTACTCTTGGAAGCATCCTCCACAGGCAGTTTTGTTCCCTCATTTGGGACATATAACACTGTCTTGCCTTGCATCTTATAGCGTGTGTCTGTGAGATTAGCCATGAATTTGTGCAGCTGTGCAGAGAAGTCATTTTTGATACCTAATCTATAGTTAAAGATCTGTAACAGCTATGACTACTTTCCAAAAACCACCTGAAGCTCTAATTAAATGCTCAATTAAAACATAGAGAAGAGATAACGATATTTTGAAAAGGATACTGTCTGGCCAGGATTTGTTTCCAAAAAACAGAGGAGCATACACATTGGTCATTGTCCTCAAAAGACTTTCAATGTGGTTGGCTCTGATTGTACCAAACTGCAATTTTCGTTCAATATTATCAGGGTTAAGTGTGGCATTTTCAAACCTAATCATGAAAGTCATTTCTTCCACTGGATGAGGTGGAACAGACAAACCAACTTGTAATCCTAACAGCTTGTCAATATAAACCACCAGCAGTCTAACAGAAGTGTCTTTTAGGAATTTAATGATGGTAGAATCATGTTCTGCATTCCACATGTCGGATTTAAGTGCACTTAAAGTGACTCTTTCTTTAATGAGAGGGACCTGCAAATAAGACATTTGGGCATCTGGAGTAAGTAAATATTTGAAATAAAAATAGATATGGATCATTTATTTTCTAACTTGCTCCAGCTATTACGTATCATCGAGCAGAAACACGAATGCATTCAGCAGGCTGTAAAAAAATACCGTTGGATAGGTAAAATAACATAGCTTGCATGGGGATCTAATTCAATAACATGTACGTCTTAGATGCAATTTTTTGCAAATTGAACACGTGTGCGCGTCTAAAATTGAGCTCATGCACCTCGGAAAAATATTGCAATTGATTTACTTGTGGACAACAAGGTTTTCTGAGATATTCTTCTCACCATTTCAGCAGGATCAAACTCTCTTTCGCCCTCCGATCCTCTGCTACCGTTGCCGACAGAGCCTCGATCAACCTCCAAGCCACTTTCAGATGAAGAATTTGACTCTCCATTTTTGTTCTCGTCTGGTACCGTTAATGAGGATTCCGCCAATATCACTGCTCCAGCTGCTTCGGATGTAACATCAGAAGCGCCACCCTTTAAACTGGATGCATCTTCGCGGTCCAAATCCATTTGTTTACGCACGAAAATTTTGATCACTAGTCTACATGTACAAAATTACAGCTGAAAAACTTTTTCAACTCCTCACAATACGGCCTGCATTGGTAAAGGATCTTTGCAAGGCTTTCCTCGAATAATAAAGTTGAGGAATTTTTAATGCGTAGACCGTATCAGGCAAAAAAAATGGTCTTTACACGTCTTTTGTGATAGAGATTACTTGAGTATTTTCATGAAGGAGTCCGCCATTTTCGTCTAATCATTGTCATAGCAACCATTGTGGCAACAGTTGCCTCGTTTATGTGTTGACTAAGCCTCTCCTCCCCACCCCTCTTAGATTAAAAACTTTGGGAAATATATGTCTGTTATACCACGGAAACTATGGTTGGTCTTTTCGCTGACCAAAAACATCGGGACTTACGAGGAAAACAAGGAAAATAGGACATTTTTCATCCAACAATTTTGAAAATTGAGTGTGTTGTATTACAAAACTATAGGAATTTCTCAAGTGATTGTAATTTAATTCAGTTTTGACTTTAAAAAAATTTCATTTTATAGTCAGAGTGAAGTAAAATTACTGCGCTCCTCGATGGTCAATGAGGGGGGGACCCTGCCCTAAAGGCAGGGGCTTGGTACAGCATGTAAATTACTCATCTTTGTGAAGTTGAAGGGTTTTTTGCAATGAGTTCCTAAAGAGGCCATATTAGCACCTGGATATATTTTTAATACCTTTAAAATGCCCAAGAGTGAGTCTAGATCACGTTCAAGAAGTAAGAGTGGCAGCCCGCGCCGGAAACACAAGAAAGAGCGCAGTTATCGCCGGCGAACGAGAAGTCGTTCTCCCAGCGCGACGCCATCATCAACCAAGAGAAAAAGTCGGGATCGATCACCTCGGCGCCGCTCTCGATCACCACGCAGGAAGAAGAGATATTCGAGAAGTAGATCTCGCTCTCCCAGTGTTGATCGATTTGGTCGTTCTATAGTGAAAAGAAAAGAGGACGATCCTGGCTCGAAACGAAAAGAGGAAGAAGAACGATTACAGGAGATGGAACGACAGAGAAAAATGTAAGTTTCTAGATCTTGTTATTATAGATCTTAGTTTCATGTGTGTGATGTCCTATCCAACTGGTTCTCTTCATTTGTGAGCTCTCCAAGGATTAGTGCTGTAGGTGACGAATTATGGAAATGCATTTTGTAAAACAAACTTGTTGTATAAATTATGTAATTTCCTCCGGTCTTTGTTTCTCAGGCCTTCTTTGATCTCTAGCATTATTTTACATTTAAGCTTACACATTGTAACATAAGAGTTGACGTAGCATATGAAGCCTATGTTTTTGGAAGTGTCTTGTTTTAATTATTTTCCAAAGAAAAGAAGATGCAATGTGTAAGGTGTTCAACTTCATATTTAAATATTAACGCACAATATATGAAAAACTAACCTTTATTTTCTCTCCTTTTCTATCTTCTCCCCCTCCAAGAATTAATAAGTTATGAAGTTTGCATCATTCACATGAGTTGAAGGATTAAATGTTACTCAAGTATGAAATAAAAGCCAGTAATTTTGACAAATTTAAAATTTGCACCTTTAGGTAACCTTTAACTCCCTTGAGTAACCAAGATGGTATTTCTCTCTACAATATTAATACAAATAAAAAAGACGAGTGATGAGAATAAAGAGAAGTATCAATTAGGGAATTCTTAGTTGATCCAATACCAAATTCTCTAAATTTATGCCACCAGAATTAATGGTAGACAGTACAGAGAATTACAAGTTAGATCTTCAGAGTAAAAGGGTTAAAGAGAACTATTTTGTAGGATTATTGTCATTATTTAAATCAGTTTCACCTAAGATGAAAATGTACATTGTGATGCTAAAGGAAGAGCTGTTTTTCAATTATTATTTTGTAGTCGAGCCACTGAGAAGGAAAAGATGATGATTGAGGAAGAAACTCAAAAGCGTGTTGAAGATCTTGTTGCTAAGAGAGTGGAGGAAGAACTTGCGAAAAGAAAAGATGAAATTGATGCTGAAGTCATGAAGAGAGTAGAGGAAGCTAAAAGAGTGATGGAGAAGCAGATGGTGGAAGAATTTGAAAAAAGGCGTCAGGAGCAAATCGAAGAACAACAAGTGAAAGAGGTACAGTATTAAATACCCTATAATTTATTGTGTATAGGTATCATGTTTCTAAATTGAGGGAAGAGGGTTAAAAACTAAGAAAATGTGCAAGTGGTCTTTCTTGTTTCTAGGACAAGCTCCAGTTGTATCCTTCCAGGGTTACATGTTGTTGTCCAGAATTCTCATCATTGCTTGTAAAACTGTGTGGTTTTTCTGCAAACACTTAGATTGTTTCCACAGATACCTTTGACGGATCAGTTGAACAGGAAAACATTATCAAGAGCTAGCAGTCAGTCTTTTCAAGCATTTGGATCTAATCCTACCCTTCTCTTGTGCCGTTCTATCCTTGAACATGACATTCAATCTAGACATTCACAAAAGACTGCAATTACTCAAGAACTGCGCAATTTTTAAAATTGCTGTTTGCCTAGAAACTTTTGCCTAGTGGAAAAAAATTATTTAGGGCACTTCTTGAAGGAACATTCCACTTTGTGCCAGCACTAATTTGAAACTTTTTCTGGGAGAGTTCAAGTCTTTGCAGACTGTGAAGGATTTCCTCAAGGAGACTTTGCTTGGAGCATTTCATAGGAATTGTTAGGCGGATATGTGTATGTATAAATGGTACAAAACGGCCATTCATGTGATTCACAAAGCAGTTTTAAGCATAAGTTTCTAAGTTCACATACATACAAGGTTTGTTTCTATTTGTGTTTAAACAAAATGAGCTGTGCATTTTCCTCTGATCAAAAGATTTCTGTTCATGTATATGATACATGTGTTGTATACTTGTTTATAGTATTAGGGTGTAGCTGTAAGAGGAAGGAAAGGTGCCAAAAATTGTGCTTATCTGCCTTTTTTCCTCTCTGGTTGTGGCCTTAAGTGTTATATCTTGGAGCACTTCTTCTAGTGGGGAAGTATTTCTATATTCCATGCTAATCAGTTTTCTCTTCCTTTGCAAGTCTAACCCTTCAACCCCAAGCAGTGATTGGCTTCTAATTTTTCTTTACAATATCACCCTTGAATCAAAAGTTAAGGTCATGAGAATAAAGGAAATGATCATAGATTTAAGAAGTGAAGAAGCTTCTGATTGTTACACAAACTCTCTCTGTTTGTGCCATAGGAATTTTAAAGATATCAATACCAATGTTGGGGCATGAAGGGTTGACTTCTTGATTTTTGGTGCCATTTCTTGTTCATGTTAACATTGTTCATTCACAATTTATAACCTAGGATTCTGGGGTATGTAAAGTGTATTTGGTTCATTTTGGTACAATGTTATCGATAAAAGAAAAGATATTTATGCAAACCAATTGTTGACAGTGAACTGCATTTTTTTTTAGGAGGAGGAACGTCGTAAAATTACTCTGCTAGAGAGCAAAGTTGATGAACTCCAATTAAGACTAACTGAAGCGAATCAAAAGTTGGTATGTATACTTTTTTTTATGATTCACTACACTGATGCCAGTGTTGAAGGATTTTTTTTGGTGGGTAACTTGTACTATCCTCTTCCTGTTTACATATAGCATGGTAGGGCATGGAAGGGATAGTTTTGGTTTGTGTTAATTTCCACTGTATGTCTACTTGAGAGCTTCAACCATCTTTAGATCTCTCCTTACACACATGTCTTTTTTCCAAAGGTTTATGTCATAACAATGGGGTTTTAAATGTGATTACCTTCATGTAATGTGAGGTGAATTCGTTACAAGTATTAAACCAGTTCTGTCTTGTTTGCTTTAGCTGTCAGTAGTCACCAGAAACTAAAAGAAATTTTACTTCTATTTCATCACACTGCAGGAAGAACTAATCTTGCAACAGTCGTCAAGTTTGGTTTGTTTTTTACTGATCTCTGTGTTCAACCTCTTCTGTAAAAGCTGTCATTTTGAAAATGGTGTAGACGTGCCAATATTCAACCCCATAGTCTTATTTTTTTTTTGACAAACTTGAATGTCTAAAACTACTATGGAAAGTTAACTGAAATTATAGGTCATGGACTCTTTTTCAACATGACAGATTTTACCTCAGTATGGTCTGTCCCTTTGCTGCGTGGTACAGATGTTCTTGCAAAGTCATGATTGTGGCTATAGCTCCAGCATCGAGGTGACCAACAGCATAGGGGTGAATAAACTTACTGGGTTAGAAACATCCCTGTAATTTTCTGAAAGAGTTCCTTAGGAAAGAGGTGGTTAAGCTGATACCAGTGGGGGTTTTGTTACCTTGAATAAAATGAATCATACCTGTTAAACACTAGTCACCATAGTTGTTCATGTGCAGTCCCTGTTGCATAGTATTTGGGACATGGAGAAAGTTGCAAGAAAGACTCAACCATAAACATGAAGGTGTCTTCATGGAGATCTCCATTGTTTTAGTGAAAAGTAATGATTAGTACAATTCACAAAGAGTTTTTCTCTGGGACAAGAAAACAAATTCCTATCTTGATTGAGTTCCTCCTGTTTGGAAAGTATCTTCTTTCCTTATGAAGCAGGTAAGAGAAGAGTAAGTTCCCTAATTTGTTACCTCCTTCTGATTATTTTGGCATTTTTTTCTTCCCCCTTGGACAAACAGGCAGAGGAACGTTTACAAATGGTGGAAGAAAGAAGAACATTAACTGAACAGAAAATGTCTTTGGAACGAGAGATCAAGAAGCAAGAAAAGGCTGCCCAAGACCTAATTCTAAACAAAAACAGAAACAACAGGCAGAAACTTGCTTTTGGATTCAAGCCAAAGGGAGCCTTATAAAGGACACCACCAGCTGATGAAGGGTATCCCAGTCACGCTGTGCTGCAGTCAACTTCATTTCTTTTTTTTTTTTTTGGTTTGAAAATGACATTGGTGGTTTGGTGTAGCAGATGGTACCAGTGTATGCTGTCCAATGGAAGGATAGCTTTCATGCAAGGCATGGTATTTTAAATTGTTTTGGAAATCTATTTCTGGCCTTCTGCCCATTCCTTCCTCTTATTTATTCTCCTTCTTATTTTCAAGGGGCTAGTTAGGTCATGTTTTATCGGGAAATCTTTTCATCTTTGGGTTAGTAGTCTGTCAGATCATATTGTTAGCAAAATTTATAGCCACATGACAGAAAATATGATACCTGGTGGCCAAGAATGACTTTTCACTGTCAGGGTAAAAAAACTAGGAACTTGGTAAATGTTCAACCTACTTTGTCAAGGAAAATCAATCCCGAGATAAGGAAATGTATGCATTCCAGGAAATCCAAAAATGGTACAACTTTTGGTGCTTACAGTGCAGTTTTTTCCACATCTAACTGGCTTTCTCTTTTCATCACCATTACAACGTGACAAAAATGTTTCTGTTGTTCCCAATTCCTTGGGTTTAACAGTGATGCTAACATATCCAAATGCCACATTCTTGAATCATGCATTTTTATTATCCATGTTTCTCTTTGGCATTTTTTTATTGCTGTTAAATGTTTTTGTAATTACAAATAATTTTTTGAAATACGACTAAATTTCATAACCAGTCGGTGACGGGTGAAGTTACTTAAAAATTGACAACCCAGCCTCATGACTACCTCTGAAGAAAATTTGTCTCTTTCTGCCTTTAATTTGTTTGTTTGTTTGTTTTTTTGTACTTTTTGCCTTTCATTGTAAATTTTTTTGTTCCTCTTCTCCCTTAAAATTTTGTAGATAAGCCATCTCAATAAAATTGATTATATTGTTACTTTGTGTCCGTAACTCTGTTGTCTGCTCTATGTTTTAACCTTAATATTTTAGTGCGATTTTCAATTGAATGCTAAAAGTAATACAAGATTGCTGTGGTTTTGCTTCACTTCTCTTAGTTATTGCTCCAGAAAACTCGCGCCTCTCTCTCAACCAATCAAACGCAAAACGCTTTTTCCCGCGCGCTTTATACAGTCAGATTGATTTCACTTTGAGTTCTCTTTGGCGATTAAAGGTATTTTCCCTTCCTCTGATTGACCGTTTTGATAAGTTTGGTTTTGGTTTCACGACACTTAATCGAAGAGAGAGCGCTCTGTCTGCTCCTGATGGGTATTTTAAGGCATGGCAAATTTGAACATGTTGGTATGCACCATGATTATGTTCATGGAGAATTGTGATGGGCACCGCAGACGAAATTTGCATTGTGTGAACAGAAGTACTGTTAACTATGGTGAATAACACCTCAGGAAATAGATATGCACTATTTTGAAGTCCCTTTTTTTTCGCGTCGTTGCAACAAAATTGGAAAAATCGGCGAAAGTCCAAAGGAGATACATACATCTGAATGGCGGATGGAAGGTGGGACGTGTGTGATCAAACTCTCACTTGTGAACCCGAAAGAAAGATGTCCGACAATTTGAATTTTTGTGTTTTTGCCACGAATTCAAGAATTTGATTCATACTTGGCCTTTTGGTTCGTACCCTTAACCTTCACTCTTCAGAAAACCTTTCAACCTAAGCCTGTGGGACTGTGCGACTTGGCCCAGAAGTGATGGGTGTTAGCCCCTAAACAAAACCTAGCTTTAATCTGTCAAGATCAGTCAAAAAAAAAAAGAAAAATAGATATAACGTTATTATTGAATGCTACTTGACATCAACGTGGTTAACAACAACAACTCTTTTCCGTAAACTGCAGCAGTAGCATCTCAGAGTGGATATTTTTCATGAGAAATAACGTTTTGAAACATTTAAATTTTTTGCATGATCTCATTTTCACCGTGCAGTCATGCGAGGAATATTCGACTGTATTACCATCGCAAACATTTGGAATTATATTTAACAATGAAGTTATGTTTTGAATTAGACTGGTCAATGTCAGAGGAATTTTCAAATTGAGTGTCGGAAGAGATTTTGGAGTGAATTCGTTTTGCAATATCTCGCTCCGTGATTGGCTTAGTTAAGTCGCGATATTTTCATGACCAATTATATGCAAATCAACCGCTACAGTTTCCTTGGGTTTATGTCGAGTCTCCATTGACCCCCTTTGATACATAACTTTGTTCTGATTGATTATTGTAGTCGCTAAAGGTTTGGTTGGACAACACACAGGCAATGCACTCGAAGTTCAATGATAAAAATATGAAGCAGAACACGAGATGAGATCACTTCCCTATTCGTCATTTCCGACATTTCAGATAAGTTAACAAATGACACTTTTCGAGTTACAAAAAGTGAACCCAGATTTCGAAAGCTGCCTAACGATTATGCTTAGCAACCTGGCCTTAAAATTGTGTGCCTCTCTCTTTGTTGTTGTTGTTTTTTTTTTGTTTTGTTTTGTTTGTTTGGTTTTGTATTTTTCTCCTTTCTCTTTTCTTTCTTAAGGTGCCTATCCGGATAAATAGGAGCTACACAAAAGTCATTGAACTCAAATAATGCGGTCTTTTATAACTTGAGCAGCAGCGAGGCTTTGTTACTTCAAAAGTTAGCGGCCAGGTTGCTATGCAAGATAAAAATGGCGGCCCGCACAATGTGAGTTTAAGCACGTTCGAGGACAGTTTTTCAAACTTTACATTCAGTGTTCAATGGCAGAGATATCCTGGAACATAATGCTTCTTTAGATGAAAAGCTTCGATGGAGAAGCAAAGTCTCCTTGCTGAATACGTTTATGATAAGTTAGTCTCACAAGCTATGGTAAATTTGACATCATTGGTGCATCGTACAAAACTAAATACAAAGTTTTTTTTTTCTTACTGCAAAGACAGACCATTTCGAGCTTAATTTGCTTTGGACACAAAGTGAATAATTCACACAAAAATAACAGATCAACCACGATAGGGGGAAGCAAAGGAGGGGTCATGATCCCATTTCACGCACGAATTTTTTATAACGCATCACGTACACTAGCGTCGCGAATTTAAAAGGGAAAAATTTAAATATCTTTTCTGAGGTTTACACGAACCGAAAGAAATAATTCACCGGTCACGTATATTTTAGTAAGCAAATCACGCCTCACTCTAATTCATAAATTCACAAATCACCCTCGCCTTTTGGTAAAATTCACGCGTCAAAAAGCTTTGGTCGTAACCACAAATCACTTAAAAACCCTTTGCCACCCTCGTAAAAGATTATCCCCTCTTCATTAGCAATTAATTCCTCTCCGACATAAAGACATCACCGCTGGCTCACATAATGTTGAGCGCCGTAGTGGCCGGCACCAAGAGGAAGGTTTAGAAGGAAATATTAAATCCTCGGTGCCAAACTACATGAAAAACTACGTGTAGGTTCTTTAAACTATGAACACGCACTTCAAACTACCCATATTCCAATATAATGTTAGACAGAGTATCTGATAGCAACCTGGGTTAGGCAATGAGTTGCTTCTCGTGTTCTTAAAAACATCTGTTTAACAGCCACCCCGGCTCATGTCTTCTCTGCTCCTTGTTCCAAAATAAGCGCCAGGGTTTTATCACGCATGGCTCCCTCGATGAATTCCGACAATGATAAAACACCGTCTTTGTTCTGATCAAAGTTATGGAAAACTTTAAGTGTGCGCTCTTCAGGAGTAAGTTCGTCCCAGTTCGGAATGCCTTCGGTTTCTTCCGGATTATCACCCATCGTTTTGTATAATGCGTCCACGATTCGGAACATTTCCTGTTTCGTTATATACCCATCTCCATTCACGTCGTAAATACTGAACGCCCAACGAAGTTTTTGTTCCATCGTTCCTCGGGTTGACACCGAAAGAGAGCACATAAATTCACGGAAGTCTGTCAACAGAAATTATTGGTACGCGTCACTTGAAACATACAGTCAATGACACAAAACAGTGTTTACTTTAAACGCTCAAATAAACCCCTTCTCTCTATTTAGCCAACACCCTTCTCCCCACCCCCTCCCCCCACTTATAAGCTTAACATCGAGAGTCTGATGATGAAACTTAAGTCTCCCTTCCCGTTTAAAATATTTTAACCCTTTAACCCCCAAGTACGATTGTTTCTAAATTCTCCCCTCTAGCTGCTACACATTTCCTTGTAACTTCGTAAGGAGAATTTGGTGTTGGATCAAGATAGCAACTTCTACCTGATGAGTTTGAATATTCTTATCCCCTGTTTACAAGATAATGTATGAATGTTATGGGGAGAGGTTACATGTTAATCACCTCTGGGAGTCAAAGAGCTAAAGCCTTTTAAATTGAGCTTTTCGTGAAAAGAAAATTGTGAGGAATATAGCTTTGTCCTTCAATTTAACGAAAACAAATATTACTTTTTCTTTCACCTCTACAAATGTAAATTCACGCATAAAAATCTCTCCACAAAACCAAAACTGAGCGATCAAAAATGTTCGGAAGTCTGTTTTAATTCTCAGCTGACAGAAACCCCTTTGACATTGAATGACGAACCTTGAAATATTTCTTGCTAATTGGCATTTAATTAACCGCTTTCCTTATTTGCAAATCTTACTCGCGAAGTTTCTTGGATCGACTATCAACACGACAATCATTTCTTTAGCTGTTTGTTAATTGCAGAAAGAGCATTTTTATAATTAATATTTTGATAACAGCAAGCCGGTTTTGCTGTCTTTAAATATTAAATAAACTTTCTTTACTTTTTCGCGTAACCAAAAATCTAAGGACTAAATGTTTGTTGCGAATGAAAACACTAGGAAAATTTGGCGAAAAAGTGCATTAGTGCTGCGCTGTATAGGGCAGTAGAGCGAAGGATGCGGAAAGATCGGATGAGGACAATGAGAGATCAAAAGATTCTTTCAGCAACAAAATCAGTGATCAATCTGCTCCCCGCAAGAATTCTGCGTCAAACCATACGATAAATCCTTATCTACAAGCAATTTCTGGTCTTTCGTTATCAAAACAAAGTTTGAACCGATGACGACTATCGCAGGAAAAAACTGCATTTAGGCTATCGTTATTCGCTTCGTTTGACGGTGACACAAAGTGGACGAGGCGAAGTTGTGGTAAAGACATCCCAAATGTAAAACATGATTAACTCTGACAAGGCCTTTGGGAAAAATTTCCCGCGCACACCAGAGTTTCTAAATGAAAGCTTAAACTGTCACTCTCGAAATTAACTTTTGGCTGGCTTAAGCTCTATATTTTTAACACCAGAGAATATTTTGTAAGTACCCTTTTCAGAAATTCGAATCATACCTTTGAGGGTTAGGTCAATGGGGTGGCAGAATTCTTACATACATGACTCTGTTTTTGACCTCTCGTCAACTAAGCCGACTTCTTACGCCTGGGCGTTACGAAAAAAAGTGTTTGAAATTCATATCTTCCAGTATTTCGCCTAACAAACGACCAAACAACACAAAAATGTACAGCTTGGTTCTCTCAGCATGGATGTCTCTTCTCGGGGCCGATTTGGAATTACTTATTTAAAATGACTTTTCGATTGAAATGAAAACAGCGGGCAAATATTTCAAAACGTGCATTAAAATTCAGTAGGCTTTCCTTCTTTTTTTGCTAACATATGCGGACTGCTTTGAACCAAACGCTTGAAACACACACAAATGGGATAAAAAGGCCTGGAATTCAACAAGATTAAGTCACAAAAGAGAGAATATTATTAGTTAATTCGTCGCTAACATAAAAGACCTGTGGCTGAATTGACAGCATGGAAATTACATAAATAACTTTTGGGAACTTGCGTCAATTACTAAAAACAGAAAAGTGTCTGTTTTCGGTGGAAAACATCTTAGGAAATACCGACAAATTGGAAATACTATGTGTAGCTGTAATGTTCCATTGTTTGTGTTATGACTAAGTCTTGCATATTTCATGCGAAAATGGAAGTGTCTATGTAAATTCATGCCTTTGATGCAGTGAACAGTTTTAGAGAGCGTATTCTGCGTTGGCGTGGATCGAATTAAGTTACTTTGATTCCGCCCGTAACACAACAGAGTTATTGTAAATCGAAGGAGTATTATAACTCGCGTGAAATACGTGTACGATAGCAATTTCAGTGGAAGTATTTTCACTCAAAATAAAGTGTAAAAATCGTATACCACAACTCTGATCACAAAGTCTTCCTAGATTTCACGCAAAAGAAATAAAATCTTTGTCTTCTATGCCGGAAGACGACAATTTGTCTCTTTCGGAGGAATATCACTCTGAAATGAGGAAAAAAACTCGTAAATTATTTTGCACCTGTTTTTCAGTTCACACAGAGGCGGCTCTAGAGATTTCTAGGTTTCTGCTTTCATGTCAGCAAAATGCATATTTACACTTTCCTTAATGAAAATTAAGCAGTTTACGGGTAAGGCGGTTCGTTCGTAACAGCAATAACTTTTCCAACACTAGGATTTTACAGGGGCCGGATAGCAGTGTTCCTTGCTATTTCCGTGATAGTATTTTGAAGAAGAAATTTATTTTGATTCAAATTCTGTCATTTATTTTGACCGTAATGATTCTTTTCTCAATCGATTCCAACCCCTGTTGCTGTTTCCCTTTTCGTGTGAGATCATTTTAAAATATTCACGTTTCACAGAGAAACATACGACCCTCCAATAAAACCGTCTCTTTCAATAACCGACCCAAAAATCCAATTACCTACCAGTGGTAAATTATTCATGCCACTTTCTCAAACATTGTAAATGGAAGTCTTTTTTCACCCGATTGTTCCAGCGCGTGAAGACTTTTGTCACCTTTCAGATATATTGAAATCAAGTGTCCCGAAATGGTGGTTTTCTTTCTTAGGGACATTAATGCATGATGTCCGCGATAGTATTTAGAGGTTGTAATCAATAAAATTCGTTTAAGTCATTTTTCCTATCTGGAGCTTCAGTTCTAATCTCCATGGCTTCGATCGATGCGGATGATGCGCTGTTTTTAATTTGACTAGCCGGTTTAAATATTATCAGAGTTTCTTTCGGGCGGTTCACGTCTTGTTATGGAAGTGTAAATAACTTGCGCAAAAAAGAAACTGGATCAAGTTATGTTTCGTGGAATTTTTTGCTTTCTTCAGTTCAAAGATTAACCAAACACCACCTTGAGAATATTACAAATAATTCAACTTACCAATTTTGCCGTCGCCGTTCACATCAAATCGCCGAAACACACAAGCAGCAAGCCTCGAGGCATCTCCTTTGTCGAATACTTTCTTGTACATTTCTATAAATTGTTGTTTCGTTAAGTAACCACTCGGACAATCTTTCAAGAAGCCTTTGTACCACGACTTTAGTTCTTTTTCTTCGAACTTTGTGTTCTTCAAAAGGTCGCCCAAGACCTCAGGGTCAAGCTTTTTACTTTGCTTCTTACCCATTCTTAAATAAAAGGAAATCTTCGTTTTTCGACGGACACACCGCGCCCGAGCTGAAGAATTTCAACCAAGATGGCCGTCGTGTGTCCGGTCGGATTTTTGGCGATCACGACGGCTTTAACTTTCCGGCGACAGTTGACGATCGTTCAGCTAGTGTTCGTTGCTTGGTATGACCGTGAGGCGACGATCGACACTCCAGATGCACTGCATTTGCTATCGCATTAACAACAATTATTTTCTCTGGCGTCCTATCGAGGCAGAATCAGAAGCTGGTCTTGACATGGTCCAATTACATCAAAAAGGCAAGGCTGGTTTCTTGGCGGGGTATCTGTTTTCTGTCCGTCAGAGAACTGAGAATTTAACCGTTATACAAATACCTTAGACCAACGTTTGCTGCGTTGTAGACGTATGCGGTCTTGAACACAGGCTTCAAAAAATGAAAACAACTTTTCCAATCCTCAGCATAAATTAATATTTCCAAGAGAGTCAAACTCGTTCAAATTTGATTGACAATGTATGTGCGGCGTCCTATTCCTGTTGTGGTGTGCATGAAACCAATTCGGATAAAAAAAATAAAATTGAAAAAAATTTTGTAAAGAAGCGTATTCATACGAAATATCTGGAAAATCAAATTTCAAAGAATTTCCGCAGCTTTTATTTGACATTGTCTTATTCCGCCGTCAAAATGCAGTTTTTTTGTTTGGCGGCATAATTTCATTGTTTTTTTGTTTCATATATTAATATATCTCTTTTCCTTTTGCTGTTTCTAATTTCAAAGCTTATTTATCTTTGGTTATTAACCCAGCGCCATCTGATAGGAACATGAATACATTTGGAGAGTTCTAAAAACTGAGATGGGCTATTGGTTTTTATTCTCAAACAAGAAAAACATTCGAGCGGCAAACATGTTAAGAAGGCTGTGGTACAAAATACACCTGTCAACAAAATACATTTGTAAATTCTGCGCTCTTCATTTCTTTACGGACACTACTTTACTGGAGGAAAATTAGTAACGTACACCTTGGTCTGTTCGTGTTTGTTATTTCATGTTGAGTTTAAAAACTGACAACTCAAACACCTTTTGCTTAAGATGTTTAAAGATGATCGCTTTTGATAAGACGTTAAAAGCCTTAAGCAGTTATTTCTCTCTTAGACAAAAGCCGTAGGGTTACCTCCGTTTAGTAGGCATAAAAACAGGATCTTCACTTGTGCACAAAACGTCCAAACTTGAAAAGTTTGCAGTTACAAAGCAGATTTTTGCGTAAACATATCTATCTTTATATCCGAGATCTGACATCTCCGAATTAAGAAACGCATGACTAACATTTTAAATTTATCTAGAAAAAATAACATGCAGATGTTTGCGATTGGTTTTTATCACGCAAATAAGACACCGTGCGCATCACGCATCGTATCATATCCATCTGAGTGCTTTTTCATAAACTTCGCTTTAAAACGCGGAAACAAGCTCTATTAGCTTACATTTTAGAACTGAGAGTTTTAAGGCGAAACGACCAAAGATGAAGTTGTGGAATATTATTTCCAATTTGCTATAAAACCATAAGAAAATATTCCCGAGTCCGCAATGATTAATTAAAACGAAATTTACATCGAAATAAGTGCGAATGACGTTTGCTAAGCAAGATAGACCCGACCTCAAAATGGTCGCAGGTAAACAAATGAGCGCGTTCAATTTACTTTGTCATTAGTCTTTATGTGGATGACAAAACTGGGCCGTGTAAATCAGACGTTCTGCATATTTTAATTAAAATTGATGCTAAGCTCTTGCCTCAAGCGAGAATAACACATCATTTGCAGTTAAATATTCATTATTGCGCCTAATAGTGCATTATTATCCCAGAAAAAATGATTGAATTTCCTGGAGTGGATAAATATTTTCTTGTGTGTTCGACTCTGTGTGATATCCATACCATATTGGTCTGCTCTACGCCACTGAACAATTACCCAAGTTTTCAACTTTTTTTTCTGAAATGACTCGAAGATCAAGAAATGCGAAAAAAGAATCGTGTAATATATCTGCTTTAGTTCGATTAAGGTCTTTCTTTTAAAAAAAGAACGCAAAATGCATCTTTGCCTTCCCTGGATAATTTTTCTACAATCTGGTAAATGTGTTGGAAAAGATAAAAGATTCAAGGGGAAAATATCATAAATAAACATTTTTCCAAAAGGACGACATTGTAATTATTTCAGATTATATGACTATTATAGACCGACCATTATTTATCGCCTCGGGGATCTTAGGATTTTTGGCTGTTTTACAAAAGAATTCACCTGCTTCCTCCTTAAGGCTCTTTCATTAGAAGTTAATTTTTTATTTTCCCCTGTTTATACTCTGTTAGCGACGATAGATCTCCCCTTCGTTCCCCCCTGAGACCATGTGGTCCCCCCAAAAATCCTCCCACCCCCTCCCCCCGGGATAACTTATGACTGGTTCCTTTACTCTTAAACTTACTTGTAACTTCTTCCTATAATATCCCTACATTATCCGGCCAACAGGTAATGAGAATACTCAGACTTATCAGAAAGAAGTTGTTATCTTGATCTAACACCAAGCTCTCAAAACTTATTAAAAACGAAATGTGTACCAGTTAGAAGGGAGAATTAACAATCAGATCTTGGGAGTTGAAGGGTTAACCCTTCAACCCTTAAGAGTGACTGGCATCTAATTTCTCCTTACAATATCATCCCCAAATCACACATAAAGGTCACAAGAAAAAAAGGAAATGACCAACGATAGAAGCTCTTGATTGTTCAACAAATTCTCCTTGTCGGCATCTTGGGAAATGTATTGAGAACAGAATGGAGAATATGGCTACTGGTCTCACGGAGTAAAGGATGAATGGCGGTCGGTCTTGATAGCTAAGCACATTACAAAAGGCCATGTGTCAACATAATCTGACGAGGATCGTTCTCCAATGAAGAGTTTCTTTGCCGTAATTATATGAAAAAAACCCAAACAAAAATCAGTCACATTTTAACACTCCTTTAAACGACGGCATGGAATTTCTCAGTGCTGTTTTGTAGAGTTAATGAAAATCTTATTTGATGAGTTTTAGGTCTATAGTTTCACGACTGAGATAAATTCTATTTTGTATCAACTTACTTTAAAATCAGCTCCACGTTTGGATCTTGAAATTCATAAAGCGAAGTAAAGTCCCACAATTATTCTCTTTTAATGACGATTGACCTCCCTCCGTTCTCCCTGGAAACCATGTAAATCCCCCACCTCCCCCCCCCGGAAGAATCCATCGAAGTTACACTTCAGAAGAAACTATTTATCATCTTTATTACTAGTAAGTAACCCTGTGCCTATCATAAGCGTGTACAGTAAATAGCTGGTTTTCAATAAATAAGTTTAATAAAATTGAGTGAGCTAATACTAACAAGACTTGTCTCTCACTAATATCATCGTACATTGCTAACAATTACTCTTTGCTATTTCAAACACGGAGCTCGTAATTAGGTGTTCAAAAGAACTCCACAAATCGGAAACAATCACTGAAAAAGCAAGGCACAAAACTAGCCAATGAAATTTGGAAGCTTATGTACATCACGGCGGGAAAACCCACGTGACCAGGTTGTGATTGGTTCTGATTTAGTAGTTGATTGGTCAAGTCAATGACACGAGTTTTTCCTGACCAATCACACTAAAGCAAATTCTAAACATTAACACATGTAAGAGCCACTACAACGCTGATAGGAGAATGAAACTGACTGAATCACACCGAAAGTGAACAGTCCGGAAATGATAATCCAGTCCATTACATCCTTATTCAATGTGTGGCAGCTGAAATATTACTTTCTTCTTGATATTTATTGTTTGAACTTCGAATGATCACACTTCGGTGCCAGTTATTTGTTGTGAAAGTGAAAGTGAAATCTTCATGTTTCTTTTCCCTGATGGAACCAAACTTGTTTCCAAGTGATTCATTGTTTAATCAGAGAATCATTTGTAATGAATTGCGATTTCGAAGGACAAATAATGACGAGAGCTTTAGTAACTTACTACCAACGGAGCGTGAGGGCCATACTGGGGAATATTGGCCCGAAGTCGTGACAGTAAGGACCGAACGATGAAAGGTCCATAAAAAAACGACAGAGGGCCAATATTTACAAGTAGGGCTCGAGGAAGCGAGGTAGGTAATTATTATTCTTTTTTTAAATGGCCCCGGACCAAACATGTAGTCTTTGAATTTGCCGGCTTTCGCGAACAAAACCGTCCTACGCACCATATGTGCCATACGCACCGTTTCCGGTGCGTATGTCAACATACCGACCGAGTAAGAGCCAATTAGGACGCTCACATTTACCTTATTGCCTTATGATAATAAAGGATAACATTCACTCATAATGCTTATTTAACCTCTCTACCTGCAGCTCCGTTGGATCACTGGCAAGGCCAGAATACGCCACTTACTAATTGTAATTAAAAGGTAAAGAATCGAGTTAAAAAAGAGCAGAAAACTATGCATGTTACGTAGTAACAAAGAAGCCCACGTTTTGGGTTAGGACCCATCGCTTATCATCTACATGAAGCACGATCTGCGAAGTATATCTGTGTATTTACTCTTCATTTACAATCTTTGGTTAAATTTAATTTTCCTTAAGGTGTATTATCACTCGTGATGCAGCTTACAAAAAAAACCCTGGACGCTACGGATCCCTGTGGTTCGAGTTCAAAATACCGGTGGATCGTGGATGGTGGGCCTGTGGACCTTCTTCCGGGTAATGCAGCTTGTGAGACAAAGCTGCTGTTCTCTCAGTGAAGAATTCATTCTTCACCTGCATATTTAGAAGATGAGACACTCGCTAACAGATATGGTCTCGTGTGCCATAAAATCTCCGTGAACCAAACAAGTTCTCTATAATTCATCTAGGCTACTCTTTTTACACTTGTCTTGCTTGTGGAAGTCTACATCTAAATCCCTCTAAAATATTTTCGGGATCCATGAAAAACTCCATAATTTTAAATTGCTGCAATTTTTGTTTTTTTACAGGGTTAAGCTCTTGAGTTGTTTAGTGTCTTCTCATTTACACGTGCTGACAACAATAGTTCTCTTACACTTATTGCACCTTACATAGCAACACCATACGTACTCGCATTCACAGCGCTCCTCAATCACCCGTTTAAACGTGCGATGACCACGCCCACAACACATGTACGCGCAGCTTCCCTTCCCAGTGGTAGCGGGATTGCATTCTCTTCCGACCGTTCCATAAGTCCCCCGGGCTCGGGACGCGAGGCAGTAATTAGGAGATGGGTGCAAAGCAATAAGATCTCGGCTGTTGTATTTTTTCCCCCTCTTCGCTCTTAGGTAATGATTCTGGCGGCCTCTGGTCCTGCTAACGACAGTAATAATGTTATCGTACTTTTTCTTGAGGAGCGTGGCAACATCTTTGAACTCACTCAGCCGCCTGAAGCATGTTTTCCTCTGGCACGAGCCAGACACTCCATGGCATCTACAGATAATCGCCAATTTATCTCTCACAGCCTGAAATCGAAGAGAAGTTTCAAGAAATAGTGACGATGTGATAGCTAAGAGTCTTAAATTACTGAATCGACCCGGACAGAGCAATATCAATTTCTGTATTTCAACAGGTACTTGAAAGTTTAGAGCGTTAAGCTCCCAGGTAGGCAATACGATGACCATTAACTTACAAATAATTAGCTTTAGGTCAACACGTCTTCAAGGGCTTACAGAGTTTTGGCCCACTTTAGGGAAAAGTTATGTTTCAAAGGGTTTCACTTGACTGAATAAGCTTCGCTGTCGTCAAAATCATGAGCACATTTTGACAAAAATTAGTACTCCCCTTTCTGATAGAATAAAACCATGATGTTGCTTTCTATCTCAGAGTGGTGATCTTTGTTTTAAAAGTTGAAACTGTGCTGCGGAACTCCATTTCACAACGGGATACCTTGGAAATGTCATCCACTAATTATTATTAAACAACATGCCTTGTTGGGCAGATACTATCGCTAATTCCAGAAAAAATGCCTGAAATCATCAGCTTGATTTTATAGAGAACAAGGTTAACTTCTTGAAATTCCCGATGAAAGATTCCCTCAGAGTAGAACGCGCACCTTTTGCAGATTGCTTTGACGTCAGCGCACGTAGTTTGAATATCCCAAAAAACATAGATCCAAATAAGTTTACAAAAATTGCTAGGATTTACCCTCGACAGAAATCCTCCAAATCAGCTTTAAAAAATGATTTCCATTCTTTTCCGTTGGCACTTGAACATTAGGGACCTTTAGCCTTTAGGACGGCAACGCCAAAGAAGACGTCGATTTAAAAAAGGAATACATATTTTTGGTTGGAATTTCACGAATGAGTGGATGTGATTACCATCCCTTACGGCGCCGCAAGTTAACCTCAGCATAGCTTATGAGAGCGGCGTTGAGTTCCAAATGGAAACTTAGATAATTTGCCGTCGAGATTTCCTTTCTCGGACCACGCACAATTTTGATGATTTCACGTTGTTATTTTGCAGAGGACGGCTAAGAAATGTACACAGTTTGAAAACGCACGAGTTGAGCTATTGTTCTGCTCATTAGATCTTTTGTTTTGCCACGTCCTCGTTGCCGTCGCCGTCACCGTCGTGGTTTGCTATAGGTCCGTATTGACTTTACATCAAGACAACATTATTCTGATTAATGGCAATTTTACACGCCACGATCCTTCTTCTGTGATAGATTTCAAACAAGTGCTCGATCACCACTAGTGTTTTCACTTTTTTTGTAGCTATTGTGGTGAAAATATGTGTATGAACTTACTTTCTTAACATGGGCTATCTTCTTACTTATTTCAACCGCAATCCAATACACCGCAATATTAGCAAGGTGGAACTATGAACGAAGATCTCTTCGATAATTTTTCACGCACGACCTATATGGTTTCAACTCTCTCTGCTTCCAACAGTTTCAGATTTAGAAAGTGTACCTGAGAGGGGCCCCATTCATTACTACTTGAGTACAACACAATAAATTGAGTATCAAAGGATTCTTTTTACGACATATATGTGGTACTTAGTAAATATGATCTTATAAAATGCCAGTGGCTCGAAGACACTTTGACAGATTCCGCATCGAAAATTGTAGAACTATGACCCTGTGCTGAGGTGTGAGGCTCAGTCACAAAAGCAAAGATGAGTTCTTGCTGTCAAGAGCCAAATTGAAGATCTCAAAACATAGAGGACCGGTTATTTAAACAAAGTTTAGCCATTGTTTAACAAAACTGCGTTCTAACCTATCTTAAATTTAGCTCTTTTTTCCAAACATTTATTTTTGTGATCAGTGTCAAAGGGACCGAAAGCTATCAGGGGAGGGACATTTATTTAATGAAAATAACCCTCTTATAGAAAGTACACTGCTTGCGAACAACCGCGGTTTTGGTTAGACCTCGAGTAAACAACCGGCCCGGAAAGTTAACCTCGTCCTAACTACTAGTTTTTCAATACATTCATTTACCTGTCATCTCTGAATATTTTAAAGTTGATAAAACAACTATGGTCGTAGATATGTTTTAAAAACCTCGACGAAACCCGAAACTTGAATTGAATGCATATCAAAAAGCATTGTTTTGAGCTGTTCTATCGTCGCAGCGGTGATAAAATGAGGCTGGAGCTAACACTTTAACTCTCAAGATCTGATTATTAATTCTCCCCTCTAGTTGCTACACATTTATTTGTAAATTAGATACGAGAATGTAGAGTTAGATCAAGATAACAACTTATACCTGATAACTTTGAGTATTCTCATTACCTACTTGCCGGATGATGTGTGGAAATTATATGGGGAAGTTACATGTTGATCAAATGTGGGAGCCAGCCAGAAGGTTACAATTGGGCGAAACTCATTTGCACAAAAGATGCGACGGGCAAACGCCAGAAGAAATTTCCATTAGCCAAGATCAAATGGAAAAACAAACCAATTATAAACCGATTAACAAGAATTTCATCTGTCATATAGCTAGCGACAGGTGTGCAATTTTCACGCTTTAAGGTAACGTGCTAGAATAAGACTCTTAAGACTCTGGACCGTATAATCGTTTTTCCAGACAAGGAATTATTCTTCCTGTTTTGGATTAAAACATCAAACCAAACCCATTCCTATACAGGAAATCTATGTTGTTTTGTTCTCAGCTAGCCATCTTTAAGCTGTAGTAATACTTGATCTGACTGACGTCGGGCGAAGACGACTTTAGCATTGTATACATTCATCGCATGGAAATTATTTGAACAAAGGAACATCATTCATGTAAGTTTTGGCAAAAAAAAAGTTGCTTTCTACAAGTTCCGTTCAAGCAGGGGTTTTCATACCTTTTTCCCATAAGTGGCTGCCGATGATGTAACAGGTGGCTGTGCCGTGAGGCGAAAGCCAAACATGAGAGCCTGGATATAGTCGCAGTTTGAACAGACGGCGATGAGAGTTCCTAATGGCGGGCCGCTAATCGGCTTTTGTCACGAAACCCCTGGTTTAAGCCAGAATGTTTGAGATGATGAACTTAGAAAACTGGAGATTGCAGTTAATGGATTAATATTTTTGTAACAAATGCAAAAGACTGAAACCAAATCGTTCATTTTTCAAATAAAGTAACAATAGCCCCCTCCGTATAATGCATACAGCTGTCAGTATGTTATTGCAGCAAACACAATTCATCTTTTCCACGAGTATTATTATGGTAATTCAAGAGAAAAATGAAGTACTATCGCCAATGCCATAAAATCAGCAATTTTTATGGGAAAAGCCACTTAAAACAAGATAACAGAAAAAAGGAAATTATTAGCAGTCCAGGATTTTAAAACAAAGCCCTTGAGATGGCAAATATGTAGCCATGGTATTCAACTTCAATAATTTGGGTTCCTTTGGAAAGGAATGACACGGAAAACGTATTCTGTGTAATCTCTAGAACGTACAGTTTTGCCTGAAAAGCCCCGTTTATTCAGTGACCGAGCGGTTTCAGTTATCTTGGAGTTTCAGATGACATTGAAGCGGAGCCGAATGCGCAATTTTTGTACCCGTGGGTCCCTCCGTGAACAATGCTCTGTCTCTGGGCTTTTCTCTGTTGCGCTGTTGCGCTGTTGCGTCTGACAAAAACGCGTTGGAAAGACGGTTTGGCATTCGTCACAAGTGTGAGACGAAGGAAACTCTGAGTCATTCGTTGACCTTCGATCCCCAATCTTTTCCGATTTCGCGTTCGGCTGCTCCACTCACTGAGCTATAGGGAAACTGGCTTTGAACGAAGTCCGTGCTTACAAAAATTAACCCCAATATCACTTGCTTAGTTATCTACTGACATACCAATAACATGTCACTGTCAACTAGCCCCTTTTTTTACAACACGCAGAACAGAGTAAGATATTTAAAGCTCTTACAAAGATACCCCAGAGACATCAGTTTACACCCCATGTAAAGGAGCGGGATCTTCACAAAGACGTCAGAAACATTCTTTGAGACTGAAGGATAATAACGGAAAAAATAGATCAGATTATCGAAAGTTCACTTTTGACATAACGATAAAGATTTCGGCGGATTTTTGGACAACAAAACTTTGGTACGGTAAACACAGGCATAGGAAAAACATTGTTTTAGCCGATCCCTATGTTGCAATGTTCACAAAATTGAATATTTTTTGAGACAGATTATGTAAAAACAACTGTAAAGCGACCTCCTTAATCGAGTGATTTGTACAGGATAACAGGTATCAAGACTGATTCTTAAGCTATATCAACAAGAGACTCTCAGAGTTTGTTGTTTACAATGGGCACTTACTCAGAATGGCCACTTTATGCTGGTTAGAAATACCTCTTGGGTTACACTGTAACTTGGCAAACTGTTTACTCAAAAGCTCGTATTTTCGTCAACGAATTGTACAAGACAGAAGTTTTCAAATAAAACAGGCCTACAGAAAGTCGCTGTGTATTTGGGTTGTTTTGAAAGTCTTTAAAAACCGGAAGAGGAACGTTTTAAAAAATAACAGTTTCAGACGGGTAGAGAAAAGACCTAGCGGCAAATACAATTCATAAGAGAGCAAAGATGGGTAGAGATGAAGGAGATTAACTCGGATTGTAAATATAAATAGCGTAACAGCCTGACTGCGATTGATCTCCCTTACTGGCGAAGCTCAATTGTACACGAAAGCGGGCTCAAACTACCTTTACCTTTAAAAAAGAATATTCCAATTCTGACCAAACGTAACAAAATATCACGACAGAACCGCCTTACAGACCTAATCGTCGCGTGGAAAGCATTTTTTTCAATTAAGAAGAGACTGAAATTCTTTAAGTGGTTTATTGAGCAGATGCTAACGGTGTCCGGGAACTTACTTGTCTTTAATTTAAAGCAACTGGTTGACTTCCGTGAGCAAAATTTTTATCACCAAACAATAATCCTTGTTTTCTGACGTGCTAACGTGTTTTTACTTGGCGAGGTCATGGATTTTTCAGCTTAAATTTCGTAGGGTTCAGATGATCTGCAAACATTTAACGGATTGTTTACCACTAATTAACACTGCGCACACCGTGGGTTGTGAAATTTCAGCACCCGAACCCAAACAGAAAGAAATCCGCAACAGATCCCGCCGGACAAAGGAAACAAACAAGAGCTTAAGAGTTGATCCAAACACTAATGACTTTTTAATGTTCTGGATCAGTATTCTCTTTCAAGTCGAAGAATGCGAAAACTTTTAAGCTGATCTGTCCAATTATCAGTTGGATAACCAATATTTTCTTACTTAAGAACAAGGGGAAATCAGTGTTGAATTCACATGAACCAGTTCATCCCGTTTCGGATCTCATAATCCATAATGAAAGAGCGGTTATTCCGAATTTTCGGCCAGCATTTTCATTCAACTTAATTTTCTTTTATCCTAACCATTAAGTCGTTCCCTTTTATTTCCGGGAAAATGCCTTTCGCCATTCAATAGCAATCGTCCCAGAAAATCATATATCTTAATTATATATGTATATATTCTAGTATATACTACACAAGTGAATAGAGCTGTCCGCGAGGCAAGTACTATTCACCTTCACTTTGGTGAGTAATTGTTATATATACCGCGTCGCTTGAAGGGAAAGCGAGATGCGCAGATTTTTTTCCAATCAAATCACGCAATGGATTTTGTTAGGAGAAAGGGACTGCGTGGGAGGTTTTCCTATTCCAAAAAACTGATTAAGTTTGTTTATCTTCCTTTGAAGGTAATTTTGCACGTGATAGATAAGAACCCATAATATTTTGAATGCTTTTTGACGAAGAAATCTATTAGTTTTCAATTTTCGCAAACAAATTTCTCGCTTTTTTTCAAACACTATTTCTCGTTGAATTATTTATTTGGATAAACTGACACATTTGACCGTATTCTGATATTTTTCTTGATAACTACTCAGGGGTGCCTCACTTTTCAATAATGGGTATCAATAATCTGAGAGTTCATTTTGGTAAAGAAAACTTAAAAAAAAAAAAAAAAAAAAAGACGCCTTGATTATTTCAAACCGTACCCCGTCCGTTTGAATTAAGAATCATAAATATTAATAAATAACAGTTTCTGATAACTTTGAAGTATATTCAGCCTTCAGACGTTCAAAGGGATTGTGTTTACGAACCAAAGACACCGTCGGAAGTCGCTTACAACGTGAGTGAGCCTAATCACAACCACACATTTGTTGCTTTGTCATCTTGTCAAACTCACTAGATTTCGATATGAAATGCTCGCAGTCGTCTTGTCGATAGGCTATCTTAAAATCAATCACTATTTTTAGGACAGCTATGATGACACACGTGTCTGACGAGGTCAAACCTTAAAGCAAGGTATTTTGTCAAAATGAACACAGCACAATTGAGCGTAGAAATGTGTTTTCCACATTACGCAGTTAATTCAAAGCAATCGAGATTTGATCTTCCTTGAGCCTAAAACAACACCGATAATTTAAACATTTCGTCACTTAGTAATTGTCGAATATTAGTCGCGATACAAGGTTTGCCTTGAATCATCTGTATTCTACTAAATCTGTGAAACCAGGTATCGTCAACGAAATAATTTAGCACCATTGAACCTAAAATCTACTCGCATAATGGGAGTTCATTCTTCAAAATGATCAAACTCTGCTATCCTAATACCTATTTAGCCACATCATATCAGCGCATTTCAGGAGAAGACAAGGGTAATCAGTAACAAAGATGGTTATATTTGGCATATGTCGACCATATTTACTGGCTTGTAAACAGGCCCACAAAAGAAGCTTCACGACAAAGCTGGAGTCACTCAACCTTCGATAACCCTCCTAAACCTGATTAATTACTTTTATCTTATGACGTAAAAGATGTCACTGATGATTTTTGCGCAAGTCAATACAGTAAAATATCAAGACTTCCTTACCGTTCTTCCCGCTTCGTTATTTTGTATGTTCATCAAGGCTCGGCTGGTCGCTGAGGGTTCTTGCCCTTCCATTCTTTTCTTCTCCACGGCGTCCGTAAACTTCTTGCTAAATCGCACTCCGTACGCGATATTGTCACTGCACCCGCCCCAAATCCAGTCTTTATTTTCTAGTTTCGTTTTCGGCGTTCTCCCGCAGCCACAATGTTCCTTCAATCGTCCAATACTACAGGCTTGAGTCACGCTATAAACTACAGCGGCCGATGATAACGCGTATACAAACGCGGATTCTTTGGTTCCTGAAAAATGAAGGGATCAACATACTTTTTTTTTGAGCACGGCGCAGGTAATGAAATGAGCGTGTTATCGTAAAAGTCTGTGTTTTCTATTATTTATTTGTTTACATAACAGCCATTTACGCCTGCCGAAGTGTAAATATTTGCTTTGAGAAGATATTAGTCTTGGATATGAAGCGACCTTTTCAAAAACAAGTTAAATTGTTTTTCCAGATGAAACTGAAATGCTTTATTAAGAAATTACTACTCGTACCACGCAGTTTATAGGCGGAAGAAGGTCGTATTTTTTTAAACAAAATTTTCGCCTTTTACCAAGTGGTTAACCAAAACGTTTCCGTCAAACCAGCCTTCTACAATTTGTTGACTTCCGAGTGAAAACCTTGAGGTCGATTTGAGGTTTAAGGAATTACTGCGGAAATGCTATTCAAAACACTACATATCTATTCTGTTTGCGAAATAGCTTTAAGATTAATCGTCTTTGAGTGAATGGATTTGTTAGTTGGAAATGTTTAAAAGACGTAATCAATTCAAACGCAAAATTGTGCCAGTATTTGTTAATGATTCATCCATCCGAGCTCTCAGTGCATATCCCAAATATCTTTTTGGGTACGTCAAAGTAATTAAAGAGATGAAACATTCAGAACTGATTTGTCTGTAAGCGACAAGGTGGCTGGAGTAATTGAAGGCTAGATTTGACGTGCTCTGAGTGTTTGAGTCAATTTAAATCTATTGAATAAAGTACAACACTGATGACTTTGAAATCACTATGTGCTCTCAAATTATTGAATACCCATCTGGTTCTAAGAAATAATAAAGTTACTACTTCCGATAACGAGGTTTTGAAGCAAAACCCAAATTATTGATCGTACACGAGGCAGTCTGTACTGTTTTCTAAAACGAAATTCAAGCGTATTTCGTATAGAAACAAGAATTTTACCGGAGAGAAACACCATTATTTCAAGTTCTCTTTTGTGATGATATTTCCCCGAACACAATCCATAAGCTTCCCCTGGTTTTTATCATCGATTCTTTCTTCATAACTGTGAATACGAGATTTTACGATAACCGCACTCAAAAAGATGGTCGGGTTTCAATTACTAGCCCCAAGCGATTTCATGCAAAGCAACGATAGTTTAACTAACAAAATTACCTTCAAATAATTGTGTGTTATCCTGAATGTGATTATTTTTTACCCCATGCCCAATCTAGCTCCAGCATCTGCTCGAATGAACTGATAGTCATTAAGTTTTGGTATAATGGTATTATTCTGACAAAAAACAAACAATACAAAACCTCAATTGTAGCTTACCTCTCTTGAGATCGTTGTAAAACGAAGGGGCCTGTGAGATGGTTGTACAATTCCATCTTCTGTTCTGTAACTGCGATTTACACTCTGTCTTAGTCATCTCCGCAGCCTCGGAGACATATCTCATGATGGGCAAGCTTCTTCGACAAATTTTATACTGCTCGCCAATGAAGCCGTGTACTTTGCTGCAATTCGTTTTCTGCCATTCAACATCTGACGGTATTTTTATGGCTCTGTGTAACAATAAAAACAGAGAAATCACGCATGGAATATAGACCGCGTTAGTTGAACATACTCCGTACAGAAGGCACAGTACTTCGCACATGCATCTCAATTGAAAAATTAATGGACGAAATCCAGAGGTCAAAGAGTGCAGGAGGAGCAATTCACTGATGATACTTACAACCAGCGTATTCCGTGAAGCTTCTCTGCGAGTATGTTTAGAAGAAACAATACTGCTGCGATACGAAACAGAATGTTCATGTTGTTGATGCCGTCACGGGCCAGTTCAGTCCACGCAAATAACAAACTTGAGACCTGCCAAGCAACAGAGACGCGATTCTAAATAAGCCGTAAGCTAATCAATACCAGAAGATTTCATATCAAGTGATAAAAAATTTCTCCGATGGCTACCCGACTTGGGTTACATCTCCCGGGCGCATGAATGACCCATGTCGTGCGGAATGTCAAAAATAATCAATACTTCTGTGGACCAACACATACGCGGTAGTATTCTGCTCGCGGTGAGGTAAAAACCCGAATGACACGGCTTGTAGAGGAGATCAATTATTTTTAAAAATCAACTCGGTCGTGCAGTGCGCTCGTTGAGAGCCTGTTGTTTCATCCGACTGACTTCGATCACTTCAGTATTTATAACTAAAGGTGCACCCCCAATTAACTACGCATCCGCGTCTCAACCTGCCCCGCCCTGACTGAGTGTCAGAGGCTGTTTCTAAACTGCTTTCAACAGCACTACTTTTATTAATTCGCTCTGGTTTCCGCCGGGGAAGCCGTGACTTTACCAACTAACTTACGTCTTAAAGCAGAGTATGACAACAATGTCTCGTGTACGTAATTTGCCACCTACACCGAGTGTTTAAATACTCCTTCCTAAACGCAAAACCGGCAAGGTTATTGAAATAAATCGCCTTTCGTCTGAGATTTCGTCTCGGCGTTAGCTATTGAAAAACGCCTTTCCTTCCCTTTCCTTTCCTGAAAATAACTGAGACCTGGCGAAACAGCGCTGCTGGTATGCCCGCCGTTTGTTGGCAAAGCCCGCTACGACCAAACATTGGCGACCTGTGCAGTCTTAAAAAAATGACGTTTGTTTAAGAGTTTGGATAGGAACGACTCCTCAGATGTCACAAAAGAACCGAGAGATTCAAAAGATAAAATCAGGATAAGAACTTCAGTGTGGATTTCGTTTCTCGAGGCCTCTGAATATGACATGGCGCGTTGAAAGGCTACTGAAATCTTACGCAGCGTGCTGAGAGGAATCCTTTCAGGGTAAAAGATGCAGGGAGGGATCCTCGGACGACCTCAAGAAGCTGTTAATTGGAAACAAATTAAACCACTTATCGAGCGCAAGAATTTTTACTGCATGCTCTTCAGGGTAATCTGAAAATATCTGAGCGTCTTTCGATGACCATAAATCTTCTTGGGGATATGTCTGTCCGAGTCTAGAAGAGACCCCGACGTAATACGGATGAAAAGTTGCCAGTGCCATTTGACCAGCTGAAAAAAGATTAGTCATAAAGTTACAGAGGGACCGCATTTGCAGAGCCCTCAGGTAACACAGCCGTCTCTCGTTGAAAGAGCTGAGATAAAAAATCTTACCGTGTGTGGCTGATTGAATGTGTCAGATCATGCAGTGAAATCTGGGAGGTCGCTGATCAAATATTTCATTCAGCTACGAGTTTGTACTGTTATGAATTAGATAAGCTCTCTATTACTTTCTTAAGAGCTTCGCGTTGTTTTTATACAACAAAGAAGTTATTGTAAGTACGTCATTGAGATCAAAAGCTTTAAATACGCCAAGAATAACTGAAAAACTCAACGGGGAGTTTCCATATTTACTTGTACCTAATTAAAAAACAGTTAACTAATACGAGGTGCGAAATTGGGTTTTCGTGATAATTCGCTAATGCTCTTTCCTCACAGCCAGCTTGCGTGCATTTGTTCTCGAAAAGTCACGAAATCCTTTATCCTTCTCTAAATGTAGCATATTGCCATCATTTGAGCTGTTAAGAATGTTATGATTTCTTCAAATCGAGTGTTTTTGAATGGCCCGATTGCGCTGCGGAATCAATGTGTATATGCCAGTTCTTCCATGTTGTTTCGCTTTTCGATTCAATAAAAAAAGTGTTTTTGGAGATAAACCTCTCTCCAACTCATTCTGATGATATATACCCAATTATTACAAACATCACAGAGCTCTGTCTTAATCTGTTTCTTAAAACGACATTTGTTGTACTAATCTACACTGAACCAAAGACCCCTTTGAAGTTGAATCTACTATGATGTTGAATGCGGTTCTAAATATAGCATTGCGGGTTTTTTTTCTGAAAAGATAATCAATCCACGCAAGGTAAATACAGATTGATAAATTAACAGCAGGTCTTGATATTAAAATTCGGTGGGATTGAAATCTTAAGTATGCTCTTGACATACTTTAGATGTACATAAACCACTTAAATTCTTTCAAATCTCGTTTATTATCAACTTCCCAGAGTTGATCACGATTATCACGAAGTTAAGTTTCTAGAGACCAAAAAACCGAGATCCGCCCAGGTAAGATAATGCAATTAGGACGTTCAAAGTTCGCGTAGAAAAAAATCTCACGTATTGCGTAGGCCGTAAAATTCTTAATACTACACAAACACAAATGCAAAGGCACTTTGATCAAACAAAGATAACCAGTAGCTAATTGTTTAAAATAAGTGGGACAGACATGATTTATCTAAATTTGCTTTAGTGCTATGAACGTCACTCTTTAAAAAAATTCCACCTCCAGGAAGTTGGCACTCAATATTAATTCCAACGAGTTTTTTCCCTCAAAATTGTGTATTAGTTGCCCTCATTTAGCAACTTCTTACTTGCTTTGTCAACGAGCTGCAACAGCAATACTCTATTTCCTCGTAAAAATAACTTTCCATCTCTTATTTTGGATATTTATTTGGGACGTGTTTGTTAGCGATTGCTAGAAAGCTTACGAGGTTAATCTCCTCAATCCGTCTTGTCTGGACGTGTCATAACTTTTCATTATTACGTGAGATCTCGTATTTTGCAAAAAGTAATATACTTTTCTTCATGACCGTACTTTATAGGTGAGCAGAAGTAGGCAATCATGTCCCAAATGCTGGAGTTGAACAAAAAAAATCAAAACAAACACCTTGTGATAGGAATTCACATTAAAATATTTTAATTGGTTCCAACAATTTTGCTTTACTTTGCTAGGAGACAAATTACATATTTACAGAAAGCACCTGAGCATAATTGAGACGGTTCTTGTTTTGAGGTGACGCAAGATCAAATATGTAGACATGAAAGCATGCTTTTCAGACAGAGATCATTCTTCCAGTAAAATAGTTATTACCTGAAGTTATCACGAAACTAGCGGATTGCGGTTTGAATCTCTTGTCGCAATTTGCGTACAATTTCTATTCGCCATTTAATTTGCAAACGCCACCGCTTCCACAGGAAGTCCAAAATATACCAGGCGATTAAAAAAAAAGTTTTAGCCGAGCGGTCAAATCGTAAGGCACTCCCCTAAAGTACGTCATTCAATTCCCTGTTTCCAGAAGGAAGAGAAGGATTTTCTTCCGAAAGGCAATTTTTTGAAGTCGTTGCGCTCAATACAGTTTGTCACCTCTTAAGAGAAAATTGTGTGGCAACTTTCTGCGTATCAAGAAAAGCTGATCAAATTCAAAGACAATGCCCTTTCTTACCAAGCTGAGAACGTTCAGAAAGATGTTTTGTTTTGATAGCTGGGTTGGAATCGAATTCAGAGCGCCCTATAGTTGCGCTTAGTGAAGAATAATCCAGTTATTTCCAAATGAATTTATGTCAAAGCTGTGGACATAATCTGAATAAGTAATTGTGTCTTTTTATCTTTCCATACTAGATATTAGACGAAAACAAGAGAGAAAAAATAGGACATTATTTTCTTTTGAAAAGATACTGCTTTTTTAAATGTGAAAATAAATCTTCCAAAGTAATCGATTGGGCTTGAGTTATCCACATAAACCAACCATTCTAAAACTAAGCTGAAATCATTCGAAAATGTAGACATCTTATTATATATAGGGCGGATTTTCTTAAACAGCTGTTAACATCTACAATTTCATTCTTACGTACAGCTTGATCATTAAATCGCCATTGAAATTGAACAAAGGAGTTCAATTGTTATAGGCTCCAATCAAATTTTCATCAGTTGATTTAATGTGTATAAACAGCAGTAGGGTAATGTGATGAATGAGTTAGAAAGATCGCCATCCCTTTTGTGTGATTACAACATAAATGAAAAAATTGTTCGTAGAGAAAAAAAAGACCAAATGTGGGAGGATCGGGAAGAAGAAATATTTAGGAACTTTACAGATCTTCGTAAAAACTGTGGTAAACAGAGAGATTCTGTGAACGAAAGGTTTAAAAAAAGAGGATTAACTTATGCGGTTTTTTCAAAGATAAACTCCCTGGGAAGAATTTGCTGTGAAGTTTTTTAGTGGGTTACTTCTGCTCTCAAGACGCTTTTCCGATTCCAAACAATCCTGCACCCCTAATACATCCGCTTCAAAACACAGGAAATGTGTCTTTAGTATAGAATATTGTCGAAAAGATGTGAACAAACTCGACAGACAAAAACAACTTGTAAAATATATAAGTGTATAACTGATCCAGTTTTTTGTTTGGGAGAGAGAGGGGAAGAGGAGTCAATTTTTATGGGTGTGTCTCTTGGTTCGTTCAAAAGATATCAGTTATAAGTAAAGTTTGCATAAGATGTTTAATACAAGAGTGATATGGTCTACCAGGTCAAGAATTCTGTTGGTTCCATGTTATTACTTTGTTCTCAAAGTAATAACATGGAGGTTGCAAAGTGGAAAGAGTTGGTGATAAAGTCAAAGTTATGATCAGTGGTTTCAGAAAAATACGATCCAAATCTGTAAAGAAATCTTTCGTCAATCTCCCAGTTGGTCTTATTTGTGCCAAATTCGGTTCAGCCTTGAGCTTCTTAGATTAGTCCAAAGAAAAAATTACAGACACCTGCCCCTCTAAAGACTTTCTTTGTGATCGAGTGACAGCTTAGATTAATTACACTCAAGAAAAGGCTGGGTTTTTATTGACATAATCCTAATCACAGGAGGCCTTATTATTGAGTGCAAAAGCGCCGGCTAACACGTTGAAAATTTCTTTCCTCAAAGCAATACTGACTTAAGAAAACAATTTTCGATGTATCAGGATGAGGTTTAATGGAAAACATTTCGGAATCGTGAATAGCTCATCGGCAACGTGTTTCTCCGGACTCGATGCCATGGAGACGATGTACTCACATTACAGTGGTCATCAGCCTAGGAAGATTGTTTTTCAGTAGACTTGAATCGACGTTTTGACAACTTATTGAAAATTTAGTAATTGATTAGTAACCCGAAGTACTTTTTTTCCACCAAATTCTCAGTTTGGTAATTGTCTTAAGACTACCTTGAAATGGGTCCAAACCTGAAAGTTTCAGCTTGTTTATTTTCTGCTTTGATTCAAGTCTAACGAAAACACAAAAAATGGCAAGTGGTTCAACTAATTCGAACACGTAACATTGTCCTTGAAACTCGCTATTTACTTGCAATACACTTCAATGTTATCAACACAGCTAGCGTAACTCGAGGGATTTCAACGACTTTTTATGGGTCAACACGTCTTTTTTTGATTTTAAACTGGTTCACATAGTTGTGTTCTCCTTAACCTGAATTTGTAAAGCCCAGAGGCGTTAAAGGCAAATAATTAACGCGGTTCTTTGAAAGAACCGTGCACGCTTCGCGGTTGAAATGCTAAGTTTGTTTAAACTTACGCGAATTGGATCAAAACCGCTGCCCTTAACTTTGACAGACTGTTCTAGCTCAAGATACTTATGCATATTGTTAGTCTAAATACTTACTTCTGAGCTTGATTCAAGGAGTTAAAACATACGGGAAAAACACGCGGCTCCCGAGCAACACATTAACAAGGGGTTTATTATGTGAGTCAAACCCGATATTACTGCTTCACATGAAGAAATGTCCTGCCGTTTGGATCACCGTTCCCGCTTCTCTCTCGTAGAGATATTTCCTTTGTTATTTAAATAGAAAAGGAGTGTTTTTGGCGCCTACAGCTTCTTCCAGCTGCGTTAGGTTGATCCACGAAAGCGAAAGACAATGAGTTAGTATGCATCCCTTGGCAATGATACATTACCCGTAGTGCAAATATATCCTTCCCATAGGAAAATTCTAAATTGTTACTTTTGGGTGCAAGTAAAATAGGCTGCTGAAATTAACTTGAAAAGCCCGCTTTCTATGGAAACAAGATTAGGATCTCACTACTTTGAAAGCCTTGCGTATTCGGTTCATTGACGCGAACGCGTCCTTTCGTTTAACTAATTAAAAACTTGTGTTTTATCCTCTTCGCGTTTTGTCTATGTTGGAGCAGATTACCGCATGTAGCGTTATCGCAGCAACTGAAATTGGAGTGATGTAAACTTTTATCAAAATTGGACGCGAGTTTTCTGAAAATAACGCAGTCGACATAAACAGAAATATTGTTTGTGTGCAATGCTAATTTTGCTCTTGTTTGCGGTTTGCTTCCCCTGATGTGAAATAAGCCGAGCATTGATACTAAATACCGCCTTTCATCTGCGAATTCATTACCAGATTGAATTGCTGTGGTTTGGATCATAACATTGAGGCTTTTTTCTCTAATCAAGGTTTGTAACTGTCGTCCGATAGCAAAATCCATGTAAACACTTGTGCTTGATAACTTTTTACTTTAACGAAATTGGAGGGCGTTGTTAATTGCTTTCATGTACACACGATTGTTGCTTAATGTGTTCACCTCCAGGCAATTAAGTTCGAATTCTAAATTTTTCATTACTGGTTAATTGACATTTCATGCGTGTATTAAGTGTACCTAGTGAGCCGAGAGTAGCGGGGAGCTTTTAAGAATGATTTAGATACCTTCGCATGATCAAGCGATTCCAACAAAGACTTGCGGGCTGCTCATTGTTTAAATATAAATAGCTGAGATATAATGGGTTACATTGACCACACCCTTATTACAATCATAAATATCTTTCCCCTTGGTTATTTTTAAGTCCAGGTGCTCCAAGCGCTGTTTATTCTAATTCTCGTTTGACCCCGTACACCCTAACATCAGTATGCATATTCTCCATACTGTTCTCTATACATTTAAGGTGCTGACAAGAAAAATTTGTTGCAAAATAAAGAGTTTGTTAAGCTTTTGATCAGTTCCTTTATTCTCATGACCCTCATATTTGATTCATGGGAATACTGTAAGGTGAAATTAGATCCCAGTCACTCTAGGGGGTTAGATGGCTAACTTCTAAAGTTTTTTTTGAGCACTTCGACCAGGATTTATATTAATCGGGTTTTGAAAAAATCATAATTTAAGTCATTGGATTAATTTCTTTTTCTAGACTACCATTGTTATATATGCTATTTAGAGTCGAATCTATCCAGGAAAGGAGTCTTTCCGGGTCCGGTTTGTTTAAAACCCGATTAACATATATCCTGGTGGAAGTACATCTAAAAACATAGATTATCAAGGAACTGAAACAAGGATTAGCGTAAACTGCACTTCGACCAACTCAGCGCAGAACTAAATAGGGTCAGCTACGCTATGCTCGAAAATTTGAGTATTATGCTTTTAAGCGTCACCCCTGAAAACATGGTGTTATGGTGAAAATTATGGTCAAAAATTTTCACTATGTTTATATGATAATTTGAAATGATTGCTTTGAAGAGTCCTTCAACTTCCCGCCCCCTCACCCCCCTCCCGCTAAATCTACCGCGACAAAAAACCGGGGGCCCCCTTAGCTCAAGGCCTGGATCCGCCACTGCTAACATTATAGGAATTGTATAGCAGTCAGTATGGAAAATTACTAATGAGATCTTCGGGTTGAAAGAGTTAATATGGAAAACCTTTTTTGAAGGTCTCTCTGGTGATGAGGTGATGATAGTTTTGTAATGTTATTAAATACAATTCCCTGTATACAGGTGCAAAAATATCATCACCTCATCACCAGAGAGACCTTCATAAAAGGTTTTCCATATTAACCCTTTCAACCCAAAGATCAGCTTTATTTACCAAAGGTTATTTTTTTTCTTTGACCATCCCTGCTCTCTTCAGTTTGTTTCTTAACACTACTGTTTTCCTCCTGCAGCAAAGTGCTATTTCAAATTCAGTTTCGTCTATAAAAATGGCATTTTCTGCGTCACAAAAACAACTCAATTCGTCATGTCAAAGCTCCTTTGTACATGTTCCTCTTATTTCACATCGTGCATTCACCTTCGAATTCAGCGTGTTGAATTCTTCGTCATTATTTTCAGCTCGTAGTTTCGCGCAGATGAGTTGAAAATAAAACTGGAATCCCGTTTTAAGGAAATTAATCACGTAGAGCGGGTAATCAAAGGGAACTGATCATTTCGGTAAACGGCAAAACTGTGCATTTCGACAATTTTACTGTCTATTATTTTGAGATGTTTAAGATGTTTGAACTGTCTTCAGCTCCCGAAATTAGGCCAGGGCTATGAGGTATTAGAGAGGACAAAAACATGGTGTGTGCAGGTTTTTGGAAGGATTGGGACTAAACAATAATACTTCGTTCTTTCATTTTAATTTCTCTTGGTAGATATTTAGTAAAGCGCTGGTTTTAAGCTATGAGTTTAGATCCTTTGTAACGGGCTCCTAAAATTCTATTATACATAACTAATGGACTTTGTTCGACTTTCCAGAAGTATCTTTAAACATCCGCAAGGACAATGGAGAAAGCTTGTTGTGCATTACAGCTGATTGTATAAATAGATCACCGTAATTGAAGCTGTAAATGAACATTGCAAAGTTGTCGGTATGGAACGGAAAGTGAAGAGAACATGACCAATTTTCACATGTGATTAGGCATTCATTTTTTTAATAAAAATGCTGTGCATTGAAAGTTTGCTATTTTTTTTAGTGGCTGCGTGCTATACACAAGTAATTCCGTTGCAAAAGAACAATTAAAAAGCTATCAATAGGATGTCAAGTTCATTTAGGGCTTATTGAAATAAAACTATCTCAATACATCAATAGAGATGTAGAGATTTAATCTGAGAAAATTTCCACCCACTTAACGTATTAGCCCTCTGCAGTCCCCAAGAAGACACTAACCTCGAAATTTTACCGCTAGATGAGAAGATTTATGCAACACAAAATGTAACCACCTGTCAGCGTTAAACCGTTCCATTGCAGTAGCTATGCGATTTAATTTAACACACTTCCGGTCAACAACATTTTCCATTCTTTAGGTATTTCAAGTCGCCTAAGGGCGTATTAAGACTCACTAAAACTAATCCGTGATAAGTTCCACGCCCTATAGTGAAAAACGAAAGCCTCATAGTGTTACTACATATTGACATTAAAATTGCATCGAAGTACCGGTAGTTTTTATCGCGATGGAAGACGGAACGGTGTCATACACAGCAAATTTGCCGTTTCTTTAAATGATCTCTTGCGTGTAAAATTGCAAATTTATTCGAGTGGAAGATTTAATCTTGCCATAAATACAACAAAGCTACAAAACAAAACCGCAAAGGTATAATGGCCAGTTATAGTTGATTAGATAAACAAACTGCGCCGGAGAGACGTAAAACTAACTCGCCATACTCACAAATTGATCAACTTCTCAATTTACAAAGTAAATTTCGGAACTTCACCGCGTAGAAACGGAAGAAGTAAAATAAAGTATAAATGAGTTTTCTGTTCTGCGAACCCCATTCTCTTAATAGTTCATGGCCTATTTATAAAGAATCGGATATTTTTGTTCCTTGATTCAAAGAGCAATAATAGCCTCGAGGCCCTGATTGAGATCATGAAACATTTCGACCTTAATGAGGGAACTATTTTGCACGCGTTCTCAAAATAAATCAATTATGCTCGTCCTCATGGAATGTAAGTGGTTCAGCTTGTTAAAACAAAGGCCATGGTTATTACCAACAGCCTAATGCAAACATACTGACATATAAGGCTAGGATAAATATTAAATCTTGAGGAATAATCGCGACTTTGACGATTGATGATGGGCTCGCATGACTCCGGCCTAAAACGTCGTGACCATAACTACTGAGCTCACAATGAAAAGCATAGAGTTGGGAACTCACTTCAAGTTTCCCCCTCCTTTTCCCTCGATGTTTGGAGCCTAGTTTTCGCAAAACTTCTGCTGTTTCCAAGTTGTTTTTGGAGTTCAATGAGATAAGCTAACTATGCAGACGTTTTCCCGTTACCTCTCAATTCGACGTCGAATCCGTGCACGCTGTTGCTCTGACTTTGCTTCGATGGAATGTAAAGTTACAGTTCTACTTTCTCTAACGGTACCTTTTACGGTGGACTTGTTGCTTTTCCTTAGTCCTGTACTCGTCTAAAACGTCCTTACTGGCAAACAGATACAATTATTGTTTCACTTACACAAACAGTTCCCCGTCGGTAGAAATATTGCGAGCAGAGCCAATACTCACCACGACTCCCAAGAACAACTGGACGCTACTGAAGCAAAATCGTGCAGCGCAAATCAAGCGTACTAAACTATTCTCAGAACAAATGTTCATGCGCCAACCTCTGTTAATCGGATTTCTTTTACAATAACAAAAGACGATTAATAGGCCGGCAGACCATAAGCAAAGATGCATACAGAAAAAAAATTCTCGGGCAAGCTACCATTATTGATGTACCCGCCACTTCTTCGTCGTCTTGGCAGAGATTACTAGAAATGGTTTTAAAGTTCAAGCCGAAACATTTACAAGTTCGAGATAAAAAGTGTGCCAAATCATATTATCAAGGCACTTCATTTTGCAAGTTCTCCTCGTGTTTAACATGCCAGGGCGTCCGCAAAAACTCTAAATGACAAAACATGCAATGAGCATGTGCATCCAGCTTAGAGGAATGCATTGCGATGTAATTACTTTTTACACACTTCTTAAGTCGCGCGCGACTATCTTTTACCAAAACGATATAACTGAAAATATTATAACGGTTAGACAGAAAAACAGAAGTGAGACTGTATTTGACCAGTAGAGAATGAAAATGGCCAAAGATGGAGAAGAATAGACCTGATTGTTCGGTTAGATATTCTCTGATAGTCTGTGATGTACAAGTTGAGACGATTCTTATTTAAGGTCGCCAGTTGCAGTTAGAGTATGAAAGAAACATACTCATATTTCGATGTAACGATACTCTGGGAACAAACTTCTCTAAGTTCCCTTGACGAATCTCCTTTCCTAATCTGCTACAAAGCCAGGATAAAATTTGGGAACAACTTCGCACATAAGGAATGACACAATTACGAGTTTCATTTTCGTTTTTAGGTCCATTAGTCACGAGCTGGCAAAAATTCGCATAGGATAGCACGCCCCAGACAAGCTATGTTTCATTTTCAGATTCTAAATTCTTAAAGAAGGGGATCTAACTCATCTATTTTAATAAATATTGACTTATGTTATGTAATGCGTTTTGGCGACAACGTCTCGGTAAACAAGCTGTCTGTGTTTAAAAGAATTTGACAAAATTAGTCCTCCTTTCCTCCGGCAATTTTAATGCTCTTTTAATCCAAATAACCATTGTAACAGATTATCGTCCCCTGAAGCTAGTATATGCATCAAGCAACCTTGAATATACGCTCGAAGAGTCAATGGGAAATGCGAGCTCAGAAACCCACGGTGATAATGATGAAAAAGTTTTTCGGAAGTTTTGAAGTCATTCGCCTACGGAAAACTTTTCCAGTGTTCTCCCAACATCCCGCAGGTTATCACGCCGGTAAACAGATAGAAAGTGCGGTCTATTCCTTTAATATTTTTGTTTACATGAACGTTCTTGTTTTTTCAAGTAACACACGAGTAGGCGCGAGTAACGTGCAAGCACACGCGAGTTTCTGGCACATCACGCTGGCGGCACTGAAAGGAACAGTCACGAATACTGAATAAGAGCGTCTATCCAAAAATAAACGAACAAAGAAACAATTGCATAACATCTCCACATATGACATAATCTGTCTCACGTCTGAACATTTTATCTCGTTAAGTACCGTTATAAATCAAAGTACTACCAGAAAATTAATTAAAAGCGGCTCTTTCAGAAAATGGTCAGAATAAAGGGCGCGTTACAAGTTTAACTCCTTCGTTCCAAAACTTTGAACATCTAGCGTTTGATTATTTTATGAAAAGAGAGGATTGTCCTTGAGGATTGACAAAGATAAATATGTATTATGGATTCATGGAGGCTCCATTCCCCGCTTCATCGAAATACAAGCTTGAAAAGAGCTTGCGAACACATTTCTGAACACGGTTGCCTAAAGGAAAACGCCAGAATGGAAGTCAGACGGTGGGTACTCCTTTCTTTTCGACGAAGTCTGTCACGTGTAGTAAAAAAAAATATGTATATAGTGATAAAAAAATATATAGTGAAAAAGTTATGTAAGTTGACGTTATGCAAGCTCTTTTATTTTTTTTAGTGGGAGCATAAAACAAGGAAGGGCGATAATCAACACGTTTGCCGACTTTCGCTTCGCCAAGCTCAGTGTTCCAAGCGAAAAGGACCTGAATGCTGCATAGCTCATGTCAAAAACGGCCCGCATGCATGCTGACCAAAGAATACAGCGTTGAAGCAATCTTGTGAGTAAATTAGAGGTTCAGAGTTCTACACTGCGCGGTAACGTTTAAGCAGTCGTGTTCAGAAGTGCGTTCCGTTTTCATTTATCTTCTTACCATAGAGTTAGGTTGGTAGTGTGTCAGGCATTTCGCAATTGTCTCTAAAAGTAACTGCGAAAGCAAATAGGGAAACTGTTCGCAGAATCGTAGTTGTAATTATCGCAATGTCACTGTTGTCACTGCTGTTCGTGGGAGGTGTACATAACTTTGAACAGCGGGAATGTGGGATTGATCGGCATGCTAGGAGGGTCTTCAAGAGCATTGAAAAATGAAATTATACAGAGAGGCACATTTACAGAACTGCTTATTAAGGATGAACCCTTGATGTCATCATGATGAAAGCCTGGAGTTTAGCCATATATATAAGTTGAAAAGAAAAATATTTGGGTTTTTACGGCCACTGCTTTCCGTCAATAGGGCGTTGTGATAATGTCGCAGTCAACCTAGACAAACCGTTGGGCGACTGATGTCGAAAATTCTGCCCGGATTAGCTAAAATTTCAATTACTGTATCGTGCTAACAATATGGGACATTAGCCAGAAGTAATTAGTAGACGAACAAGATAAACGAATTGTTATTAGCACATGCTAAAAAGAAACTAACCGGAATAATAATGAGGATCGAAATAAAACAATGTGAAACAATGTGAACCAATGTGCTACAAAGAGCGACACCTAAACGATCGACCTTATCGCCTGATGAATACTAGCAGTATTGCATTCGAAACGTCGCGATCAACATTCAAAGTGACTCCATCGTGAGACAAACGAATAAAGTTCATCTCCTAAAAACTAACCCGCGGATCACTGTACACAAATTCTCTCTTTTTGGTGGTCGATTACGTAACTCTTTTTTTTTTTTTTTTTTCTGAACAACTGCGTGATCAATGAGTTTTGATTTCACAAAGTAAAACTCCCACAAACTGACGCTCAAGACTGACAGCGAGTGACAATCATGCGGCAACTACTTCGTAAGAAAAAAAGAAAAAAAGACTTGTGGTGCACCATAACATTTTTTTTCTGGAATGTGAGCTTAAAAATTATTATCTCCTTTTTGAGCCAACTTTTACCGGTATTAAAAAGAAAAATCTTAATCCGACCACGGGAATGTTTTACGCGTCTTTACATCTCGCGCGCGACGTGAAACCAGTTCAGTTATTGTATCGGTTGTTCACGGAAGGAAGAACAAACCCACGATGATAAATGATTGCTTGTGTACAGTACAAAAGGAAAACCTTGACGACGGATACGAAACAGTGCTACACACAGACCACCGAAGCAATATCAGTGGTATCTAATGAAACCTCGTTAAGCACCCTCAAAGTCATCACTTGACGCAATTTGTAACTCATAAATATTTCCATAAATACAACTCTAAAAATGGAAAGTCTGATAAGGGGGAAGCGATATGAATAAAACTGAATTAATCACAGCAGATGGCACCAAAACGGCCATTTTCAATGGGCTTTTTTCTTTAAAATAAGCCAAAAAATCGGGGAAATGCTATCATATTAGGTGCAACTAAGTGCAAAGAGAGCAGTGTTGACTAAAGTTGAACGCAAAACTTCCTTTGAATTTATTTTTCGTTTATCTCTTTTCCGGCAGCATAGTAATCTTTAATCGCGTCTTATCCAGAAGTACAATACAGGTATAAAGTAAAAGATGTAATTAGGAGATAAAACTTGCAGGTTAAACACCTTTATGGCCATAACCATCGGGAAATGCACAATTAAGATAACATATGTACGATACGTACGCGCCGGAGCAGTAATTATGATACTAAAATATCTTACCTACGAACTGCGTGCAACCTTCAAGTCCACTACCAATCAAGCCTTGTGATCGGTGTAGATATCCTGCCATAAGTGAAAAATTAACTGCAGTTAACTGTTGCGTTATGTTCAGTAAGCATTTTCAACAACAGCTTGAAAGTGCGAAGCATTTTGCGTTTGTTCTTCTTCGCCAGGCCGAGGCAATCGTCTCTCTTCAACAAACAATACATCTTTGCTTTCAAATTAAAACTCTCTAGATAGATGATTAAGTTCGTCCTGCTGTCCAAAACTTTTGGGAGACTATCTTACCTGATAAGAGGTGAAAAAACGGTCAGGAAACGATAAGGATTTAACAGGGAAAAAGCAGTTTGTCTGGAGAGCTGTTGAGCTGTTACGCCGCTGTTTCTGTGGGCGACCGCAGTTAAAGCACTGGCGCAAAATTTCGGTCTGCACCTTGTGCCTGTGGTTTTAAAGCCTGCTGTGAGGAATTTGCTGTATGATCGTGAGTTGAGCAGACTTTCAAATAAAGTGTGCAGTCTTACCTAGCAAAACAATCAGTCTGACAGCGGGACGTCTATGGAAAATGAAAACAATGACTCAGATCTTTATCGAGAATAACACCTCTTAGATTATCAAGCATAATTTCACATTTAAACAAAACACCCTCTCCTTCAAATGAACCTTGCTTCCAGGTTTGATGCGGTATGTTTTAAGGAAATAAGACTTTCACATCATAAGCCGTGAAATCTTTTGCGCGAATAAAGTCGGTCGCGGCTTATTGAGGCGGGATGCAACATGATTTAGTCCGTAGGAAAAAAACTCTCCACACTGCCACTCGAACTCACCCAAACCAGTGCCACAATCCAACTATATCTTGGAATTTCGTCCGGCAGGGCTTAAAATTTTTTCCGTAAAAAGTTTCATCTATAACACAACAATTTTTTCCGGGATGAATCTTCTGGACAAATTAATGTAGATGCCACAGAAATTTAAAAACCAAAAGTTTTCCTACTACGAAAGGGTGTTTCAGCGCTACGCAAAAATTCACATTGACTCATTGTTCTGTTAGTTTTAAAAGGATTCTTACATAGATTATACCGATTATTTGAATACTATCCACTTAAAAACATAAATAGATTTTGTGATAAGTAAGTTGATATAAATAACAAGCGACCTAAGTGACCCTGTTTACTAAACGTTTGACCCTTTATACACTTCCAGGATCTCAATATAAATTCTCCATACATTCAGCTATACATTTCGTATAATTTCAGCAGTGAGAATTTGGGGTCAGATAAAACAATCATTCCTCGTTGATGGTTTCCTCTTTATCATCTCCTTTCTTCGTGAAAAGATATCGTTTGTTGTGAGGAGAAATTACTTCGCGGTCACTCCAAAGAGTTATGCGAGACGCGGTAAACGTGTTAATTGATATTAAACGATGTAAAGTTTTGCCAACGCCTGAAAATAATCTTTGAATTAACAGCTAAAGCTTAACCTTAAAACAAACATTTAAGACTGTCGGCTGATAACGCCATAGCTTGCATAATTGAGGAAGTTGCCGTTTCCGATATCAGTTGATGAGAGACTTTAAAATCAGCATGAAGTTTGGGAAAAAACAATTATGGGAAAATTCTCGAAGATTGAAGCCGGAAATATTATTAAATCAGTTCACACCAATATCAGCTCCCGCAGAAACCTGTGTTCCGAGATTTTAACGTAGATTTCAAGTGGTACATTTATAGAATTTTGAAGCAACTTCCGCCAAATATACGCTCTCTCTCGACAAAAAGCGAAATGCATTTCACTCCACTTCACAAGAGATGATTGTCTTTCGTTTTTTATTAGCTTTCATGGTTGGTGGTCGTTATCACAAAGAAGTGTCAGGCGACAAACCTTGCACGTACGTATTGTGCCATTCTTCCCGGCCTGTTTGCGTGGCTTCCGCTAGGACAGCGCGAGGGGAGGAGTAATTTCACGTTTAATGGTAAGTGATCCTGGGAAAGATCCTCTTCCAAAGAGGTGGAGTGGTTACTAGTACTTGTATGTACTCTTTTCTCAAAGGGGGGGGGGAAGTTTGGGGGATCACGTGGTTTTCATGGTTTTCAGGGGGGGAAACGGAGGGAATCAGTAGAGTATAGAGGGGATACCATAGAAAATTAACTACCAATTATCTGCAAATGATAATTAATGACCGGTCCTGAATCAATAAAACTTTGTGACTTTTTTAAACACCTGGCTCAAAAGAAAGGTTCAATTTCAAGGTCTCGAAAAAAAAACTCCATATCCTCTATTCTCCAGGAGATGAAACAGCAATTTACAGAAATGATCAGCTAGCTCATTTATCCTCCACCTTGGAAAGAAACATTTGCATATCTTGTAAAGGGACAATTCTGAAAACTGACGAAGCCTATACTGAACTGGCTTAACCCTCTAACCCCCAGAAATGATTGACATTTAGCTTCTCTGCACAATATCTATTTATTTTCCTTCAAACAAGTGAAGAGAATACTGCAACTTATCAGGTTTAAAATTGTTACCTTGATCTAACACCAAATTCTCGCAACTAACTCACAAGGAAATGTTTGGCAGCCAGAGAGAAGAATTAACAATCATATATTTGAAGTCAAAGGGTTAAGAATTTAGCGATATGCTCCTGATCGAATCAGTCTCGTTTTAAATTCAGGAATTACGAAGTGAAATAGGATCGGAGTGAGTGTTTGGTTACCAAGGGAGCAAATAGGCCCTTCACTCCCACCCCGGAAAAAAACACCCTTTTAATTACCTCCCCTCTCTATTCCCCCGACAAAGGGAAGGAACATACCTTTGAAGCACGCCCCCCCCCCTTACCGCCACCTCCAGGTTGTAGGGGATAGGGGGAACATATCCCCTAATCGCACTGCACCAGAGAAGAACTGTCTAGTATCTGCAGCTCTTACTCGGGTTTGTCAGCTTGGAATGCATATTTGAACATTGGACAATTAAGATGAACATGAAAGTCGCATACACTGTAGATTTTTTCAAAGTATCGCTCGTCGGAAAAATATCATGGTTACCATGACCATGGCATTACCATGCGCATAAAACAAGAAAAAACTGCTGAGTCATTTGCATAGGCTGTCATCATCCACACACGTGGGAACTTGTACGATCGATTTGAAAAATTTGTGTCGCTAATGGGTCGCTAATTAAAAGTTTCCACAGCTCAACAAATCTGTGGCACTCTTATCGTGGTTATGTTTGTCAGACACACATGTCGTTTGTGCAAGTAACTATTCTTCAATCAGAAAACGGAAACATTCAAAATTGATCGATGTCTTGCTGGGAAATGGCTGACCCAAGCTAAATCTCTTCAGACTACCCTATCTCTCGAAGACAGAATGGAGTAGTTTCGAAGCCATCATGTGTGGGTTCTATATTGCCAATTGGACTTTAAGGAACTGCAGGCATTTTTTTCTAAGATAAGACAAAATTCCTGCCCGCATACAGCGTCGTGACTAAAATTGGAGACCGTTATCAAAACGGATAGAAATGGTTATGTTTAGTCATTTTAGATATTGCATGGCCTTACAAGAGCTGAATATAAAATTTTCTTGATTCAACAAAATCAAACTTCCAGGAGGTCTTAATTCAAAGCAGTTCTGGCAACGGTGTAACTGGAAACAGTTTTCTAACTCTAACCCTGAGAAACAGATCAGATATTAAAGCGCTCAAGTCTGGTGGCCCAAGAACAGCTAATCAGTCAGTGTTGTAAGGATAAACTAGCATGTATTCAAACAGAAAAGGAATACCTGCTGCTCGCTTACCTCCAATCCGTCTTCAAAAACTTTCAGTTTGAGGTCCGTCTTGCACACACACATGCAGGAAAAAATACTTGACATCAAGGCAGGCGACGGCCAGAATACTCAAATGAGGCGGGTAGATTTTTTTTAAAGTATATCTCGACAATGCTGACTATTATAACATTTAAATTAAGTTACAGCCAGTCAGTCTCGCCTTAAGGTCTGTTCATTAATAGCAAGGGTCAGAATCTTCTGGCTTTTATCTCTCCGGGTCATTGTTAATAAACTCCTCCTGTCAGACTGAGCGAATGGATAAAACCGTTTCTGAGCCCCAGGTCTAAATTTTTGGTGGAATTTTCTCTGTCAGTTTAATTTATCAAAAACAACAGGGCGTTGTGAACTTCTCTCTGAAAGGTCATCGTAAAGGCATGTAATTCTTAGTTTTCGTGCGTAGAGTAATCAGATCCATTTGTTTTCCTACCCTCACTAAAAGACGGATTTTTTTCCAGTATCTAATTTTTCCGCTGTGTGAATCCCGCTGTCGTTAACTCGTTGATTACGTTGCCAATTAATCTCTCCTGACATTTGCATCGTATCACGACCAATTTTAAATTCAATTTTCTTGAAACATAATCAGTTCAATTAGGCGAAAATATTCTTGTTATTCTTAAGCTCGTCTATTACCAATGAATCACTTTCTCCATCTTCTTTGTGCAGACCGTGAACAAATCTAAAAATTGCGGGCGGAGAGCGAGTTGTTTCTTTTTATAGAAGATCGTTGCTTCTCGAAGAGAGAATCGGAATGTCATCGCAGAAAACATCTTTTCCAAAACAGGAAAATGTCTTTCACACGTATAGAATCAAACAAACATGACATAAACTTTTTAATACTTTTCCAAAGGCCGCTTTTATTGTTAAACCTTTTTTGAGGTGGAGTGCTTCCGTTGGGTAAACCCGATTATGAACCGATAAAACCGAATTAGTGTAAGTGGATCTTCACTCGAATAAGACTACAGCACTTCAAAAGCTCTAAGAGCTTCCGGTCTAAAAATTCTGAAAAGAACGATTTTTCTTCAAGGAAAAGAAATTAAAAAAATTAGGTTCTCACAAGGTTTTCTCACAATAGGTTTTTTTCGTTTTGCAATGTCTCTTTCAAAATGCTTTTAATTGGGCTACGAATAATTTCCTTCAAGTCAATCTTCTCTCCCAAATCCGCTGGCTTTTATCGCATCTGTGCTAAAATCGACCTCTCCGCCTCTCCCGTCAATCCTTTTCAGTCTTGCAGTCTTTAGACTTGTGGATATGCCAAGCAAAGGAACGAGAACCGTGTGGATTCTTGGCATTAGTGCGGCTATAGAAATCTGGGAAGAGCATGCATCTTATTTAAGATGACGGACCGATTGTTGAATATATGGCGGATCAGTTGGGGTTGAGCGGCTAAACTGTTTCTTGCAATCACAAGATCATTAGCTTTAAGTACAATCACTGTTTATTTTAATCATATTCTGCACAGTTTATCCACGAATTCTCCAGGGTCAATTTTATAACCATTAGAACTTTTGAGTGACCAACTCCTAATTTCTCCTTACAATATCACCCCCGAATCAAACAGTAAGGTCATGAGAATAAAGGAAATGATCACCAACTAAAGAAGCTCTTGATTGTTAAACAAATTCTCCTTGTCAGCACCTTAGGAAATGTATAGAAAATAGTGTGGAGAAAATACATGCTGATGTTTGGGTGTAAAAAATTCAAGCTGGCCTCTCTCTCTTCTTCTCTTTGCTGGCTTTCAGATAGACTCAGTACGTAGCCACCAGAAAGTTACTAAGTTTAGTGTAAGTCTTTAATTCCCAATCATTTAACGTAAATACATTTCAACTTCTTGGCGGTCAGTTAGATAATATAAATCAACCATAATGTTTTCTGATCGTTACAATGTACCAGGAACACAATTTCGTGTGTGGAATGTACTACGGATAAAGACATTCTCTAAGCTTGGAAAGCATGAAGTTATCAGTCATCCGCTTAACATTTGGTTTTGCATATGCCAAAGCTTCTGACAAAATAGTGTAACTGTGAAACTAAAGATTAAGATTTACTTAATAATAGTGATCATCCTCGCATAAGTCCAGATTAACAAAATTAAATTAATTCTCTAAGCTTTCCCACGATCTACAATGCTGAGAAAGCTGTAAGAGCATACTTCAAAGTAACTACATCAAATCCTGCAAGTTTTTAACAGAGGACGTCGTATAAAACTTTCGCTAATTTCATTTCGGAAAGAAAAAAAAAAGCCTCAATGTTCTCAACCCCCAAATGTAAGCGCTTAATCCTCCTCGCTTGTCTTCATGTCGCTCAATCTGAGGACTGATTTAGGTAGTCATCTTTAAAACAAAACCTAAAGTTGATAGATTGATTAGCTGTCCTTACTTATACAATGAAACTGTATCAATATTGCAGGAAAAAGTTATACGTAAATAATCGTGTTGATAAAAGTCACATAGTTTTGAAAAAGGGTAACACATTTGTTTAAAACATTTCAAAGCAACTTAATCAAATGGCCGTCACGAGAAAGTAACTCTCTATTTACTGAGTAACTAGAGCCCAGAATACTGTTAGAAGTTTAGATCCTTATGTCTTTAATGCAACCACTGTTTAACCACTCCATGTTTATATTTATCGCGTCAACGCACGTTTCACTGCATAAAATAAACAACTACAATCAGAACTATGTAGTTTAAAACACAGCATGATCAATGATATGATTAAGTATGATTAACTGAGGCAAACACCTCAAACACCTTAGTCTGAGTTATAGTGTTTACCGCTTAACAACGCTGAGAGGGACACTCGTTCATACTTTTATCTACAGTTTATAAGCACAAATTTTACAAGCTCTGAGTAAAACTCAAACGCTGTAAACGCGCTTTAGTGAAGCGACCATTTACCCTCATCAAATGAAGATGTAATCGTTAAAAAAAGAGTCTTGAAGTCAATCAACTTTCTTCTTCTCCAACTTCTGCGGTCATTTCCTGATCTCCCTCCTCGGTGGTCTCCACGTACTCCATCTTGGAGCCATCCACGTTCACTAGTTCCAAGTTTACTTCTGCCTGTTTCACTTCCGGCACGTACACCGCCATGAGTGCTGCAGCACCCTCAGCATCTTGGGAGGTGACTCCCTCGAAGATATCCTTGCCCGCGGAGGAGTCTTCTTCCATGGCTTCCTGAGTCACCCCAGCTATCTGATGTTGGCTGGCGGAGACCAGAGCTTCCACCGCAGCCTGTAAGGCTGAGGCATCGTGTGAATGAGCCGTACCTGCAGCGGCGTTGGCGAGTTGAAGCTCCACAGTGGCCATTTCTACCTCACCGCTGGCCTGCACCACCTCAGTCACTTGCTGAGCACCGCCTTGGACTTCTCCTTCTTCTCCAGGAATTAAAGAGCTGGCGTCAACGGTCGAAGCTCCTTCTACAGTCTCAGTGGCAATACCAGCTTCAACGGTTTCTTCAGTTTCCATGGTGACGCCGCTGGCCGCTGCAGACTCGGCTATGACGTCAACATTGACATAACCGTCCTCCTGTTCACCAGTCTCATCGGTCTGACTGCCTTGGTCCACTCCAGTATGTTTTCGTTTGATGTGCTTGGTGAGTGACGACTTTTCTTTGAATTGCCTGTTGCACACGTCACACTGGTATGGTTTCTCGTCTGTGTGGGTCAACTGATGTCTTCGTAGGTTGTAGGGGCTGGCGAACTCTTTGTTACAAGTTTCGCAAATGTGCAAGGTGACTTCTTTAGCCTTAACTTTGGCTTCTGTACAACACGAAATACCGAAAAAAATTAGGTTGATACAAAATCTAATAGTAATACTGCTACTGGTTTACCTTCCGTTTTCGCTTAGTAGCATAGTAAAGAGCTTTCTTCATAAACCCTTTCGTAGGGGAAGACACTATGTACGACCACCCAAACAGAGTTTTCAAAACACCATACACTCTTGAAAGCGGCCAGCCTCTATAAGCTATGGATACAGGATGTCAATGTTCCGGATATTCAGCTTCACTACGTGCTTCTTGGTAGAGTTTATTTCAAATGGCAAACAAATAAACGCTCTTCTATCAAAACTGATTCTTCTTGCAAGTTTCGGTAATATTTTATACCCCCCCCCCAACAGGACGCTGGTCCATTGCAGTGTACTTCCAATCATTTCGTTACATCAAAGAGATGTCCCTGAAATTCCACAAAACCTTACTTCATTGTATGCTTCGCCTCGGGGAATATTTAGGGCCTTGGGAAACAAAATTCCTTGTTTCCTGCGGGGCCGGTCACTACTGGAGTCCGGAGTTCGGACAATCCAGACGGAGTCTCCCACGACTTGGCTAGAAAAGATACTAAGCTATTTTTACTTTAAAAGTAGCGCACCTTTCTTTTCACAGTTCAGTAAGTGCTTGCGTAAATCTCCCTTAGTCGGGAAGGTGACGTCACAAAAGCGACACTGTGCAATGGGCTTCTCCTTGTTCTTATTGTCGCCGCAAACTTTGCGGATGTGCTTCTTGAGATGGGACAGTCGTCCGAACAGGTTGCCGCACACTTCGCACTTAAACGGGCGCAGGTGGTCATGGCGAGTTCTGATGTGCATGGTGACAGTGGAGTCGTGACGGAAGGCCATGCCACACCTGAAGTTAAGGAGAAATTAATTACAGATGGCATCATCTCCTTAACCCTATAACTCCCAAGGTCTGATTGTTAATTCACCCCTCTAGCTGCTAAACGTTTCCTTGTCACTTCGTTACGATAATTTGGTGTTAGTTCAAGATTACAACTTCTACCTGATTATTTGGAGTATTCTCGTCACCTGTTTGCAGGATAATGTATGGATATTATAGGGAGAGGTTATATGGTAATCAGCTTTGAGAGTTGATGGGCCAATGACGCACATTGGTTGAGCGTCTTAAAAGCCACAGCTAAAACACCCACAGGTTCGAGTCAGAACAAAGGAAAATATCACAACAAGGAACTCTGTTGGTTTGCCCGAAGTTCTTAGGTACTCCTGGAGCCGGTTGTTCAAAAGACAGACGAGTTGATAAAGGATTAGATATAGAGCTTAGTATTGATCTCTACTAATGAAGGCGTACAATAGGCTCAATATTTTGAGGGATTTTACCTCAAAAGTATGGTAAAACTGAAGAGCATCAAATATAATTGGTAAAACGGTCAGGAAAGCTTTCAAACTACATCAAAAATCTCAATCGTATTCTGAACAACCCAGGGTTTAAAGAACAATTAAAGAGTTATAACCATTTTCTTGCCTTTCTTTAATCCGAGCGAAAGCCGGATTCAGAGTTTAAGTGAAGATAAGAAAATTACAGTCCTGGTGTTGAACTTCAACTGAATAACATGAAACAATTCTTACATTTTTCTTGTCTAATCTGTGAAAATCTACTTACTATCGAATTCGGAAACTCCGCATGGAACCAAAGTTTATTAATATTAAGGCAATTCGGCAAGACTTACGAACATAAACTAATGCATTGTTTTTACTGCAGTAAGCAAAACGAAATTACAGTTAGCCACAACATTACGAACGCGTTCATTTAGAATTCTCAAGCAAAAGACGTGAAATGCGTTTGTTTGTCTAAGTTTTAGAACAGCTGTTCTAGAAGCGGTTCTATCACAAAAAACAACACATTTCCGGAGTTTGATACAAAACGTGTCATTCACGCAAGAAGTTCAATCCCAGATTATTCCCGTAGACGATTGACACTTGGCAAGGTTGTACTTCAAACCCATTCCGGACCCCCGGGTCGTAAATCAAGATTATTTATTTGCGGACGTTTCGATTTAGCACCACATTAGGAGTCGAAACTCTAGGGGCACGCGATTCATGAGGGTATTTTAAGATCACAGATAAGATAAATTAGTGAATACATTTGGTAAAAAATGAAAACCAGACGTCAAAAGAAGAGTCGCCCCGCTACAGTAAAAACTTAAATGTAAATTTAAAATCACGAGAAACTGTTTTATAGTATTTGTCTGTAAGCTGACCACAATTGAGTGTTTCCGGCGAGGAGCATTTAAGCCTGAAAGAAAGGAAATTTGAATAGCCCCCTTTTAATCTTGAAAAACCGTTAAGAAGTGTTTGCCTGAAAGCCAATCACACTTACTTTAAGTGTTTCCGGCCAAAAATGAAAAGGGGAAAGGAACGAATGACCCTACTCTCGAATGCAAGACATTTTGAGAAATCGCTGTGTAAGCTAAAAAAATTGTCGAGACGTAGAGGTTACTTGGAACTTGCAAACGAATTAAATCAGCTGAGATCTTGCATTCTTCAAGGCAGTTAAATGCCCAGACAGTGCGATAATTTGATTATGACACATTCCCCGATTTTAACAGTTTAACGCATTTGCTACACATCCAAAAAACCGCCGGGTAGAAGGTAGAGACATTCAATACCTCAGATAAGAATTTTTAGAAATCGCCAGACAACAATCCGCTTGATTGTTCAACGATTTTTTTTCATCGTCAACGCTCTTACAAAGGACAAGAACGACGGGATTTCTCATTGTGTTCAGATGAAAGCTCTCATCAAACATAGTTCCCTCGATCCAAGCTTTCCGAGTCTTTTTTTTTTGGGTTCGGTTTGCTACTCTTGACCAGGTTTTTTCAGTTTTTTCTTTCGCTCATTTCAGCTTTATCCAGTGTCAGTTCAGTTTAACCCTTTAACTCCCATGTGACTTAGAGAGAATTTCTCCTTACAACATCAATACAACATCAAGAAGACAAGTGATGAGAATAAAGAACATATCACTTTGGGGATAATTAGTTGATCCAATATTAGATTCTCTGAACTAACATTATAAGAACTGTATGGTTGACAGTAATGAGAATTACAAATTTGATCTGAGAGTTAAAAGGTTAAAAAAGGAAGAAAGCTAATAACAGATTCACGAGTGAACTTCTCATTCAGAAAAAAAAACTTCCTATAATTACAAATTAAATAGAAATCTTCGCTAACTCTTAACCTTCAAAAATCAAACATTAAGTTTCAATGTTCCATTTCACAGAACTAACAGGATAATTTTAACAAAGAAACAGTGGAATTGATACAAACAATAGTATTACTGATTAGCTGTATGCTTCATGTACTTCAGTACAGTTGGGTATACATCCTCTTATAACTTTTAATTCAGGAAATTAATTAAAATAGGGTCCAATTCTTTAACTTCTTTTTCAGGGCGTTATTTTCTTTTTCTTTTTTTTTTTTAGGATACCTTTGATACCTTGAATTAGGTATGTATGTAAGTATGTATACTTTTGAATAAAAGTAGAATAGGAATCACACTCAGACACACAAACCTGTTACAGACGTATGGCTTTTCCCCAGAATGAATCCTCTGGTGAACATTGAGCTGATGAAGTCGACGGAAGAATCTTCCACAATCCTCACACTTAAACTTCTTTATATCTAAAGACACACACAAGGAAACAGGACAAGGCAGGTTAAATCTGAACAGAGTGATAAACAACATTGGGAATTTTTTCTGCTAATGGTACATGTTTCTTAGCTTTGTCATATGTTGTTTATGAGTATCCACAACAATTCAACCCTTTCCCTCCAAGAAGAGGCAGATAAGTAACTACTCTTAAAATTAATAAATTGTCATGCTGAGAGGTGATGAAACAAGAGAGAAATATTAACTACAAGATACAGTGTAATTGATTGAACACCAAAATCTCAAAAGAAAAATCATGAGTAATTTATAATAATAGCAGAAAGTAAGGATATAAAGATCAAAATTTCCTTTGGTACTTCCCATCTCCTCCCCGAGTAATCGGTTAGTCAGCCAGAGAAAGATACAAATATAGTGTGATTGGACACCAAATTCTCAAGCAAACATTATAAGAAATATATAGAAGTAAAGAAAATTGATATGAAGATCCCAACTTTCTTGGGGACTCCCCTTGGGTGACTGTTCCTTTTAGACTTTGTTGGCTGGACACAAACATACTAAGTGAAGATGGGTAGCAACAAACAGCTACACTAAAGATAGCAAAATTCATGGCACATTCTGACTATAATTTTCTAAATCTTACTGAAGTTTACAGATTGTTTTATGCGTCAGGGTATGCAGAATACACAAGTCCACTTCTCATTGCAAAATGTGAGAGAAGTACTACTTTTTATGGTACTAACCTGTGTGAATCTGCAAATGTTTCTTCAGATCTGAAGGATACTTGAAGCTTTTGTTACACTGTTCACAGACCCTTGGACCATCACTTAGTTTGCGCTTCCCTGTTGGTGCCCTAGTGGCAATGGGCTCTGCACAGTTAACAATAAAGAAATTGGTAATATATTCTTTTACATGTACTGCATGGTGAGTAAAATCATTGTTTTGCAATGTAATATAGGTAGGGAGCTAAGCTGAAAATGATGAACCACTTAAATCAACCAGCTTGCTGAGAGGACAGAATAACATGTGGCATACATTCTACATTTTTCAGTTTTTGACGTGCAAGAATTTGTCTCACATCTATTATGGCTGACATCAATTAAGGCTTTGTTTGTGCTCAAATAACTGCCTGGAATACAACCTACAAGTGCCTTAAATTTGTAACATCATGCTTGCTGATTGTAATTCAGAGTGAAACACGCCTTACTTTGTATTCCAACAGCTTCTTCACCTTCTTCCAGTTCAGCCCCATTGTCACCTTGTGCCACAGCCTGAGCTCCAGCTACCACTGCAACAGTATCTGCACCAATATCAACAGTGGCTTCCACTGACAACTCACCAGCACCACTTGAACCTACAAGAATCATTCCCCCTTAAAATATTGATACATTGTCAGGCAGACATAAACAGAGAATTTAGAAAATTATTACAGTGTTCAGGATAATCTAGTATTATCAACTGAGTTGATGGCGTAAAATTGGCCACCGTAAAGAATTTCAAAAGCTTAATGATGTTTTGAGCATTAGCCCTTTTGTTAGAGTGAATGGGGATATATTACCATACAACAGGTAAAAGAAATTTTCAAACTGGTAATACAATCCTTTTACCAGTTGAATTTAAAGAATTCCAAGCAATTTTAGGTGGTAATAGGGGTACTATGGGTGGTAAATTTTACTGCTTCTATCTTGAAAAGAGGGACACTGTATTAGCAAAGCAATTTGTATACTGAAAACCTTAATTTTCAACCCTGAACTACCTCGAAATGTATAGTAGCTAGAAGGGTAAATTTCTGATTGATAAAATAACCTGAGATCTTTGGAGTTTTGCTTGGAAATATTTACAATTTGCTATGTTTAAACTACATTTATGAAGAGCAATTCCCCCTCAATGAAACACCAAACACTTTTGTACAATTGTAAGAAAACTCCATTTAAAAAGAGCCATAAAATAAAATGTACCTTCAGCTTCAGCACTGACATCAACAGTCACTGTCTCCTGGCCACTTCCTCCAGAACCATCATCAACAGTATGAAGACCTGCCGTCAACACCTGCAGAGTTTCAGCAGACACACTCACAGCACTTCCTTGGCCGACCCCTCCAGCTGGAAGATTTGAAACAAGAACTGGTCGGACAATAGGTACACCATTTTGATTGACAATTAGGAAGGATCCACTTCCAGAGTTTGGATCTGTGATGATAGCAGCTGGAACAGAGCCTGCTCCACTCTGCATTCCTGATACAACATCTTGTAGAATTGAGGCCAAAGAGGCTGGAGTCTCTGCCCCTGAGGTGGCTGCACTAGTGAGCAGCATACTAGCAGCTTGGGAAGGCTGAGTGAACTGCTCACTGGTAGTAGCAATGTAAGTGGTTTGCTGCTGTCCAATCTCTACAGTAGCACTTTCTTGACCCTGCTCCTGATCCTGGTTAACTGCCTCCTGTCCCATCTCCATGGCAAGAAAGATTGGCTGGAGATTTGCATAAGTACGCTGCTGCTCACTGGTCAATTCAGAAGCGTTGCTGTCTGTGGCCTCAGCAGCAGCTACTTCACTTGGTTCACTAGCATTGCCTCCTTCATTGTTGGCAGCATCCTCCTCCTTTATTTCCTGTGTCTCCTCCTTAGCTTCAGCAGTCTCCTCTAAGTAGAAAAAAAATGGGTTAAAATACATTTTTTATTTAGTGTGCAGTCAAATTTAGTAGGACAACAGAGAAGACACAACCCTGTTAACCATTTATTATTACCACAAAGTTCATCTGAAGTTTCCCCCATTTCTGAACAACAATCAACAAAATATTGATTCCAATGTTTCTTGTAGCCTGTGAGTACCAGAACTTCAGGCCTGTAGGTATGAATTTTAACCCTTTAGCCCCTAAGTGACTAACATCTTATTTCTCCATTCAAAATCACCCATAAATCAAACATTAAGGTCTTGAGAATAAAGGAAATGATAATTAACTGAAGAACCTCTTGATTGTTAGCCAAATTCTCCTGGTCAGCACATTAGTTAATGTGCAGAGAACAGTATGGAGAATATGAATACTGATGTTACAGCGTAAAGGGTTAAGGTGAGAAAGGCTCAATGGCAGTGGCAGTTGTCATGTATTACAGAGGGCCAGAAAGAGGTCCCCAAGCATCCCAATGAAAATTTGGTAACTTTCATAACACATGCTAATTAAATAGAGGATATTACATGGCCTTAATTTGTACTGAAGCTCATCTTGTTCTTCCTTTCAACCAAAGATGGAAAGGTGGGTAGGGGGGTGGAAGGGGGGGGAAGGGGGAACAGGTCTTCCTGAGAGCATGATGAATCTATCAGCACTGCCATTTTTTCTGAATGTGATGCTAGTCCATTTCAGGGACGTATAAAAAAACACAGACCTATTGTAGGGTTCAAGGACCCTCCTGCAACTCAGGAAATCAGCAATTCAATTGTGTAATAAAGAAAGTGCCAACATTTTAAATCACTGAAAGAACCTCAAGAGTCAAAAGATTGTATGAGTAAAACAGTTGTACATCATTCCAGTGAATACCAGACATTTTTATTTCAATCATCAACATTATTTAGAAATGTGTCAAATTTTGTTCTGTATAATGACTGAGCAATTACCTATAGGACAAGTCACATTTTCATTCCTTTCTTGTGCTTTCTTGTTGAATTTCAAGCAAGCTAAAGTAGCATCAAACTATATGTTACATTTTCCCAAAGTAGTGATTAGTAATTAAATAGTGGTTCTTGGGGAATTATTCCAAAGACAGCAGCATTGGTAGCTAAGCTCCAATAAACCTAATTGCTCTAATTGAACTTTAGTGAAAAAGTAAACCGGTTTAGAGACATTTGAAAAGGGATCTTGACCTCTGAATTTCATCATCTGAAAACAAATCTATTTTGCTTGGATGAAAAAAACCTTCCTCTAAAAGTAAAGCCTTTTGAATTTGATAATACTACAACTAGATGCCCAAAGAAAAAATTCCTCAGAAACAGTTAAATCCATGGCCACTCATTGAATGCAAATGGAAGTCAAATTTGACTAGATTTATTGTATTTTAAACAGAAACAAAGCACTTAATAAGCACAATATGACTCGTATACACTTTGCCTATTTGAAGTTACAGAGAAATAAGACATTTCTCGATCCTCTTAAACTTAGATATCTCTGGAGGCCGCAAATATAACATAACTTCATCTTGGAAAAATGCAAAACTTCGATGATCAAGTTGGTAAGTTGTACATGCAAATTCCTTCACTACGTTATGCAAATTTCCTCACAAAAAATGGCGCAAAATACACGTCCACCATCTTGTATAACCTTGCATTTAATTGCCATTTTAGAAAGCTATGGAAAGCTTCGACATCAAAGCATAACTCTCACATTTGTAAGTCAGTGTAAAGTAAGAATGATTTCTCTCCTGTCGAGCAAATATTGATGTCTGAAACCGTCCTTTTCAACTTGAAATGTCACAGAGCATCATGCAGAACGAAGACAGTTGAAGAAGGACCTTCGACAACAGCATCGATAATGAAATATAACACAACAGTGTCGGTGAAAAGTCAGGGTAATTCATCCATCACAGAATGATGTTCATTACCAGACAGAAATACTCCACTTGTTAGTAGGATTGAGAAAGATTGGGGAAAGATATTTATTGTAGAGAAAGAAGTCTGGGGCGACCGCCATAACTCTTCAATCTTTTGAAGACCTGGGAAAGACTTGCCTCCTAGAGGAAGGACTGGGTACCGGATAACAACAACACTTTTCGTATAGTTTTCTTGCAAGACATCTTCCTAAACTGTGCAAGATCTTCACGAGAAAAGTGGGTTGTTGTTATGAATGATTAACGCGAAATACGATGACGAAATGTTCGCCATCTCGATCACCGAGCGAGGCAAGAGTTGGCTTGCTCGATAGTCAATTATCGAAGTCAGTCGCGGTTTTTACTCTTTTAATCTTACCTTCTCTATTAGCAGTCGCCGACTCAGCAATGGCAGCAAAGGATGCCAGATCACCAGCATCTTCAAAAGACATGATCGCTTACTCCCACAAAGGACGCTTCGGTCTGTGGACGACCTAGAACGAAACAACGCCATCGTCAAAATATATACCTGAAATATCGAAGTTTAAGTCATTTCAACGTTAAACTTAAGGGCTTTCGAGCGTAAAAAAGTCTTACTTTGTAAAATTATGCCCCAAAGGTATCGTCCAGCTACCTTTCGTCTATCAAACAGCTTTGAATTCAATTTATTTGCCCGACAACAAACGAATCGGTCGATTATTAGCACGAGGCAACGAAGGGAAGGCCCGCCATATACGTCAATCACGTGATCGCGTGATCGGTTACATGATTGGTTGAAAAGTATTTTCTTTGAAAGACTCTCTTTACAAGGCGAAAGGCTGCTTTAACAAATGTTCTAAGAATTTAACACACATTTTTGTCCAATTATGAATAGAAGGTCCTGATCGCATTACAAAAGAATGAGATGGGAGCGGGAAGTGTACTTTGCAGAACGTGCTTAAGTGGAATCTGGAACATTTCAATGGTTTTCTTTGTCCTTTTTTTTCACAATTGTTATTATTTCGGTTTCTCTTCCAAGGCTTAAAAAGTCAAGAATTAGCAATGGGGTAACTGAAAAAAAAAGTTTGAAAGGGTTTTTACTTTAACTGCCATCCTTGATTGATGGAATCAGTACAGGAAGCAAAGACAGCTATTTTTGGCAATGATTTATTTTTATTGGAAATCCCTGAATTTTAATGCAAGTTAAAAGACCATTTTTTTGGAAAGATGAAAAGAAAAATTCCCATATTTCACTAACCACTTTATTTAATTCAACAGAAATTGCATTTCAAACAGCTCCAAGAAAGTTTCACTTTTTGTTGTTTTCCACTTTGCAACATTCTGTTTGTTTGTTGCCCAGTAATACTGCTCTAAATATAGATCACACAGCTACAAATTTAGTCAGACATCTTTTTCTCAGCAATTAATTTTATAAAAATTCATTTAATTATAATAAATTATTCAAAGATAGTTTCAGTAATTAATTAAACCCATATTTCAAAGCATTACTGAATAAATAAAGAAATATTATCCATCATATAAGCCTTTGAAGCAGTCTTTTCCCATTTCTAAGAAGGGAAGCAAGAACAGGGAAGTATGAGTGAAATAGAAGCCGTGTTAAGGCAGAAGGTGATAGCAAGTTACAAAGGGAGATGAGGGAGTGGGGTGGGGTAGCCTGTATACAGCCACCCCCCTTATCCCACCCCCCATCCTGAAAAAAAAATTCAGAGGGCAGGGGGGAACTGTACACAGGCTGGGAATGGGGAAGATAAATGATTATTTGAGTGGTTGACACATAAGCTGATGCCCATGAGAAGCAATAACATGTAAGGTTGATTAATTAAATCTTTATCTCTGCAGAAGGCCTCTTCTCCCCCCCCCCCCCCATCCCCCCTTTCATGTAATGCCTTTGCTAAATTGCCACTTGGTGGAAAGGAAACAGGAAAGACTGCTTCCAATAATTTCAGTAAATCAGTTTAGTTCTATAAATTAGGTTCAACCCTTAAACTCCCATAAGTGACCAAGACAGAATTTCTCTTTATATCAATACAATATCGAGCAGAAAAGTGATGAGAATAAAGAAAAATATCAATTTAGGGAATTATAAGTTGATCCAATCCCAAATTCTCCAAACTGTCATCACAAGAACTGTATAGCAGACAGTAAGGAGAATTATTAATGAGATCTTGGGAGTCAAAGGGTTAAGACTCTATTTCAAATTTTCTACATACAATTTCACAAGAATGCATCCATCTTCCTAATGGCTAGCACTAGCTCTGTAAAAGAGCAAGATGAAGGAAGTCTTATTTCTTGATTCTGAAAGATCACATTGCTTATGCTGATCACTCAATGTAAAGTTAAGGACACATGACAGATCTCAGCCACAAAATCTATTTATTGCCATTAGTTAATGCAATTCTGGATTTCGAAATACAAGGACACAAAAAGAGAGCAACGTAATGTTGTTTTCCATAATGTTTGAATAATCATTTCAATGAGATTCAGAAAACTATAAACACTTTGATTTGATTTTAACAAGTCAACTACCTGTCTGTACTGATCAATCAAAATTTCATCTACAAAAAAAGAGCAAATCTTAACCCTTTACACCCTAACATCAGTATGCATATTCTCCATACTGTTCTCTAAATATTTCCTAAGATGCCAAAATGGAGAATTTGCTTAACAATCAAGTTCTTCTCTAATGAGTGATCAGCTCCTTTATTCTCCTGACCTTAATGTTTGATTCAGGGGTGATATGGCGAGAAGAAATTAGATGCCAGTCACTCTTAAGAATTAAAGGGTTAAGACCCCAAACCAATTACAGCTGCTGTTTGCAGTTTAGTTTCCTCACACCAGTTTAGCATTTGGAACACAACAACTTTCCATAATATTTCTGGTGTTTATAGTTTTCTGAGTTTTGCAGCAAGTTGTTTGTGCAATAAATTATTGAAGTCATAAATCTCCTTTGAAGCAATTTACAATTTCTTTAACTACCCATTCTAAAGCTTAAATTGTGAAAATGACCTTAGAAATATAAAGATAATTATGTAAAATGACAAGCATTGCAAGTCATTTATGTGCAACAAATGTCTTACAATGCAGCAGTGTATTTTACTGTATTCTAAAAAATTACTGAAACTAAAATTAATTTAGAATTGGCTATTAAACAGTATGCATGCATTTAATAAGTAGGTTTAAAGCAAGCATCACAGCTAAATGAACAGTAAGTATAAACAGTTATGAATATCATCACTGAAAAGTCATTATTCTTTTTTCCCCTCTGTCCCATACAATGCTTTCACAAATTGGTGTCCAACAATGCAAAATATTTTTCCAATTAAAAATATCAACAATGGTTGATGACAGCAGGCTATGATTCGATAATATGGTCCACTGAATGGGTCGCTAACAGCTGGACAAACCATGTTATTCAGGTTTATATGAAGGATCTGTAAAATAACATGGATAATTTCATTACCATGGTTACTGTCATTACTAAAAATTTTTTTCACACCTATTGTATATTTTGAAGATGGCTCAGAACAGAACACATCTCACCACTTTGCTCTGATAATCATTTTTAGTGAGGCTAAAAATCAAAAATTACTTTGATGTAATCTGCAATTAATCAATATATCGCCATCCTGCAGAAAGGGGACCATTCCAATCAACAGTTTGGTGACTATGAGTGTCAGTCTTGTATTCAGACTTACCCCTTTGCTTTATATTCCAATTTAACCCTTTACACTCTTAAACATCAGAATGAATATTCTCCATACTGTTCTCTATACATTTCCTAAGGTGCTGGCAAGGAGAATTTGTTTAACAATTAAGAGCTTCTTTTTTTCGTGATCATTTCCTTTATTCTTGTGACCCTAATGTTTGATCCTGGGGGATATTGTAAGGAGAAATTAGATGCTGGTCACTCTCAGGGGTTAAAAGAGGGAGGGGGGGTCAGCCCCACAAGCTGGACAAGTTATAGTCTAGTACAGCCAGACAAGAAATTTTTTCTGATCATTATTTGAGGGAAAGCTGGTTCTTGCCTTAAAACACTCAGGTTAAAAATGTCATGTTTTTACTTTATTGTGCAATTAAGTTAGAGACATGGATCTGATGTGTTGATAAAATATAGCTGTTTAATTCTCAAGAGTGACCAAAACAGAACTTCTCCTTACGATACCAAGACAAGATCAAGCAGATAAATTCTTACCAAATTCTCCAAACTAACATCATAAGAATTGTATGGTAGACAGTAAGGAGAATCACTGATGAGATCTTGGGATCAAAAGGTGTCTTAATCAATTTGAATCAGTCAAGGCACAAGCATGGTAAAGGTACAAGGTGAGATATATGCTTTAGCCACTACTTTTTTCTCCCTGTAAACACTTTTTCTTGCCTGCTTTTCCAATCGTTTCTGCTTAAGAGCTTCCACCAAAACAGTACTTAAAGGTCACTCTGAAATTAGCCGAGCTATACGAAACCCAAGAATGCTTTCATTCTCTTTTAGAGCTCACAACTTACCATTCCTAATGGCTGGAGAAACAGCAGCATATAAAAAGAGAAAAAGGTAAAAGTCAAAGTTGCCCATGTGAAGTCCCACACTGGTTCCAAAACAAATGGACCTGTTACAGGAAAATAAAGAAGAAAGGAGAAAAAAAAAGGTCAGTTTTTCACTAACTGTAAGAATTGAAAACATTTTTGGCCATCCATCAAATTTAAGCCCAACCCTTGTGAGTGACCGGCTTATTATTTCTCCCTAGAGTATCATCCTTGTATCAAACATTTCTATTATCAGAATAGAGGCAATGACCACCAACTAAGGAAGTTCTTGGTTGTTGAACAAGTTCTCCTTTCCAGCACCTTAGAGAGAACAGTATTAAGAATATGCATACTGATGTTCGGTTGTAAAAGGTTTCAAGTGATGAGTAATTCCTCCAAAAAGTGTCCTTGACATTTAACAATCTGAACTGTATTTCCCTACTCCTGTTATAAAATTAAACTTCCAAACCAACATTAAAACTATGAGTAGCTCACACAGAGGAAGTAGTAATGAATGACATTTATTGGGTCACAAACACATTTTCCTTAACCCTTTCACTCCCAGATCAAATTTTTAATTCTCCATTCTCTCAACTATACAATTCTTTTAATGTAAATTCAGAGAATTTAGTATTGGATCGCCTTATTATCCCCAAATTGATATTTTTCTTTAGCCTCATCACTTATCTGGTTGGTATTGTATAGATACTTTTAGCAGAAATTCTGTCTCAGTCACTTGTGGGAGTTAAAGGGTTAAATCTCAGAAGTGATTAACAGGTGACTTCTCGCTATAATTTCCACACATTGTCCAGCAAACAGGTAATGAGAAAACTCAAACTTATCAGGAAGAAGTTGTTATCTTGATCTAACAGCAAATTCTCATACTTTATTTTCAAGGAAATGTGTTGCATTTAGAGGGGAGAATTAACAATCAGATCTTGAGAGTTGAAGGGTTAAAGAGTGTTACAAGTCAGGTAATAAAAGGCACATACCTTGAAGGGAAACAAGAAAAAAAGGCACAACAAGAAGAATAAGGGTGTGCTGTATCCAATAAGTTGCAACTTCAAATGGTAACTGAAAGTAATATTTTATTTTTTAAAACTGGAAAACATTTTCTTTGTTCAACTGCATGTGCTTCCTACTTGTTAGTACCAATGTAACCTAATTTAATAAAAAAATTTGGAAGGAGTCCATGATACCAGGTTTTGTTGAATGTTAATCAGCAGACTGAGATGAGAGAAGAAAAAATTTAAGTTGAAGAAATTATAACACAATGTTCATGTCAATAAGTTGAAATCTTTGAGTTGTTTGTACTTTATATAGTACTGAGCAGCAATTTTTCACATCACAAGACAACCCTGAAATTTACCAAGGAAAATAAATTAAAAACATACTTGTTTCATTAAATTACTTCTGTCAACTTACCAATCTAGTATTGACAACAGGAAACAGGATTGCTTGAAGAGCACCAAATAATAAGTAATTGTGAATCCTATGACCAAGGAAAGGAATTTTCACCTATACTTGTTCCTAACTTTGAGACAAAGAGCAAAGTTTGATGCAAAGTTCACAGACTGTTAAGTTCATCATGGGAAAAAAGGATGTTTACATTGTGTAATTTATCAATTTTGCCATTGATAAAAACAAAATGTCTTTGCAGAAAAGAGGTCTGGCAAGTCACCCATGAGCCTGAGTGGACAGCTTTTGACAAAAATTCTCAACTTGCTCAAAAGATAATGCTGTAAAAATGATAAGAATGCAGCCTATTTCATTAGAGATCAGCAAAAAAAATCTGAAGATCTCAGTATCTATTATGCACCTATTACTGATCATTCAGGGGAGGAGGGGGGGGCACATAACTTTTCCCAAAGCAAGGCAATAGAAGAGTTTCTTCCCCTGCCAAGGTAAAACAATTTTTTCAAATCTCCTATTACATTTCCATAAAAGGGTCATTTGCCACTATCTCCCATACCAATGATGAAATGAGTAATCATTTACCAGTTTTGGGTACTTACCTAAAAACCCATAAGACACGTTTACTTGGAGGTTCAACTAACAAATATATCTAAGGGAAAAAAAAAATGAATCTTGAGCAGCTTTCATGCAGCCAAACTTGGTGATTTAATTATGGTTAGAATGAATTTTGTACAAAATAACTTTGCACATATTTGACGATTTAGACCAGAGGTAACAGTCCACTTTTGGTGTACTTAATGAAAAACTACAGAAATTAAAGGTCACACTCCAAACATAGTCTGTCTGAAAGATTTCCAAATATCCCAATAGCAGTTAAAAACAAAGCCTTAGTCTCAAAAGTAGTCTACTGTTTGAGTCATTGTGTTCTTTTACCAAAGATCTGTCTGCATTGTGAAGTATGGGTAATAAACAGGACTAAGCCCGTTCCTTTACCCATCACCTTACCTCTGGTGAAAGTAGGGCTGACGTTTGGGCAAAACAGACCCTCTCCCCCGCTCCTTCTCAGCCTAACTATAAAACTTAACAGTGATCACGCAATGTAGGAAAATGTGGCTCGCACTGAATTTACTCCAATCGATAACTCTCAAGTTTATTAAACATGCTTTCTCTTTTCATTTGTAGTTCCAAAACTCTTACACTGTCATTTCTCAAGTTCCTTCTGACGTGAACCAAAAAGAACAACCCGGCGATTTGGCCTGGCCTTCTGGAAGCTTTATATGACAAAAATCGATTAATTTTCTACCTTAATTTCAGTCATATCCAACAACAACAAAAAAGATACACTCATATGGAACTCCACTTATGTAGAAGCAGTTCTAGGTTAGATGTCAAATTTGCTGAGGTCGATTTCATTCTAAAAGTATCTCAGTCTCCAATTACAGCAAATAGCGGAAATCAAACAACGATTTTCACTAAAAAAATTAAAATGCTCAAGTCCTTCTTGAGATCCGTCGGCAAATTGCGATCAATTCTATTCATTGTTTTCCCGTCTAGAAAGATACAAAGGAGTAGGTGACAACAAGACACAAATCTTACCTGAATCGCTGTTATAACATGACAAGGATTGAGGAGGAAAATAACCTGCTTGGTGGCAAATTTGAAACCAATTTCTATCCCAAACACGAGGCAGTGTACGACCAAAAGAAGTCTTTTACCAACTCCACTACCTTCTCTGTACGCCGGCAAATCTTCTGGTACAGAAACTTTCCCTAACATTTTCCAGAACACCAAGATAGTAAAGAGTTCGTATACTACAGTTTCCACAACTCTCTGCCCCAGAGGCAAGAACTCGGCGCATTCTTTACCCCCGTTTCCGGGCAAAGTGAAGTCGACACCTCCATACAAAACATCAGTAACGTATTTCACGTCTATCATTCTGATAAATTTGATCAAAGAAAGCCTGATCGTTGCGAAGAACTACTTAACATTATCTATTTAAACATTCATTATTTATCTCGGCCAAAAAAACCGGCGCAGCTTGCTAGTCTAACTTGCTTGGTAACCGAACCAATAATCGCGTGACCGGCAAAAAAAACAATCTGTCACAGGAGGGTAAGGGGGTGGGAAGGGGGTGTACGGCTATACCGCATGCTTGGGGTGATCCGGATTGAGAGCGTTTTTTCAACATTGCTTTAGCTGTAGATTTGAGAAGGGCACTACATCTGCACCAAAAATGGACAGGAGTGAAAAGAAGCCAAGAGAAATGGAGAATCCCAAGAGCCCTGTTATAACGGCTTGCACCTGTGCCTTTCTGCCCTCAAGTAAGGCCGCCCCTCAACCGTAAAAAAAACGATATTCAGATAACAACTACCTCTCTCCGAATTATAGCTGCCAAAATTTTCCGGTTGTTGTTTTGCTATTTGATGTTTTTTACCTTCTCTAGTAATCTAACAGTGATCAGCATCTAATTTCTCCTTACGATAATATCACTAAATCATTCCTTAAGATTAAGAGCACAAAGAAAATGATTACCAACCTGAGAAGCTTTGATTGTTAAATGAATTCTTATTGTCAGTAACAAAGGAAATAACAAGAGATGAGTATGGAGAACATGGAACACCCAAAAAAGCAACGTTTTGAATTGTTGATTGTGTCAAAGCTGACACCCTCAAAGTAAATCTGTCTTATACTGTAGCATACTATGTACAGGCCTTGAATCAATTTCTTTTTCACAATATACCCAGGAGGAAACATACAGCTGGCCCAGGTTAGAGATGTTGTTTTAAAAGCTTGAAATACATCTCATCCAGTGCCCATGCTTTCTTTCTGTGCATTCCTTGTTGGCTTGTTTGACAAGGATATTTTTACATTGCCACTCTTAGGAACAATCACTACACATCAACACCCTTCTGTAAGTTGTTTAAGCCCAGTGCACAGCACCCACTCTGATTCCTCCCCCAAATTAAAAGTACTTATAAGAGAAGAGTGTTGATTGTGCCAAATACGATCCAGGAATGTATTGGTTCCCTCTAACTTTGCTCTGTAACGGGTCTAGAAAACTTGTGCCGTCCTGTTGACCAATCAGATGCAAACAGAAGACAGGCATTGTTAAACCACATATGCGTCAAGGTGTTTATTTGTTCCCACTTTTTACTTCTCATCTGCTCTTTGTTCTATCTCCCATGTTCTAATTGGCTAGTATGTTTGCATTTCCTTTGGTTTTAATCATCATTTGCAATGTGCTTCATGGTCAGGGAAAAGGGCAAAATAATTTGACATTGGGAGCTGGAAAGGGGATGCTAGTCAAGTCTAACCAATATGTTTGAGTGGAGTTTGACAAACTTTGTTTTCAAGTGATCAAGAGAATAAAATATCAAATATTTTTCCTCTCTGGCTGCGAAGAAAATTGACTGAGGATTAACACCAGACTCCCAGATGACTTTAGGAAAACTTCAAAATCATTTGGTTTCACCGCCCTTGTTACATCAGTCAAAAAATATCCAACAAATTTTTGACAAACATAATTTAATATCTCTAAAGCTTCATAAGATTCAATTTTCACAACTCCACACATAAAAAACATTACATTTATTTTATAATCATAAATTTCACTTTTTAGCTCTAAATTGTACTTTATTTAGCAAAGTTATCAGTTTTCTAATAAAGAATTGCTCCTCACTATAAAATCAAAGTTAACTATCCCACACATAGTATGCACTAATCTCTCTGTTGAAGTACCTGGGGATTTCAACAAAAGGAAATAAGTTTCTAAAGAAACTGTGGTGCTGTGATGGTGGGAGAGCATAAATGATAATTTTGGTTTCATCAACTGAGTTACTAATGTAAATTAGCCATCCTAAAGAGTTCAAAGCTGACATTATGAGCGTTAGCCCTTTGTCAAACCCTTTGCTCTGATGAAAGGCTAATGCTCAAAGCAATAGCTTTGAACTCTTTGCAGTGGCTAATTTACATTATGAAATCAGTTGATAGAAACAAAATTATCTGGTTGCAATAAAAGTCTGTTACCAGCAGTCTACCACCAGCTGCAAGACCTCTTTCCACCATCTGTCTGGTTTACAAGCAGGCTCTAGTGTTTGGGATTCACCTTGCAGCACAGCTGCCTATTAAACCATTTTCTGCTGCTTATTGAGTAAAAAGTTATTGAAACCCCAGGGTACTTGAACTCATTTAAGTTTTGAACAATTAATTAATATCTTAATGGTCAATAGTTTGCTGTAATTGAAGGGCTGTAACAGAACACTCTATTACAACAATTCCATTTACTTTTTATAAAAAAACAACCCTTCTGGTATGAATTGAAAGACAAATGACTTGTGATTGAGTATGCATTGAATAATTTCTTTATACAGACTCTTTTATTTTGGCTTTTGCTTAATTTTTTCTCACTCTGATGTAATATTTGTGGAGCTAACATAAGTAAAACAACTCCCAAGATTCAATAAGGTATTCTCCCAACTGACTGCCCTACAATTTATTGCAAATTAGACAAGAGAATTTGGGTTTATGTCAGGAGAACACCCACTATTTGCTAACAAACTACCACATCTGATCTCATAACCTGATTACAGGATAACATATTGGAATCACAATGAGAAAATACATGTAGATCACGTTCATGAGTGGAAGAATTTAGCAGTCTTGTATTTACTGTCTGGGACCATTCAATCAGATAACTTTCGTTGGACTTTGTGTTACAGGCCCTTCACCGCTACATCTTACACAATTACATAAACATTCTAAGATAGTGAACGAAATACACACAACTATGTCAACAGTCTTTTGTTCAGAACTTAAACTCTACTATAGAGGAAAAAGAAAACATCTAAATGATGTTATATTTCAAGTTTTGGAGCAATTTTCAGTTGAGTATGGTAAGTAATCCTGGATTGCACAGGTTTTGGTAAACTACACTACGATTGATTTGAAAAAACTGATGTAATCATTGCCCTCAGTGGCATGAAAATATAAAACTCAGAGTAATCAAATCATACAATCATCATAAAAAGAGTCTGAAAGAAATACACATATCAGATTCAGACTTCCATTAACAAAACCACTGGCAATTTAAATAATTATATCACTCCAGAAAAATACAATTACAGTGTTCAGTTTAAGAAGGGCCTCAGTCCCTAACAAGTAACATCAGTTCCAAACATAGAAGAGAAGAAATTATTTCTGAAAGAAGTCATGAAATTTTGAGTTAACCCATGGCAAAGAATCACTAACACAGGCACACTTATAAGGTGATTAACTACCAAGTTTGGAGCAAACACAACTGTCTCTTATCATCATATAGTCTAAAATTATTTCATATACATATCACATTGTTACCTGAATATAATATACTAGAGTTGTTTTACTCTGAGTTATTAATTTGGCCTCTCCAAGGAAAGCAAACTTTTTGCACACTGCCTTACTTTTTTGCTCACTTTCATCACCAAAACAACCATCCCCCGACCTCCTTTGTACATAACATGTGACTGAACCCTTAACTAAATTTCTCACAACTACTGTCCAGTGATACTTTCTTCAAATAATGTACATGTGTGTTATCACATAAACCATTCAAGTTGCAGCTGTGACCAGAAACTAATTTCTAAGAGGAGAAAAAAGACCATTACCCTTTCTTGATTGTTATTCATTCACACAGACAATTTTCTTGAGTAAGTACAAGTATTGTAATACAAGATTAATATGCAAGTTGGTAACTCATGCCACTTGAAGAGTTTTGGGTAAATTACATGTACATGTCCATCTACCAAACAGAATCACACCACGTGAAGTATAAGAGAGTGCTATCCATCAAAGCTTGAATTAACCAGCCATACATTTGAAAACCAATTGAACAAAAAATGTATTGTCACAAGGTATGAAAATATAACTATATGACAGTGTATACTGATAATTTCTCTGTTTGAGTTACTCTTTGTGTCTACATCTTCGTTTCTAAGATAAAACAGACTTTTTTTCTTTGGATACATTACTGGTTACTTTGAATAACTAAAGCACTTTCTTATTTACCCTCAACTATCCGTTTAAAATCCTGTAGCTCCCAAGATCTGACAACTATTAAAGGTAACTATAGAGCTACTTCACTGTAATTACACAGTTTAGCAATTTGAAATTATTAAAAGGATAAATATACTGATCACTCCTCAGAGGCAAAAGCTTCAAAGGTAACATACAAAAATCAAAACTTTGACTCAAACAATTACATAATTTTACAAAGACACTCTTTGCTGCTTCAACATTAAGACAATACAAACCAGCTCTACTGGTTGGGCTTGCTTTGTCACCTGTTGCTACAAGCTTTATCCAAGTATTGTTGCTGATATGGTTTGGCATTCAACATTTCTTTTGCAGTTTCTATGGGAAACCAAGACCTGGTGCGATCTGGGTGACAAAAGAAGAAAGAAAAGGTAAATATCAATGCAGCAGATGAAGCTGGTTAAAAAGAGGGACTCCATACAGAAAGGCCTGGTTGTGTTTTTCAGTGAAACTCTTATCCCTCATGATGGACCAGGCTGGAGAAGAGCAGATAGAGGAGGAGTATCACAGCCTCAAGCATATTTGGGCTCAAAGAACATTGACAAATAGATTCTTCTGACAGACTACCAGTTGAAGCATATACAGTTAAGTCTACTGTACCCCACTGACTCAACCTTAAAGGACTGTCTTCCTCCCTCTGTATCCAATATGAGAATGCAGAATGCACTATACAAGCTATTTGTAATATGCATCATAAAAGATTTATCAGAGCACAAAATGGTCATGCATTTAATCTTTTTTGCAACAAGATTTCAGGTACAGGGAAATGCAATAAATCTTTCTCTTAAAGAGTTTGATGGGACACACAAAACTTGATTTTGTTTAGGAGAGCAAATTCAGATAGTCAGGACATCATACATCTCTACCATCACTTTTCTCATATTAATGTAAAGTTGTTCACTCTAAAATCCTGGCAGTATATGTAGATAATGAAAATAGTGTGTTACAACACAAGTTATTGATGCAGAGCTGTGATCAAGCTTCTGCTATGAAATAAAGTGTTTGGGTTGTTAAACCTCCTGATCATTTTAACTTAAAATGTATTGTAGTTTTAAGCATTCAACCAAAGCTATTGACTTTGTTTTGGGAAAGCTTGCCAGTTTAGAGCAATTTCATTAGCAGCCTCAATTTAAAATTACACAAAGAAAGTTTCAGTTCTAGTAAAAAATGTCACAAGCTTTTTGATAGCAGTTACCTCTGAATGCAAATAAGTTTCTCCAAAGGAAGCAAGGTCAAAACATACAACAACTTTAAGGTCAAATTTTGCACATTAGGTGTAAATAGCGTCTTTATCATCATCAAATCTTAATGACATCTGCTCAATGTTTGTCTCCATGTACCTCTCCCTTAATGGCTGTGGTGATTTTTTTTTAATTCTGAGTTGTTCATTATTCAAAGGCCCATGTAAATATAAATCCCTGGGTAAAGTGTCCTTTTGGTTGTACTGTTCTACTAACAGAGAGGGCATTTTGATTCACTTCTTTGCCACTAACAAAGCTGTCTTGGTCCTGAAAAACCAACATTTTTTTGTAAAACTAATGTCAGTTCATGTGAGATCCTGAAATTACTCTAATAAATTATGACCTGAATTTGCATAACCACTCTAGAGTGTAGAGTGTGAAACTATCAACAGCCTTTGTTTGTACATTGGAATCTTTAAACTTTATAATCCCAGACTAAACATCACCTTACTGTGAAAACTTGACTTATAACTGAAAAGCTCTCCTTGAAAACTGATATTTGTATTTGCTTTGTGTAGATTGACACCATAAAAAATCCCATTTAGTTTTTTTTTTCTTTCAGTATGTTTTTGATAACTACATTTGATGATTTTGTACAGAATACTGACACTTATGTCCAAAAGAAAGCCACAAAACCTTTTCTCTACATTACGTAAATTTAATTGGAAAACATCAATATTGTAAAATTGTCCCACACCATTTTGTAATAAAGAAAAAGCAATTACCTTGACCTGATTGTTTTTAAATTCTAGTGGTCAAGGATTTGAATGTTCTCTATTCCCTTTCAAAACCAGCTTCTTTGAGTTCAACTAGCTAACTGGATGAAAGATTTTTCATTTGTTAGACTTTATCAAATGCTAAGCAAAACAATCTGCCACAAAATGAATCAACTAAACTAAAGCAGATTGTCACTGTATTAATAATTAAACTGATAACTGGTTCTTGAATTATGAAAACTTGCCAAGCAAATGCATACTCTGTGCTAAACTGTCATGAACACAAGCTTGCAAGGTTGATATATGTGATATATATTGGTGTGACATTTTGCTATCCACATCTTTGATCGTGTTGCTCTAAAACTGATCGTAAAACTGAACACATTGCATCCTTCAACTATGTTTTGGAAAGGGGTCTACATCTAGTGAATAATGGATGACCTCTTCCTGCAAATCTAAAGGAAAAACGTCTTGTTTTGCTGATCTTTGTTCTGCACAAAACAATTGCTTAATTTGTCTTGGAGTGAATATCAAGGGATTACAAAGCATCAAGAATCGTAACATCCTATCCATGTAACACAGAAATGAAAGACGTCGGTAAGCTTTCATGACTCGACTTCTCTAACCCATCACGACGAAGGAAAACAACATTCTGTTCCGTTATTAAAAAAACCCATCGGTGGGAATCTATTATGTAGTCATCCCACAATTACCACTACGTTAAAATGAAATGAGAAATAGACTTTGGCCGATTTAAAATTAAAATTTACAACGTAACAGTCAGCCCCAAACTATTTCTACACATGCACGGTTGCAACCCTGAACGTTTGATCGTAATTGATGCATAAAAGAGTTGTCTGAAAAACACAACCAGAGAGGTAGAGATTAAGAGGTGTGAATATGCGTAAAGTAACAGTAATCTACCGTTTCTGCCGCTTTTTGAAGCTTTATACAATCTCTGTAAACAATGAACGTCGCATCACTGGTATTAGAATACACGCGTCAGCTTACGATGCTGTTGTTTGAAGGCAATGCAGAAGGGAAAGAAATGTCATGTTAGACAAAACCCCTACCTTCTTCCCATTTATCAAGCATTTCTGTGACAATTAAGACGTAAACAGCCGTTCGAGTTTGGTTGACATCGTTCTGAAGAGAAGATGAACAAATCACAATGGAATTAGTACAAGAATCTATAGAAATACGAACTCGAAAAAGAAGAAGGTTTAAAACGTAAAGCGTAAAGCAATAGTCAAAACAAACCTGGAATTCTCCAACAAAACGACCAAGCGTTCCACGAACTCCAGCCTGTAAAGAGAACAAGTTGATGTGGTGAGGGTTTAAAGGAAAGTAAACAAACAGAGAAAAATAGGAACTGTTTTGGTCTACTGGCTTATAAATTATCCTGTTTCGAACAGTCTGATACTAACTTCTTCTTCAACTTCACGAACAGCAGCTTCTTTCCAGTCTTCACCACGTTCGACACCTCCAGAAGGGACCACCCATCTACCAGGATGTCGACAGCTCGAAACTAACAGCACCTAAAGGATAAAACCGAGACAGGGCACTTAGAAAGATCGAGCCACAACGAGGTCGAACATTGCCATGTGCATCATAAACGAGTCAAAACCTCTTCCTCCTGCTCGCTTTTAAAACAGACACATCCAGCTCTTCTCGTGTATCCATCTTTGTCTTTAAGCCGGTTTTTTATCATTCTCTTAGGTAGAATATTGGGTTGGAAGACGACAGAACTCACAGCATTTCTCTCAGAGCAATAACCAGCAACCTCGTCGCCATGACAAGACTGCTGCTAATTCGAAGGAGGCCGCTGGCTTTGTAGCATGCAGCGCTGCATTGTGGGATATATCAGCGATCATCAAATCCCGGTTTAGTCTAAAAATAGAATTGTTTTCCTCGCTATTTCCACAAACTTCATCATATATTCGCAATATGAAATTCACTGGCAAAGATGTATGTTACCCATAAACTGTTCTAAATATTGATAAGTTCGAGTTTTTCCTAAAGCTTAACAAATTTCTATGACATGACATAATTATTTCACGTGCGCTATCTTTTACTACAAAGAACTTGCCATGCGAGTAGGTCGTGACAGGACGTTAGTGCGTGTGGTTTGGGGTTGCGGACAGGTCGTCATATTATGCATCGTGTTTCTTCCTTCTCCAAGATCTCAATATTGATTCCTCCACTGTCTGTTGTGAAATAGTTGGATGTTAACTTTGCCAAATTGCTTTATCATTAAAAACATTTATTGGCTTAATTCTTGTAAATTACCAGCGCCGCGTTTCTGCCGATTTATGGGGCTGTCCTGGTGTACCGGTACACGAGGGAATTCCTTTTGTTTTCATAACCATACATGGAGTTATGACGCAGTTCGTTAATGTTTCCTTCCTTTGTGTACCGGTACACGAGGACACAACCCGATTTATCATGGAACCAAAACAATAAAATAATCAGCATTGAATATCAGAACAATAGAAAATATCTGAAGGAGCCGATTGCAGTTCATGTTTTAAAAATCACGATTGACCGGAAGCGTATAAATAGTAGACATGGTAAATTGCGCGTGATCAGTTCATGATTATATAATAAGCTCAGTTATGCACGCGTTTTGATTGGTTCTCACTTATGATCTATTGGAGGAAAGACGTATAGATGACGTCATCATTAAAACTTTTTTAAATTCTTTATTATATAAAACAAATAGATTCCAAGTTGCCGTGCGTCTGTTCAGTAATAGATCACAGAGGACGTCAAAATGTGGTAAGAACATCAGTGACACACTCGGCTGCGCCTCGTGTGCCACTTTTTTGTTCTTTTTTGATCTGTGATCTATTACTGAACAGACGCACGGCAACTCGGAATCTATTTGTTAATTAGAGTTAGTTTTGCATAATATTATTGGTTCATAAAACGGCGCCAGTTTTCCCGACTAATCTAAGAAAGAAGTCTAGCGAAACTGACTCAATTCTGGATTACATGCGACACCGACCCATGAGATAAAACTGTTTCTAGGATAAGGAGAAATTACTAATTGGTCTCTCAGGGGGTTAAGGGATTGCTGATCGAGGTGAACGCAAGTGGTGATTTTTTGCTCATCGACATGAAATATAACTGTGATCAAAGTTCAACGAGCTTCCACGTCATTTTGTACAATGAATTTAATTATGGAAACTAAACGAACAGCGAAAACCACATCATACGTCACCAATAATCATTTTTAGATGTGCTTTTTACCTTTAAGGTGCATGGGAATCCCTCGAAAACTTTGGATCCTGAAATATATCCTACAAGCCCTTTGCGTCACGAGGCTTTATGGGCCAATATTAGGGCCTTGTTCGTTATTAAGGGCGTATGCATTAATTGCTTCTAATTGGCAATAAAAGTGAATGCAAACATCGGTCTAGAAAGGTAGCTGAAACTTAGCTTTAAAGAATTGCTCAAATATAGGGACGAAACTTAAGATTGCTCTTAAGTCTAACAGAATAAAACACTTGGTTCATTTGTGTTCTAAAGGTTTAAAATCATTCAAGAAATTTGCATAAATTGAAGTTTGCTATGAAATCGTTGACTTTTCCGTGCTTGGTATGTGCACCGCAAACAGTTGCTTCTAACGACAGAATTTGCACAAATGTTATTGAGCGCATTCGGGACAAGCATATCCCCGGCCTTAACGACCCAACGCAAGTTTAGTGCCGAAGTCCATAGTAAATAACAGCTCCGATAGGTTGAAGATGGAGGGTACAGCAATCAAGTGTCGCAGAAGGCAAAATCGTTAGGCCAATTTAGACTATCAGTCCGAACAAGAGTAAGTATCGCGAAGAATTAATGTGAATTCGAACTCAAAGTGAGCTCATGTAAAGGTTCCACTGCAGTCTCGTACAAATGCGCCTGAACAAGTTTGTTTTAACTATGCATCTGATTGGCTGAGAAAGGGGGGGGCGTGCTATCGGGACTGCTCAGGGGCGTATTGAAGAAAGATAATTAAATCGCTAACTATCAAAAATAACTCTGTTGTCGTTTCCAGAACAAAATTATCTCAACAAAAATTTTCATTCTGTTCCTAGATAAAGTGTTTTTATACTTTGCAGATTCATCGCATTGTAACATAATTTCGGTAACTAGATTTGAATTTAGAATACCCTCCTCTAGGCAAGAGTAGTTTTCCCTTTTTTCCTTTGGCAGACAAGTTTGTTGAAAAAAAATGATAGCTCTATTTCGTTCGAATCCTCACATAGAATCATTTTAAAAAGCCCGGCTCTTTCTAAGAGTTCCGTAAGAGAGCAAACTGTAGGGTCCAGTGCATGAGGTGGAGGCTAACTAGCTAACTGAAATTTAAAATATGAAAAAAGCTTAAGGGGGTAAGTTTCTAAAGTAACTGTGGTGTTGCGTCGATGGGAGAGTATAACAGGGTAATCTTGTATAATAAACTGAGTCGATAACGCAAATTGGCCACCGTAAAAAGTTTCAAAGGTTGCGTTTCGAGCGTCAGCCCTTCGTCAGAGCGAATGACGAAGGTCTAAAGCTCGAAACGTCAGCTTTGAAAATCTTAACGGTGAACAATTTACGTTATCAACTTAGTTTATAATAGCGGAACTCGAACATGCGTGGTCAACTATACCGCGGGCACGCCAACGCCAAGGCTTTGTTCAGTAGTCCAATGATCAGTGCACTGGGCTCCGAGTCAGACGACCCGGGTTCTAGTCCTGGCCGGAGCAAGGCGTCGTGCCCTTGAGACGTGCGGGAAAAAAAATGCGAGCTCCGCTTTTAGGCTTGGCTATATTACTGAATTACCCTGAAATCTAACAAACCATATCTTCTTTTAAACCGTTGTTTCTAAAAAGTGATAAAAAAATGTATTGAAAAAAAATTATGAAAGAAAATAGAAAGGAAAAGAACAAAACCAGAGAAACAACGGAAACATAATTTTTTCATTTTATAAGTTTTTTTCCGTTAAGGATGCTTAACACGCAACAAGCCTCGACTCCGTGAACCGCAGTCGCCTCGACCTTGCTACGGCTAAAAAATCGATTTGTTATATTTCATTTCGTTTGCTACAGTTTACAAAAGGAGTGCCTAATCGATTAACAACATAAAACTATAAAACTTTGCTCCTTGTATATGAATGCTTTGATGCAGATTATTGATTTGACAAACGTTTTTAAGTCTCTCTCATTCATCACAGATCCATGATTCGTTCAAGGGGTTTTCAATTTCCACACAATTTATTTTTTATGAAGTATGAGGCAATACAGGAATATGATTGACTCATTCTACTGTCAAACCTTATACTTTACAAGATTGCAACTCTTCCTGCAATCCAAGATACACCAGTTGTTCGAATAATAATAAATGCATCTAATTGACGAAACTGGCAAGCGTTTCTTTCAGTGTCTATTCCCGGCCGGGGTCATGCATTCAGCTCCTTATTTATTATTTTATTTAACAATTTGCCAAAGGTAGGTAAATTTACAATAGAGGACAAGGTTGTCCCCTACTAGGTAAATTACCTTTCCCTATCCCCTACAAACAAACAACATTGAAACCCAAACCACTTACAAGCCCCAATGCTAGGAAATAACAAAATACATAATCATTAACGAAAGAAAAAAAAAGAAAAAAACTAGTTGATTCACATGTACAAGAATTAAGAGCATTGAAACGACGACATTTTACACAAAATTTGGCCGTAGAGGATTGTGTAAACAAAAACGCATCTATTGTTACTCACGATTCACATAAACCAAATAATATCAATATTTTTTACTTACCGAGCAGGCGAACGCGGTGTAAGAAAGAGCACTGCTGAAGGTCGGATCGACGGCTTTCCATAATGGTTTCTCTTTCCATTCCCAAGTTAGGTGCTTCACTTCTCAATATATTCCCACTACTACTTTGGAATTTTTATCAATGAAAAATTTTTTCCAACGAAGACGTGACTTCATCGTATTGAGCAATACCCTTTTACATTTTGCCTTTGATCTTTCATTTGTCAAGAATTTTAAAGAGGACTCTGCCAGTTATCTCTCGATTTGATTGATGTCTGTCATGTTAACTGGCACTCAGGTTCTTTCTACGTACACATTTGTAAGTTACACCAATAAGTTTTTTTAATTTTAATTAAGTCTGTGGAAACGCTCACTACCAACAGAGCTTCCTAGAATCGGACTGGAAAGTAAAATTACGAGGCCGATTCACAATGAAAATAAGAGAAGCATACTATAGTCACACGTACAATGAGCAAATTCTTTCCTTGGAAAGACTCTAAATCAAGAAATTATAAGTAATTTGGGAACTGTCTAAGCTGCGATCGAACATATATAGATGAATTTCGGGGCGAAAAGCAGTGACCACAGGAAATGCCGGCATTCACAGTTAAGGGGCCCATTGGTAAGTAATGGCTCCTGTAACAGTCCAATGGGAGCTAAAATTATTCTTGACCAGCGTGCGCAGCGGTTCAGAAACTTTAATTAAAATTGTGAAACAACTTGATTTGGGTGAAAAAAACTGTTGAAGGGGGTATGGGGCGTACGGCGTTAAAATTTCTCTGTTAAACAAACTTATCACGTGGCCCTTTGCCACAGCTTAAAAAAATTCTAAAAACATGAAAACAGAAATTAGCAATCTCTTAGCTCTAGTAAGGACTACTTAGTGTTTATTCAAACGAAACCCATTTGTTTGTTATGTTATTTGTATTGTTGTAAAATTCTCTAAGTCAGTGTCCGCTTTGATTTACGTTGAAGGTAAAGCAAGCGTTTTTGCCGACGATTTGAAGCTCCTATAGCTTCGGGTGCTTATGAGAAGCTAGCACTCACAACATTGCTCTCGAGGTGTCAAGTGAAGAAGTCGATATTGGATTTTTTGTTTCAGTTCATTGTTTTGATGGCGGGCTAAGGGTGTAAGAGTGTGGGTTCTGCCCTTAGGTGTCATCTTAGCACGCAACTTGCTTGCGAAATCAGCCATGTCGTCTACTGCATCGCAGTTCATAGTTGTCCGGTTCTGTCCACACTTTATACATCCTTTGTGTTTTTCGTTGATTTTTTCATTATTTCAGTTTTGTTCGTCGACCTTTGAAGACGAGAAAGAATTGGACTCTAAATAACTTTTATTTCCCCGCCTCCAGCCCCGCCCCCAAACGTCTTAACCGCGGCTTCCGATTTCCGGTCTAATTTTCTTAGATCACCTCAACTCAATAAAATATTCCCTTTTCAATCACATTTTCGGCAACTAAATCTTTGATGATATTACTTCTCTATGTCACCCTCGAGGTTTCATAACGAACAATCGTACAACAAACGTAATTTGATCAAGAGAGGTAATAAATCGTGAGAGCTGTTTATACCAGCATATCCGGTTTACCTTCAATTGTTTTTTTTCTATCTAAATGCTAATGTATTCTTTTAACGTTCTGTTCAATGCAACCGTTAGCTGTCAACCTAAGAAAGTGTTAAACAAATATCTCTGCCTTGTAAACCATTTTAATCTTGTTATTTTTCCGTGCAGCGATCTAGAAATTTGCACGGAAAGCCGCATGGAGCGTTTGGTAGACCTAAATTGTAATCTCCACCGATTTCTAGGCAAATGGCAATTACAGTTCGGAGAACTTTATTCCATTCCGATCATTCTAGTCTACAAACTGACTGAAGAGATCTTTGTTTCATATTCCCTAGAGGAGGACAATAGGTCAAGACTAAATAATTTGTTTGGGAGTGCCTCTGGGGGAGTCGCTAGGGCACGGAACCATGGCAGAACACTGCTGGCCAATCAATTTCACGTGTTTACCTCACGTGATGAAATAGTTAGGTGACGTCATAATCAAAAGGAAGGTCGGCTAAGAAAAGTTTGTCGCTCAAAGCCAAGTGACGAGTCCCGTGACATAAAGAAGGGGAATTGTACATCCCCGCATTTCCTTTCGCTTTAAATTGAATTTTTAGACTGATCTCGTTATTTATAAAGAATAATAGTGATACTGTTCGTTGTGTGTTTGTGATAATTCGTATTCTAAGAGAGAGACTGTGCATGCATATGGCGGTGATGCCTGTTACAAAACAAGATTTTGTCTCGTTGGAACCGTTTGTTCATCAAGTCGGAGGGCATTCCTCCATGATGAAATTTGACGATGTTTCTGTCTGTAAGCCTCTGTATCAACGAGAGCATCGCTTTTATGAGGAACTTCCCCCAGAAATGCATCCTTTCACTCCGGAGTATCGAGGTAAGCCAAGTTCTCAACAACTGTTTTTATCGTCCTCACGCATATAGAAATTTGAATTTTCAAACGTTAGTGGTTATCTCTTGTGTTTCTTCTAATCCCCATTATATGTTCTCTATTCTCAATTTTTCTTTTAAACATGGTTGTCGTCTATTATTGTCCAGATTTTGTCGTTCTAACCATGAAGACATTTGCGACAATACTTGAGTTGAGATCGATGTATTGATGTCGATAGGATATAGGACCGAAACATACAGTGCAGTTCAGCCACATTGTTGTAATGCTGCCATAAGCTTGTATTTGATCATCTAAAAATCTGCAATGAATTGGAGATAGCAAGTGTGTATTTAATTGACAGAAATTACCGTGCTATCGATCCGCGGAACAGTGATACTTTTTTGCCCAGATGTCGTTAGCTTGCTTTTGTTTTGATCTTTGTCCTGTCAACAATTTTTACTCCATGCCAGAAAGCTACCAGGCATTTCTTTGCAACATGATAAGCATGTTAGTCAACATAAGCTCAACCGGTTGATCAAGACTATTGCGTTGTTGTATTTACGTTTTGTGTTCGCAGTAAAATGCGGCATTTTTTGCTGCTTATCGTGGCAACTAAGTTTGCAATAACGAAGAGAAGTGCGTTGCTGCAGTTTTACTCAACCATAACTTTGATTGCTAATAATCCTTTCAATCGTTTTAGTCAGTCAATCAGTCTTTTGTTCGGTTTTTGCGATCCTAAAATCATCTAAATTGCCTGCAAGTTGTTGAAAAGAAAAGAAAAAAAAATGACGGCGCAGATTCAAGTGTTGGTTGCAAAGCGATTTTGTTTTGAATATTACATAACATCGGTGTCTTAATCATCCTGATTTCGACTGATTCTGCACTAAATTATTTCCACGACATCCTCAAAGCCAACAAGAAATAGGATGAAGGACTGTGAAGCTCAAGAAGATGCTCGTCTAAGCTCGTTTTCCTTCAGATAGCAAAATTTTTATCAACTAGATCGATAGGCATTGATTTCTCAGTATAATTTGATATTTTTTCGTGTTTATGTGCTTAAAAATATTACCACCCCTGCAACGATAGGCTTATTTAATTTCTTATTAAAATATAGTTAATTTGTCAGTTACTTTGCTGGATTTTTATAGAAAAACTTTTTCGAAATTAATGCATGGTATGAACTAAACTGCTCTTGTCTAAAATATGTCTTCCTTGCTAAGTTCTCTGGCTGTTGCTGCCAATCTCACAAAACCTGAGTGAATGATTGAGTGACTGATTGTTTTCCTCGTCACAAAGAAATAACAATTATTGCACAGTCAAGGTTAATGGAATTCTTATTTGTGCGCTGGATTATGAGACTCGTGATTTTGATAATCATTTTGCAAGATTATTGATGAATTTTTGAAGGAGCGCAGTTGATTTGATATTTCTAGCTGGTAATGTTTTTCAAGCAAAGAGCGACAGTATGATAATGTCCAACTTGCAACTGTATTTCAAGCTCAGCTTCGTCAAAGCTTAAACAACCTGATTCCTTTTTTAAACATTCTGTTAGTAGGCATCTTCTTGGCTGTAAATGTGGGAAAACTTTGTATACTTGGATCAGTTTGTTGTAGTTCTGTAGATAAGAAGATGAATGATGTAATACCAAAAAATGCTTGCTACTAGTATGGAAAAATTCTTAAAACTTCGTCAAATGTAGCTCTTTTCATATCATGAAAAATGTTATCAGATAGATTGAGATGTAGTCTTCATGTAAAGGGCCTAATAATGTTTTCAGTTTTGTGGTTATTGACAATTTTAATTGTGGTTTCACAAAATTTTGAGTGGTTTTGTTTCATTCTATATTTTTGAATATTTAAGTACACTGTTTGGCAATAATTTCTCGGCAGTTTTTCAGTTTCCAGCAGGTCCAATCACCCACCTCCATACTGTCTCTGTGTCTTAAAATATGAACATGATGATGGAGATCTGATTTTCCTTTTGCCTAAATTATCCACTCTCCAGTTGAAGAGTTAATACTACAGGGGTATGAATAGTTGATATATGACATTACGCTGTGTTCATTGAGTTTCATGGACTTAGATATTTTTTCATACTCAAAACTACCAATGCCACTCTTTCCTCACTGCTTTTAGCTCCTCAATTTTGTAATTGCTTCTGTTTTTTTCTGTGGTCAGTTCTAGTTATGTAAAGATGAAGATGCAGCAGAAAATTAAGACGTGAAAACTCTCAATTACAATCAAGGCTCAGTTTTGTTATTTTTCATTCTTTGAAATATCTGACAAGTACTTAAAGTGTATGAAATTAAAATTTAAATCTTCCAATAACACAGTTCAGGCTGTTTTGTCTGGCACCATTTAACTTATGATCTAAGATATAAGGATTGGAATTTGAAATGCGTACGTGTAACCAGATGGTTTAACGCAAATACTGATTGCAATGCGTTCTCCCATGTCTTTGGTCATTTTTGAAATTTCCGAAAAGTGACTGCAAGGAAACTAACCTTTCTGCTATTAGTGTTAATATTCTCAAAAACTGAGGAGTAATCTTTGAAGCAGTGTATCTTTATGAAGTAATGAAACTCTTCCCAATTTTAGAAAGATTGTAGTGGAAAAAATATTCAAATTGTGTTCATGATATCCTGTGTTAGTACTACGCACATGTAATTATGACTGTGATTTATTGAAAAGCTTGCTGCTCAGGAACTTTGCTGCTACAGCTACTTTGAAGATTCTTTTACTTGAACTGCTGCGTAGAAGATGATTTGTTTTAGATTGACAAGACACTAAACTTGGGAACAAACATAATATCCTTTCCCACAATATCCGCCTGCTGTGAGCATTCTTATCATTTTGCAGGGGTTCAAGACAGGGGGCATTTAATAGGCAGAGAGTTATTGAAAAAATTTGTTTATATCCAAAGTGCAAGTCGTCATTTTTGTTGTGCAGCGTCACTCAGGTTTAAAGAACACTATATGCATAGATTTCTGTTTTGGAAAAACCTTTGGTTTTGAACCCTTTAACTCCTAGAGGTAATCAAATTGAAACTCCTCCCCATAATATCATTACATTATCCAGAAAATAGGTAATGAGAATATTCAAACTTATCCAAATTCTCATATCTAATTTACAAGGATATGTGTAGCAGCTAGAGGGGAGAATTAACAATTAGATCTTGAGAGTTAAAGTGTTAATTGGGAAATAGTGCATGGTTTCAAATTGAGGTACGTTTTGTTCTGAAATTCTTCTTAGCCAAATATAATAATATTATGTTCTAACCATCTGCAGAGCAATAAAATATTTTCCCTTTGCCTTTGTGTTTGTTTAAGTCTACCAATGAAGAGGGCTTTTGTAGAATCTACCAGCTCTAGACCAGGCTTTTGATTTTATACAATGAAGCAATTTTACATAATACAATTACATCATTGGGGAACAACTGCATAAGTTATTCAGAAAAAAAAAAAAGTAGCACAATTTGAGAGGAAAAAAACAATGAGTTTTCAATTTACAGTGTTCCAAAAATCATTATTATTTTTAATTATTTTCATTATTGTTACTTTTCTGTATTAGGGCTAGAACACAAGTAAAATGTGCTATTTTAGTACACTTTTGAACGGGGCAAAATTTTGGATGATTTCATTTATGTTCTATTCGTGTTTCACCCATGCCAAGGGGCTGATACAATGCTCAGATGAGGCCCTAGGATCTATTTTGAAATCTTTAGAAGCCCAAATATTAAATGAGAAGTAATACTGGAATAATGAACCCCTTTGTCACTGGTTCAGTATATAATTTGAGTGTAAATTTTGCTCATTGTTCATATCTCATTGTTCTTATGTGACTCAGAAAATTACCTGGCAACTTGTAAAATAAAATTGCTCAATTATGTAATCTATGTTAAACAATAGAGTAAGATTTGTGCTATTATTTAACTAAGAAAAGTATGTTAAATGGCAAGTGAAACCTTCCTTCCTAGTTTGTGATCTTTGGCAGCCACTTTAATTATGTCATAAACAAGCTCTGATAGCTGTTGGAAGAAGGTTATCTTTGTTAAGTAAAAGTTACTTAATAAGTGCATTCCTATGGTATGATATGCACTGGAATAAATCACATGGTTGTTTTTCTTTTTAATCACACTCCACTGAAATGCTAGTCTTATTGAGAAGGTCTTAACCCTTTAACTTCCATAAGTGACCAAAATAGAATTTCTCCCTACATTATCATTACAATATCAAGCAGACAAGTGATGAGAATGAAGAAAAATATCAACTTGAGAATAATTAGTTGATCCAAACCAAATTCTCCAAACTAACATAAGTCAGAATCGTATGGCAGACAGTAAAGAGAATTACAAATGAGATCTTAGGAGTGAAAAGGTAAAAGCGTTTAGGGTGCCTCCACTTTTCTTGGAAACCCTGTCATAAAAAACTACTCATGAGTGGAACTCTCTTTTTTTCATTCAAGGAGTTGTATATGTAAGCATTGAAGAAGATGAGGATGGTTATATTAATTTGACGGCTCACCCAGACAAATTGGCATTAGAATGTCAAAATAAAGATGGTTCTTCCAAATTCAGCTGCAGTACAACTGGTAGTTCCTCAGACAGTGACAGCGGCGGAGAGGATCTAGTAGAGACAGGTCCATACAGGTATTCAAAGTAGTATAATGTTCATGTTGACTTTAGATTATCTTTTGTTTAATATAATTTTAGTGGTAAACATCTGACATTAAACCTTTCACTTTCAGAATGCTAATTACCAAAAATGGCTCTTTTTAGAGCCAGTAAAGTTCTAAAGTTTTGCACATTTTTATTTTCAAAGTCATTTTGAATTTGGTACACAGACTTATAAATTTTCAATGACTAGTGTTAAGTTACACAAATTGGCAGCTCGTTTTACACATGTTCTTGCAGATAAGCTACACAAAAATTTTGGGGAAAAAAGAGCAGCTTTTTTGTGGGTATTAATGGCACTTGCTGAAAATGGTGAAAATTTAATTATCACTCAGTCTCCAATGAATGCCCCCTTGACCAAGCACCCACTCTTAAGGTCCAAAAGTTTAGTAAGCACCAAGGGTGCTTGATCAATTAAATATCATATGGTAAGCAGTTGTTTGCAGTCTGCTGACCATGACCTAAGGTCACCATTAAATAAGCTTTATAAGTACATTTTGCACTCATCATCAACCTTGAAAAGATTTGAAGCAATGTGCAACAGTCATCACTTATTGGCATTGGTATAAACATTTGATATGATACTCCTAAATGACAAAGTACTCATACAACTAGCTGCAAATTTGTGTTTGTTTCTGCAGGGTGCGACTTCGAAGTGGAAAGCTGGAACTCGTAAGCACTAGGAAGGATGGATTCTTTGATGCAGGAGATGTGACTGATCACTCTTCAGGTCAATAGTTATTTTTTTCTTATATGGTGCTGTGGAACCTTGTTATCTGGCCACTAATGTGTTCTTGAAAATTTGGTGACTAAATGATAGAGAAGCCTTATTGGCCACTGAGAAGCAGCTTACTGCAGTGAGCACTGTCTAATTATGGCCACTATTGACTGGCTGAATGACAAGGTTCCATAGCATGTGCAGTGGAAGCCAAACAGTAATTTTAAAAATGTGCTTTCCTGTTGTTTTGGGTGCAGATTGTAAATATGTAAAGATTTTGAGATGTGCTGGGAAGTTTGCAAAATTTTACTTGGGATTTGAAAGATTTGGGAGTGGAAATACATAATCCATCATCATCATCAACTTAAAAAAACCGCAATGGTTAGTGATTTGGCTCTCCTGCACTTCTACACAAGCTATGCAAATATACCTAGCTTGTCTCAGACAAATTTGCTACCATATAGTAGCAGCTGATCTGGGGTGCAGGGAAGGCATTGGTGGTTGTCAGTAGAAACAATTGTTTGCTTTACTTCTTTAGATCATGCCTCCCACGGGTGGCCTGAGAATGAAATCTTCACAAGCTCCTATACTGGAAGGAACAACATTAATGGTAGTAACTTGATGCCATTTCACCTTCTCACTCCCAAGATCTAAAGATCATTTCTCCACACTGTCTTTTGTACATTACCTATGAGTTAGGCTTGGAGAATATGGCATTCAATCAAACAGTATCCCCTCATTGATATTTTTTCTTCTTTCTAATCACCATTCTGCTAGAAAATGTACTCATATTGTTAGGATAAGCTTCTTTTTGGTGGCACGTGGGAGTGAAAGGGTTAACAGATAATTCCCCCTAATTTAAGGGTGGGTTTATAGCTTAGCCAAGAAATATCCAGTGTTTGTTGGGATTTATACTTCAAGAGGAAAGATACAATTGTGATCCATAATGCAATGACAGGGAAGGGTCTCACCAAAAGTTCAACAATGACTGTCTCTTTACTCTTTTCTTTAAATTTCAGGGAGTGCAGGTGCAAATCCTTGGAGTTTGCATTGTCATAGGGAAGAGGTGAACAAAATGAGAAAATTGGGCCCATCAGCTAAAGTACACAGTATCCTTTAACAAATGCAAAGTTATTTTCTCAGCTGAAGAGTGAGTTCTGACCATGAATCAAAGCCATGAGAGAAAGTCTCCTATCTAAACATAAACAGTATACATGTCTATTTTTTTCAAGCTTGGCTCACATTTGTGATATAATAATGTACACGATGACCATTCCAACACTATCATAACAACATGAAAAAAAAATATTTTGCACTGTATTGATGTTGATGTTGATGTTGATGCAGTTATAATGTTGATATACTGTATCTGCATGTTCATGTTATTAACTTACAACACATAAACTTCCTTATGCCACGTTGTTATGCCATTCTGTAGTTAGTGCGAACCATGCTAATGTTACTCTGTCATTGTTGTTATGTTGCCTTTATGTTCTTATGCACTAATACTCACAGTTCTTTGCAACAACATTGTGACCTTCCTATGTTGGTAGACATGTTTATACCCACCTGTCATGTAATCACTGGTGTGATGACCATGCTAATGCAATCACTTTGATTTAAAAAGAGCCTGTGATTGTTCCTTAAACAAATTGAAAATGCAGTTACTCTTTTGCAACTCTATTAGTCTGGTTACATTGTTGACAACACCACTGCCTCATTTTCCTTATTAAATTTTTTTGATATTCAATTGCTGCATCTCTTTCTTTTGTTATAAATTTACTGTTAATAAATCTTGACTGAACTTAGAATACATTGTTTTGGAAAATGTGGCTTACCGATTTTCTTATCCTTGTATTCTGGACTTAAAAATGGGAACTCGGCAACATGGAGATGATGCAACAGGTGAAAAAAAAGTCAGAATTATGGCCAAAGTAGAAAAATCTACATCTAAAACTCTTGGTATAAGAGCATGTGGCATGCAGGTGAGTTTTGTAATTTGCTTTAAGCACAGTGACATATTTGTTGACTGAAAAGTACTTTGGCCTCACCAGTGAGAGTCAAATCATATTGATGTACATGTAATATTCTTGAATCTACCATTGTGTTTTGAGAGCAAAATTGAAAACTAAATGAACTTCAGCAGTCATTCATCCATCCATTCATAGTTGTACTCCAAGTGCGAACTTGTAGTCAAAGGAGCTAGTGGTACCTTGCAGATAACTAAGTTTCAAAGTTAAACATAAGATTTGTTTCAGCCAGTTTTGTGTGACAGCTGGCAGCAAATATCAGTTGCCCTTTTCTTGGTTGGAAGCATGAATAACACATGTCTTATCATATTTCATTCAAAGACAATGTGTCCCCTTTTTCAACTGTTAGCATTCATGGAAATACGGTAACTAGATTTGCATCTTGTAATTTTTTCCTCTGTTTCAAGGTGTACAAAAAGAATTCAGGAAAATTTATGTGTCGCAACAAATACCATGGACTTAAGCTGCATGAGGAAGGCTTCAAACAGGAATTGATAACTTTCCTGCACAATGGACTACAGTTTAGAACAGAGCTAATAGAACCTTTGCTTCAGAGGCTTCGGAAGTTGTACAAAGTGATTGAGAAGCAACACTCATACCGTTTCTACTCAAGCTCCTTGTTGTTAATGTACGAAGGAGACATGGAAAATACAGGTGAAACAACAAACAGTTGTAGTTGTTCTACAAAAGAGAGAGAAAAATGCCAAAGCAATCAGGAGGCACTCAGCAGCAATAACAGCTGTAGTAATTTAAACAATATCTGTCAGTGCTTCAGTCATCGCTGCAAAGTGGATGTCCGAATGATTGACTTTGCACACACAACACACAGTGGGTTCTCTGGGGACCGTACGCGTAGCGGACCTGACACAGGCTACTTGTTTGGGCTCGAGAACTTGATAAGACTTCTAGAGGAAATCCAAGAAAATTACCATGATTCTCTAGACACCAGTCTTGATCCTAGTCCATAACAATCCTTATTAAAGTTACAATATGAGAATATCAGCAAAACTCCTTAATCCTAATTAATGTTAAATCCCTGCCCCTAATTTGTTGCGTTTGTGGGTGGCTTCCTGATCCCCTCTCTCAGTGGTAACTTTTGCAGTCCTAACCCCATCCCTAGTGAGGCTGCTTATGTTCATATTCTGGCTTTGGTATATTTTAGTGCATGTAGGTTTGTACCAAAAAGACAAAATTCTGTTGAATGCTGGTAGTAGGTGCAGAATCACTTGATATGCAGAGGAAAACTATTTTATAAGGTTTTGGTCTGTACATCGAATGTGAAAAATGATCATATATTCTGCAAGATTTTATCCATGTGCATAACATTTCTTGGTGTGACTGGCCAGATAGGAAAAGTTGGAAAATACTTGTGATGAAATAAACAAATTATCTATTTATATCAATGCACAAAATCATTTTTTAATAATTCAGTTGAAATTAAAGCTTATGAAAACAAAATGGAATATTCATATTAGTAAGTATACATTTACTTAAAGAATAATACTTGTTTTGATTCACCAAAAGAATCTTTGCACAAGGGAACTTAGCAATACCTTTTCTATATTCTGTTCATTATGAAAAAGAGATGTTGTGCTTTCATTAAAGTGGCAATTCTCAGTTTGTAGAATATATTGTCGAAAACTATGAAAGTGGAAGTGGTGAATGTTACAATACCACTGTTATAACTAGGGTCACTTACTAAATTACCCTTTACCTATCACATTGTGCAGGACAAATAATGATTCCAGCTGAATTTAATTGTGACACACAGTGTCTTGGATCAAAATTTTGGGATTCATTGCTCCTGTTGTAGAATCAAATCACTCGGTTTTGTGTAAGTGCCTTTTTGTAACAGCAGTTGCACTGTAAACACGGAAATTATTCTTAATTTTAAGTGGATCAATCATGTAATCTCCAGGCTCTTTAATTCCCAAGGATTTTAACATTATTATTGCTAATTATTTCAGATTATATGGGGTTACAGCAAACATGGGTTCCTTTTTGCTGTTTATGACAACTTAGTTCAGATGAATTAAAGAGAAACCTATCATAAGTATTTATTTGTCGTTATTTTGCACAAATTAAAATGGAGTAACGGAGTTAACAAATGTTTAATCTCAATCTGTGAAATACTTGTTATTTTACTATTGCACAGTGATTCCTCAACTTAATAATGAAAAATTAGGTCTGTGTTTTGGTAAAATAATGGTAATATTTATTGACATTGCGATGCGACGTAGAGAAAACCGTCATTGGTCTTATCTTGCATGGTAGAACCAATTTTTTTCTACCAATTGTAAATACACCTATGTTTTAGGGACATTGCACATGTTAAGGAGAAGCAAATCTAAGAAATTTAAAGACACTGGAAAATTATTTTATATTTTAAGCTTGAGGTTGGATTTAAAACCACCTGGAGTATCTATGGTGAGATTTTACCAAATGACTAAATTTTATTTAATTTTCTTGAAACTTTCATTTGAATATGCTAAAGGCTTCATCTTGGGTGCACTGATTTCTCCAAGGAATGAGGAATATTTAGTTTCCCCCCATAATATTAATACATTATTCTGCAAACTTGTTGTGAGAATACTCAAACTTATCAGGTAGAGATTGTTGTCGTGATCTAACACCAAATTCTCGTATCTGATTTATAAGGAAATTTGTAGCAGCTAGAGGGGAGAATTATCAATCAGCTCTTGATCTCAACAGCCACAACAGAAAAAGGACCTTGCTTGATTGCGCCATTGCAGTAAGCCACCCCGTAGATCATTGGTCAGTAAAGTTGTACTGGGTGTTAGATCATAAACTTCTGAATTTCTAATTGACCCTGTAAGGTGTACATCAATTAGCAATTACTTAAACTGCATCTCCTCATACACTGTATGGAGTTCATTTCGATGTGAGTGGGAAGTGAGGGGAAGATGTCTTCAATTATGAATAATTGTTAATTACAGTATAGAAGGCTATCTCGCTGTAAATATCTGTCCACAAAATAGAACACGGCACTAGTCGAACACATTTAGGTGAACGTCTGGTTAGTTGTGGTCTATCATCAAATGCCGTATTTCTTCGAGTAAGCGCCCGGACGCTTATTTAAAATTTCGGCGAAAAGGAGGGCCCGTGTAAGAAGGAGGGGGCGTCCTTTAGTAGGACGCTTATTATTCTCCTGTGATGAGTCCGTTGCGGTCGACGCTAACAAAGTCCTACATAGTGTGGCAATAAAAAACAGGAGGAGGGGGAAGGGGGCGTCTGTTTAATATTCTGGTTTAGGAGGCGGATGCTTGGTCGGGGGAGGGAGTTCATTTGAGCGTGGGCTCTTATTCGAGGAAATGTGGTAATTACGATTCGAGAGTGAAGTCGCTAAAGGAGATTATTTATAACTGGATCACGGAATAATGCAATTCGAGAGTTTTTATTGGCTTAACTATCATTGGTTATAAGCTATTATATCATGCGCGCGCATGAAGACTGGCTAAACTGAAAGTGTTTTTGTTCATTGTAACATTGTAACATAATCCTACAAAATAAAGTGGGGAAGATTTATCGATATTTTGGGCATTTTAAAATCCAGATAGAATATTGTCTTTAGTTGCAATATATTTTTCAGTTTCGTATTTTATTTGGACTTTAAATCTAAAACCATTGACAGATGGAGATAATTTAGTCTCTCTGCAATCCCATAATGAATATCTACTAATTATAATCAAATGTATAAGGACTGTCTCCGACGAAATTTTGATCTCTCGATAATTTTTGTATATCCAAATTTTAGGTTTCTCGCGGGTGCTTTGTAGGTTACATGACAGATCCAGCTGCCACTCGTGTTTTCTACTCGGTGACGTTTCTGTTTTCAAACCTTGAATATTCCATGTTTAACTTTGTGCCAGCTACAAAATATAATGGCAAGCTGCAGAAAATCTTGAACAAATCTTCTTAACGGAAAAAGTTCTGTATTTTATGTGCAATAACGAATGGGAGTTTGGCACCATAATCTCCTCGCTGGAAACCTGATGAAGGGTTGTACAGATCATTCTCGCATGGCAGGAAATCGTGCGCTCCGTCGCAAAACTTCGCCAATGATGCAAGGTGGATTTCCAGAGTCGCAATTTTTTTTCCATACGTAAAACGTGGGTAAGCAATTTCCACTGCCACGTAAAAATCAATACCACGCGTTTTTTGGGGTGCGAATTTAGCAAAATTTACGCTCTAAGTACTGTATAATTTTAAATTTAGAGGCAACTTTGAGTAGGCGAAGTTTAGAATGGCAGACACAATAATTAAGCGTTTACTTTCTTTCTCTGTACCTACGTTAAAGCCGAAAAAGGAGACAAAAAAACAGAAAGAAACATTAGGTGAAAGTTATATTTCAGAACTGTTATGTAGTCAGTGAATACTATATTATAGTGAAAGAAATGCGTTTTAATAGAATTAGCAGGTGGTAAGTCCAAAATGTCTTCGTTTCTATATTTATCGAAGACTGGACGCAAATCTGGGGTACTCAAGAGCACGCAGTAGTGAAATCCAAACACATGCAGTCTTCGTACGATTATCAGACTTACTTCACGTGGCATATTTGGATTTGCCACGTGATAGGCTTGTGAACAGAATTTGAAAAGTCTGTGTAAGATCTTATCCCCTCCTTCACCAGGTCTTGCAACCTCGCATGTTTTTGATCCGACTGTAGCTAAAAGTCGCCAACATTTGGGTTTTGCTGTATTCAATAACCGATCATCCTTTATTTCTGTCTTTATCCAATTGAAGTCAATCGCTAAATGTTTTACAGGTCATCATCGGACGTGACACCATCTAATCTTTGGAAGTACCTCATTTAAATGTCTAATGGATCGGATTCCGGACGTAAAATGACAAATAGATATACATAGGTGCTTTGGATTCATTATGCCTCAGAAGATCTTCGTTTATGCTGCTAAACAGTGAATATCTCAAAAAGGCTATGTAAACACTGAAAAAAAAACGAAGTTAGAATGATGGCTTATTAATGGTATTGATTCAATGAAAGTTCCTCTAAAAGTTAGAGCTATTAAAAACTTGAATAAGACCCTGAATCATAAGGAATATTGTATGAAAATAACAAAAAGCAATTAGCACTGAAACAAAAGCAATCAGAAACATATGCTTGTTTATCTTAAGCTTTTTACTGTACAAACACAGTGCTCTTCATTTCTTGAAAGCTAATTTTGGTCATCAAATGTAACTATTCAAAAGGGCCCCGCCAATACTTTTAAATAAAGGCATCTTCAGTTAATGGCAGAAACTATATTGATTTTGGTAAGGCAGCCGCTCAGTCTTAGTGATACATTCCCGCCAAAAGGAGAAAAGCAAAGTGAAGAACAATTAACAACCGCGGATTAGTTTATATACTCAGACATATGTTTGTTTTGGAAGAAAACCGAGTTTCCGCCTCAAGCAAAGATAGTTAAACAACAAATTAAAATCATGCGTGGTGTTTTTAAAATAAACTGCGCAATACGTGATGAGTTCAGAAATATATTGTTGAAGAGCACAAGCACATAGTGTCCTAAATCAGGTTTTGTTATATATTTGAGTGCTTCGCGAATCTTGGAATTGTCTTTTCAGCCTCTGTTTTACAGAAGAAACAAGTTGGTTGTGTTCATCTATTTCCTTTATTTTCAATACGTAATTTTTATCAAATCCAATTCTCATTTGCGCGATTTTCTAGCAATTTACCTCGTCTGTACTTTTTTTTCCTTACAGAACATCTCGAGTGTCCGGAAGAAAAGAATTCCGGAACAACTTGTACCACGAGACAATGAGCTTGCTACAAAACGAAAGTTTGGTAATAGAAAAGAACTGTTCCGATTCAAATGCTAACAATTTGAAAACGGCTCTTCACGCCAGTGTAATCATCTTGATAATGGCTCTTATAGTTCTTGGAAATCTTATGGTGCTTATCGTAACTTTTCGCCAAAGAAGCCGTCCCAGCGTGCGAGTGGCAAACATGTTCATCGCCAATCTCGCTGTTGTGGACCTCTCCGTTGCAGTATTACTGTTTCCCTTTTCCGTTGTGACGATTCTACTTCGTCGATGGGCCTTTGGAGAGGCGTTATGTCAGTTCAATGGCGCCACTAATATGATTGCGGGTGCAGCTTCCATCCTGACAATGGCAGTTATCAGCTTTGACAGGTATGAAACTGTTTCTTTGAGGAGATGAGGAGAACAGGCTTTTAATTTCAATCTCTTTAGGTACATTTGAACGAGATCCCAAAGAGATATCTCTTCGTAGATGGTTATACATTCGGCTTTCGGTTCTTAGGGATAAGATGATCATGTTAGGAGACTCAATTAGACGTGTAAAGCTTTTATTTAAGTAATCTCATTTTTAGTTTTTTTAGCCAATTTTGGAAAACTCTTGAGGATATAGGAATAGCTAGCGAAATTTTCTGTTGTGAGTTTGACGAGACAGCGAAAAGAAACATTCCCGGGAAACTAGATTTCTTGAATCTGAAAGTGAGGAATCTTTTTTTGCAAGCGTGATGCTGTCTCACCTACAACTGTCAGTGACAAGATTGGGTGTTTATTTCATTTTTTTTTTTTTCACTCATATTCCGACTGTTCTCACTCCAGGTATCGTGCAATAGTTTCGCCACCGGGCAGTAAGGTCACCCCCAAACAGGCCTGGGTACTACTAGCCGTAATATGGGCGTGGTCGATCACCATTGGCGTTCTTCCAGTTCTTGGTTGGAACCAATACGCACATAGCTCTCTGAACACCATGTGCAAGATTTCGTTCAGCGAGGGACGCGGCTACATCCTTTTGGTGATAATTAGCTGTTTTGTGATGCCATTATTAGCAATGCTCTACTGCTATCTGCGAATTTTCTTCAAAGTGCGTTTCCACAAGAAGCAAGTTCAACGATGGAGTGACAGCAGACAATCACAGAAAAATTTTAGGCGCGAAACGAAGACAGCGCAAGTGGTTTTCACGGTGCTTTTCGTTTTTGTTGTGTGTTGGAGCCCGTTTGTCATTGTGCATTTTCTGCAGTCACTTCCAACAATAAGCATTTCACGCGTTGTTTTTCATTTAGTAACGCTTGTAGCAGGCGTGCATTCGGTTTGCAACCCAATCATCTATACCACCATGAACAGAGCGTTTCGTAACGAGTTGCGCCAAGTATGTCAGTGCGTTGTTTGTGGGCGCGTCAAATGCTGCGGCGGTGATAACCTTGTACAGCCCTTTAGTTTGGAAACTAGTTTCACATAAAGATCATAAAAAAAATATACCACTTTGTTGCCAAGCTTACCGCTACTACACGACAGCGAAGTTGAACATATTGCAATCGTTTTGATGGAGACAAAACGCAATACAAACACAATCAAGTGAAGAAAGCAACGCTATAAGGTGACATTGCCATTATGAGATGGAGTGTTTTTCTCTCGACTAGACCTCCCCAACACTAAATGTGGGGGAACAGTACATGGGGGTGCGTGTGTGTGGGGGGGGGGGGGGGGGGGGGCAAGGTTCTTCCACAAAACGGGCCTAACATGTTTGACTGAAAAGTAGGGATGGTAAGTTTTTGAGCTCGGTGAAGAATTAAGAAAGATGTTTTTTTCGTCTTGTCACGAGCGTGGAACAAAGAAAAATTCTGAGTCCCCATAAGGAATCGAACCTCAGACCTTCGGATTTGCGCTCCGATGCTCTACCACTGAGCCACAAAGACTCTTCGGTGAGTGGGGTCTATTACGAAGTTCTAATGACACGCGGCCCGCATACTGCTAGGATCAGCAAGGTCGATAGCGTAATGTTTTTATCAGAAAAAACATTACTGTTCTAGAGGAGGGTGGGGGAAGAAAGGGATGGAGCTGCTTCATGATCGATTATGTAATCCAGAAGCTAAAACAATATTGATGAAAATATCATAACAATTAGACAGACTTCTTCACAATGCTTAAAAAAAATTGGTCATTTCGAGGCATTGTAATGTAATAAATACCTCTCGAGCTTACTTATTATATGTTTGACTAAAATTGAATAAAATAAAAATTAGATTAACAAAAGTGTAAAGCTAGGTTGTTTTCGCTTTCCTTCTATTGGGGGGAGAGGCTTTCGCTGCTCATTTTCGAGATTATCATAACAGCTAGCCACACAGGTCAGTTGGTGGTCATCTTAGAGAGGCAATTTCACTGAATGAGCAAGTAGCTACTTTCTAATGCGAGTTACAGGCTCAAAATTTATATTTTTAAAACATTCCCACAAACAAGTTTCATTTTTCAAGGATTGCTTCAAAATGTTTTGTCTAAAAACTCTGTCCACGGGGAAATAGGACAATAATTTCCTCAAAAAATCCTCTCTGTTCTTTAACTGGCTTGCTGGTTTACGGGTAAAATGATCCATTAAAGAGAACTATTCAAGGACAAGAAATTTGGTGACACAACGTCAGCAATTTAGTTTACCGATGAAAGCTCGCCCTAGATGTGTAGCTCTATCTTATGCACGTTATAATTGAATAATTATACGCTCAAATGAAAGATAACAACTATTTATTTCAGCATCTAAGTCTGCAAACTATGAAATACATTATAAACAACGCTCAAGCTTTTAACTATGGCGAGATCCGCTACATGCATTTTATCAATGTTTAACCTATAAAATCCGGTTACTAAGAACAATGAATTCCAAAACCAGGTTTCTAAAAATAACAAAATTGTAAAAAGTACCATACACCCATGTAAACACTGCGTCAACAACCAAACAAGATGCATCAAAATATATTAATCTCCCATATTAAGAGTGGGATCAAAACCTTTCGAATTATACATCATAACGTATAGGGAAAAAATACGAAATAACATGCCATTTCAAATAAATTTTGATGAACTTTTTAGAAGTCAAAATGACTTTGGAGATGAAATGATTAAATAAAGCTTGCATTGAAAATTTCAAATTGACGAAGAAAGTAGATAAATTATATCTTTCAGCTAATAATGATTAAAAGACATTTGTCAGATGGAAGTAAAAATCAAGATAAACGTCTGTTTTTTCAAAAAATTTTTGTTGTTCCTAAAGAACAACAAAACCTATGACAACTTCCCCGAAAAAAATAATTTCAAAAGCCCTCACAACATAAAATGGTTTACGTTAAACTTGCTCCAATCGGGCGGGACAAAGATACCTTTCTCTCGGCTATGTCTTGTAATACGATGATTTTACCGCGCTTGAAAAGGCTTACGATTTTAACAGATTCTTAATTCTGATGCGTTCACCCCGCTAAAATTATATGGGCCCCAGGCTCACGAAATTAACATAAAAAGCGTCCCACTATGTACACTTTTTTAAAAAAAAGCATAATTTAAAGATAATAATTAGAGTTCCTGTCCGAGCCTCCTCTGCTGCCATAACCACGAGGCGTGGTTATCTTTCCTTCAGCGTAGGCTAAGTCTTCTGACACACTGGTCACACTTGTCATCGTCCTCTGGTTTACCTCGACTTCTTCGTTGAATTTTCGCACGTGATTCGTGGTACTTCGTCTGTCCGTCGTGGACTCGGTACGGGACTCTGTACGGCTCTCATTGACTCGTGAATGGGTCCGTGTTAGAACAAACGACGTCATGCCATTTGCTATCTCATTTTCCCCGTAGGATCTGACAATCAGAGGTGCATCTTTGAAGAACACTTCATCAGGAGTCGACGCTTCGTCCTCTACAGGCTTTGCTTGCACCTCTATGACTGGTTCCTCAAATGTTGCACTCAAGTCCTTTTCAGGTCTGATGAAGGCAGAACGAGGACTGCTTTGCGTCACAGGAGCAGACATTTTGCGATTCAGCGGCTCGTGCTCTAATCTCGGCGATCCGGGCTGACTACTTGGGGCTTTTCCAATGTCCATAGCAAGAGTTGAAGTTTTCCTGCCACGCCCTTGAATAGAGACATTATCAGCTGGTTTTCGGCTTCTTCGTACCTCAAAGCTCGTTTCGTAGGTGGGTTTGACTTCTACTCTAGCAATTTCTGATCTGGCTTGTAGGTCTTTCAGCCTTCTTTCACTTCGCTGTTGATCTTCTTGAGCCAAAAAGAGATCTTTCTTCAGTCTTTCGATCTCGAGCTCCAACGTGACGCATTTCTTTTCAAGCATGCTAATCTTGTCATCCTTTTCGTCGCAGCTCTTCTTCATTAGCTCCAGGTCTGTCTTCATTGTGCGTAGATCTTTCTCAAAACGAATGATCTGTTCCTGTTTACTTACTATCTCTTTATTGGCCTTGTCCAAATGGTGCTGCTGGTTTTGGCTGTCTTTAGTTGCTCTCTGGAGTTCTGTTTCTAGCTCCGATATCCTGACCTGACTTGAAATAAGATCATTGTTGGCCTGTTGTAATCCATCAGTGCTGTCTTTGTAGACTGTCTCTACATTATCCAGCTGATCCTTCACCGACCGAAGCTCGTATTGTAGATTGTTTCTTTCTCTTCGAAGAGCGTCTTTCTCACCCTCGATTTCGTCGTATCTCAACTTGAGAGATTCTATCTCTCCACGAAGCTCGTCTTCGCTTACGTACCTAGTTTGCTTCTGCTGGTTCAACTCAAACTTCAGTTGGTCAATCTCCCGTTGAAGTGTATTACACTCGTTTGTCTTGTTCTGCAACTCGCGTCTAAGAGCGTCCAACTCTTTGTCCATAGTAAAGACCCTGGTTTTGAACTTCTCAATTACCGTCTCCTTCTCAATAATTTCTCGCCTGAACACTTCACTTTTGGTGTGAATCTCAGTAACTTGCCTGGTTACTTCTTTGGAAGCCTCCTCGTTCTTGTTGCGAGAATCTGCCAGTTGTAATCTGAGGCTGTCTTTCTCCTTGTTTGAGTCTTCAAGCTGTGATTCTAACCTTGCAATCGTTGAACGCTGTGAGTTGATTTCATATTCCATGGCTGACCTATCTTTATGACTTGTTTTCTTGCTGTCTCCAAGCTCCTCTAGCTTCCGCTGCAAGTCTAAGATTTCTTGATCTGATTGCGCGTTTCTTTCGCGACTACTTGCGTAACTAGCTTGCAATTCTGCAATGCGTTGCTGATAAACAATAATTTCTTCTTTAAACTGTGCCGCCTTATCCTCTGCCTTATGGTATGCATCTTGAAGACTTTCCAATCGCTCGCGGGTCGATTTAAGCTCGTGCTCCAAGCTTGAATTCTTCGTATGAGCCTCCAAGACTTCATTCTGCAATTCATTTTCTCTTTCTTTACTCCTTCTCAAGGCAGCATCTGATGATGAGCTCCACCCACCGGAAGGTGCAGTTCGTTTTTTGAGCAACTCGTAATCAGCCTCCAGTTTAAGAAGCCTCCTCTGCGTGTCTTCCAGGTCGTCTCCTAAGGTGCGTTTTTCATTTTCAGCTGCACCCAACAGTGCTTCTATCTCAATTAGTTTCTTTTGAAGCTTATCAATATCATTTTGAAGCCGCATTTTTTCCGAGATCAAACCTTGGTTTGTTGCCTCCAGGCTGTTAATGGTCTTCTGCATTGACGAGACTTTATCTTCCAGTCGAAGTTTCTCTTGTTCTAGACCTTCACTCTTGTCTTTCCACGTCACTATTTTCCGATTTAGTCCCGAAACTTCACGAGCCAAACGTTCGCACTCTCCTCGTAAAGCTTCTATTTCAAAGTCAGTCTCAGGTGCAGCGTCGACAGTGCTTTGTTCCACCACAGTGACGCTATCCCTCTGCAAAGTGTTATAACTAAATTGAAGCTCAGACAGCTGTACTTGCAAAGCTTGCAACTCTGACTTAAGCCTCTCGTTTTCGTCTCTGAGTAGCGAGTATGAGGCGTCGAGCTCCGAATTGTGCAGTTGCAGTTTCTGGTTTTCGTATTGTAACCCCCTTTTATCGCTTAGGGCTCTTTCCAGATCGGACCTTGCAGTAGAAAGATCTGCTTTGGTGGCATTTAGATCACTCTGCAGAGCGTCGTAGTCGTTCCGCAGACGGTCAATTCTATAGTCCCTCTCTGACAACTCACGCTGCAGGTCATCTACCTCTTGCTGAAGCTCCAACAACTTCTTCTGTAGATTTGTAATCTCATCCCTCAACTCCTCATTCCTTGCTCTCATTTCTTCTAAAGTACCTCTCAGCTGAGCCTGCCGTTTGAGCTCCTCTTGAAGTTCTTCCTCCAATGTATGTATCCTAGCTTTGGCATCTTGGAGGTCTCTCTGAGCATCATTTTTGCTTTGAACAGCTGCATCTAGAGCGGTCTGCAGTTCTGAAACCTTCTTGTAGCTATCCATCAGTTCTCGTTGTTTG